CACAACAAAAAAATCGAAGAAGTAGGAGTTCTAGTGAGAATGCTTAAATATATTGAAAAAGTAATTAATTTAAGTAAACTAAGAATTATTGTGATTTAATAAGATAGGAATATTTATTAAGAGTATTAAAAACATTTTTTAAGTTAATTCAGTTTTTATTTATATTTTAGTGTTATAAATGTTACTAGTTTAAGTATTGCGTCGCCATTTTGATAGCTTACAAATTACCTCGCTTGGCTTGGTCGATTTCGATAGCTGTGAAGAGTGCCTTGAAGTTTCCAGCACCAAATCCCTAACATAACAAATAAAAACATTATTTTATGTAAATATTTAATAGAATTATATAATTACATTATGATTCCTGCGTTGTATAACCTCCAAAAATACAGTAGGTCTGTCCTGCATGTTTTTCGTAAAGATCTGCAGCAAATACCCATTTTCATCGTAGTCAATCAAAATCTTCAACTTTTGTAAAGTATCCAAGTCTTCAGCGATTTTTACCGGACTATGTTTCAACTGTTCACGAATCAAGTCATAGTAGCTATCCGGAACTTGCAAAAAGTCCATTCCACGCGCTTGCAAGTTCTTAACAGCAGTAATAATGTCTTGAGTGTTCAGGGCGATATGTTGCACACCGGCTCCGCCATAGTACTCAACATATTCTTGAATCTGACTCTTTTTCTTACCCGGTGCTGGTTCATTGATAGGCATCTTAACGGTTTCTTCATAATTGGTCATTACAATCGAACGCAGGGCCGAGAATTCAGTATGTACTTGACTGTCGTCTACTGACCAAAAACGATGGAATTGTAGCACTTCCTCATACCACTTTGCAACGGATTCCATCTGTAAATCGGGTTGGTTGCCTACGGCGTGGTCAATGAAGTCGAGTTTAGCGGGAGGAAGAAGTTTAGATAGACGGTCTACTGCAGAAGGGACATATCCGGGTAAAAAGGGTCCAGTATAATTGGAACGATCTACGAATGTATGTAGAGTATCTCCATACTATAAAAATTAAAAAAAAAAAAACTTCAAAATGTATAGTGTTTGGTACAATATTGTTTACATACTGTTTTAATTGTAGCCATTCGAACTTTTCCGTTAGCATCAGATTCTTCCCAAATGTCACGAATAACTTTAGCGCCTTTAGATTTAGCATGTTTCATGATATTATCAAGGTCTTCCACAGCAAAGGAGACATCGTGTACACCATCGCCATGTTTCATCATGTGATAACCGATTTCTTCCTCGTTTGGTTCGTATGCCGACACGAACACAAAAACAATCTTTCAAAAAAAAAAAAAAAAATTTAAATTAGTTTGTTAACCTAATTTATTAGCCAGTTATTTATACATAGATGTAGTATGTGTGATGACTTCTGGTATGAAAAGGGCAAACTAATCTAATATAATCGATTAAAAGACATCGATTACAGACTTCGGTCAAAGGGCTCACTTTACGTGTTTCATGCAGTTATTTGAAGGTGTCGCTAGTGACGTACAGATTTTATGTGCTCTTACAGTAAATTTAGCGATTTTTATACTGATATTTGAAAATGTACCTTGTTTTGTCTCACGGCATGAGCTGCGTACTTCCGGGATCCTGTTTCTAAACCTTTGTACGCTAATGGTTCAAAGCCCATTCGGGTAATATAATAAGACGCAGCCTAAATTTAAAAAAATAATGCAATTACCAAGTAATGATGTAAAAATAAGTATGTTACCTGTTTAGCATTACCAACATAAAATGTTAAATGATCAAAACAGAGAAATTTTCCATATTTTGGCTAAAAAATAATAAAAATAGTAAAATAATGCAAATTGATAAATAATTACAAACCTTGGGTCCTTTATCAGTGTACGAAGTCTGAAAACAAAAAAAAATTAATTTGTATTAAAATAATTATTGAAGAAATTACCATTTTGCACCGGATTTAGAAAATCTACTTCCAATTAATCCAAAAGGCACTTAAATTATACTTGATTAACAGTTGTTTTCTTGTTGCGTTGAAAGTCGCGTTGAAACTAAAGTTGAATGTGATTCTGCAGTTTTTTTATACACTTTTGAACGCACCGTCGATGACGTCTCCGATAATTATTGCTAGCAACTGTTACCAACCAAGAGTGAAGCCATCGCGAGCGTGAAAAACAAGAGCTAAACGAGTATTCAAATCGTATTCAAATTTCACATTCTACACCGAATCAACAAATTATCAATTCAAAAGCGCAGAAATCATAGAAAAACATCCACCATCTCCACAATGATTAATATATTACATGGATATTGAAACGGTTTCTTATCGATGACCAGCAAGCCAAGGTAATCGAGTAATCCGGAAAAATTTACATAACAAAGTTATAGAAGTTATAAAACTCTTTAGGAGCGCAGCAGATAGCAACGCACTGAAAAACATATAACTACTCACTACGCGTACAGCTAATAACAATCAAAAATAAAATTAATTGACATCGTTGCAAGAATGCAAAATATTTTGTAATTTATTTTTATTGGGTTTAAACTTTTAATTGCGACATTTCCAATGAATATTGCGCTGTTTTGCATTCTTATCTTTTAAAAGCAATTTTTTGTAAAGAGACTTTAACTTTACTAGAAGTTAAAATATGTTTTTTCATGTTAAATGTAGGCAACCCATAATACCCTAGGAATATTTTTAATTTTTTATATATTTAACCTTAAAATTATGCATTAAAAACGTTTTATATCTGTTGTTACGCATTAACTTGGCATTTTTAAAAAAGCTTAATGAAATACAACGTGACAATCGTAAAATTTTCACTTAAGATGTCAACGCAAATGCTTTTTATTTTAATCTTGAGTGAAAAGATTAATTTTCACACAAAAATATTTTATAAATATTTTGTTGAACATTTAGATATCAACTAGGTAAAGCAACAAAGTTGTTTGTTGACTGAATAAATGAATAACTAATTAATTCCAGTATTAGATCCACTATCACGTGTTTTGGTAGCGTGAGCTAAGGCGATTACGATTGGTCCATGGCGAAACAAGCCTCTAAACTTTAACGAATGCAAAATAACTCAATAACAAACATAAATTAATAAAAAAACAAGTAGTAACTACTTAATAAACAATTTTATAAGCAATACTTTTGACGTCGTTTTATATATATATGTGTGTGTGAGTGTATTGGTGTAGCGGCATTGATCCTGTGTCCTGACCTACGGGGGCGGCGAACCAACATGGCTGCCACCTGAAGAATGCGCGTGCACGCTCCCACCACACGCTGGCACACTTTCGGCGCCTGCCGCCATCGATTAGTTGTGTTTCATTGATGTAAACTGCGTAAACTGAACGAACTGTACCAAGAAAATATCATTTCATTGTGTGTCACAGTGTAAAAGCTGAAATGTTGTAGATAACTAACAAGTACAAGTGCAGTCAGTGCCAGTGGTGATTATTTTGTAATGCTTCGTATTCACCTAATTGAGTCGATAACATGAAACTAGGTTATGTTGCGATCGCGTACCGTAGGCATATGGCGCACCGACGACACCGACCCAAGTTGTTTCTTTGACAAAACGAACAAATTTTAATAAATAAAACTAAATTAGTAAGTATTTTAGTCGATACTTTCTTTATATTTCAACTGTGTTTTTCTTATGTTTCAGGAAAATGTTTAGCATTTATTGACGAATTTGAAAAGGAAATAACAAAAATACCTAAAATAAGTGAATATAATGGACGATATGGATGACGACGTTTTCGAATCAAGTGCTTTGGCGGTGGATGCAAATTCACAACAACGACATCCTTCACCCACTGGGTATCGAGATTATAAACCACCTGAAGAGGTGCTACGCATGTGTCAGACTGATTACATTGATGATACCGAACAAGTTGTTCATAAGGTAAGTAGAATAATATTTATTTTAACGATTTATGACTTTTTTGATTATTTAACGTGACATTAGACTTTTTATTTTATTTTTTTTGCTACTTATTCGTATTCTTCTTTATATCTTATTCATTTCGCTTGGAAACTTAGAAATGAAATTCCACCTAGACCGTGAATAAATTATTAACCAAATAAAAATAACGTCCGACGTTGAGTCGGTGAGTGTGCTTGACGCGACTTGAAATAAAACAAAGTGGAATGAAATGATAAATGCGTACAAGTGGAACTAAAGAGCCAGAAACAAAGAATAAAACTGGAAATGCTTAAAGAAAATGCAATATTTTTCAATTAGGCGTCTCTCATTTGTGTTTTTTTTTTTTGATGTTTTGTCATCCTGCAAAATTAACTTATATTTAAAGTAAACGCTATTATTTTATTATTTTCACTTCTTTTGAGTTATGAATCCTATAATTTAGTTTTGACAATGAATGTGATATTCATTTATTTTTAATTTATTTGGGTGTTTGTTTATTTTTTATTTCAATTTGTTTACAGACAATATTGCTGGGCGATAGTGGTGTGGGCAAAACCTCCCTGCTCGTCAAATTCGACACGGGGAAATTCTCATCGGGGACTTTTTCGGCCACAGTTGGAATTGGTTTTACGGTGAGTGCTAAAAATAACATTTTAAATTAACAAAAAGTTCAAGTCGGCAACAAATTAAAAATATGATTGATATGTTTGGCATTTTATATGAAAGATTACTTAAAACTTCGTTATTAGTTTTACATTCGATTTATCTACATCCATGATATATATTAATTTAAATTCTGCAATACTTTTTAAAATAGCAAAGTTTCGAACCAAAGTTAACCAAACTTTAAATAAAATAAAATATAAATTAAAATGAAGATTGCAAAAGTTTGTTTCTCTATAGTTTATAGCTAAAATCAATAATTTTAATCATAATTTAAACATTTTGACATGTTAATTAATCCAAATATGTGCAAACATGAATTCGGCAATTAATTAGTGTTTGACGACGCGTGACAAGCGCAATTTCGTGCATTTACCGGCGCGTATTAAACCGGAAATATGTATGTTACGTGGGTAGTCGTTGATCGTTAAGCGGTTGTCATGGATACGATAATAATCAACTCGCTTAAAATTTAAAACAACGTATTTTTATTCTGTTCATGCAGGCGACAACTTGCATCCTGTAATTTGCAAAGTACTATTTTTGGTCATGCGGTTGGTGTTGCCTAGATACGATTTTGGGGACGGAAACGACGCGGAAATTTCGTAAAGCAATGAAGACGGCGATGGCTACCCACGCAGTCGCCGCGTAAGGGTAGTGGAAGTAGGAACGGACGTGGGGGTGGTATTCATTCGTCGCAAACTCACAGTCGTCTGGTCGCGTTGACGCGAAACGTGCGTGTTTGAAAAATTTTACACTGAGCACAATTAAATTTAAATTTAATAAAACAAAACTTTTTAATTAAAATATTTTAATTATCTAAATATCATTGTATATTGCGATGAACATGCAGGTTAATTTGTGAGATTAGTCAGATTTGCTTGTGGAAATGTTGGAAAACAAATAATCACATATACATACATGAACAATGGTTTGGTGTGTTTGTTACGTGCGCTGTGACGTTTCGCGACGCTCGCGTTGCTGATAACGAAAAAATACTTATTATCGCCCTCGGATTTCGACAGCGTCGAAGCACAGGTGCTTGCGGCGTGTTGGCCACGAGTAACGAACGCAATACGAACACGAACTCCTAAATTAAAACGCAGCTAAAACTGCTAACGATCAACAAGTGAAACGGTTGTAACTTGCAATAATAAGAAAATCACGTTCAGCATTAAATATAAAAAACTTGCACAAGTTTTTAACGAGCACAAAAAGTGCAGTGACATAAAAAACAATAAAAGTGTACAATAACAAAAGTAAAATATATATTTAGTTGACTAGAAATGTGTAAACATGTTAGATTTATTACAAGACTTCAACTATTATTAGACGTTGATTGCATGATAACAAATGAAAGAAAGTGAATTACAAGTATTACAGTATTTGATGATTAAAAAAATTAATTGAGTGATAAAAACGGTAAAAATGTTAAATGAAGAGACATATGTGCGTAAAGTGGTACAGGTGAAGCCGCACGTGGACGGTGATGGAGACGGTGGCGATGGCGACGACACGGTGGATGCTGGCGGCGGTGGTAGCAGAGGATCCAGTGGTGGTTTGTCATTAGATCCGATGCTCTGCTTTGCCACGCGCAGGCAATCGCTCAAGCGCGACGACTCCGAACAATACGATATCGTACAAAAGGTAACTTGAGATCTGAGTTTCCCAAAATCAAATAGTAGCCGCAAATAATAATAAAAATACTTTTAGGAGAAATAAAAGAAATCGTAGCTTACGGGAAATAAACGAAAATCGAAATATAATTTGTTCAAATCAAGACTCCCTAAATCTTTATTTTTTTCGTTATTTTCTGAGAAGATTGACGCATGTGAAGCACGCATAAGCTGAAAAAAAGATTTCAGACGCAAATTGAATCAATCAGGATAAGGGAAAGTCTCGTCTGGCGAGACGTAGACAACATAATATTCATTTAACGTGTACAATGTGTTGCAGAGAATGTCAATTCGTTGTAGAACAAATCAAATTTTCTGATACACAATGTATATAAACTGCTAGTTAATTCCATGAAAAATGATTCATAATACATGTTAATATGATTAGTAATTATTAGTTTGCGTTTAATTAAAAGTAAATATGCACAAAGTTAATCTACTGCATTTTGATAGCATTTGTCGAATGAAATTCTATATTTGAGCAAATAATTGATTTAAACTGCACTTAGTGCCTTGTGCACAGTGCGGCGTGCTGCGCTTCAGGTTTGCTTCTCGATTTAAATTGCAGCATCCGGGCTGTGAAATGCTCTCAAATCTGATCAGCTCAATTTATGCGATAGCAATGATGACGATCAAGTCGCGATGCACTTCGGCGCTAATTAACTAATAAAACCCTCCGGCGACTCTCATCGCTGCCACTTGCAAGATGTATCATAAGCATTCCGGGGCGGTTGGCAGCGTATATTTGGTTGCATCTTTCACTGCATATATGCTTCAGAATGCAATTTCACACTGTTTGCAGTGTTGCAGATATCTTGCACCAGAGTGCATCAAATTGAATATTGAATATTTATACACAACGTGTATTATATAATCGGACATATTAGTTGCTCACACAAAGTAAAAATTAAGTTATACAACGGAAAAATTATGTATGACGTAAATTTTAATTAAGCGAATTAATTAAAAAACAACGTTCCATTGATTATGATACCAGGGTAGAGTTGTTGCGCGTATTAATAGAGCTTTTATAAAATTACATGTGTACCCGGGCACACGTGGCAAATGCCACGTTTTGTTTCCCTTCGCTGTTTAATTGGCGCCATCGGAACAATTAAACGTTTCTATAGAACTCTCAATGCCCAGGCAAAAAGTTTAAATCTCCAGTTTCCTGATTCATTTAACTTCTCGGAAGCTGCAGCCAATTAACTGTTTTCCTGTTTATTGTAGACAATTCAATATACATTTATGTTCGTATTTTTGTTTTGTTTTAAATTATGTTTAATTAAATACAAGGTAATGCTCTTGGGAGATTCCGGCGTTGGAAAGACCTGTCTGCTGGTGAGGTTTCGCGACGGACTCTTTCTCTACGGCAATTTCATTTCCACCGTAGGCATTGACTTCCGGGTAAGCGCATACGCTTGATGAATCAACAAGAAATGTAAAATAACCCCGATGTTGATTGTTTTGTCATTAAATGTCGCTAATTATAAAGCAACTGATGTTTCAATGTGCTGTACATAACCAATAAAACAAAAATGTCTTTTGTTTGTCGCTAGGTGGCGCTTGGCTCAATGATATGTTTGTTGTCAACTTGGTACGAAACTTTGCTTTGAAATCAATTCTAAAATTTATAATTAAGTTTTGCCAGACATCTTCACTTAGTTCACGCTATTTGTTGCTGTACTATGAACACACTGTATAACTGTGTATACCTGTAGTATATATTCGAACAAACAAATGATTGATGTATGCTGTTTGATATCGATATGTCGCGTGATGTATGCATCGTTTTGTGCTATATTCGTGGGTGTTGATAAAATTGAAAGACGCTCATTGATTTTCTCTCGTTTCAAATTTACATGTCCGTTTTTCGCCACACCACGCAAACAATCAACAATTGCAATCAACTGAACATTGTTCCGGAATGTCGATGTCGATCGACCTCCTGGGATGGTGGTGGTGTAATGCACCTATTGTAGAACAAGGTGGTCAATGTGGATCAAACGCGTGTAAAACTACAGATCTGGGACACTGCCGGACAGGAGCGATTTCGCAGTGTCACACATGCGTACTATCGAGATGCACACGGTAACTAACTCTATCTATTTTAATATAAATACTATTTTTACCACAACCTTGATTGTAAAATTAATTGTTTTTTCTGATTAAAGCTTTATTGTTATTGTACGATGTGACGAACAAAACTAGTTACGACAACATTCGAGCGTGGTTAGGTGAAATCCGGGAATATGCTCAGGACGACGTTGTTATAATGCTCATTGGTAAGTATTTCTTTTAATTCCGGAATAATGTATTCTACATTATTATCCATGCAGGTATTATTATACTTACCGGCATTCAATGGACTTTATTATTGATTTTCAAAGTCGTCGGCTATATAAAGCGATATTTTTAATAAATTTAATGAAATTTATCTCTGATATTCGAATTCCGCAAGGCTTACGGGAAAATCAATTGCTATTTATTATTTATTATTGTTCTCAGGTAACAAAGCCGACGCCGGGGTGGATCGCGCCGTTCGTCGGGAGGAGGGAGAGCGCTTGGCGCGCGAATATAATGTTGCTTTCATGGAGACATCGGCGAAAAGTGGACAGAATGTTGAATTGGCATTTTTAGCAATTGCAAGGTATTGAATTTTATTCTTATTAATTTATTAAGTTGAAATTAATATTTTTTTAATACTTGTTTTTCTAGAGAATTAAAATTTCGACAAACAGGAGAACACGATGAAAATCGTTTCAGTGTACAAGATTATGTGCGTGCGCAAACAGCTAGCAACAAACCCGCACAACAATGTCCTCCCTGCAACACCAATTGAACAATAAATATTAGGTAATTCCACTGACCGTTTCAAGAAAATGAATATTGCTGAATTTAAAACAAGGCTTCCTAAAATTTGTTACAAACAAATCAAATACACATTTAAATTTATAAAAACAATATGCTTTTAGTGTTCATATGTTAATAAACATTACGTAGGGTGATATCATCAAAATTAATATTCATCATGCTAGAATCACCCTGTATATATTAATATGAAATAGATACACTGAAAACAACAATATGTAACGTTGATAATAATCAATAACTGATAAAAATTTATATTGAATTTACAAATGTTCAGTATTAATACTAAAACCAAAACACACGAGCTACAAAAACGACTTTGGCATAGAATAGGAAATGCTAACTCAATGAAATTTAGAGAGATTTTTGTAGGCAGAGGGCACAGACTATTTATAATTAAAATTGAATATATACAAGCCTAATGCATATCACCAAGGAATGACATTTGAAAGGATATCAATCAATTAAATCAAAACTGATATAAAATTACAGCTAAAAATAAGAGGCCATAGACCAAATATAAAATAATGCTAATAAATTTTAAAATTAGGGCCTATTATTCCAAATTTAGTTTTTTGACTAGTCAACGTTTTAAAAATTTTAAACATTTTTTATCATTAGAATTGGTTATTAGTATGGAAGAAGTGTCAAATAGTAATGGTAATGGTATCATCTAAGTAAAGGATATATAGAGTGTTGCACTTGAATAATTAATGAAAATACAATATTGTTGTTAAATATGCAAAGTTTAAATTTTAAAGTGCAAATATTCTTTGATAATAATAATTTTTGAAAATCAGTTACATCAAATTGTTGTATGACTTTGTTTGTCTAAATGTCTAAGTGTTGTGCAATAGCTACAAGCACTAATGTATGTATAAAATACAAGTTATGTATGTCAAACTGTTAAGATTACTCCTTAACTCTATTTTAATTGTGTGTTATTATTACTTACCAAGGATGCTAAATATGTGTTAAATAATTTGTAATTTATTATGATAATATTTCTACAAGCATACCAAGTACTTACTAAGTTTGTGTTATTGTTTAAAGAATGCCAATTACATGTTTTAAATATATTAAGCAAAGCGACTACGATAAATTATAATCGAATATATGAAATATATATTTACAATGTGTATTCCGTTGTTAACTTTAGAAGGTTTCTTCAATCGCCAAATGGGAATAATGTTATGTAGAATTTTTCGCTAACCCAATGAAAATTAATGACATTGAATATTTCCCAAAGTAAAATAACTGCAAAACTTTCGAAAAGAGGCTATGCATACGAATTATACCTTGATTCATCTTGTTCTATACGATGCGAATATCGTTCGTTTATACTCGTATATTCTTTTCTTATCGCGTCTCGCGATTGCACAGTAACGCAAGTCGGTGACGTTGCAGCTCTCAGTCTATTCGCGTGCGCGGTCAGTGCTTGTTGTCGGCCGTTCCTTGTGCACTCAACACAATGATACTCGTACATGGAGTTGTACTATTGCATTGATCATTGGCGGAACTCAATATTAATAAATTCGTGTGTGATATGTGGGTGTTATATTATGGATAGAGATTATACCTTTTCGTGTTCCCTTGGAGTGTCTGGCTTATACAATGCGCAGGTACTATTTCGGAAATTACATGGCGACACCTTAAAAATTCTTTGAACTCGATTGTTCTTTGCCGCTCCCGGAACTCAGGGCAGGACTGCCGAATCACTGCTCTCATAATCTGGTAATTTTTCATTTTTCTTAAAGCATGATGTGGAAATAGGGCATACGAGTATTTCGGGAACCGTTTACGCTATTTCGATAAACCTAGATATTTTGATAGCGCCAGACTTGTTATAAGCAATGCACTCTTGCCGTTTCTCGAAATCGGGCGGGAACTACTTGAAAATTGCTTTTAAAATCTGCTAATGTTTCACTTTTCTTAAAACTTATCGTGGAAATCTGATCACATTCACCGCCCCAAAAAATAATGTGGGAAGTGCATTAAAATCGCTCACAATATTATACAATTTTGAACATTTTTCTAGTCTTGTTGTGGAAATTGGGTCATATCTCTGGAATCTTGTGGGTTATTTGCATGTTTTTTCGAATTCTGATAGGGAATCGTTAACCAAGAGGTTAATTAGACTCATCTCGGTGATGTGCGCGCTGCGCGCGTCTTTAAATACTATCCGATCTCGCGGCTTTCGCACACTGCGTCCCAACTGTCCGAAGACAAACAACACAAACTTACAAAAAGCGAATAATAAACAATCAAATATATGTGTACCGCTATGACAATGTAACAGTAAAGCGAAAGAAACGATCGGCGAGCTCTTTTCTTATAAAACGTCTTAAGGGAAAATTTGAAAACATGGTGTGGAAAACACTTTGTATCTATTGAACTAAATGACTTTCTTAGAGTTTTCTTTACAAGATGCAACCTCTTCGACTTCTCGGAAGTGCCCTAAAAAGCCCTTCAAAATGAGCTATTTTAAAGAAATTTTAAAACATGGTGTGGAAAATTCTCTGTATCTTGTGAATTAAAAGACTTTCTTAGAGTTTTCTTACCCCAGAATAGAGCTAGAGAGTTCGTTTATTAGATGCATATCTTTAAACCTTTTAGTCCTTCCGGAAGTGCCCTAAAATGCCCATCAAAATTTGACAATTTTATAAAAATTGAAAACATGAGGTGGAAAATGCCCTGTATCTCGTGAACTATTAGATTTTCTTGCAGTTTCTTAACGTCATGTTTAAGCTAGAGAGACCCTCTACACTTTGCATCCTTTTTTACTCTATAAACCCTTTGAAAGTGCCTTAAAACACCCTTCAAATATCATTTTCTTAAAATTTTTTTTGGTCGAAGAACAGGGCCGAACTTTTTTTAATAAATATTTTTCGGTCAAAGAACAGGGTCGAACTTTTTTTCTTAAAATTTTTTCAGTCGAAGAACAGGGTCGAACCTTTTTCCTTAAAATTATTTCTGTCGAAGAACAGCGTCGAACTTTTTTTAATAATTTATTTTTGGTCAAAAAACAGGATCAAACTTTAGATACGAGTATTTCTTGAAAAACGACATACATTTCATCAAAAGTTTAAAGAAAAGATTATGTTATAAAAATGGCAAAAGATGTCTCTTTTTATGTCAAATGCAGGTTTCACTAAAGTTGTAAATAAAGTTGTAAACGGTTAATGCCCGAAACACGAGTACGGTGCTCCGAATGGGAGTCACTTTTACCGCTAGCCTAGATAATAAAATATATTAACTACGTGAAGTAAAAATTCAAAAATAATCGCTAAATGTGTAAAGGGGAGCGATTATCTCCGAAACTGCCTTTTAATATAGACTGCCTTCATTTCTGGATTTTAGGATATATTGTTTATACAAATAAGAAAGTACGTAATATCAAATCTTTTCATTGCAGTAGACTGTATCCACAACATGCATTGTACGTAGTTCTCCCCTTCGATTCTTATCGGTGTTTGTGTACCTACAACCAACAACGCAGTGAGTCCGGCGCGCTCAGCACTGTTTGTGACATTTCTTACTTAGTCGATCGTGTGCTTCGACGTGGTGTGCACGCGTTTACTTGTGTGGTGGTCTCTTCGTGGCGACTAATTGCGTTTCTTGTGATTTTATGTCGGTAGTTTAATTAGAATCGGTCAGCAAAGATATAATTTAGAATTGGGTTTACAAGATACGCACGTGTTTACCGCCGACTTGCGGATATCTTCCGTCGGCCAAAAATGCTTAGTGGTTTTGTTTCATGTATTCATTTAATAGTTAATTTAAATCAAGATATTTAAATAATATTTTACCTGCGAAAACGTAAGATAGTGTGTAACATAAATACTATATTATCATAATTTGATATATCAGGTGTTTGGCTACGTGAACTTTGAATTTTCTTTTTGTATCGTCCTGTATAATTTTCCCTTAACATTCAACTATAAACGGAAGAAGTTCCAGGTGGTTTTCTTTTTAAAACATTTTTTTGATGCCACCCTGAAATTTTGTAATTTGTTATCATGTTTATGTGCTTGTTTTAAAACTATCCGAAGAAACGCGTTATTGAAGTTTGGAGCGCCTGCAGCTCTTAGTTTGGCATATTGCGATATATTTGATGGATCATCACTCGGTTTCTTTCGTTTTAATGGTGCGGGAGTGGAATGTTTCTGAATCGCGATTTATCATCATTGTCTTCTCAAGTCGTGTCATTTTGGTGAACAAGGCGAGAATACCTACAGGTAATTTATTATTTAAATTTTGTAAAACTTCCCAAACATGCAGCTTACCTTTACCCACTTTTTCTTATAAATTGCTTTTTCATCACTTTGATTTTCTATTTAACTAGCTTATTTTATAGAGAATTTGACGTAAATTAAGAATTTTCAATTCGTTCCTCGCCATCGCATTTAGTTTACGAGATATTATATATATATACGGGATTTTGCACAGTTCGAGGCTAGCGGTAAAAGTGACTCGTGTTCAGGGCACCGTAGGGGTGACGGTAGAAGTGACTCGATTCAGGGCACCGTATGAGGCTAGCGGTAAAAGTGACTCGGGTTTAGAGCACCCTAGGGGGTGACGGTAGAAGTGACTCGTGTTCAGGACAACGTACCAAGGTAGCGGTAGAAGTAACTCGATTCAGGGCACCATATAATGGTTGCGGTAGAAGTGACTAGTATTCATAAAATTCAATTGTTTTAGCACCTTTTAGCCCAGGAACTTTAATTATTTTATATTTTTACCTGATGGAGAATTTTCTAAATTTTCATAATCATCGAGAAAAATGAATAAGCACCTCCCCTCCTTGCCCATTTTTTCTTAGGAATTAAAATTTCAACTCTTAGATTGCCATTTTAACTAGCCTATTTTATAGAGAGTAAAAGTAGATTTCGTGCATGTGTGTTATTGCAATATTGTAAATTTTTATTTTTTGCTTCTCAACTACGTTTCTCTTCTCAAGTACGTTTGTGTATAAACAACTTTTTGTACGACTGACGCGTATTATCGCTACGTACCTGCTATGTATCTGGCTACGAGCTGCGCATACGGCAGTCGCCTCACCGCGTGTTCCGCGAACGCGTCTCTCGAATCGCCACGCGTTTTCAGACTTCTATTATTCAATTAATCGTCATCTATTCTTTTTTTATCAGCAAGATATGTTTTTCTTATGAGTTGTGGCGGTTAAAGTGTTCTTAAGTAGGAATTAAGTGTTTGTTAATCTCTGCGCGAGTTTTCAGTTGATAAGATTTATTACTGGATCTAACATCTCTTCATCAAGACACTGGTAGGTGTGTAATCACTTTTTTTCGCTGTAAGTTAAGGCGGTTTAACTTAAATTGATTATTCCATTTGAGGCATATTAATTTTGCAGATTACATAGCATTTTTCTTAGAATTCATAGCCCCGTTATCGAAAATAACATGCTTGATTTAATTATTACAAATAATGTGTTAAAAACTTATCTTAGGATTATTAAGATCACAATATTCATGTGGTTGACCGCGCTCACTTTGCCGTCCACCGTCGGTTCGTTCTTCTTTTCGCTGAACATGTAAACGTTTTTAATCGAATTTCACTCCTAAGCACCATTAAATTAAAACGTTTCTTGTTCATCTAAAATCCAATACATTGAATCGTTTTTTGCTATCTTAGTCCGTATATCTTAATATTTTCAAAGAAATAGTTGTTTCGTTATAAATCTCCCCGTCATGATGTGAATATTGACCATATTTGTAGTTTTTAAAATTTTTTTTTTGTAACATCCTGTACGCAAAATTTTCCCAACAGTACGCACTAAATAGCCAATATTTGCGAGTTTTGAGCGTTCTTTGTTTTAATGCTTGGGATTTTCTTTCTGGAACACGCTGTATATTTACTTTTCTTTATGTCTGTGAAAATTTTGCTTCAGCTGTTGATTCAGGCCTTTCTTTTTTGCACTTCGAATTTTCTTTCTGTATCACCCTGTTTATTAGTTTTCCGGAGCATCGGTTGAAAACGAGCTATATTTGTAGTGTTTAAATGCTTTCCCCTTTGAACGTTGAATTTTCTATTTGTGACACACTGTATAATCGGTTTCCTTCACATCCCTGAAACTTTTGCTTTGACTTTTATTAGATTCTAACTACTGGCACTTAGTATTTTTTTTTGTAACACCCTGTAGCTTAGTTTCCCTTACATCGGGGAAAAACGAGCGATATTTGTAGTGTTTGAATGTTTTTCTGTTTGCACTTTCAATTTTCCTTTTGTAACACCCTGTATATTTGTTTCCATTTTCAATGACTTTGAAATTGTGCTATTTGCTAATTTCTTTATCCCGGTAGAACTGTAGGAAGTGGTACTTGTTTATATGTGCGCAGCTAAGCAGGTCGTAAGTCCTGTTTCAATATGGCGACATGTATTTTGTTGACTGGTAAAATCTAAACTTGTATTGTATCAAATTGTATTTGTTAATAAAAAAATGTTAAGAAAGATTTTGACTTATGGTTTGTATATACCTCTATCTATCATTTCAGGTACAGGTTTCGAAGAGAGTTCCCTCTCTCAGGGAATGATCCCCACTATAAAAATTGTTAAGGTATCCTGTATGATTTGTGTACTCCATCTTTCATTTCAGCAACAGGTCAGAACTTGTAAGAATATTTTTAAGTGTCACCTCTCTTGAGACGACTTAAAACTTAGAAATATTTGAACAAGACCTTATAAGGATTCTCCTTATAAGTAGTTCCCTCTCTCTGGGGATGATCCCCCACCATAAAAATTGTTGATATGCCTAAGAATCCTGGGGATGAAGCGTAGAGACATCGTAGCTGTAGGATGGGCCGGGAGCAATGGATGGATCGAAGAAGAGCGCCTCCGTCCTTAGACTGTCTAACGACACGTCGCCAAAAAATTTAAACTCCTGTTCTCTTTCTTCTATCTCCTCCTCTTCTCTTCTTCTCTTTTCTTTTCCTTCTACTTTTTCCTCTGTTCTACTACTCCTCCCTTCTTCTTCTATTTCTCTGTTCTCTGTTCATCTACTTACTTCCTTGCTTCTCATATTGCCTTCACTTGTATTACAATTTCTCTTATATTTCATTTGAGTTTACATAAGCAACCCAAATTACACCTGTTATTTTTATATTTGAGAAAAATACCTTCTATATCTGAGATTCGATCTGTGTCTACCAGCATGCTAACAGGGCACGTAGCCACTCGACCACCGAGTGTTTTTAATATTAATATTTGATTCTTATATTTACGTTTCTACTTCATTCAACTTTTTAAAATCAACACTACTCAACTATGTTGCACTAGCTCCACGCAATGTGCAATATACATAATACATAAGATGTCAATACTGAAAACGACAAAGAGGATACCATAAAGAAATATGGATAAGATTGTAATTTTATAATGAGTTTTATTGAGAACAATAACAAAGTTAAGTTAAAAACTTACCATAAAATACACGCATCTCCAACAACTCAGCTAATAGATATTGCATAATCCATTCGTGCACTCACAAACTTTTTGTCTGTGCATTAAAGTTGCCCATTTGCAGGAAATAATTATAAATCCAAGTTATTCCTATGGGCGAAACGATAACTGATTGCAAAAGGAAACGTGCGCACAGGTGAACCAAAAATTAATCCACGATTGATAAACAGCCACCACACTGGCCTGTTATTATGTCGTCCTATTCCAGTTCAATTTCAGAATTAAAATCTTTAGTAACGCAAACAATTGGCACGAAGTTTGATTAATGTACAAAACACGTGCACACCGCCCCACGGCGCACTAACGACTAAGCCGGACTAAACAAGAACGAGAATTGATAACCGACCCCACAGTGGGAGGGACAACAATATTTTAGTACACAAATTATCTGCTGTAAATAACAGAAAGTATGTGATTTTAATCAATTAAATTACCTTACTTTTAATTTATTTTTGTAGGTTGCGCGCGCTTATCTCACAAATTATAGATGAAAGTGATACGAGTTTCAAAACTTAGACGAGCGCAAAATACAAAAAAGGCATTTTCATAGAGTTCCCAAAGAATAAACCCACAAATTATATACGAAAAGGATAGGGAATATTAATACCTACAAATTAGGGTAACAACGGTTGTCCTACGACATCGCGTTCGCCCGTTAGACACCTAAAGCCACAAAAATTAGAGGATCAAAAAATACAAAAAGGGCATTTTCATAGGGTTCCCAAAGAATAAACCCACGAAGTATATACAAAAACGATAGAGAACTTTAATACCTACAATTTGGTAACAGAACGGTGGTCCTACGGCATCGTCTTCGCCCGCTAGACACCTAAAACCACAAAAATTAAAGGATAAAAAAATACAAACAGGGCATTTTCATAGGGTTCCCAAGGAATAAGCCCACAAAGTATATACAAAAACGATTGAGAAATTTAATACCTACAATTTGGTAACAGAAGGGTGGTCCTACGACATCATGTTCGCCCGCTAGACACCTAAAACCACAACAATTAAAGGATACAAAAACACAAAAGGGCATTTTCGTAGAATTCCCAAGGGACAACCCACAAATGATATACAAAAACGATAGAAAATTTTAATACCTACAATTTAGTGTAAGAACGACGGCCCAACGACATCGCGTCCGCCCGCTAGACACCTAAAACCACAACAATTACAGGATCAAAAAACACAAAAATTGCATTTTCGTAGAATTCCCAATGGACAAACCCACAAATTATATACAAAAACGATAGAAAATTTTAATACCTACAATTTAGTGTAAGAACGGTGGCCTTACGACATCGCGTTCACCCGTTAGACACCTAAAACCACAAAAATTAGAGGATAGAAAAACACAAAAAGGGCATTTTCAAAGGGTTCTCAAGGGTTAAACCCACAAATTATAATCGAAAACAAGCAAAAATTAGTCCAAACATAAAAATGCAATTTTGGGGGTCAATTTGTGAGATAATAACAAATTTTATTGAGGCAAATGATAAAGAAATTAAATACTTACAATATAATGCAAGAATGGTCCTTTTACGATGTCAGACTCACGTACAAAATCCCTAAAACAGGCAAATATTAGTCTTTCGAACATAAAAATGCCATTTAAAGGGTCAACTTGTGAGATAATCATAAAAATTACTTAGCAAGATGATAAACAAATTAAATGCTTACAATCTGATGCAGGAATGGTCCTTGTATGATGTCAGACTCAGGTGCAAAATCCTTAAAACAAGCAAAAATTAGTCTTTCAAACATAAAAATTCAATTTTTGTCACTAAATAATGACCAAGTCACAAAAGTTATTACTGAAGATGATAAAGAAATTAAATACTTACAATCTGATGCAAAAATGGTCCTTCTACGATGCCGGACTAACCTGCAAAATCCTTAAAACAAGTAAAAATTAATCCTTCGAAGCATAAAAATGCAATTATAAGGGTCTATTTGTGAGATAATCATAAAAGTTATTTAGCAAGATGATAAAAAAAGTTAATACTTACAATCTGATGCATAAATGGTTCTCCTACGCTGTCGAGCTCAGGTATAAAATCCCCAAAATAAGCAAAAATTAGTCCTACGAAACACAAAAAGCTCCTAAAAACAAACACAAACAATAAAGGTGATGTATGAAAATGATAAGAATTTGAATACTAAATGGTGCATCTTTGGCAATATGACATGGTCCATTTCAGCAGCTGATCCTAAACCAAACAAATATCATTGTCTCAAATCAAACATTTGCCATCATTATATTTCAAAGGATCTTTGACTGATCACCTGTAAATGAAAATATTTCAAAAATATAATTTCAATAAAAAAATGTGTACTTTCCAAATGCATTTTTGAAGTTATTTTAATTAATAAATTTTTGCTATATGGTTAATAATAACAACAACACATGTGTAAATATTTTAATTACTAGACAACACAGTTAATTGTAAGTGCTTTCATATATCTAGGCAGTCAATTAATATAAATCAATTGCCACATTAAATAGCAAGTGAATAGTTCATGAACATTTCTTTAAGTTCTTGGCGTTCTTCTTCACTCATAGTCACTGCTGCTTTGTGATATTCATCCATTTGATATCTTTTAATGAAGAGCAGACATTGTTTCACACATGCACCAGTGTACAAAGTTGAAATACTAATATTAGCAGTCTCTTTATTGTTAATAGATGCAGTTCGAACCATTGGCAAAGCACTTGCCAATAACCTATGGGTTCCTCTTCTGGCACGAATCACCACTAAACCAGTGTGTTTATTGATGTACTTTACACACAAGCCATTGTGTACTGCGGCATCACCAAACACACCATGTAAATATCGCACTGTGTTGCTTATTGATAAATAGACGCATTTTTCATCCAATTTGGCAGGTTTATTATTATCTGTGTCTGTTACAAGCACTACTAGATATCTAAGTACAAGGAAAACAAAGTACATATAGATATACAGAATACTATAATAGAAATCATACCTGTGCTTAAGTCGAACCATGATCTATATTCAATTTGCATACACACTCTTTGCTATGTAATTAGTTTGTAACACTACTTACGCGATTTACTACAATATTTTGATAACATTCTAGGTTAGTAGTTAGTTAAAGTGTGTTGTAAACAAGTAGGCACATGGTTTTTCAAACTTCCATTCGCATTAGTTAAGAAACAAACCAGAACTTGATTTCAGCGCCATCTATGTACGAATACCACAAACATACTAAACACTAACCAGATATTCTGCAGTTTTCTACCTGTTTAATAACATTTATTTAAAATTGTACCTGAATTGAATATCATTTGTTTTTAGTATACATTTTTACTGACGATGCCCTCGTGGTAAAACTCAAAATGAAATGTAATTCAATTTTAAATAAATATAATACTATGAACTACGTATTCCAGGAAGAAGATAAACGATGTAATAATGTTGTTAGATTATTCCGCAAAAGTTTTATACTTCTACCAGGCTTTTAATCAAATATACGTCGTATCTACGCTAAATAAAATTACAAAGTCGTTGAAAATGGGCCTCTTCTACATCAAAAATCACGAATATCTTCGATTCTTAATACAATTTCCTATTATAAATTAATTCTTGGCTACCAAGTGTACCCCTAAAGCACCCATAAATATAAATTAACGTAAAACAAGTATTAAACAATTGCATTGCATAATTTAAGCGTCAATAACCGTAAAATACGCACGACGTCTGAAGTAAAAGATAAAAAATGTATTAAAAAGTATTAATGTGCATACAGCGTGCCCAGATTAAAAAAAAACATTTTTGAATCATTTATTTCTATTTACCTTTCACTTTCACACATAAATCATTACTAAATTTTATCGCATTTCTCAAGTATTTACAACTTTTCAAAAGTGTGAAACTAACATAAACGCTGCGAGACTGGTAAAGTTTAACTTGCACTCTGTATGATATAATTGCACGTCGTACACATGCGACTCTATGACACGATATGAATAACTAGTTTATCGCCCGGCTTAAGGTCAGGATTTCGTTTCATAACATTCGTAAGTCAGCGCGACGATGGAATTATCGCTGCTTAAGTCGTGCTAACTTGTTCCACATTCGTTCGACAATCTTTGTTGAATGCACAACTCACAACAAGAAAGTTTAGTAATAGTTTAAAAGAAGTGAAACTAGTTAATCACAATGAATTATTTCATTGGAGTAGACGTAGGAACAACAAGCGCACGCGCGGCGCTTGTTTCCGAATCAGGAAAAGTCGTTAAAGTCGCCACAAAAAATATACAAATATTTAACTACAATGTGGATTTCTATGAACAATCATCAGAAGATGTGTGGAATGCATGCCTGTATTGCATTAAAGTAAGTTATTGCGTTATAAATATTTAATTACAATTATATTAATAATTATAACAATAGGAAGTGATTAAAAATGTCCCACCAGAAACAATCAAAGGAATTGGATTCGACGCAACATGTTCATTGGTTGTTGTCGATAAAAATGGCGATCCTCTATCAGTCAGTCAATCAGGTAAATAAGCAAATAATCTATCAACAAGTGGAGATTGCAATAAAATTGATTTTATGTTTCAGGAAATAATGACCAAAACATAATTATGTGGTTGGATCATCGCGCATCAAAGGAAGCCGATGAAATAACAGCCCAACAACATGATATTTTACGATTTGTTGGCGGTAAGATATCGTTAGAAATGGAAACACCAAAATTAAAGTGGTTGAAAACCAATTTACCAAAAACATGGTCAAACGCTGGGTATTTCTTTGATTTGCCTGATTATCTAACATGGAGGGCGACATCTTGTGATTCACGGTAAAATTTTAAGGTTAATTATCATTAATAAATGTCATTATTAATTTACTCTTAATAGATCGTTATGTTCATTGGTTTGTAAATGGACTTACGAAATTCTCGATGCAAACAATAATACCTCACAATGGAACCCTTCCTACTTTAAACAAACATGCCTTGAAGATCTTTTGCAAAATGGCGGACATAAAATCGGAAAAGTGGTGAAGTCTCCAGGAGAATCTGTGGGAAATGGCTTACATCCATTAGTTGCTGCAGAATTAGATTTAGTTCCACACATGCCTGTTGGTGCAAGTATAATCGATGCACATTCTGGTGGATTGGGATTGATCGGATGTCAAGTAGATGGCGTTGATGCAGACTTTTCTAGCAGACTAAGTATACATAACCAAATCAAGCAACGTGCAAAATTTAAATAATATTTTTTAAGGTTTAATTTGTGGCACATCAACATGTCACATGGCTGTCTCGAAAGACGCTTTGCCAACACCAGGAATCTGGGGACCATATTATAGTGCAATGGTTCCAGGAATGTGGTTAAATGAAGCCGGGCAGAGCGTTACAGGAAAACTAATTGATTTTATAATTGATAGTCATCCAGCTAGCAATGAAATTAAGGCTCGAATTGGTGACATGTAAACTTTTAAAATGCCGAAAAATTAAGAAAACTAAAGATAATTTGTGTTATAGGCACATTCAAGAATATCTAACCAAACTTTTACGTACGATTAGCACACGTGAAAAAGTTCCGGTTGATTTTCTAACTAAAGAAGTACATGTTTGGCCGGATTTCCATGGAAATCGTTCACCAATAGCAGATCCAACTCTTAAAGGAATGGTTTGTTATTAAAATTAATTAAAGTAATATTTAACCTAAATAAAAATAATCCATTGTAGATTTCCGGCTTGACTTTATCGTCAACTGAAGAAAACCTCGCAATTTTATATTTGGCCACTGTTCAAGCACTTTGCGTAAGTTTTAAAACAAATTTTAAGGGGTTCATAATATCATAACCTAAATTTTAGTATGGTACGCGTCATATAATGGAGACATTAGTCACTTCCGGTTATAAACCCTTTAAATCCATATTAATTTGTGGTGGATTAAGTAAAAACCCACTATACGTACAAATGCAAGCAAATACTGTGCACTTACCGGTAGTAGTGCCGGAAGAAGTAGAGTCAGTACTCCTAGGAGCCGCCATCTTGGGAGCCTGTGCTGCCGGCCATTTTGAGAATATGTTCGAAGCCATTTCACGTATGGGTGGACGAGGAAAATCAATATCACCAGAAGATTCAACTCGTAACTATCATGATAAAAAATACAGGGTGTATAAGAAAATGTTAGAAGATCAACTTGCTTATAGAAACATTATGAATGAATAATATTAAACAAGTTTTTGTACATGTTAAACATTATACCAATAAATAGTTAATTATTATTTTGATTTACGATGGCATAAGGAAGCTATAACTTTAGCATGTTTTGACAATTAACATAATTAATGGCCGTTTAAGCGAACCTGCAATTACACACATTGGGACAGTTAAACGACTTGGCGACTCAATGCGACAAGAAAAAAATCCAATTACAGTTAGATGCCTCAAGAGGCGTTTACCTCGCATCGTCTTGCGTCTTCGCATTCGTATTCCGAAAACTGGAAACGTTCGCAACGTCGTGAATGTCGTGCGAGTGCGTTTCATGCGCTCAGTCCTCGGACACAACTCGATCCAAACACTCCACCAAACAAAATGGCGACGCGTCAATTTGCGAAAATACAATTAACTTTATTATTAACAGTGTGCGTGGGCACGTTTATAACATTAACGAGCGCATCAGATGTTGATTCAATGACCGTCAACAATGTACCTCACCCAGTGCATCATGGGAGTTTTCAAAATGGCGTCGTGAGTTCATCAACGGTTACAATTTTGACAGAAAATGAAGAACGTAAATGTGGTAAACACTGCACATCATATGATAAAGACAGTGAAGATTCAGATGATGACAGTGTCATTGACGACGATGAGCGCTACCAAGATGGCGAAGAAGATGACAACGATGACGATGATGATTTAGACGAGGATAATGGCATCGATTTCGTCGATCAACGGCAAAATGGTACAGAAAACTACAGAATTAAAGTGAGTGGTTTGTTATTAATTATAACACCACCGGAAATGCCAATGCCAACGCCAACGCCATCTTCCACTGAAGCACCGCCATTAACACCGCCTACACCACCATCAAATCAAACTAATACAACATCATGGAGCGGTGTTAAAAAGCGATTTAACGTGCGTCGGCACGATCAGAGCTTCCTTGACCAACAGAAACGCAAACTGTGAGTTTGAAATAAAACATTTTGATTAGTTTTGTTAGACGTTTGACGTTTATCGTTGTTTGTTTGCAGAACGCGGTATCAAGCGAGGATTCCACAGTTTATTATGGCGCTTCTGCGAAATCGACACGCCGCCCAAGCTCATTAAATTTATGCACGCACGCGACGGCCATATTGTACACAATGTGTTTTAATTTAAAATTTATTTTAATTAATTTAGCAAGAAATAGTTTATAGGTCCGCAGATTAATAGTGTAATTAAGTATTTTTATACAGTGTGCCCAAGTCACATACAAAGTGTTCAAAATATTTAAAAAAAATCAGTTTATTTAAAGAAATACAACAACAACCACAATTTATAAAAATCACAAGTAAAATAATAAATACTGAGTATCTGATAAAATAAATAAATCCTCATTTGAATGTCCTCAGCATGTTCTGCATTTAAACGTGTGCCAGAAATATGCACACTCCATTATCGTCTCTTGCGTATCCCGGTCCGCACTCTTCATCATGTTCAGCACCCAAAAGAAGCAATTTCAGTTTGGGTTCAGCAGGTTTGTCCTTTCCCTTGACAAGACCAACCTTTTTCTTCGTTTCCTTTGATTCGGTTCGAATGGTATCCTTTGACTTTTCGATTCTTTTATTGTCGATTTTTACCAAATCTTCTTCAACTTCCAAGGGCATAGAAAGAACAAATCCTTTTGAAAGTCTTAACATACGCCCTTGACGTGTTCCGTCTTCGTTGTGTTCAACTCCAGCATCTTCTTCTTCAGCGGCTTTGATCAAAGATAAATTCGGTGACACTAAGAGTTCCTCCTGTCCGCCATCTTGAGTTTTCGGATGTAACTTAGCCAAATTTTTTCTGGATTTGGTAATGTCCACGTGGTACGGAGCTGTTTTAGATTCAATAAAGGATTGTGTATCGTCCAAAGCATCTACCTCGCCGCTATCTTCCAATAAAGATGGCGTCGGTTGAACTGGTCTACGCACGGTTTTTTGACGTTTGTTGTTGGACCTCATAGGAATCGCCTTTGATAATAAATCAAGAAGACCCAGCGTTGATGGAGAAGCCCCCGCATTCGTAGGAATTACAAGGATAACAAAATTTTCCAGATCAGCACGCACGTTGAGATCTCCTTCCTGTCGTTGATCGTATTTCACTCTCGAGGGGGCGCTGTGTGACAACGCCACAAAACACACGAAACAAACAACTAACGATGGGATAATCATTCGATTAACACCCATTTTGTTTCTTTGATATTTACTTGTCACTTGTTTTCAAATCGAGTGCAAAGTTGATGTTTACCGATCGACGGATAAAATCGAACTAAAAGTCGAAGTGTTGTCGCTGTGACCCTGCCGCGAGCCGGCCTTTTGTGCGATCCGCCACGAATAAACGAATTAACTGTTATAATCTCGGACTTCCCGTGCTCGAAACGAATCTTGTGCCTGCTTCGCGCACTCTCTTGTAAGATAAAGCGAGCGTCGCGTAACGGCATATCGGCGATTTTTTTCCCTCACGTGCAAAATGAAAACGCAAAACGCTTCAATTAATGAAGTTATAAAAAGTGAAGAGGGCGCCTCATTCACTATCAAATAATAAACCGACATTAAAATTGTCTGATTTAAAACGGTTTATAATTGTTAAGATTATTTAATTTTAGCGCTTATATCAATGATTACTTAGCAAACATATCGTTTTTAACGCAGGAAATCGTTTCGAAACCAACGGTTTATTTTTTAAGCGCATGTGAAGATTCGTAAATGTTTGTCATCTTTTTTTGTCGATAATTTTCGACGAATTCGTGTTTCATGTCGTCGTAAAGTCAATTAATTAGTGAATCTTGAATATTTATCTCACGATCGAGCGTTGGTATAATCTCATGCATGCGAGTGACTTGCCGTTTTCATTCATTCCTTCATCGAATTCAAAATGGCGGCGTGTTATTTCAGTTCGAAGACCTATAGCGGTGAATTTTAATCATTGAAATTAATTTCGACTTTTAATTATTTAAAAATCTGCTTTAATAATTTTAATTTTGTGTAAAGAATTTTCAAAATCAGAGTCAATTACAAAAGTTAAAAATAAAGAGAAAAAAAGATGAAAACGTTCAATTGAAAATAATCAAATTTTCCGTGAACAAGGCGCTTTATCTATAAATATACAATATGCTTACATTGTAAACCGGTAATATTTATAGCTAACCGTTTATACAACTTCATTCAGCAACATGTAAATTATGTTGCATAACAAGTTTGCAAAAACTACAATAAAGCAAAATTTTCCTAAAGAAGTGAACTTCCTGAACATAACACATGTCCAGATAGAAATAAAAAGGTGTGTAGAGGTGACTCCACTTGACGACGAGTTGATGGGCAGAATTAATCGTCGCTCACTTGCGAGCCGACTTGTTGACTCCCGAGCCAAAGCCCGAAGTCATCGACTTTGACTCTTTTAGCACTCTGGACGTTCGACGGGTCTTCACACACATCTCGATGGTCGATGCGATCAGTGCGTCTTCGACGGTCAGTTAAGAAACATCGACATTGACGCACATCGTAATAATTTAAAATTTATTCACATAAATAAACTTTAAGCAATTAAAATACAACTAAAATGAACGAAGTACAAAAGTTGTTCATAGCTGCAATTTGCGCATGCGCGCTAGCGGAAACACGAAGTGCGCCAAGGCGCAGTGCGTCCACAACTTTCGATCAGAAACAAACCGGCGAGTACAATATTCAGCTACATTTGAAAGATTTTCAAATTATAGCTGTGGTCGGTGACGATTCATTTGGAGGTTTGGGTGTAAGTAAATCAAGTAATTCCTAACCACAAAATAATGACAATTTATTTTATGTTGTAGGATTATGACTACAACTACGATTATTCCGATTTTACGGTAAAACCGAGCACATCATCTAGTACAACAACTAAGAAACCATCCACTTCGGATTCAACACAAAATGGCGACCTATCGTCTGTTGACTTTTCAATCCTGGACCTAACCTCAAAACCAACCACAAAAAAACCAGCCGGAACACATCCCTATCCAATTATTTCACCTTCAACAACCCTTAAACCACTTTTAACCACGCCAACGACAACTACCACAACGAAAAAAACAGTTGCAGACGATACAAGCACCCATACACTAGTATCTAAACTCCCTCTACCGTCTGTAAATGGAAACACGCCGCCTACAATGGTGGAACATGAAGTTGTCTCGGAAAATATCGAGAAAGTAAGTACGGCCGCCCCATCAACAGTTAAAATCATAACTTCACCACCCATTACAACCACAACGGCTGCGTTGACGACAATTAAAAAAGTTTCCGTCACAACCACCCGAGCAACAACTGTCAAACCAATAGTGTCCATTCCAGGACAAATTCCGGTTGTAGTGCAGGATTTTTCAATCGTGCGAAATGAAACGCCGATTGTGAAAGATAAGAACCCAGAAAGCACAAATATAAAAGATAAGAAAGGCGATGTTGTTACAAGTGTAACAATCGTACCATTGGAAGATGCCAATGACGGTAATTTGGGAGAGGTCGCTGTCAACGAGCAGCCGACACTCGGCGAAATCCTGCATTATCGGCGCTGCGCTCAGGGCTACCAACGTGACAAGCGCGGCCGCTGCAGGAAAGTCCGCAGGCCACAAATTTCGTAAGGAGTGCTCCATTATTCACACTAACCAAATTTTAACTCAACCACAAACACACTGTATGTTTGTTACGAATTTTAAATTGCCTTGTGTTGTGTTTGAGTTAAGAGTTTACGCATTTTACATCATAAATCTACACATTCACGTACCCGTTTGCAATCAAATATTTGCGAGGACTGACGTTTGTTTATCTTTCGCTTCCTTCAAACAGAATGGGACTGACTAGGTTCGCATCGAACTTTGCCTCACGATTCCGGCAGGCTGGAAACCCATCAAGCGACGAACTTCGTGACGACACGGCGGTGTAATCATCTCAATGCCATATTGTCTGCCTTTAACTGTAGCACGTAGTATTTATTTTGTTTGGCGTAGCAAACGTAGTGAGGACTCGACACACGCACACTGTACTTATCTAAAATAAGAAGTATTTGCGTGTTTCATTGGTTTTCATTGATTTAAGTTTAAAAAATAACAAAGAAACAAATAAAATAAAAACAATTTTTCAAATATCTAAGAAATATTGTAATATTTAATTTAAAATTATGATTTTCGCGTGTAATCTTTAATTTATAACTCACGGTTTGTTATTTATATTCTGCTTGCGTGCATTTTGGGTTGCCTATAGTGTAACCCAGTTCCGATGGCGCACTTTACTACTTCACAGCTGTCAGGATGATGTGGCTTTCGTGACTTGAAACTCGCGAGTTTGTTTGTCAATGCGCTGCGACGATGAAAAGATGAACGTGAAAATTTCCTTCCTCCTCGTCGCGCTCGCCGTGTGCACGTCCACGGAGGCGGCCGTCTCCAGCAAGCGAAGATGCGTCGACGAAAACTGTACAGGTACGACTACATCCACGAAACAATTGGCTCTCTAACAAACTAGGAAAAACAAAAGACACTTAGAATACAACCAAATCATCACAAATCCTAACTTAAACAAACTTAATCTTCTCCTAATCACAATCATGATTCATCACAATTAATTCAAAATTATTTTCATGCTTAAATTTGATAAAATTCGCTTATTTTACCTGCTAAAGACTCCAGATGTTTCTAGGTTATTCATTTACATTCGGTTTTAGTGCCAATTTCGTTGGGTAGAACGCTCATTTCATATGCCGCCCCCGAGCCCGGCATGCTTTCGTTCCGACCCGGTGAAGAGGTGAAGATTTTCAGCAAGGAAGCTGGCAGTAATCTGGATTTGTGGGGTGTGGAGTTGAGAGGCAAAAGGGGTTACATACCAAAGACTATGGTGAAAGAAATGAAAATGTTTAACCATAAAGCAGAGATTGTGGTGGATACTGAGTTCAAACCAGCACCAGCAGTGCCTTCTAGCAATAATTCAGACTCAGAGAAGATTATCATTGATGGAACCACATTGTACAATGATATCTCACCTAGTGCCACTCAAGATACACATCATCAGCAACAACAGTCAACATCAGTGCCTGTTTTATCAGAAAATGTAAAGCAAGAAATAAATGAAATTCTCACTGAAAACATTGGTGAAAAAACATCACAGGAAACTGTTTTGCCAGAAAAGCAAGAAGCAAATGATTTAAAGGAATCAACAACACAGGAAAAGGAAGCAATTGATAATAAACAAAATGAAAAAGAAGAATTGGCTGATGATGAAGATGATGATGAGGATGATGATGATGGATTTGATATTGAGAGTGAAGATGATGAAGAAGATGAAAATGATGATGATTTAAAAGATATTGAAGTGGAGCTTAATAAACCAAAAGATGTTAATATTGAAACAAAAGTTGATGATGAGCCAAAAACAATTGAACAGCCAGAAATTGAAATTAAAGGCGAACCTGGTGTATTACCGGTAACGGAAGCACCGCCTATTCAAAATCAACCACCACCGCCTCCTCCGACTAAACTTCCATTGTTTTTCCGCCAAGCAAATGTTCCTGTAAAAGATCCGGGCATGCCTGCATCTGGTACACCTTCTACAACCACAGAAGAGGTGATTAATGTCGAATCAACTCCTGATATTCATGAAGATCAAATCAAAAATGATGAAAATCAATCTTTAAATTCTGTTAACACTGATTCGACTGAAAGTGAAGTTAAAATCGAAGAAGAACACGTTAAAGAAGTCGAAAACACTCTTTCTAATGAAGAACAACCTGTTGAAAGTATCGCTATAGGTCCACCATTAGTCGATAACAGTGTAAATGACAGTAGTGAGTTTAAATCTGAGTTTGCTGACACATACGAACCAATTGCTGCTAGTGCGGAAGAAAATCCAGATGTTAATTTGGATGCACCACCACAAATACCAGATCCTCCGCCTGTAGATGCCTTCGAAAATTTACCAGCACAAGAAGTAGCAGAGAATTCGCAGGAAAAATCTTCATCAAACGAAAATGCAGATACAGAACAGCCTGCTCCAACAGAAGAATCAAGTTACTTTGGAGGCTACTTCTCCAAATCGGAAGTCGCGGATGAACCGGAAGTTACAACACCAATACCTGTTGAGGAAGAAACGCTTACGAAAACGAACGCTTACACCACGACCGAACCAGAAACGATAAGTATTGAAGACGAACGGAAACCGAATGTAGACGAATCCGAAACAGTTGAAGCGATAACTGAAGCTGTTACCGAACAGCCGTCATCTTGGAGTTATGGTAATGTAGATTCTTCCACTGAAAATTCAGCTGATATAGGATTCGCAGGAAGTGTCGTTGATACCAGTTATGATCAGATTAATATTGAGCAAAAAGAAAGCGAAACAACCACAAATTATGGGACAAATACTGAAACAAATGAAGAATCTGAAGGAAACTGGTTTGACTCACTGTTGGGTATGTTTGCTGCACCCAAACAAGAACCGTCTATTTATGCAGACGACACTCCAAAATACACGGAAAGCAAATATGAAGAAGTCAATGATGATGTTTTACTTTCACAATATGCTAGTAAGTATACATAACCTTTCAACTTACGCACGAAATTTTGAGGTTACATTTACTTTGCTTTCGTTCGTTCATTAGCTAGGTTCTATTTATATCTTCTCATGATGTCAAGGTGCCAGCTCCACTATTTTTACGATGTTACTTTGTTTTCGAATTCGCAGGTCACAACAATCGCGACAGTTGCCCAGCCGACGATGTACACTGTCAGTCTGAAACTTCACACGCAGACCATTATTCGGCCGAAACCACCTACACTGAAGAATCCAGCATGGCGTCCATGTTAGACATGTTTGAATTCAACGACACGCTGATGATTGTCGCTATTTCCGGCGCATGCGTTGTACTCTTTCTCTGGGGTTACATGCTGATTGAAAAAATGCGCAAAGAAGGACCTCTTGTCGGTAAAATAAATCATTTAGAACATCAGTTGCTTATTCTAGCGAAAGAAAATGAAGTTCTGAGTCATAAAGCAGAAGATGCGAAGAACTCACAGCAGGAAATTAATGAAAATGTGTCAAGTGAAATGGTCGTAGAGCTACAGAATCAGTTAGAAGAAGCTAATAACGCTCGATATGCACTAGAAGAACAATTGGAGTCGTTAGAAAAAGAATTAGAGAATTCCACAGAAGTGGGTTTAGAATTAAACAAGATGTTATCGGATGTGTTAAGTTCACAAAATGGAAGTGATACTGTGATGGCAAATATAGAACAACTACAAAAACAATTAGTTGAACAACAATCTACTATCAACAGTGTTAATGATAAATTAAACGAGAAAGATACAGAAAATCATGAGTTGCAACTTGAGTTGGAAATCAACAATAAAAAAGTAGTTGATTTACAAGCTGAGCTGGAAAAAATGATGCTGAATCTGCTCAAAGCGGAAGAAGAGAAAGAAATTTCAGTGAGTAAAACTGAAGCTGAAGCTTTATCACTTAGGGAAGCTCTGACTAAAGTCAAAGCAACTAGCAATGCTGAAATTGCACAGCTTACTAAGCAGTTATTAGAAGTTAAGTCACACGCGGATGAAGCGCAGCGCAACTTTGAACTTAAAGCCAAAGAGTATAACCTACTCAAAGAAGGACTGAGCGAAACAGATTCAAATAAGAATGTTGTGGAGCACAGCACGTTAAAGGCGGAGCTGTTGCAACTGCAACAGGACAATAAAAATCTGGCGGAGAGATTAGGCCACGAACAGATTATCGGGAAGAATTTCCAGAGTGAAGTTTTGCATTTAGGTGAGGAGAAGGTGGCCCTCAAGAAGCAGTACGAAGAAGCGGATAAGGAGAAATTAGAAGCGTTGACTAAACTAGAAGTATTGAGTTCATATTTTAAAGAGAAGGAAGCAGAGCTTCAGCGTGAACTTGCTAAGCACGAGGCGATGTGGAGTGAGAATCAAGGAGAAAGCACCACAACTTCAGAACGGATGAAGTTTATGCAAGCAGAAATACAAAATTTCAAGTGAGTTCAATTAAATTATTGTTTTTTGAGTCAAGGGAATTAACTTAAGACACTTTTGTTCCTCAGGACGCAGGTAGCTTCACTTCAACAAGAAATAGTTTCTCAAGAGGTTGATCTCAAGAGTCAGATTTCTGTGTTGGAGAAAAAGGCTCATGAAAATTGGGTCGCTGCTCGACAAGCAGAGCGTAGAATTGAGGATGCTCGCCAGGAGGCAGCGCAACTGCGCAATAGACTAACACTACGAGAACGTGGACTTATCGAAGAAAAATCACAGAATCGCAACGGTAAGTCAAGTATTTTTAGAGTGGTGATTTGAAATAAGGAAATATGTTTTTTCTTGAATGAACAGGAATGTCTCCCCTTGAAACAAACGGTGTCGACCATCACCTCAACGACACCGCCTCCCCGCCCCTCTTATTCGGTGCACGCGAGCACATGACTACATCGCCACCACTCTTGCCCGGCTTACCTCCTGGTTTTCCTATGCCGCCTCCGCCGGGTGTGGGCGTCCCGCCGTTCCTCCCGCCTTTTATGCCTGGCATGCCGCCGCCGCCTGGAGTGTTCCCGGGTGATCATCGTCCTCCGCCGCTTGGACGCATGTCGTCGCCGCCACTGAATAGTCGATACACACCCGACTCGCGACCTTTCTCGCCGTACGACCGGCGCTCACCGTCACCGACTGACGATGATTATTACGACCGCGATGATCGAGACTATTACAACCATCGGCCTAAACGAAACAATGGCCGACGAAGTAAGTATCAAGTAACATTTGTCGACGATGTCAACTGACAAACTTGAAAGTATTCAAAGTGTCATGACTGCAGAGGGCGTCGTTGTCGTTGTTGTTGTAGCATGCAGTTTTGTGCTGTACTAACTTTATTTTCCTTGCGTCTTGCGTTTTGTGATTTTCAGGTGGCTATAGCACCGGCTCGAACTCGAACGAGTCGCTAGAAAAACTGGATCGGTCGCGCTCGCATTCGAAGGTCTAGCGATTTGTCGCTTGCTGTTTCTATCCGTAGATTCGACCGAAAAAAAGGAAACCAACACCGGAACCACGAACGGACTAATGATGCGCATGCGCAATTTTATATCTAGAACAATGCGTGTGGACTTTGACGCCATTGCTGTGAATCTAACTTAATCTAACAAAACAAATCGAACTTGTGCGAAATTTGATTTTCCAGACATGTAAACGTTTTTAAACACGTGTATTGTTTGTATGCTAGTTTTGTGCTTTATTTAATTCATTGTTTTGTTTGGGTGTTTGACAGGTGACAGCCGGAAGTAGAATGGCGCATGTTAAGATGGCGTGAATCTGATTTTGTATGATTGTGTGTATGTTTATCTGCAGCATTTGTTTGGCGCGTTTTGTTCTTGTTTGTGTTGATTAACACCAATGGTGCCGTATCAACTCAAGAAAAGTCTCAAAGCGTGAAACTTTACTATTACTGATTCATTCAAGACGCAAAACATTGTACATATAATACTTGTACAAAATGAAAAACAATAAATTGTATATTATCTATAAAAATTGTGTTTTTATTTATTGTGTGAAACTCACCTATTTTTGACACCTGCCATCTCACAACCCAAATGGAGAGGAATAAAAACACGACTGCACTCACAAACGACTTAGGCACTACTGAGCGCGCTGCCTTTCTATATCTACAAGTAACCCTGATATCGTGGTGGGGGGAAACTAATGCGCACCCATTTCACCACTGCTTGAGTCTTCTAGAAGTCCAGGTACAGGCTTCTGACTTCCCCCTATGACTCCAATGATCTCATTTGATGCTCCTTTATTTATAAAAATGTTTTCCTCATTTCTATGGTAACCATGACAAATATAAAGACCGTTTGAAATTTTTGTCTCATCAGGTTGTTTTGTGAATATGGTATGGTAGGATTAAGATGCTGGAAATTGTGTTAAAATTCTTCGCAGACGCGCGATAGATCGAGCGCCCACACCCACGCAAGCTTAAACATTGAGAGCAAAACATGTGATGGATATAGTCGAAATAAAAGGGGTTAATCCAAAGATGCTGGCAGGGAGCGCCAGCAGCATAACCAATACGACCGCCGATCCCCAGAAAACCAACATGGCGACGGCGGTCGTGGATGAAACCAAATTGCGCCGGAAGAATAACCAAGCTTACTGCGAGTTTGACATCGTGGCCGCTTACCACGCGCGCAAGAAGCAGCGATCCAGCAAGAACAAACACGTTAATAAGGATCAACACTCCAAGGATCATTCGAAAGCCAAAAAGGGGGAGAAGGTAGAAAAGTCTGAGTTGAGTAAAAAGATTGATGATCTCACGGCACGTAATGAGAAAATTAAGCAGATGTTGGATGATGTTAATAAACAAGATCAGGAACTTTCAGAAAACATTAAAACTGAAAAGAGACATCGTCGTGAACATAAAAGTCGGAGATCCACGCGATGTTGTCCGGGACAAGAGAAACATTCAATTATTAGTGATAAAATTGATAAATCTAAACATAGTAGAGAAAAGAACGATTCACGACTGCGGGAAACAAGTGAAACACAAGAACTTTCTTCAGCTAAACACCGTAGTCGACGAGAACATAGCGAAGGGGTCTCAAGTCGTACTCCAAAAATTACAGTAAGACTCAGAAACAACAATAATAAAGAATCAAAACGTACTGAAAATAAAGAGGAGATTAATATAAATGTCCCCGAATCTAAATCACAATTACTCACAGTGACTAACTATCAGCAGAAACAGAAATCTTTAGATCGGAAAACAAAAGAAAAACAAATCAAAGAAAACAAAAATGATATTATTACAGTTTACGAAAATACTAATATCTTAGAAGAAACTGATTCGATAATGTCAAGGGACACCTTATTAAAGAGTAAAACTCACATTAGAAACACAAGTTTCTCACCCGAAGATAGTAGAAGGCATAACGCAGCCGCCATTTTGGAATGTCACACGCCTAATCCACAAAAAATTATTGAACCACAAGAGCAGGAAGCAAAAAAGGTTACAACTGCATTTCAACCTAAAATAAAAGATGTACCAGTTGTAGAACCAGAACCTCCAAGGGAGATTTCCCCGATAAGAACCATCACTCCAAGAAAAGAGTTGTCATTCTCAAATTTAAATTTGACACCAAATATTTACCAATATGTGAGTCCAGCAAGAATGGCCATGACACAAACATCAGTTTCACGAATTGAGTCACCTGGTTATGGCTCCATTGGAATAGGAGTACATTCTTCATATTTTGATGATCATAAAAGACCTGGTACATATAGTAATTATTCTAAGCGTTATGGTGGAGGTGGTAGTCCAGATGTCCTTTCACAAACAACTATAGCTCTGCGTGATATAATGCAGGTCCAGGAGATGGAACAAAAATTGCATAAACAACAAACCAATTCAATCAAGAGTAAATTTTTGGAGAATACCTCATACCAAGCTGATGGTATCAGAAGAGGCAAGTCCCCAACAAAGGGAGCAATTTCGAAAAACTCAAGGTTTCATAAGACTCGAGGTGATCCCACTGATAGAATGGTAGAAATAGCTTCCAAGACATGTCACAATCAAAAAGTCACTTTCACTGTAGAAGGGACAGAACCACCCAGACGAGTACGACAGAATCTTGAAAGTAACAATACACTAAAAATAGAAAACGTATTTAATCTACAAGTATTTCCGGGACTTACCATTACTAATAGTGATTTGAAAGAAAGTGATTTGATGCTTTTAAGCCATGGTATGGAGAAGTCTAAGAGTATATGTCATGGTAGAAGGGATAATAATGAATCATTAAGGACATTTGATGGTTCAGGTAGTCTGTATCCCTACATGGGTCTTAACAATACAATCAGTGAGTTTAGACACAAAGAATCAAGTGAAATAAGTTACAAATTCAAGAAAAAGTCTTGGTCTAATAAGGAGCTACCTAAAAAGAAGTTAAAAGATAGAAGGAAACGCGAGAAGAAGTCAAAGGTCACAAAACAAGACATGGCCATACAAACAGGGTTAGATGACCTTGAAGAAGAATTAAACATAAGATCCGAACGAGAAATTGGTGTTTCTACTGATTGTAACTTTTGTCCTGATCAAAGCGTTACAACTTATAAAGATATTCAAGTTCAAGCTGCAATCCCGCAACTTAATAACATTGCTTCAAGTGTACAAGCGAATCAAACTGGCAGGATCTCGCAAAGTGAGAGTAACATAACCATATTTAAAGAGAAGTTCCAAAAGAAAACAGATTTTACGGCTTATAAAGAAGCTAAGAGTATTGCAAAACAGAAACAGAAACCTATAACTAAAACTAGGTGTGACATGACTCATGCTCATCAAGATGAAATGATTCTAAACAGGAATAAGCAAGAGATTTACACATCAGGTGGTGAAAACTTTTCGACTTCTCCTTATGAAGTAACACAGAGAGAATCGCCAAGGAAACATAGACCACATCAGAAGCATCGGAATTGTTCATATGCACGTGTTCCTACACCGCATCCATCTTGTCATCCTGTGATGTCAACAGGATCTATTAGAGAAGTGCATCATCACACTAAAAAGACAAGGTCGAAGAGTTTAAGTCATGAAAGAGATTCTCTAGCTGAGAAAATCAATATTAATAAGGAGACTATCAGACATCATAATAAAGAGATTGCTGCATTGGAGAAGTGCCTAAATGAGATTTTACACAGATTGGGACAGGATGATTCTGTAAGTAAGGAAATTGCAATTAAAAATGAAAAGAAAATGTTAAATGATGAAATATCGAATGATTCTAAAAGTGAATTAGTGTCATATGATGTTTCTAATGTTTCTAATAACTCAAATCCACCTAAAGTTTTAAATAGACAACGTACCTATATAAAGGATCATAAATCTAAAGATACCAAACCTAAAAGAAAGAAATCAAAAGCATCAAAGTCCTCATTTCAACGTAGAAAAATATATTCTGATTCCCTCAAAAAGAGACACCAAAGATATAAAGAGAAACCTGCGAAAACAACACGAAAACCAAATGTTAAAAATGCGTTATCTCCGACGAAAGTTAGGAGTGTTTATAAGAACCCTAAAGGTTTCATTTCGAGTGCTACAAGTATGAGTAGTAAACTTTCTGATATTGGCAGCACAAGTCCATATCCACAGAGTATCCCTTCGTTAAATATTAACAGAAATGATGAAGCATATAATCCAAGAGTATATCATCAAAGTCATCCACAAAATCAACATCAAGATCATCATCATCACGGGATTGTTAAACCAAAACACAAATTGCAATCAAAAGTTAGTCAAGCCCATTATAGCAAGAAGAAAACCAAATCTATTTATGATATGCTTCTACACTATATTCACTTAACCAAAGATGTTAAAGATGGTAAAGATAAGAATGACTTAAGTCAAGATAAATCTTTATCTGAATTGAGTTCTGAAGAATCTAAAATTGTGATTTTATCAGTTTCTTCATTAAAACTACGAAATAATCCTGATAAACAAATTGAACATAATAAGAATCAAAAGAGTTTTAAAAAGCATAGAAAAAGAGTTGTTGAAGACCCATCAGATTCTGAAAGTCCAGGACCTAGTAATAAACCATTCTTCATAGCAAACAATAACAAAACTAAAGTACAAACTCCAAAGAAGGTTGTTCCCAAGTTAACTATTACAAGTGAAGATAGTTTAGAATATGACACGTCACGTGCACCTGATTTATGTCCGTTGACGGCCATCTTTAATTTTGAACCTCCTAAAAGAAATTACTTGGTGTATAACACCGAAGTTATCACTCACAATAAACCTAAAATTGACGTTAAAACATCACCGCAACCTTCAACGTCTACATCTGAGAATACAAAAGTTGAAGAATCTGAAAAACCTAAAACTTCAACGAGTGCTAAACTAATGACAATTCAAGAAGAAAAAATTGCTTCTCCGAAACGTAGAAGATCTACTATTAGCAGAACATCTTTAACTAAAGTATCAGAAGAAAGAGAAAAACCAGAAATTGGTGTTGCTGATCTGAGTCCTGTACTTGTACGAAGAGGAACTGCATATCCGTCATATGGAGATGTAATGAAAAGTTTAGAAAACATGACTTTACCTGATAACAAACCTCAACCTAAGTTGACTTCTTTCAATTGCAATGACAGAGAATGCAGTAATTTGATATTTAACTACACCTCAAAGAAGGATCCTAAAGATTTTAGACAAATGGATAAACAAAGTTCAAAAGATAGTAATTCTAGAGGAGCTTCCTTTAGTTGTGAACGCCATGAATCAAGCGCATATCACACTTTGACAACCCTCATGGATTCTAAGTCTGAAAGAAGTTTTCCTACTCCTTCTGAAAGTGACGTCGCAATTAAAAATGAAAGTGGTTATGAAAGCTCAAAGAAATCCAACACTTTCAAAAACTTTTTCAAGAAAAAGACTTTGTTCGAAGTGTTTAAGAATAAGATCAAAGCAAAGAAGTATTTTGATACAGATACAAGTGTTTCAGAAAGTTTGGCCGGAATTGATACAAGATCCCCTGCTTGTATTATATCTGAAGAATCTATAGCAAGATCAGAAAACTTCTCTAATAGAGGTGTAAAAGAAGAGTTGTATCCTGATGAGGAATTTGACCAGGAAGAAAAGTCCCCGTACTCTCAGAGTAAAACAGTTCTCTGGTTCAACTTTAGAAAGAAGATGCGTGAGGCAGGACAACCTTGTGATCCCTGGTGTATCAATAAACAAAATGCATCTGATCAAACAGAAGTACCATTGGCTTGCCACAAGACCTGCCAACAATCTTTCAAGTGTATGCCTGCAAGTCCAAAGAATAAAGATGAATGCCCGTGTATGCAACCTTATGAACAACAGAGGGAACAATGCAAAAAGTACGCTAGTAAAGTCCTCATGGAAGCCGCCAAACGACAGAAAGGTTACCGCAAGCAATATGAGGATTTCAAAGAGATGCCTTTAGATGTCCTAATGGGCAATAAAAAGTGTGCGTGCAAACCATTAGTTCAGGGTTGTCCTAAATCCTACGCCAATAAAGTAGCTGCCATGCAAGCAAAGAGTTCACAAAGAGATAAACCAATTCAAGTCACCAAATCACCACGTAAGAAAACCCCGCCTGTGATAACTGCTCCTGGTTCTCCAAAAGGAAAACCCGACAAAAGTGAATCAGACGTGATTTTGCCCAGAAAAAGTGCAGGCGTTATACGCATATCATCCAATGGGAGTGTGGAGACTGTCGAACTGGAAACAAGTGTAGAAACCCATAGTGAGGACCAAACAGTGCGTTCATCAGAGGAAGTAAGTTCCAAAATAAGGTCCTATACGGATCATGAGATTTTCGATCGATTGTTGAGTCAATATGAGCGAAAAGACGCCATCGCGGGCCGTCTCTCCCATGACGAGCTCTTTCACCAGGACCAGATGCTGGCAGCTAACTCGGGTGTGGTTCCTGACCTCCAGGTACAGCCGCGCCCGGAACGCAGTGAAGAGGAACGAATGCGTGGTCCGAGGTTCAGCGACCGACCTAAACCACTAGTTCACATCACCACCGACACCACCGTACGACCAGATGATATTGGTACTTGCTTCGCGCGTGGGTTCCGTCCCGATAATCTCATGCTTTCTGGAGATGCTTGTTTCCACATCAACAAACAGGACAAGATTAAGATGTCTCCGTATATGCTGAAAAACACTGAAAGTATCATAGACTTTTCAGAACGGGAGACACCTTTGGATTTTCTATTAGCCCTGGGCTTCATGGTGGATGAAGCTAGTAATGCGTTGAAGGACGACGATATTCGGAGTCGTTTGTTAGCTGCCATTACTGAGGTGAGTGTATAATTGTGTTTTTCTTTGTGTGGGGTCGTTGGTAAGAGATGCAAGTGTTTGTTTGGAGGCCAGGGTATGGATCAATAAGATCACCACCACTCAAGGTACACTGCTGTATTTGGTCGCTTATAAATCGCGCCCGGAGACAATGCGATACTTTCTGCAGTTGGTCGAAGCGATTATTAACAAACGAATCAACAATGCGATTCGTCTTGATGGGTTTCTCCGGGTTTTGGAAGATGTGGAAGCTGGGCGTGTACAGATGATCAATATTCTCGGAGAGGATAAGGTTAGGATATGCCCAACCGACTATTCAGACTCCTTTGAATCATCAAAACCTATCTTAATCTTCTCTAATGTCAAATATTTTGTATTGTTGCAGTTTGAAGATGAAGAAAACGAAGAAAAGATCGTCAAGAAGCAATTGAAGACTCTCTTCGTCAATGTGTATACAGTTGCTGAAAAGGAAGCGTCCGTGAGTGGTCGTACCTTATCAGCAAACCAAGTGAGTCTGCTTCGTATCCTTGTTGCGAAATATCGCGCTGGTTTACATCCGCATTTGGAGCTTATCGCTCGTTACATTGGCCAAGGTCTGCTTGAAAATGAAATACAACTCGAAGGTAACAAATATAACCTTAAAATGTTTCAATATAACCTAAATACTCTTTTGTTTCTACAGCCGCCATGATCTTCCTTTCACGTCTCGATACATCCGAAGTGAAACTGAAGGAATTCGAAAACTATTGTGGCATCACGTGTCAATTGCAAGACACTTAACAGTATTACTACCCCCCTTTCATTAAAATGTTTTTCATTGTTTTTATTCGTTTTTTGTTTGGTTTTTCATTCTCGTTCAATGTCGTTCATTATTATTTTCTTGACAATTTTTATAAAATCACAAAATTCAACGTCGGTGTCACACAAACTCAAAATATATGTATATGCGCGGTACAATCGTTTCTAATCATATCAATAATTTATATAAACCTAATATCGAATGGCATCGTGTGTGTTAACATACATTACTTAACGCTTAACTCATCATGGCGTCGCAATAGTTAACCTAAAATTTACTCGACCCGCGACGAGTATCAATTAATCAACATTACAATATATCATAATATAATTTTAACAATTAATATATTAATATTTGCTTGCGTGGTTCAAATTTTGTTCGTTTCGAAAACTTTTGATTCGCTCACCGTACCAGATATGCCAAAAATGTTAACAATCTTTTTTAATGCTTCCATTATTATAAATATTGCAACAATATTCATTTAACTTAAACATTATCTTAACACCTAATCGTTCTAGAAGTACGAAATAAATAATCAATAAGAATAATAAATAAAAGAAAGCTACAAAAAGTGTGTGTATACTCACATAAGTATTATTCGTGTGTGTGTTGTGAGTGATTCTTTTAAAGCAAAACAAAATAAAACAACAAAAGTTGTTAAGTATGTACAAACAGATGCATTTTGCGCATGAAACGATAAGCAAAATGATTTGTCTTGTGTCTCGCAGTATATTTTGGCCACTGAGAAATGTTTGTAACTTGTTTAAGAGTATTTCGTTTTAGTTAAGTGCTCGTTTGCTCGAGTAAATCGTAATTGACTGGAATATTCATTGAAATATAGTAAAATAGATTCTCATCCTAGATTAGAGCATAAGACCTCTGTTTTGAGTGTTTAAACCATGTGCTCAGTAATATTATTGCTGTTTGCGTGCACTGGAGGCGTATCGGGCATCATTGGCGGGGACATTGAGTGTTCAGGTGTAGTCGATGCGCGATGGAAACCAATCCCGGTTCTGTGTGGGATGTCAGCGCTTGGTGATCGACTCGACCTGCTTGAACTACTCATGCGTGATGAGCTTGAGGCGTTGTTCTGATTGTAATTGTATCTGTAATGTAAGCAATGTTGGTTTTTTAGTATTGCAGTTGTATATTTTCCATGGGATTAGTTGGCAGGCAAGTGTAGGAACATTGTGTAATGAATGTCTTACTTTTTATACGTCCCACCACCAGTGGTGATATCATCATACCCTCTGCTTCTTTCTTCTGATGGTGAGTACAATGAAGCAATGTTGGTCCTCCTCGGATTATACGTCTGGTAACGATTGGGTACGTTGACATAGTCATTGGACACTGATTTGCTCCGCACATATGGTCTATACTCAAGATCACCCTCGCCGGAAGAAGAATATCCACTGCTTCGGCGATAACTACCTCCATAGTCCAATGATGAGGTCATACTAAGTTTATATTTGACTGTTCGTTGACTGTAATCCTTGTAAAGGTCTAAATCTTTATAGTTACCAACTAAACTTGCTTTTCTGGGTTTCTTCTTCTCATTAAACCTTGTGTAGAATGACTTACGTCGTATACGATCAATAACAGACTCATTCTCATCACCGGAACCTGAATAGGTGTTACCATTTGGTGACAATGGTGATAATAAATCCTGTTGATGATAATCAGAGCAAACTGACCATGAATCACAACTCAAAGTCTCATCACATGGAGATAACAGAGTGGAACTCTCATCGGTCGTATACGAAATCCGATTGATGTTGTAATCACCACTTTGGGTGTGTCCTATACCGGAAGACTCCGAGGAAGCCGGCGTATTCATATTCTTAAGATCTAATTTTAGATTACGTCTATCAGTATTCACTCCATTCACATCAGCACCAATCACTTCAACGTTATTATTACTCAAGTCATCACCATTGCGATTTTCAACATTCGTACTTTTCCGGTATGATGGAAGTTTCGTAGATTTACGTTCAACTTTCTCGGTTATTGTATTATTGAGTACGTTATCACTTCGTGAACCATTATATCTCTTCATTTTATCCATAAATGTGGACTTGGGTCGTTCACCATTTTCAGGAGATGTTACATCACGCACTTCCCGAGTTGGCGTGGTCACTGGACGTGGCTTAAACGCCGGTATGTTCGATTCATTAATATCGCCTAATTCATCTTTTGGTTTCTCAGTCGGTTTATCCTTATCTTTGTCTTCGTACTTCTTGAATAAGTTTAGAATTTTCGAAACACTCTTCCGCGATGGTTGTAGTGATTTATTTGTGGTTTTAACATTGGAAAAGTCTTCAACAGACACAGCTCTTTTGATAAGGGTTGATTCAGTCATGTGATCCATATTTTTCGGGACGCTTTGTTCACGTAAACGTTTTATAGCTGATTCGACTGCTTTGGGTGCTGTGGCTGCTGTATCAGGACTTACGATTTCATCCTTGGGCACTTTGACCTTAGATTTTTCCTTTGGTTTATCATCGACGGAAAGTGAACGAAGCTTTTCAAACTTTTTCTCTATGGATTGTAGAAATTTACTTTTAGTTGAAGCTGACTTTTCCGTTTTCTCGGGGGATTTCTCAACCTTTTCCGGGGAAGCTACCTTATCAGACTTATCTTTCGTTTTGACCGTTGTTGAAGAAGGTTTCTTGAGTTTGGAAACTTTCTTGACTACTACTTCAGCAGTGCCTTCGGGAGATTTATCTTTAACCCCATTTTCCGCTGGATAACTTTTCGGTCGCACTAACTTCGATACTTTTTTAGTTTCCTGCGATTGTTGTCTTGATAACACATTCGTTTCGATATTTTTAATGTTATCGGAAACATTCTTCAACAACGTCTCAGTCTCTTTCATATTTTTAGAATCTTCCTCAATTTTGATTGTTTCGTTAAACTTAACTCCATTACTAGTTACGACGCCATCTTGAATCTGTGTCGGAGTTTGGGCAGGGGTAGTTGTAGACACTGTAGGAACATCCTTCGGTGGTGATTTTCTTACGGGTTTCTCACATTTATCGACTTTTTCAACGCTTCGACAAGTTCCTTACACTTTATCAGTTTTTCCTCCGTGTCGAATTTTACATCCTTGACTTCTTTTATTTCACTAGTGTCAATGTCTTTTTCCTTCGATAACGAGCGCTCACGTCTGAGATTCAAGCGATTTTTAATTCGTTTATCTCGAATCTCCTTGAGGACTTGTTGAGTTTCACGTTCGCGTTCCTTTTTCTCCTTGGAGACGACATTATCCTCTTTAGGTGGATCGAAAAAGTCAGGACGTAAAAATCTCGAGATTCTCCGGGCTGGTTTCTCACTCTTATCCTTTTCGATTGGCTTGGTGTGCATGTACTTAGATAAAGGTGTGCTTAAGGGCGACTCGTCGTCTTTTAATGAGGAAATCTCCGCGATGCTTGCCTCGGGACTTCGTAAGGAATAAGAATGGAACTTTGTCCGGAAGTCGCTCGGCTCACGGAGACTAGTAGCACGATAATATCGTGGTCGTTCTTTTGTTGCATTGGCAGTGGAGTCGTAACTTGATGATCTATCAGTGTCATAAGGTGACGTCACATCCCGTACATCACGCCCATATAAAGATGGCGTCCTATCGGTATCACTCCCATTGGTAGTATTATTGTTGTTAGTATTAGTGGTAAGATTTTGTTGGCTGCTGCATCGCTTTTCGTAAGAGAACCTCCTCGGCAGCGTTGATGCCCCTCCTGCAGCACGATCCAAAGATCTCCTCGCACTCAACTCCTCACGAGGCATACTTTGTCGATCGCGTTCTTCTTCACGCATGCTCATAGTGCGTGATATCTTCTTAGCTTCGGACGGAGGCAACGACGCAAATAATTGCTTCTGGATCCTGCGTGACAATCCAGGCGTGAGGTACGACAGCGCGAGGGCGTCCTCTTCGGTGAGCTTAAGCTTTTTCAGATTCAAATCCTCGAGATGCAATTGTGCTTCGGTTTCTGAAATCACAATCCCCCACAAATCATCATCACGCTGTCTTATCCATGACACCTTCACTCGATTAGTTTGGTTACACAATCATCATCAACAGAAAAGAAAAATAAACAAAATGGCGTCGCACGTACCTTAGCATGTGAAAATCTGCCCAATCCGCTGTCGGAAGGCGTGTCGGTATTTGAGGGGGGTGCAAAAAAACAAACGAAACAAAACGACAACAAATTAGTACGATCAAAAATCAACTCAATTCTTCAAACAAAAAACAAAAAACATTAACATTATTAATGATATCAAACTTTGGTCGAGAGATGACGCCACATATTATAACCTACCAAAAAATAAACAACAAACAATGCACGCGAGCGATTTGTAGGTAGGAAAAGCATGTGTACGTGAGATAGTGAAATATAGAAATCAAAATAAAACACATCGACAACAAAAAGAAGCCACAATGATTCCTAATAATGTAAAAATAAAAAAAAGTAAGTCCAGCCCTGTTTTCTCTAAGTTTACCTGTCGCCATATTGTATATAACTGCGTATTTCATCAAGGACCACCACAATGACAAGCAAAACGTGTTTTTATGTTTGTTAACAGTAACAATCTTCAACAACGCGCAAAAACAAACGAAAGTCAACATACACATGCACCTCCTACCGAAAATCGCATCAGTAGATCGGTCGGTAGATCGTTGGGTGGGCGTGGCGCGCGCGGGTTGGTGGTGATATCATTTATGATGGTGGATTTGTTTGTTTAAGAGTAGAGTAGGTGGAGATTGATTGCTTTTTTGTACGGGGGGTTGGTGTAATTTTAGTGTGTGGTGCCCTCACGGCCCCTCGCGGCGGGCACATGCATCATCACGCGCACGCGCCCTGCAATCACACGACAAACCGCCGGTCAGTCACAATCGACGACTCACATGCGGAGGAGACTTCCGGCGGGGCGTTGCAGACGTCAAAAAAAAAAAAGAACGTAATACAACGCTCCCTGTAGTGTGTAATACGCACAAAAATCAAGATGGTCTCGTCTTGCGTAAAAATACGTTCAACAAAACGAAAAAAAAAATGACAAACTAGTAAAACGTAAACACTACTCTACCGGGCGGGCACAGGCGGTTATGTCACATTCCTCTTAACGTTTACATAAACATAAATTCCCGAGGAGTTCCAAGGTGGAGTCACCACGCCTTTGCAATATACCTAGGCGTGGCCTCACTGCCAAGCAACGCCTCGTATACCAGCCACTAACGTCTATTCCAACTACCTAAGGTGCAACGGGTGCAAAATGCAAGATGCATCAGACTGCCGTGAATACATACCTCCACGCGGTAAGGTGGAGCTTGAAGTTGTATGGGTAGGGTGCATAGAATCCTGGAAGACGCTGTTGATATCAGTCGCCAGGTCACGACTGACGCTGCGTCGCCATGGTGTAGTGCTGTTCACACTGCGCTCACGGCTGAATTGTCTACCATGCGGTGAGTTTCTGTAACGCAAAAAAAGAGGAAATTAAAATATTGCTGAGCAAATAAAAATATAACCTAAATGCATACAGAGTATACAGGCTTACATCAGCGAGCGCATCTCTCTGAACGTGTAATGCGAGCTTGAAACATCAATCACAACACGAGGAGTAGATTAGTAGACGTGGGTTAGTCATAAAATTGACAGGGTCTTACCGTGACGTGCCCAGGGATTCCATTCGAGGGAAAAACTTTGAACCGTGATCAAAATGGCTCAAGAATCGACTGTTGGGGAACACTGGACGTGCTGGATCATCGTTTAAACGATGAGTTAAGTCTCTAACCTAAAAATAAAAATAGCGGAAATTAACATATAATATTAAAAAGCATGATTTAATATTAACTTACCCTTGACAATAAAGTCGAGAACAAATTCTCAGCTGTCAAAAACTCGAAACCATCGTCATCATCATCATCCTCACCGGAACTCAATGAATCCGCATGTTCTGTGGTGCTCTTCCTTGGTCGAGAACTACGCAGTTTGTGCATGTGGAACATATCTCGTTTTGAACCCTCCCCTTCGGCATCGCTATCACGCCCAAAGGAACTATGCCGATGAAGACTACTAAATGGAGATTCGTCCTCAGATCCATCACGATCAAATAGCGACATCATTCGCCGGGGTGTTCTAAACTTGGAACTAGATAACCGACTGCTATTGGTCACAGTACTCGACGTGTCACTAGGTTCAAGACTACCCGCACGTGGTGTAACATATCCACCACCTTCCACTGCAATAGGGATGATATACTCCCGAGGTGATTTCTTAATAGGTTCACCTGTTGTTGAGGTTTCTGTATCACTTTCTTGTGTGGATTGTCGCGATAATGAGTTTGTCCTTTGTGAAGATGACGATCGCTGTGATTGGAAACCACGTGGCACAGGTGGTTTTGTCGGTGGTGACAAAATAGGCTCTTCCCTTTCTCTCAAGTTCGAGTTCAAAGGACGCTCGAAAGAAATAGGAATAATATGTTCTTTTTTCCTAACGTCGATATCCGCATGACTTGGAGCAGCACCAACAGATACAGATCTGAAGCCCATAAAGGGTGGTGGACTGGTAATGGGTACGGTAACCTCACTTCGTTGTTGAGGTGTAGCAGGTGGGGCTTGAACATGATGTGACATCTCTGTTTTGAATTCCATTGTCGCAGGTTTGGGTTTAGGGTAGTCAAGTTGTATCTGTGCTTTTGTGGACTTTCTCCTTGGAAGAGTAGCTGATTTAAGAGTGATTTCCGCTGAGGATGTTTGTTCACTTGGAGGAGACAGTGGTGATTCGGGAGACTTTGCAACTTCAGGCGTGGAAGAATTGGGAGTGGGTGAAGATATAGCCCTTGTGAATGGCTTAGGTGTGGGTTGGGCAATAGGTGGGATTACACCAATGCTGCCGGAAGCAGAACGTCCGCTAACACCGAAAGGCACTGGCGGTTTCCGTACCATACAAGGACGTGACTTTGACTTCCGTGCGCCTTCTTTATCCAACGCACTGGAGATTATACTCACGGCGTTTTTCATCTTGATTTTACGTTCGTCTTCAACTGGTGCTTCCGATTCAGTCTGAACCACCTCTTCGAGTTTTGTAGGCGTGGGTTCTACATTTATTGGTGTTGTTTTCACTGGTTCAACTTTAGGTTTCACTTCTGCTGGTTTTACAGGTGATGCCACTGTTGGTGTTGCCACACTGGGTGTACCAGGAGTAGATTCATTGTCCAAATCAATACTATCTTTCTTATCATCGATGATTAACTTCTTGGAGGCGGCTCCCCTCAATTTGGGAGGGGATGTGCTTGTGAGACTTGCTTTCCTTTCAAACTCCTTCTTAAACCCGCCTACACTAACACCAGGAATTATGATTTTCTTTGGTTTTTGTTTCTCTGGACTCTTTTCCTTTTCACCGGTTGAGATTAGACTTTGGAATTTCTCTGCCTGTTCGAAAATTCGGCTTTGCCTTCGTTCTGGAACTTTTGAAGGAGTTGTTGGAGTAGGAGGAGCTGTTGCAGGAGCTTCTTTCGGGGGCGTGGGTTCTTTCTTTTCAACTTTTTCAGTTTTAACTTCTTTTGGAGTCTCCTTGGGAATTTCTACTTTTTCGATAGCAGGTGTATCTGTTTTCTGTACTTCCGATTTTGTTTTGACTGTTTCGTTCTTCTCACCTAGAGCTGCAGGCTTTTTCCTGACACTCTTCTTCTTCTTTTCTGGAGTTGCCGCTATTTTAACATCTTCTTTCACATCTTTGACTTCAACTTTATTTGTATTTACATCTTTGTTTTCTTTATTCTCTTTATTTTCTTTCGTTTCCTTAATTTCTTTCATAACTGCGATGTTTTCTTGACTTGGATTCTCGTTGATCTCCTCCAAGACTTTGGTACTTAGACTTACCGAAGTTGTTCGTTTCACTTTTTCCTTTGGATCTTTTACATCTTTAACTTGACTAGCTTGTTTCCTTGTAGCTTCCTTAATCTTAGCTTCTTCAATAATCTCCGCACATGCCGCTCCCTGCATTGATGGATCCTCAACATCCACCATTTTAACATCTTCCTCAAACGTTGCCGCAGGTGCAGAAATATCCGCTATCGTATTCTCCTTGACAATTTTCTCTTTCCGTTTTCCATCTTGAGGCACATTCGCTTTCTCCGTGCTAACCGTAGCTTCCAATTTTCTTTTCGGTGTAACTTTATCCTTATCAGTGGCAATAAGTTCCTGTATTCGCCTTTCCGGTGAACTAATCTCCATAATAGACCCAACAGACTGTGACCGTGTAGGTGGCGCCACCAATGGTTCAGCCTTTACTTCCTCCGCTCCTTGATCACCGGTAACAACTAATTTATCAGCTTCGAGTTGTGCTGGCGGTGGGTTCAGACTCAGAAGAACATCTAATCGTACCGGTGTCTGATTAGCCAGATCTTCTGAGATATCTAAACACGATTCATCGTAGGTTTCATTCACCCACCAATGCGCGCAAATCTTTTCAATATCCGCGCGCTTTTTTGGATTCACAGTTAACATTTCATGTATCAAACCGGAAGCAGGACTAGGATTTTGTGGTTCGAAATATTCTCCTTGCGATATAGACTTGACCAATCGCGTGAAATTACTACCATCAAAAGGCATCGCTCCATAAACGAGCGTATATAATAGCACCCCTAAAGACCAACAGTCAACTTCCGGTCCATGATAAGGTGTGCCTTTGACAATCTCAGGCGAGGCGTAAAGCGGAGAACCACAGTACGTAGACAAATGGCGATGGTCATCGAAAACATTCGACAAACCAAAATCAGCGATTTTTGCGCTGCCGTGTTCGTCGAGTAAGATATTTTCAAGCTTAAGATCACGATGGCAAATCTTATGTTTGTGACAATAGTAACACGCTGTGGCAATTTGTCGGAAAATACGGCGCGCCTCGTCCTCCGGAAGCATTTTTCGTACAAAAAGATAATCGTAGAGTTCACCGCCGGCGGCGTACTCCATTACGATAACGATTTTTTCGCGATTCTCAAAAACTATTCAAAGAAAAACAACAAATTTAGATATTTTATTATAAAACGCCTTTTGTTTATGTTTACCTTCGTAAATATGTATTATATTAGGATGTTGCACTGATGACATAATTTGGATCTCGCGTCGTATTCGTATCAGGTCTGCTTCCGTTTCGATTTTGGACTTTTTTATCGTCTTGATGGCGACCTCCTGACCTGTTTCCTTGTTGATACCGAGCTGCACCTTGCCATAGGTGCCTTGCCCCAGCTTTTTTATTATATCGAATCTTAAAGAGAAAAAATTTAGTTTAATGAACACATAACCTCAACTATAAAGTAGTAAATTTATTGGAAAAGTGCATTTACCGTTGTTTTAATTTGCGTTTGTGATTGTGGAGGCGAACACTCCCCGTGTTCTCTATGCCTCCCATGATGTTGTTGATCATCGCTTCGCCCACAACCATTTTGCTGAAACAAAATTATTTCATCATTTTAAAAACCTGTCATCTTCATTTGAGGTTAAGAAACTTTTTGAATATATTCTACATCTTATAGAGTGACATTGTCGATCGTCATTTGTTCGTACGAGACAATAAAAGCGCATGAGTCAGAAATAGCGGCATGCGCATGGATTAAACATGCGTTAAAAGCGGCCGCAACGCGCTTTCTGAAGCTTCCGATGGCTCCCGATCGCACATCGCGTCCATCTATTTTTGATCGTCGCAAACGATGCGTGCCTCGCACGGTCGCAAACAAAATATAAAATCAAATAACGCGCACGACGGCTTCAACTCAATCCCAAGCGCAACAAACCGACCGAAAAGATCAACACGCAACAAGAATAGAGTCACAATTGATGGCGACAATCCTAGAGAATCCAAGACAAACCAAAGAGTGACTTAACTTAAACGCAATGGCTTACAATCAAAAGAAGTTACTTAAGACACTTAATATTTGGTCTTAAGTATAATAAAAACTAGAAAACTGATTTTTTTTGTAGAAATTTCTCAGAAAATATCAAAATTGTGGTTGTTACAGTCTGGAAATTAAGTAATAATACTTAAGTCAATAAACTTGACTTAAATCACTCCTAAAATCTGAAATCTTGATGTAAAACTATGTTTTTTCTGGACGTTTCGACACTTTCGACATTCCAAGATTTCGGCATATTCTGCCGGTCCTGCATTGGCCAACACACGACCGCTGCCGCCGCCGGTTGGCGTGCGTGTTCGCGGGGCGCCCACAGCTTTCAGCTAAATTTAGCGAAAGGCAGAGAGCATCTCTTCTCAACTCGCGCACTGGTCGTCTGTCGTGCGTCGCCCCGCGCACAAAACACAAATGAGATAATTTTTCACTTTCTCATTGCATTAAGGACACTGCTGCACGAAAATACACAAGCAAAAAAATTGAATCATCCAAATAAAAATACGAAACATAAATAATACAGATTAATGTAATTTTAAACTATGAATCACAATTTTTATAAACCCACTGTATGAAATGATGTATGCGTATGGAGTTTAAATTACTTGGGAATTTTCGGGAAAGAAAGCCGCCACATTAGCTCATCCGGAAGTCATGAACATAGATATCTACGTGCATGTGGATGTGCAAACAAAACAGACAGACGGAAGCAGACAGCCGCCGCCGAGAACGCGAGAAGTTCACGCGAGGTCGTTAAAAAGCAAAATTAAAACGTGCCGCATGCGAACGAAGCAAGTGCTTTTATGCGCGTTGCAGACGTCTAGTTGACATTCATAAGTCACACAAGTGCAACTTCAATATATCATAACTTACATTTTTACTTTTTATTAACAAAAACAGCGGGAAAACCCGTTCGAAATATAATTAGCTACTGTCAATCGAGTAAATAGAACATTTTAACTTAATGCAATATTGACTGATCAAGTTTCTTTCATTCGCTGATATTTTATACCTGCATAATTCATATCTGCAATAATTTGATTCGAAAATGAAACGTGGTCGCAATAAAGTGGGGCGTACATGCTTCCAGACGTGGGCGGTCATGGTGTGCCACAAAAGGTTCTGAGCTGCTTGAGTGTTCTGACACTCTGACATTTACAATTTTTTCATTTCCCACCAAAGCAAACACACATTCAACTTGTGCTAGACTATCTAATCATTTAATTCTTAATATATTTTTTATATCTCTGGTCAATTCAATTTGTCTGTTCGTATCTTTGAATGAAAACGATTTTTTTGTATCGCCAGACGTCTGAGTCTATGTCAGTGATTAATTAATTAAAAACACGTGGGCGCACCAGACGCGAACGTGCGGGTTGTGCGCGGTTCGCGCTTGTTTATATGATTGGTATTATTTATGCAGAAATTTATTCTGCTTCAATCGCAACGTGTTGGTGTTTACTTCGTTTCATTCATGTTTTTCACTAATTCCAAGCAGAAATGTTGATTTTAACACTAAACATTTTTAATATTTGAATGTGCAATTTCTAGATTCCTTCGCATGCGATGACAAAACGAGGTGGAAATATATCGCGTGCGTACGTGCGCCGCGAAAATTTGGAAATTCATGCCAAGAAAATCATCTTGCCGCAAGCGCCGCGATGCGTGTATGTATGTCCCGTCGAGCATCGACATTTAAATTAAGATTACATCGTCGTCGTCGTCGTCGCACCTCGCATCGGCATCGCAAATTTTCGCACCGTGCACAACCCACTCAGGAATGTCACATAAACCTTCATTTTGAGGTTCATTTTCGTGCGCGGCCAACTACCAACGCTGCCGGCATAAAATTAAGTACGTACTCAACGTAATGCTGCAATATTTATAGGTATAACTTACATATGTGGTAACATAAACATGTAACATGATTTTGGGCCTTGCACCTTGCACTCGATAAAAAATAACAATCCCTATCAAATTTTATGGATGAATAAACCTGAATAATTCAATTTATTTGCATTTTAAAATTGTTTCAGTATATCTATATCAAAATGAATCGCAAAATCTGTTGGTAAGCGCATAACTCAACAACGCCTAGACCAATTTGGCCAATTCTTTTTTTTAAATGTTCGTTAAAGTCCAATGATGGTTTTACGGCGAGAAAAATTCGAATAATTGCTGGGAAAACCCTAAAGACAGCCCTTTTCTATAGGATAAAAGTTGGCATTGAGATTCAATCATAGTTATAGTTAAATAGTTGAATCCAAGATGGAGCGCTGAAGTGAATTATTAGCAATTCTTTATATAATTAAGTTCTTTAAAATAAAATTGCGAATCTTATTGATAGAATTGAGACATACTATGTCTGGAACAAGAGAGTAAAAACAAATAACATTTTTATGAAACACTACTGAGACGAAGTCGCAGGCAAAAGCTAGTTTCTAATATAATCATCAAGCAAAAGCAATATATTAGAAAATATTGATGAAAAAAATCAAAAAAATTAGTAAATAATTGGTAAAATAATATAAACACAAACAAACCAATACAAACCAATAAGAAAATATCAAAATTTATAATTTTAACCTATTAAAATGATGCTTTTTGGGGTTATTGCAACCATAACCTTAAATTTAATGTTTTCCCAGCATAAAAACCCCAAAGCTAACCTAAATTATCACCCAAATTATTTCTAGGTTAAATTTAATGATTTTTGAAAGTTTCTACTTGCTCCTGTCGTAATCAATTAAAATCAGTGTAAAAAATCAATAGTAAAAAAGCAATTGAACATGGCAAACTATTATGTTAGGTACATTAGCATTGGATGCTGCGAGAAAACGTGACTCAAACGTTTCATGACGTCAATCGCACACGTAGAGCGCGAGAGAACGAGATTTGTACGAGTTACGAATTGCAAAATGACCAACACGCGAATCACTCGCAGCTATCGGACTAACAACAATTCATACGCTCGTAAACCTTCCGTTTACCACTGAGTGTGTGATTCACTTTTATGTTGATATGTTAATGATGACCAAGTGACCAGATGACCAAATTTGGTCAAAAGTCAAACAGAATATTTATCACATATCTAATTTTCGCGTAAAAGTGACTTAAGTTAAGATAGGTTGACTTAAGTCAACTTATTATATCGAATTAAATTTAATTCGTGTGTTATAACAGCGAACGTGTTGGTGTTCCGAATGCGTGGTGGATATTGAGTGGGTGGGTTTGCGCGCACAACTAGCACATAATGTGACTTAACGAAACAACGTAGGTATAACTATACCTACCCAGGTACAATCATGATACAATGGTAATAACACAATTTAGCAACACCTTACAATTGAAAGGATAAAAAATTTAAAATTGAATTTTGACTTAACTTAACTTAAGTCGATTTTAACTGGAAAACAATAAACGCAGTGGAATAAAAAATAAAAATATGCGTGGTCGTTGGGTGGACGCAAAAAACAGTAATAAAAATCAACTGGGAGAACAATGTCGGCTTGTGAATGTGAGTGTCGAAACAAACGTTTTTTTCGGACGGAAATATTCTAGGCTAGGCGCCTGTGACAAATCACCAACAGCCGGAAACAGCTTACGAAAAATTCTATACTGCTATAAAAAAATAAAAAAATAAACTGGTGAATAACAAATGCCATCAGAAAACAAGCAAAACAAGCATTGTGAAAGAAGAAATCAAATTAACTTAAGTAAAGTAAAGCGAAGTGAAACTACGAAAGAACAAATGATGAAAATGAACAAGTTTCCCAATTCTTTTTGCTTGTTTTCCATGAAGTAAATTAAGTTTACGTCGAGACACTCGTGGAAGACCACCCAGACGCTCAGATTTTCCAGGTTTAACCAAGGCTGTAGTCTAAACGGCCCGAATGAGCTTCAAGTGTGAGCGAAATTCGTGCTCGGACCTTTCCTAACAAGATTAAAGAGGATAATTAAGTTTAATTATCGTTCGTGTCGCTCACGCCACCGCCACCGCAAATAGTTACGAGGGAATCACTAGAATATTCAACGAAATCATTAATATCATTAATATTCTCGTCAGTGATTGATTAATAGACTATAAATTGGATTTATTGAAGGTTCATAACCTAAAATTAGTTTCCGTTTTTATTTCTTTGAATTGAAATCAAATTTTGTGAATACACAAATATCAACTACCTATTTCACTAAATTGTGTAACTTTTTATTAAATAATTTTGAGGTTATAATCACTCAATAACCAAATATCCCTGTTATAACCTAAAAATAAATCCTGGTTTTCTTTACGAAAAATTCGTGTTACCAACTTAAATATCAACCTAACCTAAAATTCACCTCCCAGTGAATTTTTTAAACGATTGGCAATACAAATCACCCCAATTTGGAGGTTAAATCTGTCAAAATCAAGTGTTACCAACCTAAAACCGTAAACACGTTTAAACAAATACGCATGAAATAATGTCTCGTGATAGTCGCGCCGGCTGAAAAGTACAAGTCCAAGTGAAATGTCTCCTAACCTAATTATAACCCATTACGCCGATAAATTTAGATCGGCACAGCGTTTAGGAATCTCGACGCCAGGCACATACACACTCTGCTACATAAACTACAAAAAGGCACGGCTTCCAAAAAAAGAAACAAACCTATCACATGTCTACCCTATGATAGATGAAATAAGAAAATATTATACTTACAGTGATTTATCTTGTTATTTCCGGTTTGAATTCTCACATGTATTATACAAAAAATTACAACCGTTTTGTTCGTTCGTACAGCGCGCCGCGCGCCCTCATCGATTGTGAACTTTTCCGGGCGCACAATAACAATTTTCCGGGAAGTTTGCGCGCGTCGTGATACGCACGCACTGCACACCGGCGGGGCGCGACATTCACGCGGCGGCTACGACGAAGATGTCCTCAACGCCCCTCTCCACACATCACCTCTTATCAGAGTGAGTGATAACGAGCGTGTTGTGTTTTATTGGTCGAGTTGTAATGATTGGGTTGCTGGTGTCAACGTGTTTGTTTGTGGGTGTAAATGTGTGTTGAGTAGTGATTAACAGGCGTGACAACACGCACAAACGCGATGCGCACTGGCGAACGCCATCTTCCCGACTGACGTGCACCAGCAGCACGATGAGCACTCGACCAGGCTCGGCCTACAAATGGGAAGTAGTGTTAAGTTCGGGTGGCATCGGCGATGGTCGTAGTGTGCCACTGCTGCCAAGTAATGCTTTCGTGTATAGTTGGTTGCATATATTAAAACACTGTGAATTTGTTTTTATTTCATTTTTGTGAAAATTTCACTTTTAAATAGTTTAAAAACTATTTAAAGTAAAATAACAGTTGATACCAATTTAATATTTATATAAATTGCATGATTTATTGTTCTTTAAGTGTTTTTAATAGATATTACCTTTGGAGAATTGTTTAATTATATAATAAGTATTAAAATAATTGTGTTATTAATTCCGATATTTAAATCTAAACAAAAATCGTTCAAAAATCACGAAATTCTATTTGTTTGTTGGAATGTGTGTCTTTTCATTGGTATAGAGAATGCGCGAGTGCACGCCGCGGTGGTTCGGTGGTGGCGGCGTCGGCTCCAGACTATAATATTGATTAAACTGGCGTTCGCCGCCGCCGCCGCCGCCAGCGCGACTCGTGCGCCCGCTCGCATCGGCAGCAACGGGCCGCGACCCCGTTCGACCGAATATCGTCCAGCACGAGCTCACACCCGAAAAAACGCGTTTTCGTATCGTTTCGGGCGCGCAAAACGCGCTGAAAACACTCGAATTCCAAAAGAAACCGTGACATTCTCGTCTTAAACTCTCGTCCTGCACACTCATCCACTCACACACACTGCCATTGAACTCGCTGCGAGAGGATAACTTTTCATTGCTGAAAAAACTACACAGTTTTAACGATGAAATTTAATTTTGAGTGAAGTGCTGCTTAAAAACGAGTTTTCTCCGCCGCAAACGAAGAAAATCCACGCTGGGGTTGGTAAAAACTAAGGTGGTGCATACCGAGATGACATGGACATCATCGGTGCGTCCTGCAGGGATGAAACGTGTCCAAGACATATAAATAGGTATAAAATCCAATATTTTTACAAATTTTGCATAAAATTTTACATATTTTCCTTTAAAAATCATATTTTTGTTATTAATTTAATCTAAATATCAAATAATTATTTATTTTTAGTTGAAAATTATTACTGCAGTAATATAACCGATAAAAATTTTATTTTTAATCCTAAATTTACGCGAATATCTCAATGAAAATCTTGTGCTTTACGACTGTCGAAATGGGCGTGCGACGAGTGTGACGGCGCGCTGCGGGTTGCATAAAATATGAAGCAGTATGGGTTGCGTCGAGTAGCGCTTTGCATACGAGTGATGCGAGTTGCCGCGCGCTGGTCGTAAATTTCCTGCTGATTCGTGCGAAAGGCTGCGCAAAACGCGCAAAACTAAAGAAATCCGCTTAGATTCGCTTAAAATCCGCGCTGCAGGCTTCAATTTAAAGTATCACTCATGCATCCACACTAACACACACTAATTTCTTATAATATCCATAAATTTATTCATGTTTTACGCGTTTTATTATATTTTAAAAAAACAAAACTTTATTGTATGCATACAGAGTTGCATACGTTGCATAATACAACAAAACACACACAATATACGTGCGTTTAATTCGTTTAGTGAGCTTTTACCATTTTATTCCATTTTGCGTCGGTTGGTAACTGAAATGTTCATTAATGGCCGTGCGTGTTGCATCGTAGTTTCGTAGTAGGCTGTAGTAGGCGGTGTTGGAATTGTAAATGAGTATCGTATGTGTAGTTTTGCGTAGCGTAATTTGCAACGATGCAACACATGCACATCTACGTTCATCACCATACAGATCGTATATGTGTGAGTGGCGGAGAACTTCCGGATTCGTTATTCCATCATTCCGGATGCGGATTCGTCCTGCGCCTGCGACGCGCTACGAGCATGACCGAACGTTAACTAGCGAATGCATCGGATGCACACAGCATTCAAGCGTCCATTAAAACTCACATTAGGGAATCAAACCTCTTTTTTTTTTAAATTTTTGTCCATGAAGTTTAAATACAGGAAAAAATAAATAGCATGAAAAAGTGATTGTAAATGTCGAATCTGATGCGTTGTGTTGTGATAGAACGTGATGGAATGAAGGGAATGAAGTGAACGATGTTGAATGATGGCGTCTTCGCATTGTATTGATGTTGATGTGGAATGGGAAAGCAGGGACGCCGGAAGCTAGTGCCATTTGCACGTCATTCGGACGCCATTTTCTGTTCCGATGCATTGTACTTTCATGATTCTACTGCTTCCACTCTTTCAGCTTCCTTTTCATGAGTATTCCATTGTTTTTCGTTGTTTTTCCAACGGCAAAATCAACAAAGAACAAGTATTTCATACTAAAACATGTCTTTTTAATTAATTCTCATCAAATTATGTTTTGTTTCATTCTTATCTACAGTTTAACACAAAAAAATCATCAATATTTGTTAAATTCTATTCAATTTTCATTGATGACTCAGCATGAACATTTCAAAATGGCTACATTACTCCGCCATATTGTTCCGCGCTTCAATTTATTATTATTATAACATTTATTGTCAGTTATCTATTCACAAGTCGTTTGTGCCGTTACTTGCACGTTCCGGTCGTTATCGATGCAAATCACAGGCGTAAGTAAAATTAATTACGGCACGGCGTCGCATTCACGAGGTGAAAATTCAAAATTCGCGTATTTACCCAGCGCCGAAAGCAAATAATGCATAATAAACGATGGCGATGCCAATGCGCGATGACGAGGCGCGAATTTATTAATCGCATCGATCCGCAACCCGACATACACGGCTTTAACCCGGAAAATCAACACAAATTGACCTAAATCAACTAAAAATAAACAATTATAGCGTGATTGACATTAACAATTATGTTGGTGTTGTTGTTACTTCATCTATATTTGCATCAAAATCGTAAAACGAAATTTATGTACGCAAAAGAACTCAATCCATCATTATAAATTACAGGAAACTGTAAATTGTGATGTTGAACTATGTAATTAACATTGCACATCATTATTAACACATAACACGATAATTATATGCGTTATGCTGCATGTTAAGTATTCTTATATCTTTCGCATCTTGAGGCGACCGCAACTCGAGGGTGTAACAAATGTGTAACAAATCTGTTTGGCGAATGTCGACGCATTATCATGCGTTTCGATCGCATTCATAATGTTGCGTGTAATGTGTGTTGCCGACCAAGAAATGTATTGTGTGTTGCTTAGTTGCTAGTTATGTACTAGTATCATAATTAACTCGAGGTAATTTAATTTTGTTGCAAAACGGTTTTGTTTTTGTTTTCACTTGTTTACGATCACTCCGGGTTGCCTGAGGTTATGAACATAAATACCCACCTTATAATCCCCAACATGATGGAATGTTCATGAATATTCGCTGGAATATTCCAGGAGTGAAGAGTTAAGACTAAGCGGATGTTTTGTGTTTGTGTATGTTGCAGTTCGTGGCTGTTATCCCGGAGGTAATCTGGTATGCAGTGGCGGAAATTGGCGCGTTCGAAGATCACATCCGGTCGATCACGCACGCGCAATATGCTCTGCTGCGGCCGGCGAAAGGTAAGCCAACAAAACAATTTACCGCAATAAAAAACGGAAATAGCAGGCATAACTCTTTTAAATTATTAAAATAAGCTCTAGGCATGACACTAATTGTGATTTATTGTTTTAATTTCTAGTTTTTTTTACTTGTTTTTGTTTCATTTAGGAATTTATGGTTCACTAGCTTCTGCCCGCGACTTCGTTCCGGTAGTGTTTAATAAAAATGTAATTTGTAAATGTAAAACTATCTTGTTCTTGACATAGTATGTGTCAATTCTATCAATAAGATTCGCCATTTTATTTTCAAGAAATTAATTATATCTAGAATTGCTAATAGTGCACTTCAGCGCGCCATCTCGGATTCAACTATTTAACTATAACTATGATTGAATCTCAATGACAACTTTTATCCTGTAGAAAAATGCTGTCTTTTGGGTTTTTCCTGCAATTATTCGAATTTTTCTCGCCGTAAAAACCATCCTTGGACTTTAACGAACATTTAAAAAAAAAGAATTGACCAAATTGGTCTAGGCGTTGTTGAGTTATGCGCTAACAAACAAATTTTGCGATTCGTTTGAATATGATAGATTTTCATTTTATTTCTATTTTTTACTTGATTACAAAACTTTTAAAAACGTTTTATTACTGAAAAAGTAAATTTTCCGTTCGTATTTTTATTGTTTTTTGAAGTTTTGGCGCATGTGATGTATCGTTCGTTCATTCGTTTGTTTTATTATTTTCCTTGTTATTTCTATAAGGGTACGAGTAGTTAGAGGGTGAAATTCAAGCAGACTGCGTGGTGCCAGCATCGTTCCGTGCTCGTGCCGCAATTCCTTATCGAATTTATCAATAACAGCGAAATAGCGACATAAAATTGAACGCGGCGCCGGAATGCAAAAGAACTCAAGCGGAAAAGCAAAAAATAAAACCATATATACCAGAGGCTGCAGTTAAAAAAAAGTGATAAAGTAATAAAGAAGGTTATAATCTTATAATAACATAAAATGCATGGCAAAAAGCACCGCTGCACGAACCGAAAGCAGAAAAACCAGCACAACCGGGTGTTATACTGCATAAAACAATGGGAAACAGGGAAAGAGAACTGAAATATGGCCGACTGCAAGCATAAACATAAACAACTTCTTCAATAGAACCTGGGAAGTCGTAAAAGTATTTAATAATGCGCTCAGTGGCCCGGAAAAGACCAAAACATGCAAAAAATATAAAAATTCCAACGTGTTTTGATATTATTCACCTTAATTCTATCTATAATATAAAAATAAATTGCAAAATGTGTTAGTAAGCGCATAACTCAACAACGCCTAGACCAATTTGGACAATTCTTTTTTTAAATGTTCGTTGAAATCCAAGAATAGTTTTTACGGCGAGAAAAATTCGAATAATTGCCGGGAAAACCCTAAAGAAAGCTCTTTTCTATAAAATAAAAGTTGGCATTGAGATTCAATCATAGTTATAGTTAAATAGTTGAATCCGAGATGGCGCGCTGAAATACATTATTAGCTATTCTTTATATAATCAATTTCTTTAAAGTAAAATTGTGAATCTTATTGCTAGAATTGACACATACTATGTCTAGAATAAGAGAGTAAAACCAAATTACATTTTTATTAAACACTGCCGAGACGAAATCGCGGGCAAAAGCATGTTTATTAAAAAATTAAAAATAAAGTTTTCTTAATCTTAGTATAGGTGGCGCTATGTAAGATTTACACGCTTGTAATATAACCAACAATGAATGTGTCGTTGTTTTCGTTTTTCATTCGGAAGAAAAACAAAACACGTCATAAAACATCTGAACAATAACGAACAGAGGCGTAAATAAATAGCGATGCTCGTTTGTCATGCCTCTCGTCTCGTCTCGGCTTGCAGAGAGCAAACGAGGGATCAAGCGTGAAGGATGAAGGATGAGGAATTAGGGACGAAAGGCATTCACATAGTCATAGTCATCTTCGTGTTCGTCTGCGTCTCATTCTCATCCACGGCCCCATTGTACGTGTATATATATATGAATTCCTTTCTTCGGTTCTACATTTACCGCCATTTGTCTATCTGCGTGTAAAAACGGCGGCCATCTTTCAGCACGTCGTTTGCGCCTGTCTGCCATCTTGTCGACGCTCTGGGCGACACGAGAACCGTCGTAAACTTCCCCATAGAACCGACATAACCCAGTTAATACCCTTCTACAACATAACCTACAAAACCAAATGAGTAATATATATAACCATATAAAGTGTCGTTCATTTTTCGAGCAGTCAGCACTTATTCTAAATGATAAAAATAAAATGCATGAAAACTTATGCTAATGATAGATGGCGATACTTGTTCATTATCATTACCTAGCCGTAACTTGTATCTTTCACGAAGTTGAAAAGGTTTCATGGTGCACGATGGCCAAAAAGTAACAAGGAAATTCATCATCATTAAAATATCATCAAGCTGCGCGTGGTCGTTCATCATTTATCATCTAGGTATCAGTTTGTCAAATAATGCGGACATACTGTATGTTTTACACATCGTTGACTTTCGTAATAATTCGTGATGTGTCGTATTTTATCGCCGACTCTCGAATTTTATGCATATTCCATTTTTAACCTAAAAAAACGCCCGTTTTTATATTCTACCACTGGTGTACTGTGTTGTTTTTTTTATTCGGGTTTTATTCAAACAATCAAATCTGAATATCGCGTGCGACGTGCTTGGAAGCTTGAAGCCGTCGGGCATTTTCGTATTCGATGTTAGCGTTTTCTTCGTTTCGCTTGGCATCCGGGAATTTTCCGTTCAGCGCATGGCTTTTCAGTGTTTCCTGACGCTTTCTAACGAAATCCAACATTTCAAGACGTTTCCTAACGTTTATAATGCGTTTTCGTTTCTGAGTTCAGAGTGACTGTAACTTATATTTTGTTTTTGAGAACAAACAGTTTTGAAAGCTTTTTCGGTTATGAGCTTTTATATTTAGCATTTATCTGTGGCTTTTTCACTTATAAATGTATTTGATACCGGATTATGTCATATTAAGTTTTATTTTTCTGAAACATTTGTTATTGCTTTTATTTAAAAACATATTCATAAAGAATTAAATTTGTTATTTGGTAGTAAAAACCGATGGCATTTTGCGTTGCATTTTGGTTGTTTATAATTTAATATTAAAGTGCAATAATGATTAAATTTGCTTTTTGCGATATTGTGAGCTATAACAACGTAAAATTCAGGTCAACAAGTTTGGTATTACAAACATTGAAAGCTACTTTAATTAACGTTTGATTAAAATGGGTTAAGATAGCTGAAATAACCTATAAAATATTAATTTTTAAATATTTTTATAAGAATTATTAGATTTAGCTCGCGACTTCGTCCCGGTAGTGTTTAATAAAAATGTTTCGTTTTTACTCTCTTGTTCTAGACATAGTATGTGTCAATTCTATCAATAAGATTCGCAATTTTATTTTAAAGAAATTAATTATATAAAGAATTGCTAAATGCACTTCAGCGCGCCATCTCGGATTCAAATATTTAACTATAACTATGATTGAATCTCAATACCAACTTTTATCCTATAGAAAAGGGCTGTCTTTAGGGTTTTTCCGGCAATTATTTGAATTTTTCTCGCCGTAAAAACCATCCTTGGACCCTAACGAACATTTTAAAAAATGAATTGGCCAAATTTGCCTAGGCGTTGTTGAGTTATATGCTTACCAACAAATTTTGCGATTTATTTTTATATTATAGATGTTGTTATTAGTTGAGAGTCAAAGTTTAAAGTATTTATTTAAAATATGTAGGACAAAAGCATTACGAGTATAGAATTGTCATCTCTCGTTTTCCGGTTTCCCCGAATTACTCGCCTCGCATGTCGTATGTTCTCATGTTCGCCGCCATTTTATGTGCGGCACGATGCGACCGTTAGTCCATACATCATCGTCGCTCGTCGTTTTTCACAGCTACGCGCCCGCCGCACGCCGTTCGAGCCGCGCATATTAATGATACAAGACGATCCGCCGCCTCCATCCGCCACACCATCTCCAACCCTTTTCCCCGTTTCGGGTCGCGTTCTGCATACGCGATGATGCCTTCTAATACCTCTCGCGTTCTCGTAACGGGCCAAAGCAGAACGAAAACGAGTAAATCCTTCCGGGGGGCTTCCGGGGACGCGGTCGCGGAAGCGCAGTCTGCCGGGGTAAGGGGGCCGAAAACTTCCATCGAAAGACCGCGAAATTTTGTCATCTCCGTTACGCGCAACAGCAAAACCAGCGAAAAAAAACTCCGAGACGTTCTTGGGTGGGTGGGCTTAATTTTCACGCCGTCGTCATAGCCCCACTTCCGGTTTCCGGTTTCCGCGACGAGCGCACACTTTCGACAGGTCGCCCGCAAAGTGGCTTCGCTTACAAATTAAATGATAAGTTATGATAACTTATGGTAACTAATGGTAACTCCGGAAAACGCGTGAAAATTCCGGAAAAGTTATGAAAACTTTATGTATTGATCATGAAAAATTCACAATTTATGCAGAATTAGAAACGCGATGTAGAAATATGTCCTACAACGTTTAATAAAAATGATGTATACAATGTGTTCAAAGAATTTTGTTACAAATTTCCGGATTAACGTAAACCGATTGAATTATTAGGTCATTGGGGTCAGACATGCGTACAAATAGCCAATCAGATATACAGTACGTATATAAACTCATAAAATAAACAAAGAATATGACAAAATAATTTGTTTGAATTTAACCGACGTTAAATAATATTTATATTTTCCGTATGAAAATATCAAAGTTAAATTTGGTGAATAAACTCTGGCGGGAAATTTCTACGCGTACAACACCACCGAAAACCACCCTCATCCCCCTCCAAGAGTAATACTAGTACTAGGCGCGCATGCGCATTAAGTCAGCCATACTACTACATGACGTCACGTCCGTGTGTGCGCGCACGTTGAACCTTTACCTTTGCGTTTACGTTCAGGGTCGGTTCGGCGGCGTGCAACGCAGAGGGATGATTTTCTTTCTGTGCAAGTGTGCGTGTTGAGTGTGTGTGTGACGGGGAAAAATCAATAATCGGCCGTGAGTCGTACGGCGCAAGGATGGCCGAGTGAACGAACCGGCGCGCGTTGGGGCGGCATGGCGGGGGTAGATTGGTGGTGGTGGCAGCGTACGCCGCCTCCGCGAGTCTCGTGCGCGCGAGCGTGGATGTGAGCGTGTGAGCGGTGTGCGAGCGCACGGCGTTTTCCCTTCGGTTAATGTGCGATAAAAATGGCAAGGGCTGCTTTTTTACAAGAAAGGTAAAACGCATCTTTTCAACATCTTAATACATCCGACTGCAGGCGATAAATGTTTATAAAAAATGTGTGTATTTATACGTGAAGTGGAAATTGAGTGAAAATTGGTGGCAATGTGAGAGTTGCGGGGGTTGCGGATGAGAATTGGACGCGCGCCATGTTTAATATTGGACGAGCGAGGGTTTTCCGCACGGGATTACCCCGGCTAATAATTTGAGTCACCGAAATTAGTTTTTATACACTCGCGAATTTTTTAGGTTAGTTTTGAAGGTTAAACGTGTGTGAATTTTCGTGAATGAGTGTTCAGCAAGCAGAAAACTAGTTCAAAGGTGTTCAACACGCGAATTTAATAGACGCAAAGTTTGAAACAATTTTTGACACAACCGGAAACGGAAATGACAACAAGTGCACTTTCCTAACTTGCAAACAACTTAATTTACACATAGGATTTAATTGAAATGAATTCTTTTCAAGTTAAGACACGAATACACAAATTGTTTGCCGAAATTGAGGTTAAGATGAAGATTGTACATTTGGCTGCCTAATCAAATTTGCTTCTATTGTAAACATTTGAACACACGTTTGGGGGGTGAATATTTATGCGCGATGAAATTTAGCTTGCAAATTGTGCAAATTCGTTTACTTCCGGTTTTCACATTGTGTTTACACACGTAATAATCCGATAATTGCCGACGACGCAAAGTTTGCGCTTGAGATTAGCACGATGCGATCGCTATGCAGCCAACCGCACACCAAAGCGCGGTGCTAATTGTTATCGTTGCCGTGAACTGCAAACACACGCCGATGACGTCATAATCTATCGGTACATAACCTAACTCGATCGTTACCAAACAAACGCAGTGATATTATTTGTCTTTTTTGGCCAAAACCCGTAAAACCAATCAATATCTGTCTATTACTGGCCCTGTGTCCAGAAGAAAGAAGAGGGGTTAATTAGAAATGTCAAAAACAGAATTTTATTGTGTTTCATCTTATGCCCTGGATGATACTTCAATGTGATTGAGTATTATCGAGTGCAATAAGGTTATGAAGACTCATAACCTCATTTTATGTGAATATAACCTATAAATTAAAAAAATAATAAATTGAAATGAATTGTAAGTCACATAACCTAAACATATTGGAAACGTACGCTTGGAGTGTAAAATTGGACGTAGGTCCGCCCGAAATTTGATTATGGCCCAACGTCCCATTGGACTATTAAATCTCCATTAGCCCGAATACCCTTCAAAAACGGAGACACACGGCCGGAAAATGTGTTTTATGCCTTCCCGCACACCCTCTCACATATGTTCACATTTATTCGAATCGCATCGAAGCGAATCGAACGCGTGCGCGCCGAAAGTCATTCAAAGTCATTCTGAAAGCATTTCGATAAATTGAACACGCTGAAAGAGATATTCGAGTGTACCTCCATCTATATGTGAATACTTAAACTGAATTACTCTACAGACATTTTTTCCTAACCTTAATTTGAGGTTATGATAAATTGCGCAAATGAAATTCTGCAACAAAAAAACATTTGTGCAAATACCTCGTAATATTTTATTTTGATGACGGTTCATTAAACGAACGCTTTGCGCTTATTTTGCGTATGAATTCGAGGGTGCGACTCTTTCACTCACAAGTCTCACCCCACAAGTGGGGTGATTTAATCGACCGTTTCGCCGCTCTGTCGACGAACCTTTTTCGTGATTACGTTTTTAATCTCGGCACTCCGACTCGCAGCTTCGTTTTCGTACTTTGCTTGCAAAAAAAGTTAAAATAAATAAAATAAAGTACACAAAAAAAAAATAAAAAAAAAGGAAACATGATGTAGATGGCGTTGCAGGCACATATATTTTTTACGAGCAATATAAAATAAACGTAGATTATGATTAAAAGCAAAAGTTAATTAACAAACATCAAAAAATGTCATAACCACAGGAATTTAATTGAATTCGTCAATTTTGTACACATTTATTACCTTTTGAACATATTGTATGTTAACTATAGTGATTTATGTTTGTAAAACGACAATTGATTGATTTGCGTTTTTTTCTTCAGTTGAGTATTAGTTAATGATATAAACATGTCTGCGAAGCACTCAAACTGGACCTATTCACATTTATAGCGATAAAAAAATAATAACCGGAAAACATTTCTACGCTTCGAGGAAATAAAAAGTCAATGAAAGAAATATTCAACTTCTGAACATTAAACGTGAACGCATCAATTATTTATTAAACGTTTCTAAATGGCTTTCGGCTAGGAGTTGGGTAACCAAACTAAAAAATATTTAATGCAATTGTTTGGACAATAATTATGACTTGTGAAATACGATGGGGAATTTATTACACCAGCATAAATATAAAAAAAAACAACTAAAAATGGTATATTAAGTAACAAATGGCTAACGCGGGCATTTAATAACGTTTAGCCACGGGGTGCTTACGCTATTTTTTCTACTTCCACTCTAGTTCCACGTTGCGGTTTTGGTATTTCAAGTTTTGTATTTTAAATAATCGAAATTTGCTCGCATATTTATACAACCTGTAAGGTTATAAGTGCCATGCCGCGCATCGTGTCCCTCCGATACGAGCAGCAGCAGCGCCTGTTTTGACGTGTTTGACTGACGTCGCATGGTATTTCATACCGCCTTGTACTGCTCCGTAGGCAAATACGCAGGCGCTTGCTCCGTCCGGTGCATAATGCAAGTACATAATGAATATTATGTACGGCTTGGCTGTCCGTATATAAAGTACCACTTTTTGTGTCTAAAAACAGTAGAAAAACTGGCGCTTTATAAGTGGAAGTAGAAAAAAGTCTTTATAACACGTTGATGCAGTATTACCGGAATTAGAACAAGTCCTAAAAGGATTACTTCTTGAAAAAAAAGTCAAGTTAAGGACTTAAGGATTATGTCACTAATACCAGGTACAAGTATTGCGACATAAGAAAATTATCCTTTGAGAATACCATGAATAATCTTCGATAGTTATAGCTGTCATTTTAGACTTTTTCCTCATCATTATTTGTCGACAGAAGGATTATCTTGAGTCCTGACATTTATCTTTTTTTGATCCGCGTAAAACTTTCTATAAATCCAATCCGCTTATTACACTGTCGTCACCCCAAAAACAAAAAATATATAAAAGTGTGACGTTGATGAAAATATTTACTCCTGGAGTCCTTGATGTGATAGTAAGTGAGTGAGTGTAGAGATCAAAAGATGAGAAAATGGGAAAATGATGTCGAAGTTGTAAAAAAAGTCCTCTTCCACAACCGGAACTAAAAAAGGATAATAGAATAAACTAGAAGTAATGGTTGATATTGCTGTTCAAAGAAAATAGGAAAAATTAAGGATTAAAGAATTTCAAAGAGAAATTTATTTTTAAATTTTTTTCTTTTTGCTTTTGCTTTAAAGGATAATGGGCGAGAGGCTTTGGATCTCACGGCATCTCCATTGCGCGCGGCGCCAGGACCCACAGCACGCAACAACCACCCTCCACCAATGGTCATACAGGGTGACTTCCGGAAGGTAAGTGTTTTACTTTCACTCTTCGAAATTCAATTAATTATACGCCGCCATAAATATTGAGTGAGTTGCTCATATCCGCACCGGTTGACTCATCTGAGATTCCTTCTTATTCCCCTGGAGTATAAACCCTCCCAGTTTCCGGAAGCTACAAGGTGATCTATCTAATCTAACAACGTCTCAACGTAAACCACCTGAAACGGCAGCCGAGGACAATCACAAAGAAAATCAATTTTCCAGAGGAAAGAAACGGGGATGTTTAGGGGGCTGGGAAGTTGGGGTAGAAAAAAAAAACGAACGATAAGCGAACTGTTCAAACCGCAGCCACGAACCCTTCCTAGAGAATTCCGAAAGGACCAAAAACTATAGACATAAATCACGCCGTCTACAAGGATAACTACTACCACTAGTGTTTTTGGGGAAGGGTGAGAGAGGAGTAAAGGGGATTTCTTGCCGGGAGCACGTGCTAGTTGGCACGAGTTTAGTCGGAATCTGTAATATTACAGATAGTTTAAAACAGTTAAATTTTGAACAATGAATTAAAGCGGTTAATGTCACTCACAAAGGGTGTAGCATTAAATTACAAACTTGTACATAACCTAACCTATGTTAATCCGACCATACATAACCTAAACTATGTTTCTATTTTAAGGTTTCCGGTATTAGCACGGAAATCTTCAAGCAGATAGAGCAAGTAGAGAACGACCACGATGCGACGACGGCGGCGGCGTTGGAGGTACGTCTTAAATTTTTTCACTTCCGGTTTTCCGGGTTTTGTGTTTTTACCAAAACACCGCAGTGAAAGCAAAACTTTCCAGCGCGGGTTTCGACTACAATGGCACGTCTTTTGGCAGGACCTTTTCCGGTTTGCACAAAAAAGCGCGTGGAATTTTCGTTTAAGCGTCCATTCGAGCGCGAAGAATGAAAACGAACAAAAACCCGCAATAAATAAATTCCCGCGACGTGCTCTTCTCGTCCGACGAAGCAAGAGCAAGAGCATCCCTCTCAAGGGGGTTGGCTTTACGTGCGTGTAAAACACGTTTAATTTCGTTTAGCCGCCCGTCAACTAAAATATTTACAATCGTGTCAGGCACAAACATTTCTTATACATACGAGTATACATATACAGGCATTGATATAGGTTACTCGTGGTAGCTTTAATGACATAACCTAACTTGGGTATTATATGAGTCATTGTTTGATTTGTCAGCACGTGGAGCGGCGTGGTGAGATGATTGTCCGCATCCTCGACGCCCGGCAGCTGGGGCGGTCGTGCGCGGAGGCGGCAAAGCGCTTCCAATCGATGCAGGACGCCAAGCACACGGTGCAGTTCGTCGAGATCGTCAAGCGGCCCGGCCAGACGCTCGGTCTGTACATACGCGAGGGCAACGGCATCGATCGCACCGACGGCGTCTTCATCTCGCGCATCGCCCTCGAGTCGGCCGTCTACAACAGCGGCTGTCTCAAGGTATCATTCATTATCATCACGCAGCTAATAACTCATAACCAAAGTTATGAGTTAATATGACTTAAGTAATGACATCTATTGGTGTAATCTAGGTCGGGGATGAAATCTTAGCGGTTAATCTAGTGGACGTAACCCGTATGAGTCTTGATGATGTGGTTATTATTATGTCCATCCCACGCCGGTTGGTCCTTGCGACACGGCAACGTAAGGGTGGTATTAAGGGTGGGCAAGAGTCGCCCAATGTCCAGCCCCGCAACGAGCACAAACCACCGCCGGTGGTGGTCATTAAACGTGACCTACGTGAAGATGAAATTGATGAGCCTGATTTAGGACAACATAGGTATATGAAAACACACAAACCCTATAATTAAGGGTTGTTTTAAAAAAGGGTTTTTTAATGTTTATAGCAGGGATACGATGAGACAACGACACACAGGCGACGGGAGAGAAATGAGTGAGTCCCGTTCGCGACTGGGCCTTGGAGGGTTAGATGGACGCGGTGGGCACACACAGGACACCAATGGACTTGATCTGTATTACAATTCACGTCCGCCGGATAGTTGGGGTTATCAACCACCTCCGCCGGTTATTACTGAGCAACCTAAAGGAAACATCCAACACTTCCAACCCTTTGAAAGAGGTTATCCTGGTACCCTAGAAAGTCTTGCTGAGAAGGTGCACTCCTTTGGTTTGCCAAATCATAGACGTATGAGTGCTGGTAACCAACCCATTCCTGGGAGGTTATCAGGGCAATCACAACAGAGTCCATCGAGTCATTATTATGTTCAGCATACAGGTACTGGTTCAAGGAGGATAATGCCCAGGTCTGGGTCTGATCAACATTTACCGCATACAGAGTATGCTGATTACACGAGCATAACCCCAGCTGGGAGGCACAGTCTGTTGAGGTCCAGTTTGAAATCAGGGTCTACGTTGAGTAGATATAATCAACGTTATGTGGACCAGACCTCTGTGGCTGCACAATTAGCCCAGGCAAAGTATGCTAGTTCCGGACAGTATGCAGGTGCGGGGACACTTACTAGGAGAAATAGGAGTAGTTTGGATTATAGCAGTGACACTGAGGCAACGTGTGGTCCAAGAAATAGTTACTATTACTATAGGTATTTAAAAAAACATGAAACAATAAAAATTTAAATGATTGAGTAATGTTTTCATAGGCAACAAGCACCACCAGTCCAACACTCAACTTTGGCCACTTTGGGTCGTAGCGCATTGACCTCAGGAGGTCCCTCAGACATCAGTTCCAAATTCAACTCCCTTCCTAGAGATACTCGAGGTGCCACTCGCCTGGCGATGAACAAACGCTTCGGACCTGCGTCGGCTCTTCTTCAGGACGAAGCCGATGGTAATCTTTCCGCACCAGAAATGCCCTCCCTGCGGCAACGAGGTAAGTCCCAACTCTCTGCTCTAGTCCTAAGTCTAGCATAAGATGGCCACTAGTCGTGCACACTAAATGTTCTTGATTTCTATTTCCACTCATATCATTCACATCACTCTCATGATCATCATCACATCATCATAATCATCATCATCATCATCATGTTTGTGGTGTGTGCCTGTGAACCGATTGCAATACCCGAATCAAGGAAGGATACCCTCGTCACCCAATATATTCACTTCAGACGAGTACAGACAATGGCTGAGCCGTACACCCTCCACCTCCGCCATCTACGAGCAGATTCGTGCGTCGCGTGACGTGCTCAATCAGCAGCGCGCGGCGAGGTTCACCTACAGCGCTGAAAACATTCACGCAGCTCTTAAGGATGTAAGTCACCAAATTAAATCAACACCAAAATTTAGTCATAGGAATGTTCTTAGTGTGGGTTTTTAGTTTAGATTAGTCTAGTTCTGTTTGGATGTCTAGATCTTAGACTTAGCACCAATTGGCTGAAACCGTTCTTGTTTTTGTTGTTTGTTAGACCGAAGGAGGGTATTACAGTGCGTACGGCAGGCCGGGTGTTACCGCGACGCTTGATCGCAATTTCTCGCGTGCGCAGCATCAAACCCCCGCACGCTCATTGTCAACTCAACATATCACATCATCCCCATCAGGTAATAACACCCCTTAGTTATGATCCCTTTCCATTACCCGAGATGTTTAATGGCAATAGAAATATTAGAATGTTCTAAAGTTTGTCTTTCAGCTTTAGCATCAAGTAGGTCACCTTCAATGCGTCGCATGAGACAACTCTTGGAGTTGGATGCTGTGAGAGCAGGAGCACCTAGTCCTGTCCCAACCCCAAGTGGGACTCTCCCACGAGGGCAAAGACAGTTGGATATCAACCCCGCGGAGTTCTTGAAATACAAAATTGATAAACCAATGCAGGGTAGTGGTCTTAGTGGCTTGCCTTCGTTGGGTGGTAGTGGCCTAGGTGGAGAGGAACCCATTAGTGGTTTGCTGTGGGTGCATCTTCTTGCTGGGCGAGGGTTGCGGGCATCTACTGGGTCTTCAAATGCTACTACACCGGTTACACCTAGTGGTGGAACAGCTCCAACGATAGGAGGTAGGAAAAACTAATTTTCTAAAAACAAAAATTTTTAAATTATTATTTTGAAATAGGGTCAACTGGAATGCGTGACCTATACTGTGTGCTGGAATGTGACAGAGTCCATAAAGCCCGTACTGTTGTTCGTACTGGAGATTTGGTCTTTGATTGGGACGAATCCTTTGAATTAGACCTTGTCTACAATCGCGAACTAGATCTACTAATTTACTCCTGGGACCCACAATACCGTCACAAACTGTGTTACAAAGGTTCAGTCCATCTTGCATCTCTGCTCAAATCTGGTCCTTTACATCAGTTGGCTTTGAAAATTGAACCTAGAGGAACATTATACCTTCGTCTGAGACATACCGACTCTTTTACTCTTTACCGGCGAAGAGGTATCTCATCAATGACACTCTCAAGAACCCAACCACTTTTTGGTGTAGATCTTGAGAGTATAGTCAATCGGGAAGCCAAAACCGGTGGTATCCCTGGCGGGGTTTCCACTGGTCTAGCTGGTCCTGGCCAACAAGTACCAATCATTATCCGAAGGTGTGTGGAAGAGATTGAGCGACGAGGGTTAGACATAATTGGACTATACAGATTATGTGGATCTGCTACTAAAAAGAGAATCTTAAGGGAAGCGTTTGAAAGGAACAGTCGTTCTGTGGATTTGACACCTGATAATGTCCCTGACATCAATGTCATCACAGGAGTTTTGAAGGATTATCTTCGAGAATTACCAGAACCTTTGTTCACCAAGTGTCTGTATCAGATGATGGTGGACGCACTAGGGGTGTGCTTACCTGATGACCCAGAGGGTAATGCCAAGTTGATGTTCTCTATCTTGGATTGTTTACCAAGAGCAAACAGGGTAAGTGTTAAGAAATGATAATAAAAGGGTGTTATTGATGTTTGTTTTGTTTAGTCTACTTTAATATTCCTAATGGACCATCTCGCATTGGTGGTATCCGCATCGGACAGAAACAAAATGTCCGCCCAGAATTTGGCCACTGCATTAGCTCCAGTCCTGATTTTACATTCCAACGCTGATGGGCATCCTACAGCAGTGAAGCACGAAGTTGACTACAACCAACCCATCGGGGTACTCAAGTATCTGTTGCAGATTTGGCCAACGCCCAAACACCACTCAGGTAATGTCTTGCTCACTCCCGGTCTTGTCCGGTAAGCGCACCTGGGGATGCGATGCGTTTTTATGTTCTCACCGACACATCAACTCACCCAGAAACTTATCAACTCACACTAGCTTAGATTTCATCCGAACATACCATCTCGACCGTCATCGCCATCTTGATCACATACATTCAATCACTCCTTATAATTTACTTATTTAGTTAGACAGTTGATAAATATTTTTTACTTAGTACAGATGAGTATTTGAGAATAAAGTAGTTTTGTTCTGCATGAGGTGATAGACCGTTGTTGGAAATGAGGTCTGGGCTAGTGGCCGCCATCTTGTTCGATGCGCTGAGTGTGTCGCTTGATGTGTCGGGGTGTTGTTGGTATTGAGAGGGGGACCTTTTCAGACAGGTCGACGCGCCAGGCTACCCGGGCCGCGTGGAGACAGTCGCAGTGCGTTAGCTCCGGCGGCGGCAGCTCTGGGAGCAGCGTCGGGGGCAGCGGGCTCAGCGGTCAACTTGGCCCAACGCCCGCTGGCATCCGAGCCGTCTCGGCACTCAGTGGCTCCGTTTCCTCCTCCTCCTCGCTCTCTAGTCTCGGGCCCCAGAGGGCCTGCGCCACCGGTCCCCTCACATCAGACACTCGTAAGTATATACATCATTTTAAACCAACAAAATGATCACTAACAGAATAATATGTTATAAAGGGCCAATCATCAGTAAACAAAGGTCCTTACCGTCCGCTCTCACCTCGAGTCGGACCGGTTGCGGCGCCGCCTCCGGGCTGCTTGGCAGCTTCAGCGGGGGCGGCATTGGCCTCGTCAGCAGCGCCATCCCAGCCCGCGCACAAACCGCGGCAGGTGATAGTATCCTCGCCAGGCTCGCCAAGCAGTAGCAGTGACAGCCAATCGGGTTCCGACTCGGTTAAACACTACCAGACACCGTCATCTCGTGCGGTCAGCGCGTCTCCAGCTGCTCTACGTGGGTCGCCTTCATCCATGCGTAACTCGCCTACCCTCCGTCACACGCCATCATCAGGTGCAACTACCACTTCTAATGGTACCTCGGCGTTTGCTTCCACCAAGTCGCCGTCAATCACAAGTCTAAGCCGTGCTAGTCCTTCATTTGGTACCACTCGAAGCAGTTCACCTGCTATGCAAGGTAGTTCAGCAGGAATGGCTGTTACCCTTGCATCAGCAACCAGCGCACTGTCAACCCTGACAGGACTACAATCTACTATCTCGAATATTAATACCACTGCTGGTAATCTCTACAGTCTAAGCTACTCTCAACCTTCTCAACCTGCGCCACCTCCTTCACAACCCACTACATTCGCAAGCACAAATCCCTTCCTAACTGGAGCTTACCTCAACTATACCACATCTGAATCTTCTACTTATGGTGGTAATGGTTCATCAAAACCTTACTCCAATCTCTTTGACACCAGTAAATATTCCTATGACACTTCCCCTGTAACCAACGGTAAAGGCTATGACAGATCCTATGAAAACGGCAAAGATTCCACTAATGCAACAAGCAAACTCTTCGATAAACTCTTCGACAATGGTAAATACGGCTCTGGATCATCCTCCTCAGCATATGATTCACATGGTAACCATGGCAGTACAACAAACAACCACGGAGGTCACGGCAATCACACCAACAACGGCAAAGACAAACCATTCGCATACGAAACATTCAAGTCGTATTCATCAGCCGCATCAGACGCATTCAGCACCAGCGATGTGTACACAACAAGCATGGCCGCCAGTGATAAATACAAATCATATCTGGCAACCACAACCAGCGGTTACAACCCATATAAATACGACAGCAGCTCACCACGAGATGTCTCACCAAGCAGCACTGGTAACGGCGGCCATGTTGGCAACGGACATGACGGCAACGGGTCAAATGGCGGTGGTCGTGGCGGCCATCTTCAAGTCGAGGAAACGCCAACACCAACAAGCAGCATCGAAACGGAGGATAGTAACACCCGCGAGGTAGGTGAGAAAGACGTCGAAGGCGATGGCGAACTGTCAGACTAAATTGACACTCACACACGTCACATTGACGTGTGTACGTCAAGTGGGGTTATGTTTCATAACGTCACCATGCGTAAAATGTATGTCTGCTTGATAGAATCAAACGTACTCGGCGATAGTATCATTGTTAACGTATATATAATAAATGAATCTATATATAAATATTATATATATATTATACAATATATAGAAGGATAGCTATTATTATCTATTTAAAATATTTACGCGGACGGAGGGATTTTTTTGCGACGTCGATGAAATGATTTAAAGACTTTTAGCCGTAGTTAAAATTTGATGTAGTTCTAAACTAAACAAAAAAAAAACTAAACCTAACCTAAAACTTAAAAAAATAGTAAATGACAGGCAAAAAGACAGAACGACACGACTTAAATAAAAAAAATGAGAAATAGTTGCCGTCACCAGCGGAAGAAACTTAGTGAATCATTGTTATGTGTTTGCACAATATACATATATAAATAATATTATATAAAATATATATGATACGATTATATATATACATACTAATTGGGACGACGACGAGATGAAGATGTTTTTTGACTTTTCAATTTTTTACGCTTTGTATCGACTTTTTGATTGCGCCCCAAAGACGCGCTGATACTAAAGTGACGTGTAGACGTGTAGAACTATACAGATATACAGTGTGTTTAACCTATAGCAGAAATTCTTTATGATATAGCGCGAGATTACGTTTCGTCTTTTCGTGTGAACGTTGTTGAAACTGTTTGAGATCAAGCACAAAACTCCACTAGGAAAGTTTAGCGAAATAAAAGTAAAAAACTTAAAACGAAAAGCAAATCAAACCAAAATGACGTTTTGGTTTGTTTTTCTCACTGTGTAAATTAACTAAGCATATATAAATATATAGATATACTCCTCGTGCATATTATACATACTATATTATACACACATGCGAAGCAACTTTTTTGAAACGTGTATATTACTAAGCGTATTGTATGTGAAAGTTTATACGCGCATGCGCGGGACGACAACACTGCCACCACTTTATGAACGTCACACAACACACACACAACATTCAAATTGAAACTATACATGTGGTTGCTTTATTAGAAAGCAATAAAACTAGTTTAAATGAAGAACAGAACGTTGACGTATAAATAAAAAAACTAAACAACAACACACACTTAACGAGATAACTTTAATGATGTTAATATAATCGTAATCGTGCATACGTGTAGATAAGTGACAGTTGAGCGAACAAAAAATGGCGCAGATGGTTATCTAGGCTTTTTACATTTTCGAGCAGACAAGAAAACAATGCCATATACGTATACAGTACGTCATAGCGGATATATTCCTAACTAGATATGTATATGTACGTGTCGATATAATGTCGGTAAGGTAGATTTCTGCGCTCGCGCTCGCTTGTTTCTGCATTGTGGGTTGCTGCGCGCATATTTCTTGTTGATGTTGTTGGTTATGTTTTAGTCTTTATTTTCCGGCAGCAACCACACTAAAACCATCAAACAAGTGACCAGCGAGGAATTAGATTTTCACATGTATACATACATTGCATATATACATATATTAAGATAATAATTAAATTATATACTAGGCGCGCACGTTTGTTTAGTTCTGCAAAAGGTAAGAAATCTAACAACTGAATTACGAATTGAATGTAACTGTAGATATTATATATACACTGGTAACACACCTACACACACATGTAAGCATCTGTTCGCTGAGCGAATGTGTTGTTTGATTGTCATCTGTCAAAATTTGACGACAATTCATGTCAAAAACAAAAACTATACATATTATCATTGAAAGAATCACGGAAGTTGATTGTAAGTGATGTGAAGGAATAAGAAATGAGCATATAATGGAACATACAGTGTGTTTAAAGGCACTTTGAACATATTGTATGTTTGTGTGGAAAAGATTCATTGCGAATGATCTCTAGTCAATTTTCTGTTTGGTCAATTTTAGGCGTCTATATATATATATGAAACATATACGATATGATATATATCTATAGTGTAATTAATTCAGAGCGGAAACAAAATGGCGGCAAGTAAACAAAAAATGATAAAAAATTAAAAACTAAAACTTGGGATTAACGCAAACGAATGAAAATGGATGAAATGGTGAAAGATTAACGTTGAATATTTAGACTGTTGAAGAGTTATTTATATAAATATGATTGTTTGGTTTGATTGATTAGTATTTCGGTTTTTCTTGAGACTTGAATAAAATGTTTATGTAGCGGAATTTTTCATGAATGTGTGTGCACATATCATAAACGAATTCGTGAATTTAAAGAAATTGTAAGAAAAATCATAAGGAGATGGTGAAATAACAAAAAATAAAATGACGTACGAATTAAATATCAGTAGAAGAAGTTGCCTATTAGTACTATCGAGTATTTACGATTTGTTTACGGATAGCTCATCATCGACTGACGTAATAAAACAATTTAGCAAGAAAAACAGGAAATGACATGCAAAAGACCTAATAAAACATAAAAAAAAACTAAACAAGAAACAAATTCTAAACGATTAAATGATGAGAATGTGACGCAAAAAATTGTAAAGCATTGTAAAATGTACACATGTACACACTGTATATTAACTTCTCTCTCATACTCGTTGTGCGGACGTTAGAGAACGACATTCAGTCACACATTAACACACATTGACATTGACATAAGCTAAAATTTGTAACATAGTAGATTTTGACATGAAATCATTGAAGAAAACGACGAAAAACAAATCTCAAAGGGATTTTTACCGAATCACAAAACCGAATCTAACAATTAATAAATTGCATAGACGTATAAAATAATATCATATTAGGTGAGAGATCAATCAATCAATCAATCAATCTCGGAATTGAATTGGACACACGTTTAAACACACAAAAATCATCTTGCATCTCACCATCATCATCGACGAAATAAGTCTGAACGTATACAATGTGTAAAAAAACGATAACCTGCGTTAGGAGGTATATTACTACAACTACAACTAGCAGCGCCACGTAGCGTCGCGTAGCGTCAACTCTAGCGCCACCAAACGGCAGGGAAACATACCATCTTTCATATAACGTAATATCTAACGATAATAATTGTTATAAACAACCATTAAGTCACAATGTAAGTGGAAAAACGCAACAATTAACTGTTTTGTTGTTTTGAATAAAAAAATGAATAAAATGTACACGAAGATTGATTGATTGACGCAAAAAATACTTGCGGATAAACGATGGCGAGCGAAAACCGAAACAGAGTAACAATGAGTAATAAACAATAATAATTATCAGTATTTAATGAAATGTGAGGCATGCAAACTCAGCTTTGAAACGGTACGAAAACAAAATGGCGGAGACAAACATGGCGGGATGTGTCATGTGATGAGATGGTGCGCGAAGATTGTAAGAACGGCTAGAAACCCTCCTAATTGACGATTATACTATAAACATTTAAATTAATAAAGAAATAAATCTTTCAGTTGACTCATAATTGTGTGTGTTTTGTTTTTAATTAATTTTTAGGGTTAAAAATACTCTAGTGGCCTATTTACCAATCATTCAATTAGTTAATTTTATTATTTCAATGGAATTAGAGCAAAGTGTAATAAACAATTACGATTGTTGTGTAATTTTGTATTTTAATGAAAGATTGACGCGATTATTCGAATAATTGAACTGGCACATTGCATTAATTTATTTATTTGTGTCTGCTTTTATTCTTTTGTCGTTATTGTTTGTTTTTTTGTCAATACGATGACGGAACATGGAATTTCTCCAAAAATACAAAACGTGTGAGTAAGCAATGCGCGCGCGTTGCATAACTTATGAAATTGAGGATGCTGCCAAATATTTAGTTGTTCGGAGGTGCGGGCATGCGCATATTACGTAAGTATTGTGTTTAATTATTATCCCAATAAAGCTATAGCGGCGAACAACGAAAAAATAAATATATTGCGTTGACTTTGCTTGCGAATGCTTTATTTGTCTTTGTTTAACGTAAATTCTTTGTTCGCTTGTTCGTTTTGTTCGTGTGTGCTAAATAATTGCGCATTGGTGCTAAAAATTGCATTAATAAACATGAATAAAAGGTGAGTTAAGGTTAAACCAATTAGTAAAATTGGGAAATGTCTTATTAGAAAGTATTTAGTGTATGTACTTTTTGTATGTAATAATTTAGGTTAGTTCAACTGGTTGCCTATATTAAATGAATTTAACTGCATCTATAATATAAAAATAAATCGCAAAATCTGTTAGTAAGCGCATAACTCAACAAAGCCTAAACCAATTGGGCCAATTCTTTTTTTAATATGTTCGTTAAAGTCCAAGGATGGTTTCTACGGCGAGAAAAATTCGAATAATTGCCGGGAAAACCCTAAAGACAGCCCTTTTCTATAGGATAAAAGTTGGCATTGAGATTCAATCATAGTTATAGTTAAATAGTTGAATCCTAGATGGCGCGCTGAAGTGCATTATTAGCTATTCTTTATATAATTAATTTCTTTCAAATAAAATTGCGAATCTTATTGATAGAATTGACACATACTATGTCTAAAACAAGAGAGTAAAAACAAATTACATTTTTATTAAACACTACCGGGACGAAGTCGCTGGCAAAAGCTAGTCTTTTAATAATTTTGTTGATTTTTATGTCTACGTGACACATTTGACACATAAACTTGCACCACAAAAAATGCGATCAAGATCAACGCTCAAAATATTCTTTCTAAATGCAATTACATCATTATATTTAAATTAGCCGAATTCTAATGTCTAGTGACGTGTAACGTCTTGCTCAATCACCCGCTGCTCAACTGGAGCAAGTTTAATACGTTGCCCTTGACGCCTTGACACTTTCCATAACACAAGCTATAAAATAATTCGATCACTAATTATGATTTATTTATAAATACAGGATGTTTTTAAATATAAATTAAATAAATTAAACTAAGTTGAAGACAATTACGTTTGTCTGCAGGTAGGTTATTCGAGTAAAAGTGTCACGATTTGACCGCGTCGCTTTCACTTTTTTCAACTTTTCAACAAAACACTGCAAGTAAATAAATTCATTCACAGAAATCTATCGTCTCTATAGGTATAAATAACCGATTAAATTTTATATTCTTGTTTTTTTCTTTTTTGATGTTTCAATAATAAATTATTTCTGGCATGAAAATATTGTTTGCATTTTTGCCCGTAAAAGTGGCCGTTGAAGTCGTTGAAGAGAAACCAGAAATGTTGAAACGGTGTTTTAGTGTATGGCAACAACCAACGAGTGTTTAAATTCCGCGTGAATATTTTTTATTTAGGCGCTGCACGCAAAAGTTTACCTGATGACCTGGTCACCCAATCGCCGGCTGGTCAACTGGTCGAAAACGCGAGAAGTTGTTGCGACAACAAGAAATGCAACAAACGTAACAAAATGTAATAAATGCAATCACAACAAATAGTGATGCAATAAAAACCTCTCTAAATTCAAAATTTATTAGAACTTCATTATTTTTAGCCAAATATTAATTTTCAAAAGTAATTTACTAAAATGTACCTACAAAAAATTTTAATTTTATTTTTCTATTTTATTTTTATAATAAGATAAGAGCTTTTTTAACAGTTATATACTAATTAAGCACATTTTGGTAACCTTCACACTTGTATAAAAACAAAAATGTAGTTTTAATGCCCAAAATCAATGATTTTAGAGCAAAATAACTTCTGCTACCATTATACCACAGTAAATATATCAACATACCTCTTCTTTTCTCTGCATTCGCACCTCCATGATGTTTTTTTGAAGCGTGGAGCGAAGTTTGGGTATTTACCGGGCTTTAATTGACGCTCAGTCGCGTGGCGCACTTTAGTAACATTCGCGCGTCGTCCGCGCACTCACTTAGCACTTACCGACATGTAATTCAATAACTCGCATGTTTATAAACTAAAATATTTTTACTTTCAGTGTTTATTCATTGTGTTTAACGCATAAGCCTTAGTTCAGTGAAATTTAAGACACAAAACGTTTATTCTTATAAAAAGTAATTAAAAACATAAACAAAAATGCGTGTGTTGGTATCTTTTTTAACGTTGATCATCATCGTTGAAAGCTTCTGGGCTCAGCTTATAATGCACCATCGTAATAGATTACAACGATTGGAAATTCAAGATGAAGAAAACGTGCCGATGAGGGTGAGATTAAGGGACAGGGTGAATGCACGCATGCAAAGACATCGAGAGAAAACTACAAGTCGAGTTTGTTATGGTAAATTTAAAATAATTGAAATTTTATTCATTGTGTGATGAATTTTGTGTGTTATTATAGATTTAGTCGGATGTTTTGAAGTTCCGCATGCAAACTCACCCTTACAAAAGATGCCCGAGGCACCTGAAGACCTCGACACTAAATTTTATCTCTTCCGGCGTGATTTGAAATTTTCCGAACCGGAAGTCCTCCATTATGACGACAATGGTACCAGTTTACAAGATTCACACTTCAATGTTGATCAACCCCTAAAAGTCTACATTCATGGCTATCAAAGTCGATGGAATGAGAAAGGGGCGTTTTTATTAGCTGATGCTTTTCTTAAATTGGTAAGTAAAATAATCTAAAATATAAAAATGAATCGCAAAATCTGTTGGTAAGCGCATAACTCAACAACGCCAAGACCAATTTGGCCAATTCTTTTTTTAAAATGTTCACTAAAGTCCAAGGATGGTTTTTCCGGCGAGACAAATTTGAATAATTTAGGGGAATACCCTAAAGACAGCCCTTTTCTATAGAATAAAAGTTGGCATTGAGATTCAATCATAATTATAGTTAAATAATTGAATCCGAGATGGCGCGCTGAAATGCATTATTAGCAATTCTTTATATAATTAATTTCGTTAAAATAAAATTGCGAATCTTATAGATAGAATTGACACATACTATGTCCAGAAAAAGAGAGTAAAAACGAATTACATTTTTATTAAACACTACCAGGACGAAGTCGCGGGCAAAAGTTTTTTAATTTTTTATTATCATTAATTTGATAAATATGTTAAGGATATCAAAAAACACTAATTTTTCTTTAATGCCTCAACATTAAAATAATAAATTATTATTGCACCCACAATAAAGTTTTGAAGGTTTGTACAAAACAATCAACATAGTATTATGACAGATAAATTACATAGCTATTACAAAATGGCAATTACAAATAATTGCAGACGCCATACACCAGCGTACACAAGTGTTAGTGTGCATTATGCACTCAAGTGTGACTTTATGGTTAACGCAGTTAACATTGCGCACATTGTTAATATTTGTATTGGTACGAAATGCCTGAACACTTTTCTTTTCTCTGTTTGCGAGTACAAGTATTAAACTTATGAATTAACGAAGAGTCGCGTAAATGACCTTGACATCAATGCCCACAACGCAAGGTTCTTGTATTTTATGCTTCCAACTAAATTTAAAGCTTTAAATGTCCAACTATTGGTGAAATTTTCATAAATCAGTAAAACAAAACTTTCCGAGAGAAATTTTTGGCAATAAAAATTTACTTCCGCGAATTATTTGAGAGAAATTTTAATTTATGTGAGGATTTTTGATCTTTTTAGTGATAATTAATTCTATAGTTGTAAATTTTTAAAGTTCGAGTTAACGTCTCGTTGAATAAATAAGTGGTATAAGTCAATTAGGTCTTACTTAACGCTATTTTTATTGCATCGCAATTTTCGTGCAATTACAATTATAATTTCTAATTGCAATGGAAATGCAATACAAATGCATTGCGCGGCTGTAATTATCTTTGCGAGTGTGTTGATTACAATTATTTCGATGGTGTTTTGCAATTTTTTAATCAAGTTGTAAATGGGTGACATTTTGTTTGTTCTACTTTACTCTAGGCAACCAATTATGCAATTTATATATGTAACCAAACTTTAAAACAGGAAAAATTAAATGGTTATCAATTGAATTAAGCTATAATTTACTATGGTATGCAATGTTATTGTAATGAGTGTAAATTTCTGCAAGTAGATGGCTATACATGTACGTTTTAAACATTTAAACTTAGAAAGTCTATGTTGATGAGATAAATGATGCTAAACGCGAAATTATTCTCTTAGCTTTTCTAATCTCTTAAATGAAGCATCGGTGGTTCAGTGGTAGAATGCTCGCCTGCCACGCGGGCGGCCCGGGTTCGATTCCCGGCCGATGCAACGTTTTGCATATTGATTTTCTTCATTTTGATCTACAACATCAGTAAACAACGTAAATTCAACGTCAGCGTAATTGTAAACTAGTTCAATCATTTTTTCAATCGTCTGAATTTGTTTTCAATTGCTTTCCTTTCATCAACTGCAAACATGATAACAATCAAAAATGTCCCCCGAAGAGTCAATCAATTCGTCACAAAAAGCTTATTAATAACTCCAACAACACAATTGAATAGTGACTACTTACTTATTCGCCCACCCGGCCGTTAACCATTAATTGCGTGCACAGGACGCGTGTTCTTTGTGTAATTACGTATAAATATTTGTACGAAAATACTTGAAACAAACAAAACGTGCCACTAAACTCCGCACTCGTTACTGTGGTTATTACAATAAGTGGTTGCTGGAGTATAAACAATCAAAAACATTAATAAAAGTCAGCGGTTTTTTGGACGATCATATTTTTAGTTATGACTGCTATTATAATGTTAGACAACACATTACACAAACCTTTTGAGTTTTACATGAAACTTCACTAAAGTTTTATTAAAAGAAAATCATTAAAACGTGTATAAAAGAGGTCAAAATCTTCGAATTTACATTCATTACCAACATGCACTTCCATACTGTCAGTATTTTGACAGTAGTAATATCTACATTTATATATGGGCAAGAATCAAGTCAAAATAATTCAATTTTAAAAAATATTCATGAATTTTCATTGATTGATCATCGCATGTCTGTACTTCTGGAAGCAGCCATTTTGCGTCATTCATATTGCATAATCGCCATTTTTATAAACGTAGATTATAAAGATATGGACGGGTTTAAAACAAGAACAGATATATTTGAGAAATATAACTGTCAAAAATTTAATTTTTACGGAAATAACAACATTGAACAAAACTGGAGTGATATTCTTACAACATGGCGACCAAATCTTGTTTATATAAAAGTTTATATATTTATTCATCTGGAGACATCAAAAATGAATGAATTGTTAACCTGGTTAAGGAGTAACAAATTCATTACTCCATATCAAAACTATTTATACGTAGGATCAAATTTTTCTCAACCTACGAATATTGGAGAAGTTTTTCGGAGACATCACATTGTAAACTTTTTGATTGCAAAGTTTACTAATGTATCAAACACTATAGATCTTGATTTATTTACATATGAACCATATTCTGGTGATAACTGCAATGAAATAATGACTTTATTAAAAATAAATTTTCATAGAAATTTAACAGAATTTTACACTAAAAAGATTCCAAATCATCTAAATAACTGCCCGTTGAGAATATTAACATCAGTTTATGAACCTTACATTGGAGAACCACAAACATACTTAGAAACATCAAAATCATGGACTATCACTTCCGGTGTAGAGGTGGACATGATGAAAATGCTGTCAAAAATAGCCGGACTCAAAGTATACTACACTCTAGATTTCAACGCAGTTTGGAAAGAAAATGGCACAGATTTTTATCCAGGAAATATTTTTATACGCCTACAAAACGAAGAAGTTGATCTTGTTATGTGTTCTGTGATTCTAACCCCACTTAGAAATAAATACTTCGAGTTTTCGAAAGGTTACTATGTAGAATTAGACAAACTCTGTGTTCCAAAAGCAGAAAAGAAGCCAGAATGGTTAAAAGTCTGGGAATTTCTCTACATTCAAGGAATTAGTATTATTCCAATGATTGGTTTGACTATAGTAACATGGTTTCTAATAAAAGTAATGAAATACATCAGGAAACAATCATTTAAAGAACGAAAAAAGTTCACAAAACCATTAGATATATTTTTTATATACTTTGGAACATGGTTAACTTCTCCAATATCACAATCACCAAGGACTGATTCAATAAGATTAGTATTTATCACCTGGTTGATTTATGTATTGTTGTATAATACGTTTTGTTTAACTTTGTTGTATCACTTACTGAAAACACAACAGTACGACAAACAAATCACTTCTAAATTGGATCTTGTTGATTCTGATTTGGATTTAATGCTGCCTGATAACTACGAAAGGTATTTCTCGAATAGTAGTGTTGATGTTCAACTTCTAGAGAAGAAACATCATTGTCCAGATATGATTGGTTGTCTTCTCTCAGCTGTGAGAAATAAATCAGCAGCTGTCGGTGTACAAATGGGAGTTGTCTTATATGATGAGTATGAATTTAATATAAATGGAGAATCGAAGATATTCTGTTTTCCTGAGTATCTGCAAGTTACTTATTTGAGGTTGATGATGTATAGGAATCACCCTTTGTTACCAAGATTAGATCATCTTGTTAGTACATCCTTTGAAGCTGGTATTGTGGATAGATACATGAAGAATACTCTGTATCAAAGGAATTTTTTAATGTTGCATAAGTTGAGGAAATCAAGGGAAGGTGTCACTTTTGAAGAGGATGTTGTGTTCATGCGTTTTGATCATTTGATTACTATATTTTATTGTTATTTTTGTGGGATATTGTTGAGTACGTTTGTGTTTTGTGTTGAGAAGTACCGCGGGAGAAAAACAATCAACAAATATTACTAAAATAAAAAAAGTATTAAAACTGTAGAAATTCACAATAATAGTCTAAATGTTTAGAATATTTAGAATATTGAAAAAGGGGTACTGACCTTTTAGGAAAACACCAATGTGATTATTATGGATTGGTCCAAAGGTGCCCGAGGACCACAATACGCTGCAGCTGCGGCTAATACAGAAATGGCTGGAAGGCAACTTGGAGTGTTGTTGAATATGATGTTTGAAGCAGGCTTGAATCCGTCAAAGACGCATTTGATTGGGTTTTCATTGGGAGCACATGTTTCTGGCTGTGCTGCAGAGTCTGTAAAAACACAAGGGAGGTTAATTGGAAGAATATCTGGTTTGGATCCAGCTGGACCACTTTTTAGACATAATCATCTCAAGGATAAAGCTAAGAAGTTGGATAAGAGTGATGCTAAATTCGTGGATGTTATACATACTGATGGAAGTCCTGTAAGTTGATTTTTAGGTTGATCTGTGAATGTATACATTGATTATATGTATTTTTAAGGTTTTTATTGATGGTTTTGGTCTTTGGGAACCTATTGGTCATGTTGATTACTTTGCAAATGGCGGCCAGCAACAACCTGGGTGTCGAGATCTTCAAGCATCGATCGTTGCTACTACTTTTGGTAAATTAATCAAAATATTAACTGAATTAAAGGTTAATTTATAATTTTAGATCGAACATTGAACAAAGACAACGCCTGTTCTCACCTGAGGGCTTATCACCTTTTCCTGGAGAGTCTGATGAGTAAATCTGCGAAGAGATCTTGTGAATTTTTAGCGTACAAATGTCCCGGTGGGTTGCCTAGCTTCGAAACAGGACAATGTTTTCCACAAATTGAAGATAAAACAGTTAATCCGTTAGCCCTGGACGTTAAATATTATACTGATGTTGGTCGGGTAGGAGTTGATGCCACTGGTGATGGTGTAATGTATTTTGTAACCAGAGATTCACCATATTTTTGTGGGACTCAGATTCAAGCGAATGTTGTTATCAATGGCAAAACACCGAGGACAGGTGGAGTTTTGTTTGTCACTCTGCAACATGCAAATTCAAGCACCAATTTGCAAATACCCATTGAGTACGTTCCACTAGTGATATCAGTATCACGGGTATAACATTCATTTCTTATTTATTTACATTATTAATATTTTGTAGAATCAGCGATGGTTCAAATAACGTTTCGTTGTATCAACTCGCAACCGCAGAGTATGATTCATTGAAGGCGTCCACCGCCATTGTTGCACATCTGCGATACCGAAATTACGATTACAAAGATCATAATAATGTCACGATACCAACGGGGCGACATATTTTTATGAATAAGTTCGAAATTAAAGACATTCATGCGCACAGGTAACTAAAAACTTTACATTTTTGTTTTTTGTTTTGTTTCCTATTTTTGTTATTTTTATTTATCTTTTAGTTGGACATATTGTCGAAAACCAGTACAAATCTCAAACGATGAAGTGGCACTAAAACTGCACAAAAATGGATCGTGCTGATCTATTGCTTTAAATATTTATATGATAACAAAGTATTATAGTTTTTATCATATACCAGTCATAATATTGATACTAAGTTAGGTTTTTTGTTTATCATACAGTTCAAATATTTTGTTTTGAATGTATGTGTTGGAATAATGTTGTGTGAATGTAGAAAATTGAATATAAATATTTGTTTATATAAAAACACCAAATTTTGAAGTTTTTAAAAAATATTTAGTTAATTTCTGTGTTGCATAGAATTCATATTCTTTCACTTACAGTAATCGAAACATTATTCATACCTGTATCACCCTTCATATTCATATAACTATCAATACTACTCAAACAATTGGAATGAATATTGTTATAAACTAATCACAACCTAATCTTTGGGTATAAATTGAAGCATGAACACCAGAAGACCAGAACACGTTCAGTTCTTGACCAACTACAATTAATTCGCATAAAATGTTTACTAAAACACAAACACTGCTAATTTTAATTAGCATTATTAAACTTTTATTAATAAAAGTAGTACTTTCCGACGAAAAATGTACCAATGGAAATCGTCTTATTCAAACTGTGAAAATAAGCAACAATTTAGCTTCGAATATCACCAAAATTCACAATTACTACCGTCTGAAAGTCTCCCAAGGTGAGGTTTGGCAACAACCACAAGGTAGGAATCTCTTTAGATTATACTACGACCATCAATTGGCACGCAGTGCAAGGAAAGCTTCTTTGAATTGTGACATGAAAATGGTGGACATTACTGATCGTAAGTTAAAAGCTTTTATAAAAAAGATGGCGTTATGAGTATTATAAATATTCAATCATTTTAGCACGTTGGTACAACGTTGGTCAAAACATGTACTTAGAATATAGCAATGTACCAACACCAACACAAAATTGGGATGCTGTAATCGCTGCTTGGTTTGAGGAACATCATCACTACAGTTTTCCTGATGACAAGACCAAGTATATTACTGTTTCGCGTGCTACCGCTCACTACACACAAGTAGGCAACTTAATGTACATGAAATAAATTATAAGTGATACATAAAAATATTTTTAGTTGGTTTGGGCTAAATCTAGGAACGTTGGCTGTGATTTCGTCGTGTTTTATGAATATGACAGGAAAGGCACCCCTTACGGCAAGTTATACACTTGTTTTTATGGTCCAGGGTAAGTTTTACTTCATTTTACCCAAAATTATATTAAAATTGCTTTTTATATATATTTTTAGTGGTAATGTACTTGGAGAGAAACCTTATGAAGTTGGCACATCTCCTGACTGTTTACAACTGTGTTAAAACCAATTCATCACTGATTAATACCGGTTTAGTATTCATAGAAGAAAAATAAAATGTAAAAATGTATTTTATTGATATTACAAAACATTTATTCACATAATAAAAAAAATAATTGAGTATCGTAAGCGATAAGCGTTCAAAATGGCTGACAGCATCAACGCCATCTTTATTCTTCGTAGCAGCGACATTTGTCGCGTGGACATTCAGACTTGTAGTACAGACATTGATCCATACAATGAACATCAGCGTCACGTATACCAGCGTGTTCACCGATAGCATCACAAGTTGTACTAAAATTTAAAAATAAAAATAAAAACAATAAAATAAACAAAAACCATTCATTTCCTATACTTACGGACAAGCACACACTTTCGCTGGACAATTCGGTGGATATTTCATGCAGTTAATCTGGCACCAGTCATCAATACCCGGAATCATTCGATAAATAGCATTTGCAACACAAACTTGTTCTCTGACAATCAACGGGAAAACGTTGTATGGTGACGGACGACGAGCATCACGATAAAACAGAATGTATGGATTGTCCACGCCCACAAACAATGGTGGTACACCTCCGCCAACGTTTGATAATATAGCAACATCAGCACAGTTGCGGAATGTTTCCGGTTCTCCACAACCTTCGGCAGTGGTGCCATTTCCACAATCACCCCATTGGTTTCCGGTGTAGTACGACCACTGCAACACGCATTGCGTGCATGTCACATAGGGCGGTAGTTGCACATTGTACCGAAAGATGGCTTTCTTTTTACCATCAACCGGAATCCGGAATGCGACTTCTTTCGTGCCAGCAATATACAATGGATAACGTTGTAGACATTCTGTCGTTGCTTCTTGTGCAGCATTGTTATTCGGGCAAAGGAAAATCTCAAAACGTCCGTAGTGATTCGCAGTAAGTTCAATTTCAATATCAACAGATTGTCCCACGGAGTAATGTCTGGAGATTATACCGTTTGCATAAACACCTCCGGCTTCATGTGGACGTGGTTTTGGAGCGTGATAAGGATCACCACAGACACCGCATTTACCGCCATTTTGTTCCCATTGAACTAAAATTTAAGTGTTAACATATAGATAAATACTAAAAGATAAATTTAAGACCTCCACGACCACCACAAAACAATTCGTTGTCATTGTAATTAACAGGATTCGGAAACCCAAAACGCCACATTGAATTCCTCGCTGGCGGGTCCATTAGACGACCGTGAGCGTTAATCAAGATGGCGGCATGCGCCAGGATTAACAGCTTTAGGTAAAGCTGCATTTTAATCTGAAACTTAAAAAACACAAATGAAAAGTTGTTTATTCATAAACAATTCAATTCTTGTCAGGCTGTTGTTGCCGTTGATAAACCAGATTCGAGATAAGAAACACGATTATCCACTCGATTAGTAAAACTTGTTTAACATAAATAATTACGGAATAACGAATTAAGAATGGAATTAATATGTGTCTCCAGTTACTTAAATATTTAAGTAGATTGTGTTAATAATCTACAGAGTGTTTAAAACTTAAATTTATAAAAAAATATTTATTTCATGGAAACATATTGTATGTTTCTTTTAATTTATTAAACAGTCATGTCAAACGGTGCGTGATAGTGTGAATTATACCGGTCATGAATTTTAAATGAATTTTCGATGATTTAAGATCACAAAATTGAGATTTGATTTTTTCAGCATTTTTTTCTGCTTGGAAATGAAATTGTTCGCAAAGTGTCAAAGGTGAATGTACGACAATTGTATTTAAATTTGTCTAACATAAAAAAGTAACATTTAACAATGTTAGCAATAAAATATCAATCAATATAAATACGAATAAAATAAATTTACGATGTCAATTTAAATATTTAACATTTTATTACTGTTAAATATTTGATGAGGCAAAAAAGTGTCAAATCGAAAGTTGTTTAAAATGCATTCATCGTAGATATTATTACACATGATTCTAGTTTCAATAGTTTCAATTTCAAACTGACATTACCTACGGTTAACGAATAAAAGATTAGCAAGGTTGATATTGACCTCAATCATTGTTTAGAATATAAATTTATTTAGACATAAAAATTACGTTAATATTCGCAAAATTAAAGTTTAATGTTATTGCATCATAAAATTGTATGTTCGGTATTTATACCGCAACTCAAAAATAAATAAAAATTCAGATTTACTTTGTTATATTGGTATCTATAATATAAAAATGAATCACAAAATCTGTTGGTAAGCGCATAACTCAACAACGCTTCGACCAATTGGGCCAATTCTTTTTTTAAATTGTTCGTTAAAGTCCATGGATGGTTTTTACGCCGAGAAAATTTTGAATAATTGCCGGGAAAACTCTAAAGACAGCCCTTTTCTATGGAATAAAAGTTGGCATTGAGATTCAATCATAGTTATAGTTAAATAGTTGAATCCGAGATGGTGCGCTGAAATACATTATTAGCAATTCTTTATATAACTAATTTCTTTAAAATAAAATTGCGAATCTTATTGATCGAATAGACACATACTATGTTTAGAATAAGAGAGTAAAACCAAATTACATTTTTATTAAACACTACCGGGACGAAGTCGCGGGTTAGTTTAAAATAAATTTAGAATAATTTTTTGGCATTGTGTTATATTTGGCATGTTGCCGTGTCACAGTTAAAATTTCCAATCCACCAATCGTAAACAAATCGCAGATAACTGTTAATTGTGATCTTTGTTCACAAGATCAAGATACAAATCCGAAAGAATCAAGATTTAACTGTTTCGGAATAATTGGATTCGAAATAAATGCCACACACGCACACGCGAAAAATAAAACCAGACGAAAATTGATTCATGAGATGTGCTTGCGGTAGGTAAGCCAATTTGCGGTGAATGAAGGTCTATAATCTCGGATGATTCTTTAGAATACAAATGATTCAAGTCTTCTTCTTAAAGTCTTGAAACCAAAAATTAAAATAAATACAGTTCAAGTTCAAGTTCAACGTACAGCAAATGCAGCTGAATTCGCAGAGTCTGAATGAATCTCTCTGCGGATTTGCAAATTTCCGTCTCGAGCAGGAAAAAAATTAGCATACGCACATAATTTTCGCCACACGAATTGCATTCCAAGTGCATTACAAGATAATAAATATACGGATTTACGTCCGGTGGTTTTTGACAAACAGATAAATTGAAACTTAATACTTTGTAATACTTAAATTATTACTAAGAAATTTTGGATATAAATATTGTTTAAATATATTTCGCAAAACAATAGGTGTGGTGAATGTCGAGCGTGTCGAATGTCGCTCACAAAGGTTTATTGGACCGGTTAAGGTCATGGTTCTTTTCGATCGTTGATACTAATAAATTAACAAATACATAAATTATATATCTATGAACATTACTTATTAAAATTTTTTTTTTAAAGTTGATAAAAAAATTATTTTTACTTACATTGTCGTAAATTCCAGTTCGTTGTTCTTCAAAATTACCTAAATAACCCAAGATTGATGTAGTTACAACAACAGTGCGACACTTAATGTGCTTAATTTGAAACGATGATGTTTAAACAAGTTTCTGATAACAATTGAAGACACGCGCGCGCGTGTCGCGAAGAAACCAAGTGAAGCGCAACGACTGTGACGAGGCACGAGCCACACACGACTGCAGGCGGACAGTGGACGCGCGCAAGAAGTTATTCACCACGACCACACGGCCAAGACCGCGACCGCCAAAGAAGACGAAGACAAAAGCTGGAAGGTTGCAGACTCGAACTGTCTCAATGTCTCAATGTCTCACGTCAAAAAGTAGAAGTATCATCAACAGCTATGAATGTGTGTGAATATTAATATACAATCAGTACATAAAACCAATATGGCGGCAGTGGACAATTGTTCACGGAATTTATGAATGTGCATAATCATATTCATATAATCGTGATCATGTTATTCGACAAAGACATGGAAATCGTGGTCTGCCCACGACTTTAACAAGCGCTTTGACAGGTTTTGATGGCTTTGTTAAAAATTTAACATAGGTGAAGACATTGTTTGATATGATAATAAAAAGCATCTCAGAAACATTTAATTATTTATTTTGTTTGTTTTGATTTGTAAGTAGCACCATCTGTTGATAACTAGTCGCTACTGAGTAGGCGGAGCATACATTCTCTTTAGGTGAATAACTTCTTCATTTTTAAAATTAGAAGAATATTTCCTTCGCCAAAATCATAAATTTATTAAGTAATTTAAGATTACTTCCATAAAATTTCACTATATTTATTTTATTTTGATTTACCAGTAGCGCCATCTATTGATCACTAGTCAATAGTCAGTGGGCGGAGCATAAATCACTTTTTATGCATTTATAATCAAAAGTTTAGAGGTTAGAATTTTTTTCTTCTTTTTTTTAATATTTTGACATCAGTTTAATACAACTCCTATAACTAGTTTATTATAATGAGGGCAATATATGTATTTATATGAATTCACCTGTACTTTTAGGGTTTCATGTGCACCCAGGTGAACACGATTATACTCGTACTGCCTACCACTACTCACGTCCTACCATAATATTACCCAACCAGCCAACCAACGCACCGACGCATCACATATCATACAGCCAGTCAACTCAGTCAGTCAAAACAGTATTTTCACTAGTATTCTACTATTGGTATCATTACTAATTCAACCAGTAGTAGTGTAGCAGTACCAGTGTACCAGCAACCAGCAAAATTAGATCAATACGAAAGGTGCAAGTGGCCGGTTGTCAAGGAAAACTTTATCAACACAACCAACAACCACCCCTAACAACCAACCATTAATAACAAAGTGCTCACTACGCAGTTTTAGTTTTGTTTCGACCTTTGATAGATGCTAGTCAATCATTTTCTTTTAATAATAATTAAATATAATAAACTATGTGTTAAACTATGAATTTAAAATTTATTGAACTTTATTTCGGTTTAAACAATTTATGAAATTAACAACAATTGAAGTGCATCACTGTGTGACTGTGACTCTGTAATTTTTGCTTCGTTTTCAAAAGATTTTTTAGTAATTTCCGTGTTTGTGTGTTGATTGTGTGTGAGTGTGTTAAAAATTCCGCATTTGTACAATACGTGCGCAGCGAAGCGAAAACTCTATACGAACGGATGCGTCGCCAACGCATATCGTCCACAATTTCGTGCATTTCGATACGAATCGGTTGAATCACGTTGACAAAAACACGCGACGCACATAACCTTCAAAGCTTTATTCTTAAATACAGACAATGCGTTCGATTCGGTTACGTAATAATTGCACATCAATCGTTATGCAGTTCTAAATTGAATTAAAACGTTTAAAATGACAAATAAAACGATTTTATTCTTCTTGTTGGGTGTAACACTAATCTGTGCGGTTAACACTAGCGTCATCTATGAGACACTAGGATCTATTCATATTGGTTTGATTTTGACACAATGCACGGAGAATTTGACAGCTGTACAGAAAACTGCACTGCATTCAACAATATGGGCTACTCAACGTGTTAATGATTTGAAATTTGCGAATCTGAATGATTTTCAAGTTGGATTGACTGTGCATCAAGTGTGTACGGAAGATGATTACCTATCCGCCATCTTTGAATTGTATAAAAATGGTTTGGAGCGTGGAGAGTTGTTGTTGGGTGTCATGGCGGACTACCGTGATGAAGTACCGAGAGTAGTTCCGGAATTCGCCGATATTTTAAAAGTTGATTTTTATGAAAGTGTGATGTACAAACAGGAAATCATTAAAACTGTGGTAAAAATTCTGGAAGTACTTGCTTGGTCCGATGATATCGAAGTTATTGCACCGGATCAAAATGTTTTGAAAGAGTTTTACCGAATTACAAGGCGAGAATGGATGTGTGTTAATCGGTTTCATTTACACGAGTCAGTATAATTAATTTAATCACAAATATTATGTGTTAATTTGTTTGTGTTACAGAACTTTTGTTTATGACTCCGAAGAAAATGCAAGTGTAATACATCCTATTGTTTTTCTTGGATCAGCCGCAGAGATTTCTAAAAGTCTATCAAAACTTCAGAATGCTACAAATAATTCTGAGACTAATTTTAGTACACAAAAAATACTTCTTGTGCCTTTAGATTCAGAAGAAATAACTCCTACTAAAGGTAGTTTTGGAAATAATTTTAAAATACCGAAATTTAAATATTTTTTTAATTTCAGAAAATTATCATATTTTACAATCTACTTTGGCCGAACCTGAAGAACCTTTAATACCACCAAAAATCATCCCTTCGACAATATTATTTGAAATGGCCGAACCAATCCTACGAATGATTCAAACATTATCACAGAATTCAACTCTGGAATGTCAGAATTCAACAAACATTAAATGTTTACACAAACTTTCTTCAAATGGAGATACAGAATCCGAAACTAAAATATTATCTCAAGTTGAGATTTTGAATCTGCTGAAACTTGAATCATTAAGCTCAGAATTTAATTATATTCTCAATAACAACCAAGGTGAGCTCATGAAATACTCACTTTTTGAGAATGATATTACTGTCATGGATGCAACGAAAGATTATCAACTAAAAAGAAATATTTCCATCTCCGAATGTTTCCAACACTTTGATCAGTGTTTGTTGGAGTGCGAAAACTTTAAAAGTTTTGATGTCACGCCAATTTTTACAAGCAACGTCTTTCTGAATGCAGTTAGGCTTCGTCCTGAGCCTTGGGTGTATGCATTCTTTAGTCTATCGTTATTAGGGATTCTGTTTTGTTTGGCGATAATGGGATTTATCATCAGCAGACTTTGCAAGAAACAAGTTTTGGAAGGAAATCCTATTTTAACCATTTTATTGCTGATTGATGTGATTATAATGTTTGCAAGTGTTTTGCCGTTTTCATTAGAAGGAAATAAGTTTAACAGGTATGCAAAATATTGCCTTTACTTATTTTAAAGTAAAATAACTATAAATGTATTTTTAATCCTTTCAGATTTGAAATTTACATTCTACGAGCAATTTGCGTGACGATTCCTTACACTTTTGCTTTTGCCCTTCTTTTAGCACGCACCATACTCCTTGCAACCGTATCCAGTGAAGTAGGATTCATGTCCCACGTAGCAGGAACAGTCCAAGGATTCCTCACATTATTCATATTCGCCGTACAATGTGCACTTAGTCTCCAATTGAGCAACTCCTGCGAAGATTCACCTTTACACCACACAAATAATAACTACTCTTTGTTATCCTTAATGTCCTACAATGTAGTTCTCTTAATTCTATTAGTATTCATCACTCCGTTGATTGCAAAATCTAAACGTAACTATCGTGAAGGAAAACACTTCACAATCGCAATAATTATGAGCGCATGTGCATGGAGTGGTTGGTTACCCGCCTACGCAGTCCTTGATGAAGCATGGAAGGACCCTTTGTTGTGCCTGGGCTTAGTTTCTACAGGGAGTATCTTATTAGGAAGTATATTTATTCCTCGAACATATATGATGACTGTATCCGCCGCTAGAGAGCGTTTTACCAGCGCGCTGCCTTCTTTAGCGACTGCAACCAGCGCTATGGATATATACAGAGCGTCCACGCAGGTAACATTAACACAATTTATCCTATTTTGTTTTTTATTTTGTTTATTTAGATAATTATTGATTTATTTGTTTGTTTCAGCCAGTTTACGATTGCGTCAACGTGGCAGCCATAGCAGCGGCTAATTTAAGAGCGCAACATGAAGAAGAGCGCCGACGCGCGGCATATTACTCAGCACCTGATGGTGATGGTGAGGTCGAGGAGGAAGAAGAAGAGGATGAGTTTGTTGTACAAACATGTGACTCTCCACCGGTAGATAAAGTGACGAGGTTCTAAATAATCTAAATGAAACTAACTTTAAAGTTCATGTAATTAATCTAAGTCAACTTAAGTTAAGAATTAACCTCGAATTGATAGTTAAGTAATATTAAGATAAGTTGAACAACTTAAGATTAAGTCCTTATTCAGTAAAACCGTCCAAAAACATAGCGTAAGGTCCTAATGTTAAGAATTCACTTTAATTAATTAATTAATTAATTAATTTAAGATTTAACCAAACCGAACCTAACAATCTAAAAATTCTATTTCTAATTCTATTCTATTCTAGTTATTTTTTTGTTTAATAACCTAAACATAGTAATTTCTTAAGTCATTCAGTTATAGATGGCGCTAGTCTTATTCAACTAAAGAAGTGTGTGTTCAATTGTCATTAAAATAATTAATAATTAATTGTAAGCTTGTTTAAGCTCATTTGTGTGCTGAATTGTCAAAATTAAACTAAAAAGAATGTTAATCACTATTTCATCACTCTGTATACCAAATAAAATTACAAATCGTGTGTAATTTATAACCGTATTGTTTAATTTGCTGCGAATTGATTTAGACGAGCTAGAGGATAGTACAGTGTGCCGTATGGGATACACATTCTTAATTCCTATCAGTGTCTTGCAGCTCGTGTGCCCTCACGCGTTAAATTTTCCATCAGCGTGAGGTTATCACACAACAGCCGCAAAACGGACGGAAATTGCGTTAGGAAGAAAATTGTCCACATGCGTCCTCAGTGGGAACTTCCCCACTAGTCGCAACAAAACTCTGCGATTGGCAACAGTTCATCGGTGGCTCTTGTTCCGAACAGTTGGATATTTTACAATTATTCAATTTCGAGTAGAATTTAAAATAAAATAAAAATGATTTTAACTTTTCCGGTTTTTGTATTTAACCTAACAGAAATGACGAGTGATCCAATGTTTTTGACGTTTGTAACTGTGTACTTATCGTTCTTTTTGGATAATGTTCTATTGACAGTTATTGGTAAGTAATATGTTAAACTACATTCAAATGTAATTAATTTGATTATGATTATTCGTTTTAGTGCCAATAATTCCTGACTATTTATTTCATAATCATCTTAATATAACTCCAAGTGGTGAAATAACTTCTTTAAGCCCATTGCAGCGTAAATATGAAGACTTAGAAAAAGATAATGGTCCTTTAGGTGCTCTCCTGGCATCGAAAGCTTTTGTTCAATTGATTTGTACACCATTTGTTGGTTATGCCACCGCCATCTTTGGATATCATCGCCCTTTGTTATTTGGCAGTGTTAATATGTTTTTTGCAACATTACGTAAGTAATTTTATTTTAAAATACATAAGAATAAACTAAATTTTATTTATTTTAGTTTTTGCTTTCGGGAGTAATTATTGGTCATTAGTTCTTGCAAGAGCTTTACATGGATGTTCTTCGGCTGGTATTGCCGTGAGTGGAATGTCACTCCTTGCTGATACTTTACCAAAAAGTGTTAGAGGTCGTCTTATGCCCTTGGCTTTCGGTGGAATAGCTCTGGGCGTACTAATTGGCTACCCACTAGGGGGCGCTGCATATCAGTTGATTGGAAAAGCTGCGCCATTTTTACTTATTGCTCTGTTAATATTTTTTAATATTTGTAAGTAATATACTCTTGATTAATGTGTTTTTTATGTATATATTTTAAGTTCTGCAAGTTTATAATCTAAATAACATCCAAGAGAGTTCTAACATTGTTGAGAGAGAAACAGCAGATTGGATGTGTACTGGATTATTGGAGAACAAACACACTTTATTGACTACTGGTGCCATTTGTGTGTGTACGGCAACAATGGCAATACTGGAACCATGTGTACCAATGTGGTTGATGGCTACAATTGATCCACCACCTTCAAGGTGGCAATTGGGGGCTGTTTTTATTCCGGATAGTGTTGGATATTTTATTGGATCGCATTTTACTGGTAAAATTTTTTATTGACTTATAGAATCATAGAATACACTAAAACTTTATATTTCTTATAGGATTTCTTACAGTTTTACCATGGCGTATTGCTCTGGGTGCAATGGTACTTACCGGTCTCTCATCTTGTGCAATTCCATTAGCAACATCAATAACTGATTTAACTCTACCGCATTTTGGATTAGGTCTTGGCGTCGGCGCACTAGATGCTGCGTTAGTTCCACTTCTCGCTACATTTGTTGATTCTCGGAGTCACGCTCATGCGCATTATGGCCCTGTGTATGCTCTTCAACAAGCTGCAGTATGTCTAGCTTATTCTCTTGGCCCGCTACTTGGTGGCGCAGCTATACATCGAATTGGATTTCCGTGGTTAATCAGGATTGTAGGATTGTTGAACGTTGTTTATTGTCCTCTGCTCATCGAATTGGATAATGAAAATATTAAAGAAAATAATGTAAATTCAATTTATATTTTGTATTTATAACTAAACTATAATTATTCACTTTCATTTCAGTTAAATCGGCGGGGTACTTTACAAAGTTACTCGACATTGGACGATTCAACGTACTCAATCGAGGAAATTCCTAAGAATGAAGTTAAATCCAAGGAAATTAAGTAAAAACATTCTTTCTGAAATTTACTTTATACAATTATACATAATGGTAATCGTTATAATGGTGTCTGGCATGTGGTTCAAATAAAAAACGAATATGTTATAGAGTAAAAACCCGTGACGGCCAGACTTTCGTTATTTTAGGAAACATGAAAATGTTTCTAGGTGTGTACCCAACACAGCAAAGAACTACCCCCAATTATGAAACCTGGATCGCGGTTCCTTTGGCAGTTAACTGCAAACAAAGATATGCCAATTATAATGTCAAAGTCGTTATTTTAGCAAACTCCTTCTTAGCAAGCACATATTCTTTACATTTATTATTTTAAATAAATTTTGCCTTACATTTCACGTGCAAAGTGAGATAAAGTGGCTGTGTATTGATAAAATCCGCTGCGATGGCTTATGTTTACAAAACATTGCAACAACGATATGATCGCGGGAATATTTTTAGTTATAACGGACATTCTAGCGACATCTCGGAAAGATTTTAAAAGTTCAGTTGGAAATCGGCTGCTAGTGATATTGAATCGGGCATTTGATAAGTGATCGGGCATAGAATTGAATGGCGAAGTCACCGTGTACCTGAAATCGCTCGCAAGGACATGGATTTCAATCAGCAGCATTATTAAATTAAACGCCAGAAATAAAACATACATACATACATACTATATAGTAGGTAATGGATAATATATTACATAATATCTGTTGATAAATTATAAAGTAATGAATTATTTAAATATGTTTTACTTTTATGATTTACTAGCTTTAACCCGCGGCTTCGCTCGCGAATATCTAAAATAATGAAGTTGCTTCCGTACGCGTCTGTAGTCACAGAAGAAGTAATAATGAAGTAGAATGGCGGGAAGTTTAAAATGGCTGAAAGTATAGTCTATGGAAGTATAGTGTACAGTCTCCATAGTGTATTCAATTGGATTTGATGTTGACGTAGCTGTCGGTAATACAGTGTGATAATTCAGTGTGATGGTACTATAGTACTTAGGTTTGAGCTTCATTGCTGGAATGCTAGATGGCGTTAAAGTAGTCAAATAGCCAGATGCAGAAGTATTATTGGCTAAACAATTTCTTTATTTTATTTAAAAAATAATTTGTTTATTAAATAAAAAGTAGCCTATAACCATTCGGGGACCACAAAGAATATGTGTACTAATTTTCAGGATGATCGGTTAAGTAGTTTTTGCGTGAAAGTGTAACAAACATCGAGACTTTCGCATTTATAATATTAGTAGGGATTTTCAAGAGTAAAATAAGATAAAGTCAATGTAAATAGATAAAATGCGGTGATGCGATAACCAATATGTATGTTTACAATACTTTACAACAACAATATGATAAAAACGCGAGAAGATTTTTAGTCGAAAAGGACATCTTAGCGATATCTCGGAATAACCTTAAAAGTATAATTTGAATTCGACTCTTTGTTTATTGAATCGTTCATGGTTGCGATGTGTGAGTGAATGAACTGAATGACAGAAACTATAAAAAATCTGTTATGCTGTTTATAGATCAATGCACTAATTTACTTCATTTGAGGTTTTTATTGCTATATTATAGTTTAAAGAATTTTCTACACTATCCTACACTATCGCCCTAAATCCTTAGAAAGTGCCTTAAAATGTACTATTAACAATCAAAAAAATTAACGTTCTTGCTGTTTCTCAGCCTCCAATTGTCCATCAAGAGACTCTTTTCAAGATGCGTATTGATAAAATCCTCAAAACCCTTTGTAAGTGCTCTAAAATAACTTTCTAAAGTTAGCATTTCTCAAAAAAGTTAAAAGCATGCAATTTCCTATTTGTATGAAAACAATGATTTGTGTAGTATAATTGCAACACTCCTTTGTCAATAAGCCGAAATAGCTCAGTTGGGAGAGCGTTAGACTGAAGATCTAAAGGTCCCTGGTTCAATCCCTGGTTTCGGCACGTTGCTCTGGTCGGAGACTTATTGTAATACTGGACAATTTTGTTTTTATTGTGGTCTGTAAAATAACACCCAGTAACTCCCGAACTATATGAATTTTTTAATGTTTCTCACTGCCATGATAGAGCTCGAGAGTTCCTCTACACAATACATACCTTGACAATCTTCTAACCCTTTTAGAAGTGCCCCAAAACTTTCTTCAAAAATTGATATTTAAAAAAAAATTTATAATTGCGCGCAAAACACCCTGTATCTCGCGAACTAATTGAATTTGAAAAGCTTGTTACGGCAATTTTGAAATTCGAAAGTCTCCCTACATAACGCATTCCTTTTCAATCTGCTAACCCTTCCGGGAGTGCCCTAAAATGCCCTTTAAAAGATGGCATTTTTCAAAAAAAAACTGAAAACATGGTGCTGAAAACACCTTGTATGTCGGGAACTAATTGACTTTCTTAAAGTTTGTCACCGCAATTTTAAAGTTCGAAAGTATCCCTACGCAATGCAAAGACTTTCAATTTGCTAACCCTTCCGGAAGTGCCCTAAAACACCTAAAGGTGTGAAAAACATCTAGTATCTTGAGAACTATTTGACTTTTTTTAATTTTTTTTACCGTCATCTGAAAGTTCGAGAGTCCTTCTACGCGATCCATATCTGTCCAACCCCATAACCCTTTCAGAAGTACTCTAAAAAGCACTTCGAAAAGTAGCCATTTTTGTCCCTAAAATTTTATTTTTTGGTCAAATAACAGGGTCGAACTTTTTTATTAAAATATTTTTCGGCTTTTTTCTTTATTTTTTCCCATGAAACCGGCGAAATTAAATTGCAATTATCTCGGGAACTAAAAGGGTGACGGACAAAAGGACTCCGTATTCATAATCCTTAAAGAATTCTCTACAAAATAGCACCATTATCAAAAAACGACCAAAAGAGCATAAAAAATTTAACGAAAAGATTTTGTTATAAAAAAGGCTAAAGATTTCTCATTTTTATGTTGGAAATAAAAAGTTGGAATTATTAAATTCTGATTGCGGATTCATAACAAACAATTAAATTTGATTAACTTATCTTAGTAACATTTGCCCATATCATGTTTTGTTTAGACCCTATTGGGTTGTATAGATTACACTTAACAAGAATTACTTTAAACTGTTTTTGTCGAATATCTTTTAAACCGTGCGTCAAAATAAAACTATGTTTTAAAATAATCACTTGATATACCTAATTGCCGTAATAGCAGTAAAAAAATTTCCCGTAAATCTCATTAGGTGAAATGAGCACTCCCATCGACACTTAAGAATCAATTATCTCAGGAACTAATTGTCATAAACAAAAACCAAAAACACCCCGATGTTAAGCATCAAATCCTAGATTAGATAACATTTAAAAAATTTGAAATATAACATCTGCCTAAAAAAACTTCCCTGGCGATTTTCTCGGAAAATAATAAAGATAGAAAAGAACTTTCTTCATTTTGTTCATGCCGCGATATGGATCTATAAAATGGCAGATTTAGTTTTTCCATTTTCCAAAGTTGACCAAAGACCTCTCAAAAAGATCAAGAGGTTACACTTGACTCTTTTTGGACAAAAAAAAATTTTTTAAGCTAGAAGAAAATGGAAAATGCTAATCGATTAAGTTTTCCAAGGGGATGAAAGATATCAAGTCAGTTTTGCGATAATATCATTATTTCAGAAACTAGGTGGTAAATTCTAAACTAATCAAGAAAAAATTTTTGGTGCTATTAAATAAAATGTTATATAATTTGGGTTATTAAGAGCTTCTCTAGTAGTTTTTAATAAATTTTCGAAATACTAATTAAAATGTCAGGCGCCTCCGCCAAATTTTTAATAATTAAAAGCATTGTGCAGAAAATTAAACAAATCTACTATTTTATTGTGTATTATCATAGAGGGCAATTTTATCAAATGATTATTTTAATACATAATTTTAATTTGAGGTTCGGTTTAAAAGATATACGACAAAAACTGTTTAAAGTAATTCGTTTTAAGTGTAATCTATACAACCCAATAGGGCCTAAACAAAACATGATAAGGGCAAATGTTACTAAGATAAGTTAATCAAATTTAATTGTTTGTTAAGAATCCGCAATCAGAATTTAAAAATTCCAACTTTTAATTACGAACATAAAAAGAGAAATCTTTTGCCTTTTTTATAACAAACTCTTTTCGTTATATTTTTTACGCACATTTGGTCGTTTTTTAAGAATGACGCTATCTTGTAGAGAATTCTTAAAGGATTAAGAATACAAAGTCCTTTTATCCGTCACCCTTTTAGTTTTCGAGATAATAGCAATTTAATCTCGCCGGTTTCACAGGAAAAATTAAAGAAAACAGTTCGACCCTGTCGCTCGACCAAAAAAAAAATTTAAGAAAAATGTTCGACCCGGTCTTTTGACCGAAAAAATTTTAAGAAATAAGTTCGGCCCTGTCATTCAGCCAAAAAAAGATAAGCAAAAAGTGCGACCCTGTCTTTCGATCGAAAAAATTTTAAGGAAAAAGTTTGATCCTGTCTTCTGACCGAAAAAAAATTTTAAGAAAAAAGTTCGACCCTGTTTTTTGACGGAAAAAAATTTGAACAAAAAGTTCGACCCTGTTATTCGACCAAAAAATGAAATTTTTGGGACAAAAATGGCTATTTTCAAAGTGCTTTCTAGGGTACTTCTGAAAGGGCTATGGGGTTGGAAAAATATGAATCGCATAGAAAGACTCTTGAACTTAAAGATGACGGCAAAAACTTCAAAAAAGTCAAATAGTTCTCAAGATAATAGGTGTTTTTCACACCATGTTTTAAATTTTTTTGAAAAATGCCAATTTTAAAACAAAGGTTTAGGGCACTTCCGAAAGAGCTGGGAGATAGAAAAGGTATGCATCGTATAGAGGAACTCTTGAACTTTAAAATAACGGTGACAAATTCTTAAAAAGTTTATTAGTTCACGAGATACCGAGTGTTTTGCACACCATGTTTTAAATTTTTTGAAAAATGCCAATGTTTGTAAGGCATTTTAGGGCACTTTCAAAAGTGCTCGAAAATCGAAAGTGAATGCATCTTATAGGAATACTTTCGAACTTTAACATAGCGGTGACAAACTTTATGAAAGTCAATTAGTTCCCGAGGTACAAGGTGTTTTCCACTCCATGTTTTCAATAGTTTTGAAAAGTGCCAATTTTTAAAGGGCATTTTAGGGCTCTTCCGGAAGGGTTAGCTGATTGAAAAGGAATGCGTTATGTAGGGAGACTTTAGAACTTTAAAATTACCGTAACACACTTTTAAAAATTCAATACAGGGTGTTTTGCACGCCATGTTTAATTTTTTTGTTTAAATGTCAATTTTTAAAGAAAGTTTTGGTGCACTTCTAAAAGGGCTAGAAGATTGACAAGGTATGCATCGTGTAGAGGAACTCTTGAGATTTATCATAGCGGTGAGAAACTTTAAAAAATTCATATAGTTAAGAAGATACAGAGTGATATTTTGCAAACCACAATAAAAACAAAATTTTCCAGTATTACAATAAATCTCTGACAAAAGCAACGTGCCGAAACCAAGGATTGAACCAGGGATTTTTATAATTAATCGTGGAAAACCCTTTTTTATTATTATTAATTTGAGCATTGTATCAAGTGATTTTGATCCTGTCAATAGATTCAAGGACGTTCTATAACTTGCGCCAATTTGTCACCTCCTATAAATACAGAAAATGCCCTAAAATAACTTGTTTACTTTTAATTTTTAGTTTTAGTTTAAAATATTTATCAAATTGTGGTTTAAATTATAATAAGTACAAAACAGGGCCCGAAATTAATTCAAATTTCCATATTGTTTTTTCAAATTCAAGGTTGCTCTCAATTTTCCTTTACTTTTCTAGCGCTTTTCACGATTCACAAGACCACCTAATGTAATTTCATTAGGTATCGCTTGCAGCGCGTCCGTGCGCCATGTTTGTTTTGTAAGTTAAGAAGAATGCCGCAGTTCCCGTGTTTATCTATCAATTTACGCGTTGCTTGCCGCTGTAAATAGATAAAACGTACTCACAAACTGACTTGTATGTCGACTGTTCAAAGTTAGCTAAATATTGTGCAAACAAATGAAACACCGCGCGTTCAACTTTTCCAAAGGCGCAATCCCAACCGTATGCGTAACTCTCAGAAGACTTGCATTTGGAATATTTGTTTTGTGTACGTTTCAACGCCCCTAAGCTTTGTGATTTCATCTTGGGGTTGATGCGGGATGAATAAAAATGATTTTTCTGGTCTGCAATGAATACAAATCACCAGATATTTGTATTTATAAATACAGAAACCTGTAATTTCGCAAACGTAAAACTAAAGAATGGTTTAATTTTAATTTATTTTAAAATATAATAATACTCTATGTACAAAATTTAATAATAATACACAAAGAACCAAAATAAAATGTTACATAATACTTACATGATTATTACATAGATGTCGTTACCTTACACCAATATAACTTACATTATACATATTTCTAACCTAACTTACTGCAAATACTATAAAATAGGTTATTTTCAATGTGAAAATTATAATCTTGGTTCAACCCTGTATAAGTTGTGTTTACACTGTTCGCACTCACAAAATCCTGGAACATAAACTGGACTGGGCAGCATAGTCGGCTGCGAATTAAACAATGGCAGAAACGGATACAAGCTGTGCATAAACACCTTACTTCCGGCCATCAAAGAAATCGGACTTGGATGCAACCCTTTTAAACTCGACTTAAATTGCGTCTGTTGCACGACTGGCTTAAATGCAGATTCTTTAAACAAACCGCCATCTTTAAAAATTGGCGATGTTGAATCTGATGACCGAGAAACATCAACATTTGAAGAGGGTTTTATAATCCCACTAGATTTTTGTCTGTTGCTAGTGTGAATAGTCTCCATATCAATTTCAACTTCTATGTCTTTTTTGTTAATGTTGAAATGTTCGATAGCTTTGAGTAAATCGTGATTGCAACGTTTCAGGACAAGCTCAAGCACTGAACGCTTTTTATTTGGAAATAATTTTGTTAGCATTTCAATAGATGCAGGAGTAACGCTGATTTCGCCTGAGGTTGAAGGTTCCTCTGACTGATCTTGATTTTTTGCTTGCGGTGGAGAATAGGCGGCCATTTCGGTAGCGCTCGAATCAACAGTGACATCGACGCCATCAGCATCCGCTTCTACTTCCGGTGACGTCACTTGCATACCGTAAATACGTCCAGGCGGAAGATATTCGTAAGTAGTTCCGCTTTCAGCCGCTGCTAAATGAAGTGCAATTGCATCTTCAGCAGCTTGTTGTCTTTTCAACGCCACCTATAAGTAAAATTTAAAAATATTCACATTATAAAGTGGTTTATTTTGTAGCTACGACGTTATTCAATCTTTCCAAGCTTTAAATCTAAATCTATTCGATTGTTTGTTTGGTAAGCGATATTTTCGTTTGAATTTTGATCGATGCTTTTCCATTAGCCGCTTTGCGTCGACCATAATATCAAATGTCAATGTGTAACTTAAGGGATGAAATCAGTGGTTTTCTCTAGTGTTTGTGCACACATACAAGTGGCGAGTGATTTTAATCGACAAGTGCGCCGCCATCTTGTATCAATATTGACGCAGTATAAAATAACGTATGACAAAAACGACAGAGCATGCATAAAACCTGCTTAATTAACTTTTACTTCTTTTCCTTTGAAAATGAAATTTTTAATTTAAAAGTGATTAGTTTTTGGTTACCTGAGCTGCCATGATGCGTTGACGTTCTTTAATCAATCCACATTTTGCACAAGAGCAGTTCTTGTAGACGCATTGTTTCTTGTGACCTCGAAGGGTGGAAATCATTCCGTGATTGCGACATCTTGCGCACTTTGGGATTCTTGCTGATCGGCTCACGTCTCGACTTGATAACATCTTCTTTTTATTGTTACAATAAAGATAGCAATTTAATTCACTCACAGAAAACAAAATTTTAATTAATGACGCTTATTAGCAGCCATAATCAATGTACACGTGAAAATTGAATAAAATTTGTTAATAGAATAATTTATAATCACTTGCAAGTCAATTATATTCAGACAATTGTTTCTTGTCACCCGTGTTGCCTACGCGAAGCGAAACACTTGAATAAAGAGAGTTTCGAAAGAGATACGAAAAGATGTCGGCTGCGGGGATGAACACAAGTGATACAGATTTATCTGCGCTTTATCTTCGTTGCGGTTTGAGAATTGCGCGGTTAGCGTCGCGACGCCCGCGACCAATCGCAATCGAGCCGAAGTTGTACTAACGTCCAATCGGGGTTAAAAATAGGAGGATCGCAGATCGGATACGCTACGGGCGCAAATCGACACAAACAAAACGAAATCTACTGAAACTGAAAGAGGAGAGAAGAAAAGTTGGAAAGTGTCAGATCAAAAAATACCACCCACATTTATTTTCATTCACATTACCAATTCACGCGTGGCCCAACCACACACGTACTAACATTTAAAATAATCTTATAAACAAAAAGGGAAAAGTGTTTTGTTTTAATTCAAAATATCGATTTCTTGGTAAGATAAATTTTTATCTTCTGTAATTTATTGTTATTCTAATTATTTTAATACATTTTTTAATGCGGTTCTGTGTGGATTGCTCATTTGTTTTTTGCAAGTTAATGGCGCGATGATGCGACGGGTATTGCTGTCAAGTTTTCGTTAAATAAACACAATTCCATTAAAGATTGTTGCCTAACAGATGTCAAAACGAGCGCAGCGACCACCCGCGCTTCCTAACATCCCAACCGGCTGGCGTTTGTTTCGTACGAGTTTGACACGTTCAGCGAGCTTTCGGTGCTTTTAGCCACCACATTCAAACATACATACATGCATCATACATTTTCAATTTGTTAAAATACATTTCGAGACACACGGTTTAAACACATTTGGTAATCGTATGCTTGAGTCTCATCATTGTGAGACGGCCAATAAGCAAGAGTAAGAGTAACGAATGTGCGGGCGTGAAATAATCACACAGCGTTCACAACATTTCTAACTAAATATGTAGTAAAATTAAAAACAGAAAAACGCAAAGAGTGAATAAAATACATTTGTGATGTGCGTTATTTTGATAAACACGATTCAATCAAGTGTCAAGCTAGTGTAAACATTGCTAAAATGTTTGTTGAAGCGATGCAACATTTAATTCTGTGTGAATTTCTGTTTAAATTGAAAAAAGGTATGTTGAATATTGTTTGGTATTCATCCCACTCAGAAATGTGATATTTTTGATGGTTTTATAATATTTTATGGACGAATAAAAACTTTGGTACGTTTACCATTCAATCTGCTGAATTTGACAAAATTAAAATTGTTATAATCATCGTGTGGATAATTCCAAACATTTTTAACACTTTCTGCATCAGGTTCAGCCGGTAATACTTGTTTTAATTTTTTGTTAACCTCAGCAGATTTTTCGTTTGTTTGCTGTTCTTTGCGTGATTTCTTGACGAAAAAGAACAGATGTAGCGTGAAGAAGTAAAATATTTCTGCGAATGATAACACACTACAGCCGAAAAACAATCCAGCCATACCACCGACATAAACTGAAACAATATAAATTAAAAATGAATATGTAAAAAAAGATGTGTTTTATACCTAAAACATCAGCAAATCCAAAAATAACGTCACGTTTAAGACGCATTCGTGGATATTCTTTAAGTCCCCATTGCAGATTAGAACCGAGGAACCATTCTCGAGCGTCATAATGCTGTACGACGTAATTCACTTCGTCACAATTTGTTAAACATTTACATTCTTTTTTCATAGCAACTAAACGATCTAAAAAAGCAAAAAACAATATATTTAAGTAGTTAAATTGGCATTAAATTGTTTATAAACCTTTGTGTTGTGCTAAACAATGCATCCCTTTGACATCACATACTTTATATCCGTCAAGTTTGCGATAAAAGTGCGGCACACATCCGCATAACCCCAGCGCCAACTGCAGCCGGCACTCTGTTCGACAGAGGGCGTAAGAATACACTGGAGAATGACGTAGATTGCTCTCATAATAAAAACGACACTTTCGTTGATTAACTTGCAGATTTCTTGCACGTTCACTGCTGTAAATCGAAAGTGCTGTTAAATATACTTGCAAAAAATAGCCGTTTGGGGAGTTAATCGCTTTGCTTGACACATCGGCAACTTCAAATGGCCCGTGAATAAATAACTACAATAATATACAATGATTATTAATAATAAAGTAAACATAAAAAATATAATGAATACTTTGTATCCGGTTGACATATTTACAACATTGGCAAACACTTCACCATCTAAAGGATTCACAGAAAAAGTTTCGTTTTCAGGCAGAACTTTCCATAAATTAGAATTCCAATAACTATAAAAATATTATTAGTACATTAATTTTAAATATTTCTGATTTTTTGTATTTACTTAGGTGAATTATAAATAGCCAACTGTGAATTAAAAGAATAGCAAATGCCAAATTCAGTTATAGTCATTTCAAGAGCATATTGTCGACCTGTCACACCTGAATTAGACAATTGTGGTTTAAAATTAAATCGCAGTGATAATAACAAATCCATGTAATCTTTTGGATCAATATCAGGATATTCCACAACTGTCTCAAAGTTTTCATAGCCTGCATTTGCTAATGTTGTTATGAAATGTATCAAAGCACTTTTGTTTTTTGCATTAGACTTTTCTACGTATTCCTAAAACTCCACAAAAATATTTCATTTTGATTTTTAATATTTAGGATACAAAATTATTACGTGTAAGACTTCTTCTTCTAGTTTAGTCGTTGGACAAATTGTCGCTGACGGAAATGAAGTATTCCATGAGAAACGATCGCGTTCCATTGAAATAACCGTCGGGTTTTCAAAATATCTTGTTAGTGTTAAACCACTCAAGATGGCCGTCGCGTATAAACCCATTGCTACTAATGAAATCCATATTAAACGTTCAATTATGTGTCTTTTTGGAGCAGCAATATGATTAAATCCATGAATTGTGCTACTCGACAGGAAATCTAAAAAGAATTTCTTCACCGGTTGAAATTTTACGAAAAGCATCATGAAAAATGTTTGTAAATTAAACGCCATTTTTAATATTTGAAGTGGCAACGTCGTCACACTACAACTGCTGAACACTTAATGAAATCAATCACAAAAGAACTCTAACAATAAAAGGCTATATTATTTGTGGTAATGATAATTTCTATTGATTGATATTTATGTCATCGAGATTATTTTCACAATGAAAAGCGATAGGCAACTTTTTCTTTTCATGATTTAGGTAATTTCATAAGCAAACAAAAAAAGACAAAAGGATAAATTTCTACGAATACATTTTATTGTGCATAAGTGTTACAGATACATAAAATAAACTAAATAATGTTATCTTTAAGTGTTTTTAAGATTTTATGATTAATTGTTTGGATTTTTCATTTTTACAACTGTCACATTAGGAGAAACCTTTTTTCGTCCTTTAAACAACAATAGGGATAATCTATACATTGGGCACTCCACTAAAATAGTCAAAAAGTAACCAATAAAGAACGACATCCCAATATCACCAAACCCAGTACGAAGCTAAAACATAAACCGTAATCATCTTTTGTTTAAACAATTAATTTTACGTACCAATGATAAATTCGAAAAATAATTAGGCATTTTATTAGCTCCATTGTCAAAGAATTGAAACTGCATGTGAATTAAGTACGCAGAGTAAGTAAGTTTGCCAAAAATTGAAAATACGTGACTTGATAGTAGAGTATTAATTGGTCCACCGTATCCATGTATGCATGCCCATATCAGCCATGCTAATGAAAGCACCCATACTGATCGATGTGTTGAGATGAAAATTGCTGATCCTAGAGGGTCGTAGGTATAGTGCGGATCAAGGAATATACGATTACTAAGGATAATCACAGCCATTAAAGTCATAGAGGCTGTCCATCCAAAAGCAACTAACCATGGAGACATGACAACTTTTTTCTCACGATATTTGAATAAAATATAACCGAAAACTATGCCGAGGATGTAAGGAGAGGCGCGGATATGAGGTTGGCTATAGTGTTTTATGAAAAAATCAGATGTGGATAGATTTTTACTGAAACGAAAAAGAGTTAGTAATTATGTTTGTGTTAATAACTTAAAAATAGTACATTAAGTATCCAGTGGCTAAACGGGAGTTTTGGCCACGAGCGCAGGGAGCGTATAATTAATCCAGTGTTTAACAATGTTTAGCCACGTGATACTTATGTCACTTTTTCTACTTCCACTTTATTTCTATGTTTAGGTTTTTGTATTTCAACTTTTGTATTTTAAATGTTCAACCCCGTGACTAAAGCCCGTGACTAAAGTAGGTACTTTAATAACGACATTGACAGACCGCCACTTTTTGCGCTTTAAAGGTGGAAGTAAAAAAACATATTTATACATACTCTAATAATGCATTGACAACCCATTGCCAATCAAATGACTGCTTGAAGTTAACCACAACCGAAGCGATGTACACAACCAGAATCCAAGCAAAACCAGCGTATTTATTCATTGTTACCGGAATCAATAATAATGGCGCCGTCACATAATAAAATGTATCAATACTCAAATACCAACTTTGTAGAAAGCACATTTTAGCAGGATTGACATACGCTTGCATATACAAAATGGCGGACCACCAGTACATTTGACAGGATTCTTGTACAAACCGCGCGTTTTCTTCCCAGGTTGGTCCCATGCCAAAACGATGGCCAAACACAGTGATAACCAAAATGGCAAAACCATATGATGGTGTTAAACGTAAAAAGCGATGTAGAAGAAAAAGAGGATAATTAAATTTTTGACCATTATGATGATTCAATAATAAATGATATGCAAGTAAAAGTCCACTCAACATTAAAAATGAATCAACTGTCACTGTACCCCCAATCACTAATTGACTTGAGTAATATAACAACCACTACAAAAATATAAATATTTGAACATATTGTGACAACAATGAGACAAGATTTTTACTCACATCTAAAAATTCAAACGTGTTGACTGATGCAAAGAATATGGACATTAAATATCGATGTCCCATAATAACAAATATGATACTCATTACTCTTATACCATTTAGACATGCCATCTGTTGATGGTGTTTGTTTTTTGCAATCAGCCATCTTGAATTTGCCAGAATAGAGAAAACAATTTCATAACCTTCGTCAATGTCTTTTCTACGCTTGTACATTTCCACTATTGTTGAAATAATGACAAGTGTACACAACGCAACAATTAATCCACTTAAAAAAGAAGTAGTCACAAATTGAGGTTACATTTTTAAGAAAAACTTACAATACTGCTTTTTCAGCGTTGCTAAATGGTGTTTCAGCATCAACCAGAGTTGAACACGCAATATCAGGCTGTAAAGTTATGTTGAGACCTTCAAAGATTTCATTTACATAGTGTTCAAAATGTTCAAAAACGTCAGCAGGTTGACATGCATCTGGGAGACAAATAGACCACCCCAAAGTTACATTAAGAAAAACCAAACGAACGTTTCGATAAGACTAAAAAGATTAAATATAGAAAAAATAGTTGAAATATTGCTTAAAGTTATTAAATATCTTACTTGTGCTGTAATTCCCCTGTAGAACAAAATCTTCTTCATCAGCTCTTCGGAAGGTAGCACATTTAATAAACAATGTTTTCCATTAATATTTCTTCCAGGACCGGCATTAAGAACATGCACACATTGTGTATAACTTCCAAATTCAATTAAATTGCCGGTAATTAAACCTGATTGTAGCTTTGATGAAGCATCTAATACTAAAAATCATCAAATTTCATTTTTTTTGTTCAAAGATAATACAAAATTATTGTTTACACTTTAACGCCCAAGATTCATGCTCATCCAATGCTAATGAATAAACTCGACTTGCATTTCGACATTGTTCATTCGAAGAATTCGATAAAACATAAACTGACTTGAGTTTCTTCAAAAATAACAGTTGCAGGCTATTTTTAACAATTTCCAGGCCATCACCAATCTTATCATCAACAATACTATCGGTAGTAGCTACATTAATAATTTCAACACTATCAACACTTTCAACACTCTCTTCAAATTCTATTGTATTGAAAATACTATTATTTTTGACATCAATTTCACAACGTGCCTGTGTCGTTACACAGAAAAGACAAACAATGACGTAACGCAATAAGTGCAACAACGACATCTTGCAAAAAACTGCTGCAAAAACGATATTTTCAGGATATTTAAACTAAGTAAAAGTGTCAAAACATCAAAAGAACTGTCCAAATAACTACAAAGCAATAGAAATTGACATTTTAATAACACACCGCAGTAAATACATGGAAAAAGTGATCAAACAAAAATGAATGCTGAAATGACAACCGAAGACATCGAACATTTTTATTATTCATGCCATAAGACATCAAACGATTTGTTTTATAGTTTAAGTTCGTATCAAGGACCAACATTTTTCTCAAGCACTTGGCTCTGGTTTCCTTCTTGTCCCACACATAAGCAAATACAACCTGTATATTGGACACTCAACTGTCACAGCCAAAAAGTATCCCATCACGAATGAAAGTATTACATCCGAAATTGATTTTTGTATCTGAAAGTACAATACATTGTATAAAACGCTCAAAATTTGTTAAATTTTTGTTTTTTTACTCACCCAACTCATATTTGAAAAATATCCGCCCATTTTCATCGCTCCGAAATCATAGAATTGAAACTGCATGTGAACAATATACACTGAATAGGTTAGTTTTGCTAAAATGGCGAATACGTCGCTACTCAGAAGATGGTTCACAAAGCCGCCATAACCATGCACACATGCCCAAATCAACCAGCCAATTGCCAGTGACCAAATAGAACGATGGGCTGCATGATAAAAAGCGTTACTGAAACGATCAAACTTGTAGTCTTCATCCAAATAAACTCGATTTGTCAGGATAACGCTAAACATTATGATCACAGACAGCGTCCATCCAATGGTAACAATCATAGGCGACATCTTTACTTTCTTATCACGAGTTTTAAACAAAAGGTATCCCAAAGCTATGCCCATGATATAGGGAGCACCACGAATATGTGGCAATGTGTAGAATTCAGTAAAGTAATCCGAATGAACCAAATCAGAGCTGAAAAATTAAAATTTAGATTTAAATTGTTTATATTAACAAAAAAAGATTCTTACTCAACTAAAGCCTGTACAGGGTATCTTCTCTCCCATGCTTTACCAAAATTGGCTCCAACAGATGCAAAATACAACAAAACCAGCGTGATCATGCCTAGCATTTTGTATTTCGCTATCAAAATGAGAAACACTGGCGCACACACATAGTAGAACATGTCAATGCTAAGATACCAGCTTTGTAAGATGCACACTTCCTTTGGATTGACATAACTCTGCGAATACAAGAGCGCAGACCACCAATAATCTTTACAAGGTTGCTGCACATCGTACCACTGCGAATCCCATTCTGGACCCTTTCCAATACGATGACTGTAGCACACGACGAGAAAAATCCAGAAAGCGTAAGATGGCGTCAGACGTAAATACCGATTCAGATAAAATTTCGGCAAATTAAAAGGTACACCTTTTTCATGTTGAAGGAAAAAATTATACGAGACCAGAATGGCACTCAGCATTAAAAACGAATCAACAGCTACAGTTCCACGGAGAATTATTTGTGAAGTCAGGTTTAACATCCACTACAATAAGATGTAATAATAATTGCAATCATGCAGTTATTAATCGCTAAATAAATATATAAATATTTATACTCACATCTAAAGCTTCAAAACCGTTGGTGTTCGAATGGAAAAACCCAAGCAGGAAACGATGCCCAGCGACGACTAACATTATACTAAATACTCTGATACCGTTGAGGCACGCCATCTTTTTATGATTTTTGTTGTATTGAAATATATACCGAGTGTTTGCTATTATCGAGAAAAACGTTTCGTATCCTTTGCGGTCTATTTCATAGTATCGTTTGTACATTTCCATAAAAGTAGATATTCCCACCACTATCATTAAAATTCCAACTATACTCCTATAAAATAATAAATATAAAAACATTACCTATGTTTAAAAATTAAAGTTCAAATTATTTGCTTACAATGCTGTAATTTCTTTTCCATCAAAAGCTTCATCAATATCTTCATAAGTTTTACACTTTATCTCATCATCAAGAAACGTCACCTCTAATCCATCTACAAGTTCATTGACTGTTGAGCGGAAGTGTTCGATTATGTCCTTTGGTCCACATGCATCTGGCATACACAATGACCAAACATATGTCACATTATAGTAAACACTTTTTCTGTTTTTATAAGCCTGTACACAATTTAACCTATAACTATCAATACATAACCACAATTTTGTTACATTACCTTCTCTGTGATTCCCCTGTAACTGAATATTTTCTTAAGCATACGTTCAGATGGCAGCACAGGAATTGTACAGTGTTTACCACGTATTCCGCCGCCATTGTGATCAGTGATTGCTTCCACGTCGATGCACTGCTGAAAAGCACCGAATTCTATCCGATTACCGGCGATTAATCCCGCTTGCAATTTTGATGATGCATCTAACACTATAAGAAACAGAAGAACACACAAATCAACGCTTTGATTAAATTTTTTTCTACGTCGTACTTTTCAATGCCCAAGGTTCAAAGTTTATCAACGCGTCGCGATAAGAATCACTCGCCTGTCGACACGTCACATTTGTGGAATTGAGAACGTAGATGTCCAGCAGTTGAGCCAAGACTTCCATTTGTAGATCATTTTTTACAATCTCAAGTTTTCGTTCGATTACAGGTTTTTCTGTCAAATTACGTGCTACTTCTTCAGCATGTTTCCATGTTTTCAGGTTTTCAATGGCGTCACTGGTCACCAAGTGAAAGGATCCGATGATAGCCAAGATGGCACACAGAAACCGAAAATATTTCATTTTCAATTTACTGAATACAGAAATCAAAAATGATGAGTGATGATGATCGGCAGGTGCACATCAAAAAATCGCGTTGTCAGCAGGCCACCAGTATTTAAAACTATCGACGACAGCCATTAATTTGATTAATTTGCGTAGGAATTGGTATTGTTGATTGTTATTAGCATACAATAAACTTTATTTCTCGATTGAATCAATAGAAAAATGGACTTTGATTTGTTTTTGCGATAATTTCAAGGTAAAATGGCAAAATATTAGAGTAACATACAAAACTATCAAGAAAAAGTTAAATTATCGCCATCTATATTACAAATGTTTAAATTGATAACATAACCAATCTTTACAACTCCTAGTTTGAAAGTATTAATATATTTCATGTTTTTATCAATTGGAAGTTATGTAAACGTCTTTTATAAATAAATTTTGTAAGATTTGATAAGGTCAGTCGTCAGACGTGGAGGTCACGCCCGCTTTGGATTTAATCGACGATTATCCAACAATGTTCGAGTTACGCCGCCGACGAAAATCAAAACAAATGCGATAAAACAGATGATGGCGACTGAAATCGCCATGAATCGAATTAGTTGAGCACATGTTATGTACGCGATCGCATAAATTCTGTAAAAAAATTACTTCTGAGTCTAAAATTACATTAAAATGTTTCGCTGTAAGGCGAATCTAACCATTAAACGTGGTTATGTAAGTTGATAGCTTAAGTTTAATAGTAAACTTTCAAAATAAGAAAATTTTAAATAACTTGTAATCAATTGCAAATAATTTTCATTAAAATTTTGATATTTTAGGGCACACGAAAAACAATCGCAATCAGACGAGAAGATCAATCTGTCTGGGAACGCCGTGCTCCATTTGCTCCAACCCATGTTCGTAAATTAGCACGTAATGGCGTCAAAGTCATCGTGCAACCTTCGAATCGCCGATCGTACCCAATGCAAGCCTATCTCAATGCAGGCGCTGTGGTGCAGGAAGACATCTCCGAAGCGAGCATTATTTTCGGCGTTAAACAAGTTCCAATAGACCAACTTATCCCTGATAAGACCTACTGTTTCTTTTCGCATACAATCAAAGGACAAGAAGCTAACATGCCACTTCTGGACGCCATTTTGGAAAAACGTATTCGGTTGCTAGACTATGAAAAACTCATGGATGAGAAAGGCAATCGTGTTGTGGCGTTTGGCAAAATGGCGGGTATAGCTGGACAGATCAATATCCTCCATGGTTTGGGTCTTAGATTATTAGCACTTGGTCATCACACTCCATTTATGCATATTGGTCTAGCACATAATTACCGCAACTCAAGCATGGCCAGACAAGCAGTCCGAGATGCCGGATACGAAATATCCTTAGGACTAATGCCGAAATCTGTAGGACCTTTAACTTTTGTCTTTACTGGTTCAGGAAATGTTTCCCAGGGTAGTCAAGAAGTCTTCCAAGAACTCCCACATGAATACGTCTCACCAGAACTCCTACAAAAGGCAGCCGAACATGGTTCACTCAATAAAGTCTACGGTTGTGAAATCAGACGTAAACACTACTTGGAACGGCGTGATGGAGGTGGTTTTGACGCACAAGAATACGAAGAACACCCAGAGCGGTACATATCAACCTTCAGCAAGAAAATCGCACCATATGCTTCCGTATTAGTCAACGGTATCTATTGGGCTGTCAATTCACCCAAAGTTTTGACAATCCCGGATGCTAAACATCTATTACGACCAGCACATACTCCATGGTTGCCTACCTCAAGAGGAGCACCAGCTTTACCTCACAGGATGTTAGCGATCTGTGACATTTCTGCTGATCCTGGTGGTTCTATTGAATTTATGAATGAGTGTACCACTATTGATACACCATTTTGTTTGTATGATGCTGATCGGAATAAGGATACGAAGAGTTTTAATGGACCAGGCGTACTGGTGTGCAGTATAGATAACATGCCAACACAAATCCCAAGAGAAAGCACAGACTTTTTCGGAGATTTACTATATCCGTTTGTTAATGATATCTTACAGAGTAAAGCAGAGCAACCTTTGGAAGCACATTCTTTTTGTCCTACTGTTGATGGCGTAAGTTATAATTAAGAACTAGTGTAGACAATGAATTAATTTTTTTTTCGTAGTCTATTATTGCTAGTAATGGTTCCCTAACCAAAAACTACGAATATATTGATGATCTACGAAAACAAAACATGTAAGTTCATTATTCAATCATTTTTCTTGTAATTTGCTTAAATGTATGCTTGTATATGATTGTAGAAGTCGTCTCCGTGAAGGGGATGAAGACGCAGCAAAGAAACATGTGGTAATCTTCGGGGCGGGTCGTGTTTCCGCCCCGTTGATAGAATACCTCCACCGTGATGCAAACGTAGCTATTACAGTTGCATCCGAAATGAAGGACCAATGTGATGAATTGGCCCGTAAATATCCAGGTGTAGAATCATCCTACCTCAACGCAGCTAACAACCCACAAGGCCTACAAGAACTCATTTCTAAAGCGGATGTAGCTGTGTCTATCCTACCTTATCATTTACATCACATCGTTGCAGAAGCGTGCATCAAAGAACGCACCAATATGGTGACAGCTTCCTATGTTAACGATAAAGTTAGAGAGTTGCATAAACAAGCAGCGGAAGCAGGAATTACAATTCTAAATGAAGTAGGACTTGATCCTGGTATTGATCATCTGTTGGCACTTGAGTGTATAGATGATGTCAAAGCTATGGGAGGTCGTATAACCTCATTCGAAAGCTTCTGTGGAGGATTACCTGCACCTGAATTCAGTGACAACCCTCTGAGGTATAAGTTCTCATGGTCACCACGAGGTGCTTTACTCAATACTTTATCTGGAGCGAGATATTTGAGGAAAGGACAAGTTGTGGAGATCTCCGCAGGTGGAGAACTAATGGCCGCAACTAAATCATTAGATTTCCTCCCAGGTTTCCACCTGGAAGGATTCCCTAATAGAGATAGTACTCTGTATACCAAATATTATGGTATTCAGGAAGCTAGTACCGTTCTTCGAGGAACCATCAGATACGCAGGTTTTGCTGAGGCAGCAAGAACTCTACAACTTTTGGGACTCTTAGATACCAAACCACATCCTTATCTACATGCACAAGGACCTGATATCACATGGAGGAAACTGCTTTCACATATTCTAGGCTTTGAAGACCTGTCTCTTCTTCATGATAATTTAAAACAAAAGATCACAGAACGGACAGGAACTGAATTTGCTGTTGAACTACTAGAGGAGTTGGAATTATTGGAAGATAAGATGGTGATCAAGTGTGACACACCTTTGGATACACTTACGCATTACCTTGCAAATCGTCTTGCTCTGGGACCGAATGAAAGGGATCTGGTTGTGTTGAGGCATGATGTTGGTATTGCGTGGCCTGATAATAAGAAGGAAATTAGAGGAATCAACTTTGTAGTTTACGGAGATGTGACGGGACATTCTGCGATGGCGAAAACAGTAGGTTTCCCAGCTGCCATTGCTACCAAAATGATCTTAGACGGAGAAATTCAAGAGAAAGGAGTAATTTTACCATTTGCCGCTGAGATTTACAGACCAATTTTGTCTCGATTGAGAAATGAAGGCTTGCATGCTACTGAAACATCTAAATTTGTATCGTAAAAGAAAAAAAGCATTAAAATAATAATTTTTATGACTTAATTAAAGTTTGGACTTATGACTTGTTATATTTTTGAGAGTGTAATTAATAGCCTGCAGAAATATCGTTTTTGCCAGTTGAGACTATTAAAACTCCACCTTAAGTATTTTAAGCGAAAATAACAAATATAACCAAACGAAAATAATAGTTATTGACTACCGCCATTTTGTTTTGGACGTATTTTTATATTTACCGACTATTTTTACGCATCGTTGCGCGTTTTCATATTTTATTTAATGTATGGAGACGATTGCGACCCGAATAAACAGGTTTCTTTGACTCTTGAACGATAAAAACAGCATAAGCGCATAAAGCCAAATAAAGAACCGTAAAAATACGCGGGCGACACAGAAACCCGACTAAAAATAGCTGCCAAGTGCGAAATGCATGCAAACTTTTCACAAAAAAACAAACAACTTGGTTAAAAATGTCCGAAATCGAAATTAGCAACAAAATGCGGACATTACTTGGTGTCGTCAAGGTAGCAAAACAATAATGAAACACACGCAGTGTAATGGAAGTTTCAGATAAAATGTTTACGTGAGTATTTAGCGACCGCGAGACTACGAGTACAATGCGATGCGCGCGACGTCGTTAACGATTGTGTTCGACACCGACGCTGACAACGCAATGTTACAATGTCGAAACGTTGCATAACAAAGTGAAACGATGAGTGAAACTCGAAAGCGAGTCACAAGTTCAGCCGAACTGACTAGAGAGGAATTTCCCTCTAAATTCAAGTAGTGACTAATGTAGAATTTCGATCTAGGTACTTTTTATTTGTTCCTGCGAAATTGCTGCGCCTGCAGTATTTTCGTAAAGTTAGGCAACCAAGTAGACACCGGTATTCCGCTGACACTCTGACACGCTTTGTGCGCACCGCGCACATCCGTGGCGGCGGCGGCCAGATACCGTATTGAACACCGAAACGACCGAAACACATGATAATCGTTCCCATCGTTCCGCTCGCCGTTCGACGCACAACGCAACGCCGTCAACAACACAAGCAACACAAGTGCGCAGAGCGCGAGTTCACATCGAGATCACCGTACGACGACGGTCGACTTCAGCCGACATGGGTAACGATTCGCTACGAAACGCTTGATAACTGCGCGAAGTTGAACGAAGTCTGTGCGTCGAAGCGCCCCCAGCGGCGATGAGCGGAAGCTGAAGCACTCACTGTGTGTACCTCTGTGTGTCAGACAGACGGTCGACGGTCAGAATCCGGTCGGGAGCGTCGAGGCGCAAGTGAAATTAGTGCGTGTGCGTGTGTGCGGCAGCACCAGGAGGTCACCCCCAGCCCCCAAATAAGATCGCCCATCATCTTCGTGCTTTGGTCAATCGCAAGAGACGTGATCTTCGAGTACCGTAACACACGCACACATCCAAAACGCATCGCCTGGTTGTGTGTGCGTGCGAATGTATTCGTGAGCCGAGTGTGTAGTTTTTTTTTTCGTGCACGCACTCGGGCGACGGCTCCTCGACGGGCCCGAAACAATCGAGGATCGCGTCGAAGTGCGCTAGCAACGCGCTTGTTCTTTGGAGCATCACGGCAATGAATTGCCTACGAAGGGTGTGCAGAACAAAGGCGTTGGACGTGCCAGCGTCGAAATCGAAGTGACCTTTGCGATAACACCCAGAGAGCTGCAGCGTCGTCGTCCCCCTTGCTTCCTCCTCCTCCCACCGGCACGAAGAGCATACAACTGCATTCGTGTGTGGTGTGTGTGCGCGCGCGTGTGTGAGCGGGCAGTGTATGCGTGTGCGTGCAGCCGCCTCCAAGATGGAAGACACGCCGGCGGCGAGTCCGAGCCCCGCGCCGCAGGGGTGTGGCATGCGTGCACCCATCTCCATCCACATCAGCCCCACGACCGGCGGCGACTTTTATCTGCAGGTGGAGCCCGACACCACCGTCGACAATCTTAAGAAACTCGTCTCCAAACGGCTGAAGGTGCCGCGTGATCGGTTATGCCTCCTCTTTCGTGATAAGTAAGCTGCGACTTCCCACGCATCCTTTGATTGATTAGTAATTTTCTTTGTGTTCTTATCATTGTAGACAACTTCAGGATGGAAATCTTGTTCAACATGGTGTCTCAGATGGATCAAAAGTCACATTGCTGCCTAATGTTGAGACTGGACTTGTTGTAAGTAGTATTTTTCTCACCAAAGTAAATAAAGCCGAGTTATTTTTGGGGTGCACATTTTCTTGCATTTTATTGTGTTGTGGGTGAGCGCTGGCACACCTGTTCTGTTCTTCATTGATTTCATGGATTTTCATATACAATGCACATCCCTCTAGCCAGCGGCGAGGACAATGTATTGTACCGCGGCGGTCCGCAACTTGGGCCGGCTGAAAACGTGAAAATCAATTCACGCACACGCGATGATGCACGCTTTTTGCACGTCTGCGAACAGTTGCGCAATGCCCGCACACACAATAAGTGTGTGTACCTATCTTAAAACGTACACAACTTTTTGAAACTTTAATAGAAAATCGATAGTAAACAAAAACAGAGTACGCTTGTGGTGTATGGGTGTATGTGATGACAACCGCACAGCTGATTTGATGTGGGCAAGATGGCCACCAGGACGTACAAGGGTAATAAAGTGTTCATTTCCGGTGCCGCAGGTTATACATAATAATCATTATGTTGGAGCTGTGTGCGTGCGTGTGGTAAAAAACAGCTGATTATGTTTACATGTTGACGGTCAATGATATTAATGTCATTATTTAATTTAATTTTGATTTGTATGTTAAAACAAACTCTTTCAGAAGTGGAGTATACAAATAATACAGTTTTGTCCAAAATCAGCTGATGTCATGTTTACAAAATGGCTGCTGCTTCCGTAAACACGTCACATGCAATTCGCTTATTTATATAACGGTTTTAAACTGATTTCTAGTCAAAATATCAATATCAACAAGTTAAAAACTTAAAATATTTTCCAAATGTGAAAATTAGTCAAATTTTTCTTTATATTTTATAGGAAACAGCTGATTTGCTGTGTTTTATAAAATAATATGATGAAATATTTTGAAATGAAGGAAAATAATGCGTGTGTTGAGATAAGAAACACCTGATTAATTGTTTACTACCAAATTTACAATTTAACTTAATGATAAGATACCGGAAGTGAAACAAACTGGAGATATGACAAAGTCATTTATACATTCCCATCATAATCAAATCAAAGTAAAGCGGTAGTAAAAGGTTATGTTTACTTAACCTCATCCGCCATTAGCGTAATCGATGTACCCTTCGCTCCTATCTTACTTCGGTTCAATCGATTTTACGCTCGTTTCGGGCTGATACATTGTATTGTAATGATAATGTCGCAAACTAAAATGCACTTTCAAGTTCACATTATGCACACGCAACGCAAACACAACATTTACGCAGCAGCGCGCACAATGCCGAGCAAAAGTCATAAAAGTTGCCTAACCAATTGTTGTGTTGCCATGCCGAACTGTGGTCGCCGTAGCCATTTTGTCAGGCTACAGTATATTTCATCCGTGTAAACACACGATGCACGTTTGTTAATCGCCCGATAAACAAAATACAATCGCTTTAATTGTGTAACAAGTTTCCAAATAAATAAACAAACTGGTATCCACCTAGGGGTATCAAGTTATTATTATATGCATGCTTTGTTTTATCAATAACAACGAATTGATTAAACAAACTGGGAAAACTTGTTTGGCAGTTTTGGGTGTTAAATCGATGATAATCAAATTGTTTATTTTCCGGTATGCAGACGCAGCGTCCGGAGGTTGGTATCATGCAGGCGCTGGAGTCGCTCAACGACACGCAGGTGAATGAGTTCCTCTGCGGCAAGGCGCCGCTCAACCTCTCGATGCGACTGGGCGATCACATGATGCTCATTCAACTGCAGCTCAGTACCGTTTCGGGGGCGAAGCCGCCACCGGCAACCACATCCACCTCCGCATCGCCGCCAACAAAACCGCCCAATCTGTACCAGGCGTCGCGCAATCTTCAGCACACGCTGCGCAAGCTCTCCGCAGACGTCTTCTCCGGCCGTGACGAAGGTAGGAGGCGGAGTAAGCAGACCAATTTTTAGTACCACGCCGCAATTTTGAATGAAATTCATCAAATTTCGTTACTTGTTTTGTTTGCCTCGAATTGTGTATCAATGTGTGTTTTATTTTGTTTTTAAGAGTTTGGTGGTTTGTTTAAAGGACGCCGTGGCAGCGTCTACTCTGGAACATTCTCAGGAGCACTAAACCCCGCCCTGCAGGATCCCAAGGGACGGCCGCGACGTGACGTCGCCACCATCGTGCATATTCTAAATGATCTCCTGTGTTCAGCGCCGGACCTGAGGCGTGTGAGCCGACGCGCCAATGATGACGCCAGCGGCGGCGGCGTTTGTCCCGGCGGATCGACTGGAGTCTGCAGTGGCGCCTCCACCAGCTCGTGTGGCTCCGCACAAGAAGATGAGCCCACCGCAGCGTCGGCTTCATGCAGCGAGGATCAGAATCTACGCACGCGAGGCAAACTCGAGCAGCTGCGGCTGGTGATGGGCGAGAGGCGTGAACGGCGGCGGCAACGGCGACAGAAGCCGTACGCGTTGCCGGCCGGTGAAAACACTGACACTGTTACCGCATAAGTGCGTGCGTGATCATTCGACGAAAAATTCGACGGTATATTTTTCTCTGTTCTTTTTCTTTTGAAAACATTCATTTATGTTCGTTGCGTAAAGTAAATTTAGCCGTAGACCTCGACTGCGACGAGGGGCGAACACACAAATTTGGCGGCGCGCGAACTGTTAAACGAACTACAACCACGAAAGACACTTGTACATACAGTTAGGTTATAGAGAGACTCTTGAAGCTGCTGGAGCTGGTTCGACGTCGTCGCCTTCGTGAAGTTTCGTCGACGTTTGTTTCAACCATGTTTGTTGTTGCGTGCGCGAACTGCTAAGCGTTTTTAATTAATTAACCTTAACTTAGTTTCATCTGGCATTTTCATCGTTGACGTTTCTGTTGCTGCTTTGGCCCACTACTTTGGCGCCGCCCGATTCTCAATTGTATCATTTTCATTTTAATAAGCAATTCCCTGTTTGTTTAGGAACTCATCTCGGCACGAGACGGGCGAGAACTACCCTCCCAGACCTCCCTGTCTGCATATACCTAGTACTATTATTATTAATTATAATTATTTTCTTGTTTTGCATATAAATATAAAAAGATATATGAATATTACGTTTTACAAAATACATAAATTTACGTGAGACTTACACACACTCGACTTCGTGCATACACGGGAATGGAGGAGACAAAATGGCGGAGAGAAGTGAACACAATGTGCAAAATGGTTGGCAGCTATGTTGGATTTGGATTTTTGGCAGGTGTGAGTGCAACTTTGAGCGTTCAAAACGGTGTTTATGATTGATTGTAAAGTGAAGAGATGCAAACAAAATTGATATCATAAGTCCCCTTTTTATTCAATAACTGAAACTAGCACAAAGTATAAATTACGAATTGAAAACATGCGAAAGAAAAGAATACTGTTAGCACTTGTTGGGCTCACCATTTATATCATTCAATAAGATATTTCATTTGTCGCTATTGTAGATATAAAATAAAAAAAACATTTTGTACCTAAACAAATAATAGGTGTTTTTATAGCATAATCTGCGATATAACCACTGAAAAGTGGCGAAAAGATGTAGGAATTTCCGGTTTGAACGAAACATGTATATGAAGTTGCCTAATAATCAATGCTTCATCTGGCGGATGATTTGCCAGTCACAAAATGACGCTACAACCATTTACAAAAACAAACTAACCTCCAAAACACCACCGAAAAGCCGCAAAACAAACCGCACAGAATCATCATTAAAACTAAGTAAAACTTATATTTTATAATGTCGGGGATGTTGTACGGAGGAGACGAGATCGGTGCGCTCGTCTTCGACCCCGGCCACCACTCACTACGCATAGGCTACGCTCAAGAAGACACCCCGAAGGCAGAAATCCCCGCTGTGGTCGGCGTGGCCCCCGACCACTCGCCAAAAATCGAACAGGAAGCAAAACAAGATCCTTCTAATATTTCTACTACACCACCAGCATGGAAATACTACATCGACACCACTTTCCTGCACACGCCGCGCCCCAACATGGATTTACATTCATACATGAAGGATGGCATGATTGAAAACTGGGAACTATTTGAAAAAGTGATTGATTATGCTTATTCAAAGATAATTCAATCTGATAGTGAGTATCATCCGGTGTTGTTTAGCGAAAGTCCGTGGAATCAGCGTCCGAAACGCGAGAAACTAATGGAGATTATGTTTGAAAAGTATAAAGTACCTGCATTTTTTCTTGTAAAGAATGCTGCTCTGGCTGCATTTGCAAATGGTAGATCCACGGCGTTGGTGATAGACAGCGGCGCGACGCATACGTCTGCTGTGCCGGTTTTAGACGGATATGTTATTAGTAATGCTGTGGTGAAGTCACCACTAGGTGGAGATTATCTCATTTTAAGAGCTAGGGAGATGTTGGAGAGTATGGGGATTGATTTGACGCCGTCAGCCTTGATTCAGACGAAAGATGTTATTCGCGAGAAGGATAAGCCGAAATTTGCGAAGAAACCATTGAATTTCACGCCGACGAATACGTGGTCATCGTATATGACCAAGAAAACCGTTCAGGACTTTCAACAGACTGTATTACAGGTAAAATAAAGTTTTAAAAATTAATATTTTTACTCAAAATGGCGCCACTTGTTTTTTTTTGGTCAGGTTTATGAAACACCGTATGATGAGCGAGTTGCTGCAGCGATCCCAAGTGTTCACTACGAATTCCCCACAGGTTTTCATCAGGACTTTGGTCCGGAACGTTTTAAACTCGCCGAAGGATTATTTGACCACGCCATGTTAGGTGCTGGCAATATCGGTACGTAAAACTCCCAGAAACACAAACATTTTTAACAAAATGATTTTATTATTAGCCGCAACAAGCGCTGGAATGTGTGACGTCGACGTTCGTCCAGCCCTATATAGTTCTGTAGTCCTCACAGGAGGTAACTCTTTAGTACAAGGTTTCAGTGACAGATTGAGTCGTGACATTTCATCGCGCATGCCCGGCTCGATGCGACTGAAAATGATCGCTGCTAATGGAACAGTCGAGCGCCGTTTCGGCGCGTGGGTAGGTGGATCAATTCTCGCGTCGATAGGTACCTTCCAGCAGATGTGGGTGTCGATGCAGGAGTACCAAGAGTCTGGTAAGGTACAGATCGATCGTAAGTGTCCTTAATCACAACCGGCATACCTCACATCAAACATGGGATCATCTCAAAACGATACAATACGCCACCTAGTGGTGGCGATGAGTAAGTAATTTTTATCAACGGTAATGACGCGATACGATACGAATTTCCTTTTTATATCTGATTATAAACCTTAATTTAAGCTTAGAATTAAACGCTAGATATAGAACATGTGGAAAAGTAACAAATGTATAGTGGATTAAAGTGATTTTTGTAAGTATTGGGAACAACTTTACTTATATTTGGATAGATTTATTTTTCGTCATATAGGATTTTTCGTTATCATACGTTAAATCATTTCGTGTCGTAATAAAAATCGAAAGTCGAGCGCCAAAATCGAACTTATTTACAACGCATCGGGTGGAAATAAAAAAAAACGAATACAATACATACAAAAATTTGAAAAGTCTTCACAGGTAAAAACGATAAACAAAAGGAAAAGACAGACGCACACAAAACAGCACCACGTCACGTCGTCTTCGCTAACCTAGCCTAAAAATTGTGATCAAATATCATTAAGTTCATAATTTTTCTCTTCCTAAACACGCTAACAGACTGACGACGCTTATCTTTAGTTTAACTTTAAAGTTACGTGCGTATTGACCGCATATTTGTTGGTTTGTGTTATGTTTGGACGCCATGTTATTAATTGAACGATTACGTTACGGGTGGGTGTAGCTGGTGTTAATGGGCGGGGGTGGTAAGGATCTAGCCTATGGCTTGCAGTACGTTGGCGGCATTCGCGTTGAAATCGGGTGGCACGACCAATGGCATCGCCGAGGCGCTCTGGAAGCTCGTCTCTTCCAACTCACGCTGCAATTGCAGCAACGTCGGGCACTGTTGTACCACGGATTGTATACTGTGCAATGTCTGGGAAAACAAGTTTATTAGATTGACTTATTATTGAGTTAAGAGGTGCGATTACCTCTAAAGCGCCGTCTATGGCATTGTATTGTTTTTTCGCTTCCGCAATGGCTTCGCGCAAGTTTTCGGTTAGGACTTGCCGATTGGCGACGTATTCTTGTGTTAGTTCAGATAGTCGCTTCTCTTTAGCTTCCAATTTGTCTTTTAGTGCAGGAACCTGAGAATAAACATAAATATTAATCAAATATTGATTAAAAATGTGAGGAATTTAGTCTTACTTCTTTTTTCAATAGTAATAATCGACCTAAAATGACTCCGGATGGTTGTTCTCCGTTGCTTTCCCAATTTCTGAGGGCCTCCGCAGCTTCCTCTTCTTTGATTTTCATTGCCTGTTCACTTTTTGACAGTGTCGTCGATAATTCACATACGTCTTGGTTTAATTTCTATTTCAAACGTGAAAAAACTATTATAATTATCATAATAACGTAAAAAACGTATTCTTACCTCAACTTGCTGTCTCTGTGCATTCAGTTCGTTCTTAATCTCCTCAATTTCGACATTTTTCTTGGCTAACTGCGCTAATAACTCCTTTACTTCACTCTTTAGTTTGGCGCCCAGCGCCTCCCAGTCTTTGAGTTGTTTGACAACAATCTTATTACTCTCTCTGTGCGTAGTATTTTGCTCTACATAGCTATCTCGTTCGTCCTGCAATTCATTCATATATTCTTCGTTTTCGGTCTGAATCAGCCGAATAATTTTCAATAAACGCGTCAGTAAATTATCCGCATCGATCACTTGATCAACTAAAGATGCAGGGCTAGAGAGGTCTGAAAGTGTGTTGTTTTCGGATTTAGAAGCAGCCTCACAACGCTCACGGTTACGAATTGCTTGTGAAAGGCTGTTTAGACTTTCCGTGTGTGACAGCCGAAGAGAAGAGATTATACTGTGGCCGGAAGAGATCATATTCACTGAATGAGAATCAGGCACCACCACGTCTTCGAGCACGTGTTCCATCATTAAACACGGCTCAGTTTCAGAATCGAGAAGTTCAGATTCAGAATTATCTGTAATAGTGTCCTTGCTATTTTCTCGGTTAAAATTGTGCGAGGTTGTGGTTGCGTTCTTGATTGCCCCAATAACAGCAGCGATAAAAGATGAACCACGCTTCGGGGATGGAGATTTTTCATGAGGGAACTTCTTCGGTTGGTCAGGCGTGGCATCCAGGCTACTACTACTGTTACTATAAGCCTCATTATGGAAAATTACATCCTGCAAACACAAATTATATAAAACTCATGAAGAAACTTAAAAAAATAATTACTTACATCAAGATCTTCATCAGTAAAGTTATACGAAATAGTCAATTGATCAACAAGACTATCCAATCGTGAATTAAGCGATGTTAGAGCCACTGCAGCTCCTGAAACTGTGCTACCCTGATGCACCAAAAGCTCTCGACATTTTGCTTCCAATGCAGTGTAACGCGCTTGCAGTCCAAGATTCTCCTGCCGTTTTTGCTCGTTGCCTCTAACAAGATGTTTGCATTCCTCATGTTTATCTTCCAACTCTTGCTCCTTATGTGCGAGCAGGTTTCGCGTACGTTTCAACTCCACCTCAGCTTCTTTCAGTGCATCTGACTGTGATGCTTTCTCGATTTGTAGAAATTCTAGTAAATCCTCGTGTTCTTGATGTTGTTGCGCCATGCAACGGTTCGATTCGTCTGCTTTGTCGCATCTTCTCTGCAATGTGCGTCGACATTCGTTCAACATCGAAATCTCTTCCTCTTGTTTGATTATAATTTGTGACACGCGCTGGAGGCGTGATTCTAGGATTTGCAAATTGTCCGAATCATCTGGAAATTACAATAGAATATAGTTAAAAGTCTGTTTGAATATTTTAATAAGTATTTACCTGTATTATTACCGTATCCACCCATCATAGCGACAATACGTTCGTTATTCGTACGTAGCTCTTGTTTCAGACAATCTTTCTCATGGCGTTCAGCCCCTAACTCACCCCTGACATCTTCTACTTCTTTACACTTCGCAGCATGTTCTGCCTTGAGTGCTTCATACTGTGCCAGTAATGTAGTAAATTGTTCAGTCACTTTAGCCATTCTCTCATCGGGAATATCAACCTGCACATCGCCATCTTGTTTTTCCACATCTTGAGGATTCACCGGGTTAAAATTAATCCCAGCTAGGGCCTTCTCAATATCCTGACAATCCAAAGCAGTCTGTGAACTAGTTTCATGATAGATTTTAGTTTTAATCTTCTTTTGTTTTGTTTGGATGAGATTTTTCGACGTGGGCGTTGATTTCACATTGGTTTTAGGTCGTGATAGGGACGTCTCACGTGATCGTGGGCGTGGTTCCCCGGGATCCACCGAACGTTCCCTTCTACGTCGTGGTAAAGTTGCATACTTTTCCAATGTGGATTTAATTTCCTTGGGTTTAGCTTCAATATTCGCTGGGAGAATACCTCGCAGTGATCTTGTCATGGAAGGAGCCGGGCGACTGTATTGTGATGGCCACCGCCCATCATCAGTGGGTGTGGTTATATTCGATCTGGTTTGACTTGGCGTACGTGCACTAACGGTTTTCTTCACGGTGGTATCTTTGTTGTCCTTTTTCAAACTCAAGCTTAAATTATCCGGTGGTTTATTTCTAGTTGTAGCTTTAGGTGTTCGCGGGGTACCAACCGCACCTCTTTCTATGCTCTTCCCTCGAACATTTGCACTTGCCACGCCCACAGCGGAAGCTCTCGGAGTCATGGGAGGTTTGGACCTTGGGGGCGTAGCTGTAGAATTTGTCATCGACTGTCTTCCTTTGCCTTTTTCCAAGGTCACCTTCTTCTTGTTGACTAAACTAGTGCGTTTCGTCACGCACGTGGACGTCACCGAACTTGACTCCGAGCCATTTTCGCTTGTACCATCAACACAGCGTAGTTTATAATCATCCAACAGTGTAGAATTACGTCGTACCAGCACGTTGAAAGCATCTTCATAATTCGAACAGCAACTGATTATAGACGAATCACAACTTTGCGCTGGAGTTAGTGATTTGAAATGGTGGTCATTGTCGAATTCTTGACTATTAGAGCTGATTGTACGTTGCAAAGTGCAGGGTTCCACCACTTCGACACCGCTATCACTACCTTCACAAGAAGTGCTCTTCGGGCAATCTTTAAACTCTTTCTCTATGACTGTTTCGTTCAGGGAAGTTGGCGACATGTTAAATGCATGAATCGTTGTATTACAGTCGTCGCCATCTTGAATCGCCATTTTAATTTCGTCGTTTACGTCATTTTCTTTCGTTATCGTGCATTCTTCATTTGTATTTACAATTATTGGTGGCTGTTGATCTTCCTCTGCCTCCATTTTATATAATTTATGTTTTTTCTTGTGTGTGATGAGTTGATTTAATTAAATATCATTTTATGTCTGAAAATAAAAGAAAAATAGAGTTTAATGATTTTTCCGAAACGATTTGATATTCATTGAACGATTACAAATGCTTGTCCACTCTTGTCAAACACCAGTGAGCAATTTTTTTAATTGCGTACGCAGTTGTAATGTTTCTAATTAGCCGTAACAGTAAATTAATTACATCAAACCGGACAATAAACGACAAGCGGACGACTTGCGCTCGTTTCCTAATGTGCTTACTCCGATGAGCAATTCTTTTCGCGTCTGTCGATTAACTGACCTGTACTACTTCCACAAACAATGCTAAGGAATTAATTAAGTAAATCAGTACTAATATTTCTACACTCATATTCACGGATTTTAGCATTTCACTCACTCATTTCTCATTCGAGTTACTTAAACATGATTTGTACATTTGTTTAGTGTACTTGTCCAAAAATAAAAGTGAAAACCAAATGTTACGAATAATTTAACAATCAAAAAACTCGTTAAACTCACTCGTAGGCATTGCGTTGTGCTATTGTTTATTGTATAGTGTGTAATTTGCTAAATTAGTAAATTTGATAAATTTGGAAAAGTTTCAAATTGCTCGTGCGATGACTTCATATATTTGTTAAGTGCGCAACCATTGCCATTACCAAATAGAATTCTTTGTGGTAGCTAGTTACAAGTATCAAAAAGTGAATCGTCGGAGCGCTAATTGTTCAACCAAAAAAGAATGTTCGATTGTACGTAATCACCTTCAAAACAAACCAAACGTAACCACATATAATATAAATCCAACAGGTTTTTGTAAGTAAAAGTGCAAAAATGTAATAAATAATTAAAATAACAAACAGCAAATCGTAAATCTATAATATAAAAAGGAATCGCAAAATCTGTTGGTAAGCGGATAACTCAACAACGCCTAGACAAATTTGGCCAATTATTCTTTTTAAATGTTCGTTAAAGTCCAAGTATGGTTTTTATGGCGATAAAAATTCGAATAATGGCCGGGAAAACCCTAAAGACAGCTCTTTTCTATAGGATAAAAGTTGGCAGTGAGATTCAATCATAGTTATAGTTAAATAATTGAATCCTAGATGGCGCGCTGAAGTGCATTTAGCTATTCTTTATATAATTAATTTCTTTAAAATAAAATTGCGAATCTTATTGATAGAATTGACACATACTATGTTAAGAACAAGAGAGTAAAAACGAATTACATTTGATTACTTATTAAATAAAACTTAAAAAGTAGTGAATAACCATAAATATTCCGAATTTAAAATTTGCAAATTGCTTTTCATGTCTTACAAGGTTCGCAAAATTGAATAAAACGAATTAAATGTTATGGTAACCTTGAAATATGGTTTACACAGCTGTGCGTTGACTGCACTTTGTAAACGTGTACAAAACCCGCATAATCGCACCGGATGAGACATAAAAACTACAAAAAAGCTAAAAAAAAATTAAATTAAAACATGCATCATGCGCTCCATGGTACAATATGCACATCTGACCAATGCCATAACATGGCTGCCGGTTTAACGAGTTGAGGTTATAAAACTCGCAGATGTGCATATCGTTCAGATGTTATAATACTGCATGCATGCATGGTTATTCAAAGACAGTGTCGGTGTCGTCGCGAACAAAAACGAGGAAGTTGAAGGTAGTTGAAGGCTTCGAGACTGCAAAACGTCTCGCCACGCAAGCCACGCACGAATGCAAACGAGGCGAAAAAGACATCGGGTGAAGAAACCGGATGTTCGTTCATCAACATTATCGTAACTCAAACAGTAAACAACTAAAACGAATTGTGGTAAAATTAATTTTTATAGAGTATATTTATATATTGCATTTTATTCACTTTCTGAGTTTGTATTCTTACATAATCTTAGGTTATGTATAAAACTTTCATCGCAAATATTTCTTTCAATGCGCTTCACGTCCGCAGAACAAAACAATATATTCACGATCACGTTCAACGTTCACTTGTTGTATTTTTTAATTAATCATTTGTTTGCGCACCGTTAGAGGTCGTTAGTATACAATACATAACCTCTCATTACATGCTTAACACGTTGAGGACGGCGCGGTTTTTGGGTATCTGTCGCATCGGGCGGCGTTTGAGCATTTTCAACTCCGTCTAATTAATTCAGCTGTGCGCCACTGGTGGTTAGGCATTGCTGTATCAAAAAGCGATTGTTTTTGCAGTTGCGTTGCCATTTATTTATTTTCTTTGTAATGAATGCCTTTATCTTTAGAGTCCGACCGAAACTATGTGCGAACTGAGATGGCAAGTGACGACCACGACTTAGTCGCGAGTTAGCCGAACGACGCACGATAATTCACGAACACTGAGTTTCGGTTCTGCCAAAAGTTTCAGCCAATTTTTGGCCGAAACCAAATTTGAAGCCAAAACTGAAACTTCGGTCGTCGGTCACTATTTATTATAATATGTAATCTGAGTGACACATTTGATGACAAAGATGCAAGGCCCTGATTGTATAGGTGAAACGAGGAGAAGATATAACCTAACCAGTGGCGTAGTCAAAAATGAATAAGTCTCGTTTCAAATAAGCCGTGTACCACCGGTGGTACACGCCGTCCCACAGACCAGACGCGTGTGTACCACCGGTGGTACACGCCGTCCTCAACGTGTTAAACTTTTGATGAATTCATTGCTTTAACCTTCAGGAAAGTACCAACAATTGAAATAAATTGATAACAGACATCAACGAGTTGCATTATTTTGCAACAACTTCACTCTGTGAACTTTATACTCATATCTTGGTCTTTCCCAAGACTAAAACCACTGCTGACCTTTCCACTCGAATATTTAAAGTGTACTACTTATATAACGTGTTTAAGTTTAATTTTAAACGTGGCTAATTTAACGCGATGAAGATGACTAAAAATAAATGCCATCAACTAAAAACAATACGTGTGTAATGCAATGTGTAACATGTGCGTAAATGTCACAGCGAGTAAATAGAATGTCATTTATAAAGTATCAGTCAAGTCATCGATTAAAATAGATAAAGATAACGCAATTATTGTAATGCCTGAGTCGGCATCGAAAGACACCATCACCACACACGTGGCCCACTCCTTGTTTGCACTGTTAATATTACTATTGGTGTGTTTCCTCATCGGTGTAATCGTTATCCTCGCTGGTTTTATCGTCCAGGCTATGATTTACAATCGGCAGATGCCTGATGCACTTTAAGTTAACATCTAAATGAATACACGACTGATCAGACTATAATTTTATATGTTTATGTTTTATTTTTTGTATTTTAAGGTAAAAGCAGTGAAAAAATTTCTATTTGTGGCTTGGAATGTCTGAATAATGTGAATAATTGTGATTATTGAGTATTATTAATTAAATGAGAAGCTGGGAAGCGATGGTTGTGCTCTAAAATTTCTAACGTTTTCTATTTCCCTTTCTTTGGTGAGTTGTTATTGTTTTAGCGGCAGAAGCAGAGCAATGAGTAAAGAGTTGTAATTATCGGTATAATTATTCTCATTTAATTATTATCTGAAGGTAGTTTGAAGTGATGCAGTCGTACATCATAATTATTACACTCGAATGCACTTTATAATATCTGTATAAATTAAAAAATAACAAACTTTCAATTTTTTCTAGAAAAAAAATCTATTTTATGCATTTTATGTTTAAAAAAAAGAAAAAAATGCTTTTGTTTTCTTTTAATTTATAAAATTGATAATTTTTAATGAAATTCACAGAATTTTCTTTAAATATTTTAATGTTTATGTTAATTATGAATAATTTCGTCTCTGGTTATTGTTGGTTGGGCATTAGGAATGCGATCGTTTCGTGCAGTGTTCAAATTATGTGCATAATATGTGCGCAATGTAACCACCCATCTACATATTTACGGAATGCGAATGTGAACGCGAGTGGCAATTGCGCGCATGCCATTTCGCTAATTTGCTAATTATTGTCGATTAATTACCATACCGCGGCAGCAGCAGCGTGCGATATGAACATAATATAAATTTTGCTTCTATTCTCATTTCTCTTTTTTATATAAAACAGATATATTTGTGCGTATTTAGCTGGATAATATAGTTTTGCGGGAATTTCCTTTGTTTCCTCACCGCTAATTACAGTTTAATTACTGTGCATCGCTAAGGAATACACACTTAATTGCTTTATTATGAACAGATTTAATTTTAATAATATACGTATTAATCAAAAACCATTTTTAAAAGCATTTTTAAGTATAAATGAAGAAATATTAATTTTTCTTCCAATAAAATGCTTGAAAATTGTTTTTAATTCTAATTATTTGGTTAATATAAATTTATTAACTATTATGATCATAATGAATTAATTATATTATGGTTAGTTGGTTGTTTATATTGTGTTTGCAGCTCGATGAGCGTTGGCTATTTTTTAAACGCATTTTCTTTCGTTTTTTCGTTTCTCTTCGACCGGCACACGCCACAATCCGATTAGAAAAGTGGTGATTACACGGTGGCGCAAAGCGTGAAGCACAATGCTAATAAATTATAAACAATAATAGTGAATATACATACTTATTCATTGCTAAATTATTGCAAACTCACAAAAAATGTATAACTTACGCAGAAATGACCACAAAAAAGCATCAAAAGTGAAATAAATTAGAAATTATTCATAAATAGTACTCACAGTATAACTATTTTATTACTTTTATTAGTTAAAGTAGCTTTTGCCCGCGACTTCGTCCCGGTAGTCTTTAATAAAAATGTAATTCGTTTTTACTCTCTTGTTCTTGACATAGTATGTGTCTATTCGATCAATAAGATTTGCAATTTTATTTTAAAGAAATTAATTACATATAAAGAAAAGCTAATAATGCACTTCACCGCGCCATCTCGGATTCAACTATTTAACTATAACTATGATTGAATCTCAATGCCAACTTTTATCCTATAGGAAATGGCTGTCTTTAGGGTTATCCCAGCAATTATTCAAAATTTTCTCACCGTAAAAACCATCCCTGGACTTTAACAAACATTTAAAAAAAGAATTGGCTATAATGGTCCAGGCGTTGTTGAGTTATGCCCTTACCAACATAGTTTTCCATTCAATTTTATATTATACATATGTATTAGTTAAATGAAAATAATTATTAATTAATTTATTGTCTTGCCTAATCTTTAAACTTGAGCTACTTAACTTCAACAGATAACTAACTGGACTAATAAAAAAGAGTCACGTTTGCTGAGTCAGACGCAATGCCAGCTACGTGATATAAAGTAATATGATTTGTAAAGAAATAATTTATCGTAGCGATTACGCTGATATATGTCGGCTAGTTTCTTGGCTCCGTCTTGAAACGACCTTCTGAAGGCAGACTACTTCTAACTTCAACAACACGGTCCAGCAACAACAAGAATTTAAACCTCGTAGCCAAAGCGTTTCACATAAACCACATCAAAGAAAAAAATACCGAAACACACAACAGACCAAAATGAAATTTAACCTCAAATATAAAATAGCATGCTAAAAATTGAAGATAATTTGATGGAAAGGCACACGTTGAATGAATGAACAAAATTTCATTCGGACGTGATACTAGATACCTACTTAAATGCTTCTATTATTTTCGGTACATGTTTAGGTTTTAATGCGTTTAGAATGTTTTCCCCACGATTCGTTCCTCAAATCGTATTTTTTTCTGTTGCGGTTATTTAACGGTGATCGTCTTCACCGTTCGAGCCGCAGAGACTCTCGCATGTTGTTCGGTTTGGTACACTTCGAATGGCTTTTCTGTTCTCTTCGAGTCGATGCGATTCGATTCGATCGTAAAAATGGAGAACAACGCTGCATGCCGCATGCGCGCCGTGCCGCGATTTCTAATTATCCGTTTAATTATATGCGTTATTTCGTTCATCCGACGTGATCAATACTAATAACTAATAATGCACTAATAGTCCACTGATTTCTACCCTTTAAATTCATGAACGTCAAGGATATAACCTTAAAAATTCATATGTAAAAATGAATCGCAAAATGTGTTGGTAAGCACATAACTCAACAACGCCTAGACAAATTTGGACAATTCTTTTTTTAAAATGTTCGTTAAAGTCGAAGGATGGTTTTTACGGCGAGAAAAATTCGAATAATTGCCCGGAAAACCCTATAGGCAGCCCTTTTCTATAAGATAAAAGTTGGATTCAATCATAGTTATAGTTAAATAGTTGAATCCGAGATGGCGCGCTGAAGTGCATTATTAGCAATTCTTTATATAATTAATTTCTTTAAAATAAAATTGCGAATCTTATTGATTGAATTGACACATACTATGTCTAGAACAAGAGAGTAAAACCGAATTACATTTTTATTAAACACTACCGGGACGAAGTCGCGGGCAAAAGCTACTTTTGCATATTAAGCCACAAAAATTATTATAACACAAACTTCGTGTTTATTCACAATATTTAATCAAAAAGTGAATGAACGATATGTGGATAACCGCATCCGTTATTAATGTGTATTTATTTATTATAATCTGTTGAGTTAATTATAATTCATGCACGAAATTAATTAATCCACACATAAAACTGTTTATTTTGATAGGTTTAGTGTGTAATTTGATTGTTTTGTGCAAATTTTTTGATTAATAGTGGATGTACACACCTCAACGATGTCGAGAGCATTGAATCGAATGGCGGCGGCGGCGTTCACGCACGAACAGCGCACTCCCACGATAAATCTGCAATAAACACAAACAAACGAAAAGATTATTACCATTGCAAACAGCGCCCACATACGAGATATAAATAACAGCAACGTACATTGGTTTATCAATTCATCTATTCGGAATTGTTTACTAAGGTGGATAATTAATTAATAACTAAGAAAGTAATCAACTTAGCTTCATTATTTTCTTAGGATTTTACTCGGTAGTAAATTATGAGTTGATTTATGCAGAAATTTAAATAAAAATACAAGTTCTGGAGAAGTTACAGGATAATTTCTGTGAAATTTATAATTTTTTAAATAAAAGTCAAATTTAAATGTTAATAACTTTTTTTGTAATTATTTGATCAACAAAATATTTACACAGATTTATGCAGAATTTAATTGGGAATGTGTCATCGAAAAAATAAACAAATTATCATAAATAACATCAAAGTTATATATTAATAACTAAACATTTGACTAAACTTTTTCAAACAAGTTGAGTTTACTTTTATAATTTACGCAGTATTAAAGCAGAAACAAAGTTCACTGAAATGCATCCAGGCATGAAGGTTAAACAGGATAATCCTGACACGCCTCGTGGAAAATCTCCTTCACTGTATTTAAAAAATATCACACCACACGCTTGGAAACTTAAGTCAAGTGTAAAAAACAAATAAAATATTTCAAAATTGAAAAAGTTGTGAATATAAACTACAACTGTTTAGAGTAATGCATGTTCTTGTTGTCATATTAAACTTATTCTATTTATTTTCATTGCTTTCTTCGCCTCGAACTTTTTCGTGCAGCTGACATCAATTCCGTGCATTCCCGAAACTTTCCAGCTTTCCCGGCGCATGAAGAAGCTCTGGGGCTCTGTGTGTCACTGGACTTGTTCTGTTTACGTTGCTTACGCATCATGCGACTCGACTAAAAATATCACCTAGGACTCGCTGGATGAGTTTTACCGCATTCTTTTCATTCTTTGCCTCACATGTTATAGTTATAATTAATACACAACTAAAAAAATAAATATACATAACTTTTGGGGATTTATTAGTCAATAACTCATAAACTAATCAAGATACAAACATAATTTTTTTATAATTTATATAATTAATAATTTTTGTGATAACAAGTTCTTATCATCATTTTTAGACCAGTTTAAGTCAAATTATGGATTTTTTACTAAATACAATTTTAATTGTTTATAACTTTTTATCTATTAATGTTATCAACAAAATTTCTTCACGAGATAATAAATAATTTAATTCCAAATATATTTTTGAAAGAATTATAACAAAATCTCAAATAGTTTTTGAGTAATCAATTAATAATTGTATGATACACGAATTTATTTCAAAATTCATGCATAATTTATTTTTAAGTGTGACTTAATGCATCCAAAAGTACATTATAAATGTCGCATCGAATAGAAAATCCTGTAACGTGTTAGAATTAAGTCAAACACTTCGGTAAAACTTGGTAAAGTTCGCGCAGTTTGCGCTCGCACGAATCGCTGCGTTCGCGGCCATCCGCGACGTTTCCTCGTAATAAAATCACGAAATCATCAAAACGGTGCTCAACTATATTTGTCTCATCTGTTTATGCACCAATTGCACAAACTGGACTATTCCAGTAGGAATACGTAGACGTCGTCTTAAAAATATTATGACGTCATAAACATGGCGGCACATAAAGAAGTAACAAACTTTTGTTACAACTCACAAAAAAAAACTTAAAGTAAAAGTTTCGTGGTATCTATAACAATCGTATACCGGACGAAGTTAATTACAATGTACGTATTTCTCTTCGCTTCCTTATTCACTTGTTCCTCATACAATAAAAATATAATAATAACCACACAGCGTTCAAAAAGTCAAGACCCAGGGATTAAAGAATTTACACTTTAATATAATGTGTTACATATTACATAAGAAATTAAAAAACTACGGGCAATTATGTCTAATTTATTCCACACGCCAATTAAGCTTAAAAACTCTTGAAAACTGTTGAAACTAAAATACTACCGAGTTTCATGCAGTCAAAAATGTATTAAAAACAATTTTGAGAATATAAATTGTATGCAACACAAAAAGTAAATTAATTTATTATGTAGATACTGTTAATTGCTATTATTTAATAGGTTAGTTATTGTGTAATGTATCGCTCGAGGAAATTTCAGGTATGATGTTAGTTCGTACACCCGTATATTAAAATTAATCGTTTTTATGGCTATCGACTTTCGTTTTCAACAATTGCGCGTAAATCAACAGCGTTGTAATGTCGATCTACTTCCTAGGTATTAATCTTGAGGTGAGTAATAAAATCAAGTTGAATGGTTTAGTTTATATAACTAATTGAATAATAATAAATGGCAAATTGATTACATCATATGAATATTTTAATTTTTCATTGAATTTTTTTGAATTTTTCGCAAAATTTCGCAATTTTGGTTGCTTAGTGGTAGTCGCGTTCGGGGCCTATACAGGGACTCAAAAATTAGAAAATTTATCTTAAGATGAAATTTAATTTTATTAAAAAATGTATAGTTGGTGAAGATATAAATGAAGATATTCTTCATGCACGACTTGCCGCTGACGGCTGGAAGTCGTGCGAATTGAAGCGAATTTCATCGTGAATTTTATGCTTTTTGTTTTTATTTCAAAATCTATTCTCGGTTTGTTGCAAATCTGCCCAAGCTTGAAATTTCCCGAAGAACTATCATCTTCATCGCTTCCAATTTATATTCTATTATTTCTTACTTTTAAAATAATTGACATTTAAACATTGAGATTTATTATACTTGAAAGTTTTAAATTTAGTAAAGACTTATGACTCATTGAGCGAGTGACTCCCAAGAGAGATTTAAAACCAAAGAGACGAATGATTTAAATCTCCGATTGCAGCCGCTTACAAGTTTGGTAAACTCGATTCCTGACTTTATTGTGAGTGTGAGTTAAATGCGATATTTGTGCTCTTTTGAGGTTAAAAGTCGTGAAACTCGCAAACAACTTGCCAATAAAGGCGACATTCGACTTCAACAACGAGTAAAAAGTAAGGTAAAACATAAAATAAGTAAAAAATGTAACACTTTTGTGATTATTCTGGAAAATATTTAAGATTATCACTTACTTATCCAAAAATTTTCCATTTTAGTAAAGATTTATATTTTTTATGTTGCAAGACGTGATTTTTATTGTTTTATAACCAATTTCAAGGCAAGTGAGAAATTTTATTCGCTGAGAGTATAGATGAGGTCATGCAAAAATTTTTGGCGAACAAAACGACTGCTTAAAAGGTAAAAATAATTTTGTTTCGAATGGGCGTACGATATAAATGTGAACATGATGAACACATGGTACGATTTGCATATTTGGGCAAAATGTAAGCCGTCAAGGTGAGATTGCATAATGCAATTATAACCTGACCAATTTAACCATATGGTTAAAAGGTTTAAGCTATAAAGTGCACCGAACAATTTTAATAAATTTCATTACATATTATTTTTAATGATTTCATTTAACATTAAATTGTATTAACTTTAATGTCTCGTATTTCCTAATTTGTTCTGGAGTACTTAAGCAAATTCAACAGCAACTGTAAATATAATAAAATCTGAAACTATTTCAACTTAAAGTGCACCTGAACGCGGAAGTTCAATGCAACTAAACCTATAAAACACACAACTCACACATAATAACCGTTTAAAGATTTCACATTTTCTTTGCAGTAGTCATAAGTTCGCAGAAATGCAATAACATCGAAATACAATTCACGAAACTTATTTTGAATGGCTTATTCTCGATGCGTAAAAATAAGTTTGCAACATCGATATGCCAATGACCGTGAAGTGATTGTTTGTGAACGCAAATCAATCCCCCACAGAACAAAACAAGTAGGTACATAATATCGCGATGTGTGTGTGTGTGGAAGTGTGGAGCACTTAAGATTAAGAGTATTTGCATGTTTGCATATCCAACGAGTCGTATGAGCGTTTGAACAAATTTGCTTCTTGCATCTCCTGCGTGTCGCGCGCCACTCAAGTTGAATAACCTGCACATATTGCACCTATAAACTTTACACAATAGAGACGAGGAGAATTTCCATGAATTACAAGTGAAACATTTATTATTTCTGATAAAGTTATTAAAATATAGCGGGAATATAGTGCGACATAAGTGTTTTATTAGGTATATTACTCCTGGAGATTGCGTATGTCATAAAAATTGTGTTTTTATCAAAAAATATATATAAACTAAAAAAGTGTTAGTTACAACATTTATAACGTAAGAATGGCTGGGCAGATTTTGATTATCTATGATTTTTTGGATTCGTCTTGGCCCCGAATAGCAGAATAGGGGGTTAAATAGGGGGTTAAATAGGGGATGAAAATTAATATCTAGATTCAATCATTCTTATAACTAAATAATTTACTATGGCGTTCAAAAGTAAAAATTAATGCAATTTTTACTAACTAGGAGAGGGAAACTAGTGTATAATATAAAAATGAATCGCAAAATCTGTTGGGAAGCGCATAACTCAACAACACCTGGACAAATTTGACCAATTCTTTTTTTTAAATGTTCGTTTAAGTCCAGGGATGGTTTTTACGGCGAGAAAAATTCGAATAATTGCTGGGAAAACCCTAAAGACAGCCCTTTTCTATAAGATAAAAGTTGGCATTAAGATTCAATCATAGTTATAGTTAAATAGTTGAATCAGAGATGACGCGCTGAAGTGTATTATTAGCAATTCTTTAATATAATTAATTTCTTTAAAATAAAATTGCAAATCTTATTGATAGAATTGCCACATACTATGTCTAGAACAAGAGAGTAAAAACGAATTACATTTTTATTAAACATTACCGGAACGAAGTCGCGAACAAAAGCTAGTTTCTAATAATAACAATAATAAGTAAATATAATACTCAAAAACAACCCCATCCCTAACATTTTCACGAGTCCAGTAGTCGCCAGTCTGAAATGCCCTGAAATGTCTGTATCTGAAGGTTGAACAAACCTTCGATTTGCAGCTATTGCCATTACCATTCGAGTATTCATTCAATTTAACCGTACGAGAGTGTTCAAAAGCTCAAGTTCTCAACTTCGCAACCACACAGATGTGCTGTACACGCACACAACAAAACGCGGTGCTACGCTTCAGCTTTGATGTCGTCGAGCTTTCGTGCCAATAACAAGCTGCTGGTGGCTAGTGGCGAAATCCCAAATGGCAAATGTAAGACCTCTACCGTCACACTGCGCGCCCTGTCCTTGTGCCATTCTGTTCCACCGCACAGCATTCCTACCAATGTGTACTAGTGTAGTGATTATCGATTTTGTAATTCTGGAAATCTGCTCATGCACACGAGCATGCAAAAAAACTGCTTATGCAAACAAATGCAAACAAATAAATGTATTCATTATTCTTTCTTCTTTATTTCTTGAGCGGATTGTAATAAAGAAAACAAAACTAAACTAAAAATAGAAATAGAAAAGTTACAAGTGTGACTAATTTATAACAATATTAATGTTTCATTTAATTTATATTACTCATTTTTATTTATTAAAACTCAGGTAGAAATTATTATTTATTATTATAACCTTCGGAATGAAATAAAACTTTAAACTTTATTAATTAAACACTGAAACAAAACGTCAAGGTTATCCAAGGTGAAATATTCTTAAATAGGAAGTAAAATATTCATGAGATGTGCAAGGTAAAAATATTTTACTCAAAACGTTACATTTTCGGAAATTCTGAATATCCACGTGCCCCTATTCAATATTTCTATAATATGCGAGCACCCCTTACTAAAATCCTCTCCCCTCATACAAAGCAATCAAAAGAATCTCTTTCATTGGACAACGCCACACTGTGAAGGGTACCTACCGGTCAGAGGTAGTAAACCCAGGGTGTTAAAACCAATAAAACAAGTGAAAAGTCTTCAGAAACCAAAAGAACAAGTGGAAAGTTCCATGTATGCCTAGATATATATCAAAAAGTTAATAGAAGCAAAACTTGTCAATTCATTGAAATAACTATGAATAAAATATTGTTAGAAGTTCAGAGATTAGACAAAATAGTGACACGTGGTCTCAAACATAAAATAGGGAGCAGAACACATCAAACAAATACATTTCACATGCAAATACTGTTTGTGTGCGTTTGTAAATGCACAATATACAACGTTAGCGTGCGTCGTGCGCTTATAACGTTTTTATTAGCTGTTAGGCTTGTTAATAAAATGTCGGCGGAAACGGGCGCGTTCAAACGCTCACAGAAGGCACAAGCCCTAAACCATCCTAACCTAAATTATAACCAGGCATGCATTTTGTCCGTATGCACGAAACAAGCCCTTTTTCATGAGTTATAGCTCCAGACAAGCAAATAACATCGCTAGTGAAACAAAAGAATGATAAATACCAGTAGTTTGTGGTTGTCATGACAACGCATCACAAAATGTCAAAAAAATCACTAAAATACACTGTAACATCTAACGCTTGATTATTCTACATTAAAAAATATAACATTAAGATATTCTCATATATTACGAGTATAAAAATGTTATTTTTGTGTTGTAAATATAATTCCATGATGAATTCCATCTCATATTGCTCGAGAGACAAAAAATAAATGATGCTTTGTTGACTATGCTGACGTTGCTTTGATTTATGACGAAAAAATATACGAAATCGCACAAAACAACACGATAATCATCAAATCATCATAAAAATCGTTATAAAAGTATTTATAGCAAGAATCATTACTAGTTTCATAGATATTTCCGCAGGAATTTTATCATTGTATCAATAACTGTCTTATTTTATCATTTAATAATCCAATGGGCTTACCATTAATTTATTACAGCGTTGAATTAAATGATAAAATATTCCAATATTCCAATAACACCTTGTTCTGGTTTACACTAGTTATACACTTGCAGAAGGTTCAACCCTCTTACATTTTAATTGATTTCAATAATAATCCTGTCTGTAGTGGGCGTTTATGTAGTGCACAATTGTGTTATTGCTTGAGTTATCACGTTTGACGTTTTAAAATTCGTTTTTAGTTTCGTTTGTACGTTCGTTTTCATGGGCTCACGGAGCGCGGTTCAACGCGGCTGTGCTGAAGCCGTCGAGGCTGAATGTAAACACATTGATCGCACACCGCCTGCGCCTGCAGCAGGCAGACGAAGCAGACGCTAGCGAAGGGAATGGATGTGCCAAGGTGGGGTTGGAAACCGACCGCACGCAACGAAACTGGAAACGTGAACGACGAATACGAGTGCAGCGGCTACAAAAACACTCAACCAATCGTACAGAATAGATTACAATAAACAATTTGCATTGGGCGATCATGTTTAAGTAAATGTTTCTTGTTTTTGTTAATTTTGATAATATAAACGCCTTAAAAACATTATAAATTCAAATGTTTACATTTTGCACTTGAATATCTAAAAGCTTCTGGTTTGGCCATCTGTAGGTAGCTTTCTGAACCGTTATATAACTTGTGGGCGTGTTGTACTGACAGATAAAACATTTTTTCAGTTTTTAACACATAATTCAAAAACTAACAGAGATACAACTTTAAACTTTTCAATAATCAATTTTATATTAATTTCTGCATCTGCCAACGTCATATTTACCCATACCTAACATGTTAATAACATTTTACAGATAATCTACAATATTATAGCAGATTTTTCAGATATTTCTTATGAGAAGCTTAAATTATCTTCCGATTTAATATTTAATTTCAAAGTTTACTCTTTCAACCACAAAATAAAACGCAAAGAGTATAAAAATCTCAAAGCTAAATATTGTCTGTGCGTAAAAACCGAAAACATTACACAGACTGGCAAAAAACGTAATAATTAATCAACAATATCTCATGCTTGAGATATAACAGAGCGCAAAGCATGCTTCCAAACCAATGTAAGATTTTTCGTCGCATTCTGTTCCTTTGTGTTGTGCTGCTCTAACTGAGAGCGTCGCACTATAATCGGATATGAGTCAGATAACAATTTGCGAAAGCCTTCCAGATAGAAGCGATCCTCGAAGACTATCCATGATCCGGGCGCTATTGTTGATCTTATCAGTTGCACCCAATAATCAATGTCAATATTGTTGTTGTATTCTGCATATTCGAAGTGTGTGCGCATTGGAATCTCCTGGAATTTATCATTTTTATATTATTTACATTTTTTTAAAGTAAACTGAGTTTATTTACCTTTAACTCAGCCATTCCTATCAAATATTTTTGATAAGGCTGAATGTCAGTGTGGTAGTTTAGTAAATCAATGATAACTATGATGTTATCTCCTCCAAGAATTGGTTTCTCTTCTGATTTTGATTGCAAGCAAACAAATTGCAAGGTTTCTTTTATAAGGCACATGATTTTTGAATTTTTTGTGTGATTTGTTTTTATGAAATGATGTTACTTGTGGAGTAGTTGGAAGCAAACTGACTGTTATGAGTAAGTGTATGAGTTGAGTTTAGAATTGAGTCAATTAATACCTACCAGCATAATGAATAATTATGCTGGTATGTAGTTAAAATCAATTCAGAAATAAAAATCTGAAAATCAAACAAAAATCAATACTGTTGGATGCAAAACAATAGAAAGCAACGGAAAATAAACAAATAAAGTGCAAGGAGTGCCTGTTTGGTGCAAATAATTAATTAAAATGATAAATTCAACAAGTGTTTGGTGTTTAAAGGTTAGGCCTAAATGTACTTACGAAAAACGTATTTTTCAGTGCAGATTCAGGTGAACACGACAAACCGATGTTAAATAGATGGACCTATGGTGTTCCACGGGGATATCAACGTAGATTGAATGTCAAACTATTGTTTATCGCCATGGTGTGTGACGAGAACATCAAGAACGACCGGTGATCATTTCAAATAGACGGCCATTAAAAATTACATCCGGCTAAACAGCATAATCAGCATTTAAATAGGCAATTTTTAATTAAATATTTTTAATTTAAACAAACTCCGATAACATAGATTGCTTCAATAATTATTTAACTAATTTCTTATTGATATAAATCCATTACGCGCTAAATTTTGTTATAACTTTTTAAATAATTTTCAACTGCAACCAAACGCACACTAGTTTTTTCAACGCATGCGTAATACGAACAACTGGTGACAAATCAAGGTAGAGCAGTTGTTAACGTTGTTAATTAGTCAACAACCAAAATACACCGCATTATTGTTGTTGTTCAACGCCCAATATAGTCACAACACAACAAAATGGGTTTGTTTGGTAAAAGTCCAGAGCGAAATCCCAAAGATATGGTAATATGTTCCAAACAAACTTATTTGACTAGAAACTTTATAATTTGGTACATTTTTTAGGTGAATGAATGGTGTCACAAAATACGTAAAGAAGGATACCAACTGGACAGACAAATCAGGGGTATTGTTATTATTTAGGAAGTATAAATGGTAGTAAATGGTAAATTGTTTTAGCTATTCAAAGAGAAGAAGAAAAGGTCAAGAAGTCACTTAAAGAAGCAGCAAAGAAAGGGGACAAGGACACATGCACTATTCTAGCAAAAGAAATTATTAGAGCAAGGAAAGCTATTGGGAAGATTCACACATCTAAGGCACATTTGAATTCAGTGCAGTTACAGATGAAAAATCAACTAGGTAAGAAAAATATTTAACCTTAAAACTTTTTTGGGTTGAAATTTATACTTTATGATTATTATTATATAATAGCAATTATCAATTAGATAGAGATATAATTTTGGATATATCTGATAATAATTGAGTAATTTTTAAGAAATTTACTATGAAATTTCAAAAATAATTATTTTTTGTTATTTCAAAAGCAACTTTAAGAGTAGCTGGAGCTCTCTCAAAGTCCACTGAAGTAATGCAAGCAATGCAGCGACTAGTACGCATCCCGGAAGTAGCTAAAACAATGCAAGAAATGTCCAAAGAAATGACGCGCGCCGGAATAATCGAAGAAATGCTAGACGAAACCTTCGAAGGAATGGAAGACCAAGAGGAGATGGAGGAGGCGGCGCAGGCGGAGGTTGACAAAGTATTATTTGAGTTAACAGAGGGTAGGCTTGGTGAAGCACCCGAAGTCCCAATTGGCGATACTGCTGCTCCAGTTAAAGAAGAAGAACCAGAAGAGGAAAATGAACAGGAGTTGGAAGAGATGCAGAGTCGATTGGCAGCGCTAAAGTCCTAATTGTACAATTAATACTTACTAACAATTAACTTTTGGCTTAAAATCTATTTTTATAAAGAGTTTTTCTATTAATTTAATATTAATACTATAGTGCTGGCACTGCATATTGCACACACTCTGCTTATGTTGTACAAAAATTAAGTTAATGTATTTAACACACTTGTTACATGTTGATAATATTATTATAACAATATATACTCAAGAGGCCTTGTTTTCAGTCCCAAAACTATTGTTTTGAGTATTTCGCAAATGTTAAAAAAATAAATAATGTCAAATGTAGAATCTATAAAATATGTAATACTGAAGTTGTGATTATGTTGACGCTATGTTAACTTATCGCCTCTTCTTTTTCTCTTGTTTGCGATTTCGATGATGGGGACGTCGTGGGGTATTCTGAGGTGTGCTCTGTGTTGAACTTTCATCATCACTTTCACCCTGAAGAACAAATAAACAGAATTTATTTTTGGGTTCATAATTGTAGCTATAGGCAACTCAAAGCACACGTAACAATTGATTCTTCTCAGTAACAGGTTAATAATACGTTTTATTTAAGTTTAATTTGAATATTTTACTAATTTCTATGTAAAATAGCAATAATATTGTACTTACCCTCAGATTTCCTGACGAATCCTCATTGTTGTTAAGACAAACGCAAGCAAACAAACACAATAATTGAAAAGCTGCGCCCAAATATAAACCATAGCGAACTATGGTGGCAGTCATGTCCTCAACGCCGATATTTATCGCAGCGTTCATTTTTGTTTGTGATAAGGTGCACGTTTGTTTGGTTTTTACTCTGTTTAAAGCCGACAAATCGTCGCTACCAGGCTGATGAACTGACAACGGTATAAAATCAATACTTATGGTTGACCTTGAAAGACATGATAAAGCTTTGGCGCTGTTACAACATGAAATCTTAAACTAGAAACCAGCATTAAGAACAAGAATACTTGTAAATAATATAAAAATTGATTATTTATAATCTAAATCTAAAATATTCGACAAATGTATAAGGTTTCTTGAGTGTTTTGCACAAATAATAATTGTTGTTAGTGAATACATGGCGTTAGTTTCATAATTAAATACAGTACGCAAGAAAAGTTGCCTATCATGACATAAATCAATGAATAAACTAACCTAACGATGCCTAACTACAAAGACAAATGTTGATAACACGAAAATGTCACACATTTTCCACGGTATCAAGTTTAACTTGACGTAATAATTCGCCTAAGAATAGTTTGGTGCTTTTAGAATTATGGAAACACCTGATTTTCTTGTCCAAGATGATGTTTATGAGCATTCAGTTTTCAACAGCGAAGAAATTCAAAGAAATCCCCAAGAAACTGTAGGAGAAACAAGGGATGAGTATGCAGAGTACAACAATTCGATATTTGACTCTAGCAGACTTAATATCAAAGTGGAACAGGCCGTAGATATCGCTGAATCTGTTATTGATGCAACTGATGATGAAAAGTAACTAAACTTTAAAAAAAGTTTTATGATAATTTTTATAGTTATAAGCAATTATTAACATTTATTAATGTTAAATGTAGACTTTAACATAGTTTTTAAAAAATTCTATATAAAATTAATGTTTGGAGCTCTATTTATATCTAATTTTATTTTATCAGTGTTGCAGTTGAAGCCTTGAGGTCCTTAAGCGGCGCGCGTCCAATTCAACTAATCCACTGCTGCCCACGTTGCAATTCACTTAAATCGTCCCGCGAAGAATTAGAAGAACATCTCTCCACCTGCCAGAATCAAACTCAAAATGATCAAGATCATGCAAATGCAAAACCACCCCAACATCACTGCCCAATCTGCAAAGAAAGTTTCGAAAAACTCAATGAACTCAACAACCACATCGTGTGCCATGCGTCTAGCCGCCCTCACGCATGTCGCATTTGCGGAAGTTTATTCCTGCAAAAACAAGACCTACATAATCATCTTGTAACACACGGTATCTTACAATCGCATCAATGTAAACACTGCGGGCAACAATTTACGCGCATGTCCGCATTAACTAATCACATGAAAATTCATAGTTATACAGCTGGTCGTGCATTAGTCGACAAAATCGGGGACACCAATGAATTAGAAGATATTCTCACCGGAAACTCTGATCCTGAAATGGAGGCGGTAGATCAATCACGACCAAGCACTAAACTCGTACTTCCCAGCATTAATAACATTAGCAATATTAGTATGACTAGTAGCACTGCGTGGGCGATAAATTACGAAAGCGAGGCCTACAACGGAATGAATCTGTCAGATATTAATCCCAACATTCCTAATATCAATGACAACCATCATCTTAAACCGGATATAACCCCAAATACCAGCACTTCCAGTTTGACAACCACGTCAACTTCCACTGAAACAAGTATATTGGAAACAAGCACTGAGGCTGACGTTAAACGTCCTTACAAGTGTGATAAATGCAACAAAAGTTTCGCGAGAGAAAAGGCCTACATAAATCACATCAATAATGTCAATAATCATTTCACATGCGATCGTTGTGATCAACATTTTTCATCACAGAGGGCGCTGGAGGGTCATAAACGATATTGTGGGAATAATGCGGCGAATGAGGTTAAATCGCGCGTTACTTTTAAAAATGATGATAAAAGTTCGGATTTTGATCCAGCAACATTCGAAAAACGTTACAAACACGTTTGTGAAGTGTGTAGTAAAAGATTTTCAACGAAACAGAAGTTATTCCGACATGTCTGGATACATCGGAAGAAATTACACATTTGTGAGATCTGCTCGGAAAGTTTCGAAGATCAGAAGTTACTGGATGCACATCGTAAAGAAAAACATCCTTCAGGTGGTCCGTATGATTGTGGAGAGTGCGGGAAGAATTTCTGCTCACGTCAAGGTAATAACAAATTTTGTTTTTATGTTTTCTACATATTTTGCAATTACAGGACTTTGGGAGCATAGTAGAACTCATACAAAAGACATTACACATTTCAAATGCGAGGAGTGTGATAAGACATTCACGAGTCGTCAAGGTTTTCTTATTCACAAACGTAAACATTCAGACGAACGTCCCTACGGTTGTAAGTACTGCATGAAAAGTTTCCGAGATGGCGGCACGCTGCGTAAACACGAACGTATTCACACCGGCGAGCGTCCGCACGCATGCCCCGTGTGCAGTAAGACATTCAATCAAAAAGTAGTCCTCCGCGAACACGTCCGTTGGCTACACGCCAACACTTCAACAGAAAACCAAGATGGCCTCTTCTCCTGTCAACTGTGCGCGAGTACATTTGCAGAAAAGGACGAACTGAGTGCGCATTACATGAAACACAGCGATCAACTCGCACAGATAGCAAAAGAAGCTTCCAAAAGCAATATTAGCACAACAAGTAATGTAAGTAGTATAAGTATAACAACAAGTCCACCTAAACGAACGAAAGTAGAAAACGATGTGAGTATGGTGCAATGTGATGTTGAGATTAACGAGGAAGAAATTCCTTTGATTACAAATTATGAAGTTAATAATCGCGATACTGAGGTTAGCGTTGAGTCAACTTACTTTGAAATGACACGTGTTCCACCAGATGGCAGCAGTGTCATTGATTATAAGCCTAAAATTAAGGTAAGAGAATTATTACGGTCGCCTGAAGTAAAAATGGAGTTTGAACAAAATGGCGGCACAGTTGATTTCGAATGCGATATGTGTAGCACATCTTTTGATAATAAGGAAGACCTAAGTCGACATGTGAGTGTTCATATGTAAATATACTTAGGTAAGTTAAGTTTAGGTTATATTTTCATGGTACACACACGACACGCAGAAGATAAATGTGAAACATTGTGAATATTGTGTGAATGTTTAGTTATGTAGGATTAAACTACGAATTATTACGAATGATTACACATTAGTCGTGCTCCTTGCGCGGGAAGATCGGCGAACGTTTCGGGGATTTAGCACCGCCAACGCTGCCGGTTGATAGTAGTTCACCTTCAGGCGAAGGTGAGCCGCCATTAACTCGATTTCCCCCCGCAGGCAGACGTACCTTTGTGTCTAGGTGACGGAACCTTAAAGCATATTATGTATAGTGATTAATTTTGGTTATGTTTGTGATATACCTTATGGGCACGTTGCTACTAGCGCCATCTTCCTGCATTCCTTGCAGTATGAAAGCTATTGGCCAACTGATCCATGATGAAGTACTGTGTATAGAAAAATTATATTATTTTGAAGATAGAATGGTTATATTGATATAACATACAGATTTGGTTGAACCGGAAGATCCGGTGATGCGATACTCTCGGTTTGAGTGTGTCGACGTCCGACAGTGCCTTTGGCAATGCTGGGATTGTAGATTTTTGGATCGCTTACCATACGTACGAAGAAAGAACGTTTGTGTGCCAGGGTTTCCTTTCGCTTCCGGTCTAGAATCTCGAATACGTCATCTTGTACTTCTGCTTCCTTGTAGTGATCCTCTTTTTCAAGAAGATCTTCAGCGAATTCTACGATTACTTTCCATGCGTAAGTAACATCATCCGCGGTGGCATTTTGTGCTACTGCGCAGAATCTGATGACGTATTTATCGTTGACATGAGCGGGTACCATGTGCAATTTTCCGGAAGCGTTGATTGCGCTGAGGAGTTTCTCATTTAGTTTATCCGTGTATTTAAGTCGGAAACAAACTAAACCTAACTGTAAACATAAAAAGTAACAAAATTACTTAAAATATTGGTTATGTCTAAGTGTAGGTTATATTACCTTAACCTCATTGCAAACTTCAAACCTTTTATCTTCTAAAACTAGTGCTTCGAATTGCTTAGCAAGTTTAATATGATGACGAATATATTCCTGCAAACCGGAAATGCCAAATGTACGCATAACAAACCATAGTTTAAGCGACCGGAAACGCCTGCTTAGGGGTACACCCCAATGGCGGTAGTCGATTGACGTATCAGAGTAGCCATGTTGAAGATACAACGGATCGACGACGAGAGCGGAAGTGAGCAGAATTCGATCACGCACCCACATGGTAGAGCAATCGAAATTGACCAGCAGCCATTTATTAGGATTGGTGTTGAATGAATCGGCATATTCGATACCAGCAAGCAACGGTTTTAATTCCGGGCAGATGAATGCATTGCCTGCATAAGCGCCATCAACGTGTAACCACACACAAGGGAATTTCTGGACGACAGGACCGATTTCTTGGAGATTATCAAAGGAACAACACGATGTTGTTCCCAATGTAGCAGAAACGAAGAAAGGGACGAGGCCATTACGTTCATCTTCTTCCATTGCCTAAGTAAGGATAATTTTAATTTAAAAAAATTATATATAAATGTCTATGCTTACACTCATCAGTGTTCTTCCACGAAGAGAAGACTTCTCGTCCGGTTCAAGGATGCGCAACTTGACGAAACAAATCATGGCGGATTTCTCAACACATGAGTGCGCTTCCCGCGAACAGTACGCCATTAATTTCGACAGTAAAACACCCTCTTCAACAAATGGATGCTGTTGTTTCAAGCGTTTTAATGCTTGCGCTCTAGCGGCGAGCATCGTAACCAATACACATTCACTAGCTGACGTCTGCACAAAACAAAAACTAATTATTCTAATTAATATACTTAAAATATAGTGTTGAAAACCTGAATAACACCTCCGCCAGCACTTCCTGGTTTCATCGCCATCATATGATCAGGTAAACCTATTGCTTTAGCTATAAAATATAATTTAATACAAAATTCTTTTAATGTATAGTGGGTTACATACCCAACCAATCCAGGACAATTGTTTCCAGTTCGGTTAACGCCGGACTTGCCGCCTGACATAAAAAATGTGAGGTTATATTTCTAGGTTATATTTGTTTTGTTTTACCCATGAGAAACCAATGCATCCAATGGCGTCAGCAAGCATGTCACCCAAGATGGACGGGAAACTGTTGCCGGACGGGAAGTAAGCATGAAAACGTGGATGCTGCCAATGCGTGACGCCCGGCATGATCTTGCGCTCGACGTCATCCATAATGTCGTCCCACGGTTCAGGCGCGTGCGGCGCCGCGTCCGGTATTAAATTCCGCAGATAACCCGGCTCGACGCTTGGCGTCACGCGCCGCTGTTCGATGTTCTCGAGATAGCCGCACATATACTCAATCATCTCCTTGCCCCTGATGCGAAACTCTTCACTGTTCATGATGACGGCCTCGATTCAAGATCAGATCAAGGTCAATGCTGCAATTCAACAAATCTGCAACAGTATCAATATAAAAATCGAATTAATGCAGGAAATAATTTAATATCACTCGGTTCTATTTATTAGCATTGCTGAACTGAATATTCTTTAAAATAATTTAATTTCTTTGGCGGCGGAGCGTTGGAGGCGGTTGCACACCACTTGAATACTCAAGTTCTTTTATTCAGCGAGCGGCGCGCATGCCGCTGACATTTTTCATTCATTCCTTCATCACCGACACCGGCGGAGAGTATGGGTTCTTTAAGACTGCCGCCTCCGCGATACCACAATACGTATCGGCGCATCGGTAATTGGATTCTGATATTGCTCCCTTTCATATCGATGCAAAGCAATTGACACGGGGCTGTCATTAGATCGAATGCGGAAGGCGGCTGAAGAAACCGAAAACGCGGAAGTTAATAGCGTATGAATGCGGTAATAACCGAAATATCATCAAATGTCGGACGAAATTAATTGAAAGCGTTTTGATAACTTTATTCAATTACAAATTGTTTGATAAATTAACAAATAATTAAATAATCAGTAAATATGTATTAATTTTCGACTACTTTAAAGAAAAACAAACATTTTGTGCAATTTTAAAAGTAAAATAATTTTTTATTATTAATTAAATTTGAGCTTCAATTGACAAAAATCGCAATTAATTAAACTTTATTCTGCTTTTACTTGAAGCAACATTAAGTTTTATGATGAATATTATCAGTAGTTTGTCTAAACTCTTACAATTAACATAAAAATCACCAAATTATAAACTAAATTAAAAATATACACTACGTTCAGTTAAAAAATTAAAAATTAAAAATTAAAATTTACCTTTTAAGATGATCTTTGATGATTTTAACACAAAACTTGTTTTAAATCAGTAAATTTTTACTTTTTGAATTATTAAAATTTAACTTTGTGGATTTAATTCCGATGAAATTGTCAATTAGTTTGGAAATGAGTAGTTTATTCGTTTAGATAAGGTATGACTCGATTTAAAAGTGGTTCGCGAAGTCGGCCCGAACGAACTAAGCGGCCGGCGAAGAGTGCGAAAGCGTCGCGGCGTTTAATAGAAAACAACCTCCGTAACCGCCTCCATTACCGCCGCCGCACCAACCACCCTGCCCGCGCGCATCTACTCATCTTCATCTTTACTACTCTGCAGGTTGAAAAAAGAATAAGAAAATATGCATTCCATATCTAGTAAGAAAAAGACAGCAATAAAAATAAAAACGAAAAGGGTGAAAAGAGAGAAAAGAAGAAATAAAATTGTGTGGGTGAGAATCATGAGCGTCAATTTCAATATGCTCTATTTGTACTTGCATGCATTTTACTCATATTTAGGTACCTTAGTTTTTATTCTGTGAATGTATTTAACAATACATAGATAATATTTTATTATCCGCCATTTTGAAATTTTTAAAAATTTTATTCAGTGTGTTATATGCAACCAGTATTACACCAACAGCGTTTCTATTAATAGAAACGTATGAATTTCAATGCGATTGTGGTAAATTTTTCAATTATTATCACAGCCTGGCCTTGTCACACGCGGCGATGCGAAGTGATATGATGTGATGTGATGAAATTCGGCTTCGTTTTCATTCTTGCAGTCCTCGCGCTCATCACGTCGCCTATATTCGCCCCGTGTGCGGTATGCCCGCATTCCGACGCATTCAGATGACGAATTCTCGTCGTCTATGATGCCAACACACTCGCATAACCTACAAATACGAACAGAAGTTTAGTCCGAGCTGGAGTTCAGTGGGACGATCTTTATACCACCCTTTCCATTCATTGATTGATATCTAACCTCAATCATCTGCTATTATATTTATTTAAATGCAGATAATAATCGATTTTATTCATAATTTATTTTTTATTTTTTGTGATAAAAAAGTTTTAGTATTTTCTCTTTCTGTTGGATAATACAATAAAAGTAGATTTTATTTTATTGTCTAAGGACGTTTAGAATATTTTATGCGGTGAAATTTATTATCTACTACATATACAGAGTGTTTTTAAGAGAGATTTTCAATATTCAGATTGATGTCATTGTCATATGGATAATTATTGTGAAATACGGCATGTAGGAAGAAGGACAAAGCAGAAATTCCACCCATTCTCATTTCTCTTTCAATTCTCGTTGTGTGATTCGTGATAGTGGCCGTGACTCACATTTCGCGCACGCAAATGAGTTCGTCCTGCAGGACTGTATGATGAAAGCGGGATGAAAGTAGTGTATGGTATAAAACGTGTGAGATCAATTGCGAAAGGGCACAAATCGAGCGCAACAGGCTGCACGTGCTGACCCCAAGTTTACTACCCTTACACGTATCATAAATAGACAATACTGTTAAATATACAGTGTGTTAATGAAACTTTTTAAACTTTTTTCGTCTAAATTTCAAGTTTTGGTAGCGTATAACTTTACTGACGTGACTTGCAACATTGATAAACATACGAATTGTTCATAAACATTCAAATTTATAACTAAAATCATAATATTATGCAAAAAATCATCAGATTACGTGATTTTATATGCCGATTTACATTTCCATGTTATATACATGACTGAAATCACTTAAAAACTAGTTTTTTGAATGTAAATGTTCAAAAATTAAAGAATTTTTAATTGAAATTATTTTTTGGTTTATAAATATATCTAGACGAATAAAAATCGGCGAATTCAAACTTCAATTGAAGTTTTTTTACAAAGTTTCATATTGTGGTATTATGTTTGTTAATACAATGACCCCGATTGAAAAATTTTACACCCGGAAGAGTTTGCTTGTCACTGGAGGCACTGGTTTCCTTGGTTTGACTTTAGTTGAAAAACTTTTAAGAAGTTTTCCGGATTTAGGTGATATTTACATGGTGGTGCGGTCGAAAAAGAATGAAAGTCTTGAAGTTCGCAAAGAGAAATTTATCAGCCATCGTGTAAGTTGATTACGTGATTAAATATAATTTATTAATACACAATATGTTTAGGTTTTCGATCGTATCAAATCTGAGAATCCACCTGAACGTCAAAAGGATATATTTTCGAAAATAAAATGGGTGGAAGGTGAATTAGGCCTTCCTAACTTAGGATTATCACAGGAAACCATTACAACTCTACAGGGTGTTGTGAATATTATAATTCACAGTGCAGCTGCAATTAATTTCAATTTTCCGCTTAAAAGTTACATTGATATGAATTTACAATCAACTGAAGATTTAATTTTGTTTGCTGCTGGATGTAAAAACTTTCATGCAAGTTATAACCTTAAAATTTTTGAATAATATTACTTATTTATATTTTTTATTTAGTGTTTTATGTATATGAGTACAGCATATAGTCAAGTGCGTAAAATGAAACATTATGTCACAGAAGACATTCTTAAACATCCAACTGACCCTAGAGAATTACTCAAAATGGCCGCTACGATGACTAGTGATGAGATGCAGCAGGTTGCACCTGAATTGGTTCAGGATTGGATCACTTATTATGCGTATTGCAAGAATGCGGCTGAGAATTTGTTCTTGGACTATGAAAACAAGTTTGGGATTGTTATTTATCGTCCTGGCATTGGTTAAATATTAAAAATAGATTTATATAAGTTTATTTTTTAATATAAATGAGTTTTTAGTTGTGCATTCCGTGTCAGAACCAGCGCCATATTGGATTGGTAACAAGTTAGGCTTTCCACGTGCATTGATGGAAGCCAATCGTGGATTAGTGTTAGTTTCTGACCCTGATGTTAATGCTAATTCTGTTCCGGTGGATTATACTATAAATGGAGCTCTAGCGGCTATTTATCGTACTTCCATTGACAAGTAAGTTTTACTCACTACAACATAACCTAACATAACCTTTAAAATTCTTGTAGATCTTTAAAAGTGTTTAATTTCACTACAAACAACAATCCAATTTCATTCTCTAAAGGTTTCGAATATTATTGCAACAGTTTACCAGATTACGAAAAGATTTTAGTGCCGCGTCGCTATGAATTAATGGCAAAGAAAGACGTTGAACCTGGCAGTGCCGAAGACAAGTAATTACGACACCTATTTATAAACAATAAAATAGATTTGTTTAATAATAATTTATTTTTAGGTTAATAAAAGATATGAAGGCATATTATTACTTCCAAAAGATGGTTGAGTATTTTATGTGGAATAATTTGACGTTTGATAACGACAACATTGATACACTGTGGTCTGAGTTGACAGATGGAGATAAACAACTGATGCCTTTCGATGTACGATCGCTGAATTGGAGAACGTATTACAGTAATATGAATGCTAACGAGTTTGGCATGCCTAAGTATACTTTAGATTTGTAAATTTTGTAAAAAGAATTCATTCAAGTAGGCAAAATAGAATATTACTAGGTTTTCCCCGCGACTTCGTCCTGGTAGTGTTTAATAAAAATGTAATTTGTTTTTACTCTCTTGTTTTAAACATAGTATGTGTCCATTCTATCAATAAGATTCGCAATTTTATTTAAAAAAACTTAATTATATAAAGAATTGCTAATAATGCATTTCAGCGCGTCATCTCGGATTCAACTTTCTAACAATAACTATGATTGAATCTCAATGCCAACTTTTATCCTATAGAAAATAGCTGTTTTTAAGGTTTTCCCGGCAATTACTAGAATTTTTCTTGTCGTTAACACCATCCTTGGACTTTAATGAACATTTAAACAAAGAATTGGCCAAATTGGTCTAAGCGTTGTTGAGTTATGCGCTTACCAACAGATTTTGCGATTCAATTTTATATTATAAATGAAAAATATTGGAAATAAACCAAACTTAGACACATTGTATAATATCATTAGTCTATTTTCATACTGTTACGGCTAATTTTAACATTTTTTAAAAACCATATTAGTTTCTCAATGCTGTTATAATATTTTATTGTTATTCTCAAACAGCGCATTGCGAAAGATGATTAGGCACGTATGACCTGGTGCTAAAATGTATGAAACAGGTATAAATACCAAGATGACGTCTAACAGTTGGTTATTTATTTAATATCACTTGCACTTGCGCTACTCATACTGATTTTTGATCGAGTTTTACAATGGCAAGCAAACTTAAAGACTTTTATCGCAATAAAAACATTCTTATCACTGGTGGCACTGGTTTCATGGGTTTAGGGTTTGTTGAGAAAATTCTACGATCATTTCCTGAGGTTGGGGATATTTTCATGATAGTTCGAGGTCGTCAAGGACAAAGTATTCAACAAAGAAAAGAATTATACATTAAAAATCCAGTAAGTTTTTTATTTAACTTTTGAGGATTTTTTCACTATTGATAACAAATTTTATTTTGTATTTTAAGGTTTTCAGTAGGTTGAACAAAGAACAATCACCAGATTATTCTAAATTGAAATGGATTGAAGGTGATTTAAGAAAAGTTAACCTAGGCTTGTCACATGAGAACATAACCAAACTTCAAAGTTCAGTTAACATGATAATTCACAGCGCCGCTACGGTTAAATTTAATGCACCTTTGAAAGACGCCATTGTTACAAATATAAGTGCAACTAATGATCTTCTAAACATCGCGAGTGGGTGTGAAAACTTTGACGTAAGTTGTACCAAACAACGATTGATGAAAAATATATACTATTTTTGTATTTTTTAGTGTTTTATGCATATTAGCACTGTATATTGTAAAGCACGTCGTGGCGTCAACCACCTTGACGAAACAATCTACAAACATCCAATCTCACCTACGGAATTAATACAAATTGCAAATCGTTTAACTGCTGATGAATTAAACGCTAAAACAAATGAATTTATTCAAGATTGGCCAAATACTTACACTTATAGCAAAAATGCGGCCGAGAATTTATGCGAAAGTAGAAAACATGAGTTTCCTATTGCTATTTATCGTCCTGGTGTTGGTAAATACTGTTTATTTTGCTTTTATTATAACAAACAGTGAATCTGATGGTTTTTTAGTTGTATCATCATATACTGAGCCATTGCCATATTGGATTGGTAATAATATGGCGTTTGCGAGAATAATGAGGGAAGCGAATCGCGGTTTAGTGCTCGATGCACTCCCGCATGTAAACGGAAATTGCGTGCCGGTCGATATGACAGTTAACGGGATGTTGATGGCTGCCTACCGTACCGCGATAGACAAGTGAGTGATTTTTTATTCACAAGAACATTAAAATAAAGTATTCAATATATTAATTTTGATAATTGTAGAAAATTTAACATCTATAACTATACAACCAATAACAATCCATATGAATATACAAAGTGTTTCGATAACTTTGTAAAAAACGTCCCCGCATATCAAGAATTAATATCAAGGCGAAAAGAATTATTAAATATGAAAAATCCAAAGCCTGGAAGCTACGAAGAGGGGTAAAACTAAATTTTGATAAACACTTATCTAAATTCAAATATTTTAATATAATATTTATTTGTAGAATGATTAAGTTAATTAATCAGTACCAAAAGTTCCACGAAACAGCGTTGTATTTTCTCCGTAATCAATTTACGTATACAAACAACAATATCGATGAAATGTGGGATAAGATGGCGGACGATGAACGAAAATTATTACCATTTGATTTACGCGTCTGCGATTGGCCGAAATTCTATACAAACATGAACAACAACTTGTACGGCACTAATGCAATAACTTTCTGATCAAAATAATAGTTTTAGTTTATTTGTAACTACAATGTAGGTTAAGGTACATAGATAACGACGTTATAAACATTTGGTTGTTAATAATTCGAAGTCGAATAATTAGTTGCCCAATAATGGCAGCAAAGTTTGAAATATTAAATTTTTATTACTATCTATAATAGTTATAACCATTAGTAATCATTTGCCAACATTTGCAATGTACATATATAATGCAAAAAAATTGTTTACACTTTAGTTACAGTTTAGTTCACACATCCATACCATTTGGTACCTACAACCAAAATGGCGTCATCACTTAAGTCATTCTATACTGGTAAAAACATTCTACTCACAGGTGGTACTGGTTTTATGGGCATAACAATGGTTGAAAAATTGTTGCGTTCTTTTCCGGAAGTTGGCAGTATTACTATGGTTGTGCGTGACAAAAAGGGCGTCACTGTTGAAGAACGCAAAAATTCTTATTTTAACCATAAAGTAATGAACAATATCAAATAAAATAAAACCTAATATAAAATTGATTTATTTATTTTCTAGGCGTTTGACAGACTTAAGAAAGAAAATGGCGTTGATCATAATAAGATACAGTTTGTCCAAGGTGATATTCAAAAAGGAAATCTGGGATTGTCACATGCTACAATTGAAAAAATACAGGATGAAATAGATTTGATTGTTCACGGTGCTGCAATGCTCAATTTTAGTTTACCATTAAAGTTTTATATTGATTCTAATGTACGTGCAACGCATGATTTACTTAAAATTGCTGAAGGATGCAGAAAACTAAACGTAAATATGATATAACCTAACTTATTATCTATTTTTAACTGGTAAATGTATTTTTAAGGGTTTTATGTACATAAGTACAGCTTTTTGTCAAACAAGACGCGCTGGGAACCATACTACTGAGACCGTATTGGAACACCCTATATCTCCTGGAGAATTATTACAAATGGCATGTCGTATGACTTCTGACGAAATGGAGGCACGTTCAAATGAATTAACATTTGACTGGCTTAATTATTACATGTATAGCAAGAATGTAACTGAAAATATGATCAGCGAGTTTGAACGGAAGTTTCCCATCGCTATTTTTCGCCCAGCAGTTGGTAAAGTTGCATATATACATACTAATAACTGAAAATTATATTGGGATAAATTTTAGTTGGTCATTCTTATGCTGAGCCATCGCCTTATTTCATGGGCAATGATGTTGGTTTTCCTAAAGTTTTAATGGAAGCAGGGAAAGGATTGACATTCTTCTGTAATACTCTTGCAAACGCCAACACTGTACCAGTTGATTTGACAGTTTACGGGGCGATGGCAGCACTATACAATACATCAAAGAATAAGTACGTGTAAAATTCATAAAAATCTTTGAATATTAAACTTTTAAAAACCTTTTTTGTTTGTTCTAGGGGCTTAAAAGTATACAACTACACGACAAATAATCACCCTTGCACATTCTCTGATGCGTTCAGATTATATTCAAGTGGTGTCCCGGATTATGAATCAGTTTTAGTTCCGTACAGATATAAATTAATGACAATGGATAACGTAACACCCGGTAGCATTGAAGAGAAGTACATACCCACAAACAAAATTTATTTTTATGATTCTATAAATTATTTTTTATTTGATTAGATACCGGAAGCAGTTGGATTTCTATTACAAATTCCAAGAAAAAATCGGCTGGGTATTGAATACACCGTGGACGTACGAGAATGAAAACATTGACGCCCTCTGGTCACAAATGAGTGAAGTAGACAAAGCGCTGTTGCCATTTGACGTGCGGGCTTGCGATTGGCCAAAATATTACACAAATATGTTTGCTAAACAATTCGGACCTTTCGCGTTTCCGGAATTTGAACATCTCACCGAGGAAAAACGCGCTGAATTACGAGAGAAATTTTTCTACAAACATTATTTAAACTATTAGGAATATTATTATTATTATAAACATAAAATTTAAAACATAACAGAATAACATATTATACATTGCTTTATATTTATGGAATTACATTCCAAGGAGTAAAAGTACCAGGTTTAGGTACATCCAATTTAGCAGTCAAGTGATCCTGACATCCCATTCGGATCTTAGCACAAGTTGCTGGTGCGTCTAATTTAAACGCTTCTGGAAGTCCCGCGTCTACTCTTGCAGCTTTCACTGCTTCCCGAATAGCAAACAGGGCTGAAGATGCTAAAAACAGCGGGGGTTCACCAACAGCTTTTGATGAATACACTGCTCTTGGGTTAGGAGCTCCTTTCAATAAAGATACGTTGAACTCTAGTGGGATATCACCAAAACCAGGGATTTTATACGCGCCTGGTCCTCGGGTGAAGATAAAACCAGTTGGAGAATACATCATTTCTTCAAGGACAAACAATCCGTATCCCTGAACGAATCCACCTTCAATCTGACCCACATCAATAGCCGGGTTCAAACTGCTTCCCAAATCCATCACAATATCTGATCTTAGCACCTGATGGTCACCAGTGAGACAATCAATCATCACTTCGCTAACAGCCACACCATAAGTGTAATAATTGAAAGCTTTCCCTGTATTGGTATTCCAATCATAACCCAACTCAGGAGTACGATAATATCCTGTGCAGGAAAGACTGATTTGATCAATGTAAGCAGTTTGGATGATTTTCTCCCAGGAGGCATCTGGCATACGGTCTTTAATAGGTTGAAGACGTTCATTGATGGTGAGGCAAGCATTCTATAATAAATAAAAAGTTAAAAAATGTTTTTTACTCAAAAAGACTTAAATTACCATAACGGCCATTCCATTTAAATCAGACCCAGCACTAGCGGCTGTCGGTGATGTATTGGGTACCTTATCAGTGGCCGTATCAGTAATGTGAATCTTACTGATAGGTATACCCAGAGTTTTGCTAGCCACTTGAATCATTTTTGTGTGAAGGCCTTGACCCATTTCAGTACCACCATGACTTAGTAAAACGGAACCATCTTGATAGATAAGAATTAAAGCACCTGCTTGATTGAGGAATCTCAGAGTGAAGGCAATGCCAAATTTAGTTGGTACCACAGAGATACCACGTTTTTTCCAACGATTTTCCCTAAATTTTAAAATAACATTAATAAAAACTGATATCATTCTTTTAATGATAAGATTATGGTACCTGTTAAACTTTTCAATGTCCAGTTTCCGTTGAGCATACCCAGATGATTCTAAAGCTTCATCCCAACACCTTCCAAGTGTACAAAACTCTAATAATTGATTATAGTGAGTAATATCAGCCTCTTGGTAAAGGTTAAGTCGACTTAACTCAACCACATCTTTCTTTAAATAATCCGCAATTTCCCGAATCATAGTCTCACCGGCAAACATACCCTGCGGACCTCCAAAACCACGGAAAGCTGTGTTTGTAGGAAGGTTAGTTTTACAAACATAACCTAACACTCTAGCTACCGGTATTTTATAAGCATTCTCAAAATGGAACATTGCACGTTCAACAACAGCAACAGAAAGATCATGTGAATAACCTGCATTGTTGTAGATTTGTATATCACAACCTAGGATCCTACCCTCATCAGTGAACCCTACTTTGTATCTCAATAAAAATGGATGACGACCACCCGAAGAAGCCATATCTTCATCACGATCCAACATAATCCTCACAGGTCTGTTAAACTTTGAAGCAGCAAAAGCAGCTGCTGTGGCTACGTAAGCACCACGTGATTCTTTACCACCAAAACCTCCTCCCATACGTTTTACTTTAGTAAAGATCCTGTTTTGAGGCACGTTCAAAACATGTGCGACCAGTTTATTAATCTCACTAGGATGTTGAGATGAAGTAAACACATCATATTCATCATCTTCTTTCTTTGGTACTACTAAAGTACAGTGTGTTTCCAGGTAGAAATGTTCCTGGTACCCAGTACGACATTCACCTTCAATTACATGAGGAGCTGTCTTAAATACCTTATCAACATCTCCCTGGATCATTTTCTTTGGCATATTTGGAAAATAAGATTTGTGTTTGATTGCGTCTTCAATTGAGATAATGACAGGTTGAAGGTCTTCATATGTGACCTTGACCTTTCTCGCGGCACGTTGTGCTGTTGTTTGATCCTGGGCAACAATACAACCGAGGACTTGACCCATGGAGGTTACTGTTTTTGATATAAACACTTCTTCATCATGAATTGCGGGTCCTACTTGGTTACAATGTTCATCTATATCTTTAGCGCATAGGAACCCGGTAACACCTTCCATTTGAAGAGCTTCTGAAGCATCCATATCTACAAGAGTAGCGTGGGATTTTGTACTGTAAATAAAAGCCATGTAGAGTTCATTCTCTTGATATGGTATGTCATCACAGTAGACAGCTTCTCCTGTAGCTTGTTTGAAAGCGGATACGTGAGGTACAGGACGTCCCACAGAATCATCTTTGCTTTGACCATCCGGGGCTACTTCATAGTACTGACTGGACTTTGGTATCTGATAATGGAACTGGTCCAAAGCAGATTCATCACGTTTTGATATTGTTATACCCGGAATGGTACCTTGAAGTTCTTTAGATATTTTTAAATAGGTCCTAAAGAAGAAACTCAATGGTAATGCTCTTCTGAATTGAATCATACCACCAGGTGCACTTGGGCTTAAAGGTAGGTCTTCTATCAAAAGTTGGTAGGCTTTATCTAGTGTATTAGGATCATTCCAAGGAAGACCCTTTAATCCCTCTCTAGTTTTCAAAGCCAAGACGGTTGTAGGAGCCATACCACCAAATGCACAGTCAATATTAGCAATGGTACCGTCTTTAGGATCAATTAAAACATTGATTGCAGAGTTAACAATAGCAATGTCATCATCCCTTCGCTTAGCTTGTTTATGCGCATAGAAATATTGATGTTCTTGAGTATATGGTATGGTGATGGATACAAGGACTTCATCATTATGTACCACATTTTTTCTGTACCCAGTAAAGAATGTTTCATCCATTAGAACATGTCTGGTACCATTTTTGCTTTGTAATTCAAGTTCTACTATTGCCGCCATTAATATAGGATTGAGATCTGATATAGGACTACCCGTCATGAGGTTACCACCAATGGCGGCTACACTACGGATTTGCTTACCAGCAAACCAATGCAACATGTCAACAATTGCTTGAAAGATCCTGGTTTTCCATTTTGGGGATTTTGAAATTACATCTCTTAGTAAATGTTCAATATCCCAGAGAGTCATGGCTGCACCAATGTTCAAACCGGTACCTACATCTTTCCATCCTGTCATTTCAGGTATCAACGATGGTTGGATCAACACCGGGTAGACAAAGTGTCTGAACTTAACCTCAACTCCTACTTCGGTGTTACCAGTAATAATTTTGGCTGCTGGATGTTTACTCTTCAGTTCCAAGAGGTCTTTAAGACATGTTGGTCTATACCATTCTACTTCTTTACCTTTGAAATACAAACTTCCGGAATCGTATTGATCAGTCAGTTTTAATTCAGGTGGAAAAATTGGTTCTTGACTTGGGTCCAACGGTGCCCATTCACTTGGACTGTAAAGACCTCCAGTAGAGTTATCTTCCTTTTGAAGTTTACAACATTGGTCACCCATGGCACAACCATTCATAGGTTTGCATTTACCATTGTTGAGACCATTGGCAACATGCATCAGTTCATAATCCTCTGTGAGGGTCTTGTATCCTTCAATAATAGGACGGTAACCTGTACAACGGCAAAGATTACCTTGGAAAGCAATCTCCATATCCTCCATTTTGAATTTATTCATGCTACGGATGAGAGTATACATCGACATGATGATTCCAGGGGTACAGAAACCACATTGAGAGCCGTGTGCTTTAGCAAGGCGTTCTTGAGCCGGGTGGAGTTTGGTTTTTGTTGATCCTATACCTTCTATTGTTGTTACGGCCATTCCATGGACGGAACAAATTGGGGCAAGGCATGCGTTCACAGGAAGATGGCTAAGGACAAATTTAATTTTAAAATTTTAACAAAAACTTGAAAATCTTACAGACTACTGCAGATATTAAACCCGTGCAAACGTTGATTGATAAGAAATGAAACAATTAATAAAACACAATATTAAATTGTTGCCTACACGTTGTTGTTTAATAGTTATTATTAAATTAAATTGAAATTACTAGCAAATACTTGAAGTAGTATTATCATTGTTCAGCAAAACTTTAAACGTGAATAACTCGTAAACTACTTGAGATAAATACTTGAATTAATCGTCAATTGATAGATAATATTGTTAAAAACAAGTATCAATTATTAAATAATAGCTATTTGTTATATTTAATTATTAAAACTGTTGCTAATATTGCTAACATGAAGTTATAAACCAAACATGTTTAAAATTGGATTATGACTGAACTAATTGACGTAAATAAATGAAATAAACAAAATCAGAAAGGTCATTCACTAAATTATGACGCACAAATTGTTGCAATCACATATATGTAGTGAATCTACACCCGAATTTTAAGTTTTTATCAAAAACTTTTTAACTTACATTACTCTTTGCGTGCTCCTATCGTATTTTGACACCATGATGGTACAAGCACCACATCCACCCTCGCCACATCCTAATTTAGTACCACAGAGTCGCACTGGAAGATTTTTAATTATAATTTCACAAAAACATTACCAAAATAACAATTACTCACGTTTGTTTCTTAAATATTGCAACAGAGTCAACGATGGATCAACATTCTCATCGACGACCTTCAATTTCATTCATATTTTAATTTTTTTACATGTTTAAATTAAATACGAGATAATTACACTTATTTTGCAAGTGTTTAATTATTTATTTACCTTTTTACCGTTGACGTAGAACACCAACGTCGTCATCTCCACCGGAATCATAATGTATGCGGTTTGAAATAAATATGTCACTCAAACAGGTTTCGACTTTCGGCAATATCGGCTGCACGGGCTGCACTCTCGGCCAGCTCGTTTATGACACTGAATAATTGTGCGTCGTTTAAATGTTGCGCACTGTTCTACTACTGTTGCTTGTTGCGAGGGGTCTCCCATGTTCCAATCAACAAACAACTCACAAGTTTCACGGCGTATCTCTCTGCAATAGATTTATGTAATGATTTATCGCGCGACTTGACCTTTTTACATTTCTAGGCGCGATGATGGGCTTGATTGTGATGGCGAAATCGCAGCACATGGCATGGCGATAAAAACGAACTAATTAAAGTCCTCAAAATTGCCAAAGTAAAAAAAACTTTAAATTGAGTTTAAGTTATGAAGCGAATGTGGAATAATACTAAAAAATGATTGTCATGTTTATAAATGTGTGGGTATTTGAATGCTTGTGTAGTTTCACGTGTTTTGAATACTTTAGAGTTATCAGTATCGTGCTAAAGTTAATATTTGTTTGTAGGTTGTGCAAATACGTATTATCTGCGCTATAATCGTATATTATTCATATCTGTTGCGATTTCTATTATAAATCAACAACATTCAACATCTGGTGTGCAAATATTTATAGAAGTAATGAAAATGGAACATAAGGGATTGATGCACATAAGTCAAAGAAAACACTTAAAGTCTCACAACTTAAACGATTTCATAGTAATAAAAACGTTTCCTTTGCCTTTGTGCGTTAATGCTCATTCAAACATAATTTAATTATACTGTAGGCAACCCCATATACATCATATTTAAACCTAAAGAGTTCTGACTGTGACTGTTGCACAACTCGGGCAATCGCAAAATATGTTGGTAAGCGCATAACTCAACAACGTCTAGACCAATTTGCCCAATTCTGTTTTGAAAATGTTCGTTAAAGTCCAAGGATGTTTTTTACGGCGAGAGAAATTCAAATAATTGCAGAGAAAATCCTAAAGAGAGCCTTTTTCTATAGGATAAAAGTTGGCATTAAGATTCAATAATAGTTATAGTTAAATAGTTGAATCCGAGATAGCGCACTGAAGTGCATTATTAGCAATTCTTTATATAATTAATTTGTTTAAAATAAAATTGCAAATCTTATTAATAGAATTGACACATTCTATGTCTAGAACAAGAGAGTAAAAACGAATTATATTTTTATTAAACACTACCGGGACGAAGTCGTGGACAAAAACTAGTTAGAAAATAAATTGAAATCCAATTTTGTTTGTCTTCAATCCGACTGACTTGATTTTTTTCATTGCGACCGAAACAAATGCTATTAGTTAACATAACTACCATAAATATAACAACCGTGTTTAACGTGTTTGCACGCAACCGAATAAAGCTGCTCTCGAAAAAAATGGAATTTACTGGAATAAGACAACCCTCAGACGATCCACCACAATGTTCAGCCACGATGGACAACTTCTACAGCCATGTTTTAAACGACGTCATCGACAAATCATCCGAACATTTTCTTGAAGAAGGCGTCGATTTAGAAACCATCAATGAACTAAAAACCATCTGGACCCTCAAACTACAACAGAATATCAAAGTAGCGAAGGCAAATGCATCTAAACTTCATGTGACGAAAATGTTACTTGCCACTCCACAATCTTGCGATTCCTGTATTCAGAAACAAGAGTTTAAACGTGAGAATGCATTCGTTAAATGCGAACCAGAATTCGTCGATGTAAAGCACATCAAAGAAGAAATGTGTCCAGAATTTCAAGGTGTGTTTATTCCTGTGGAGGCACAACCCCAGCCAGTAGATTCGTGGTTGAAACAAGAAGTTGCCTACACATTCCCTCTACAAGTTAAAATCAACAATTCAAATCCGCCATTCGCAGTCACCGTGCATGTGACACAAGATCAAATCAATGGCAATCGTATCAAAGCACTGTTTACAAGAGATGTCCTCAATGATTTAAGACATTTAAGTACTGTGGAAGCAACTGAAAGAATGCAAGCTTTGGTTGATCAAGAATACAAAGACCACATGAGTTTCAATATGTCATTTGGACAATACAACATGGAGTTTACTTCAATTGGTAGCTTGAATGATGTTGGTAACTTTTCTGGTCAAGTAGATGGCACCGATGATGAGATGAAGATAAAAGTAGAAAAATCTGATAGTGATACAGATATTGATGAGGACGATATGGATACTGATGATGACGACGATGATTTAGCAGCTATTTTAAATGAAGGTGACGATGACAGTGAACCAGATCCGGATTCAGGTGATGATATCACTGAAGAAGAAGTTGAAGATACAGATAATTTAATTCTCTGTCAGTATACACATGTGAAAAGACAAAAGAATCACTGGAAGTTTCGATTTGAGAATGGAATCATGATTATTGACGGTGTTGAGTTTGTTTTTCAGCGGGCAACTGGTGAAGGTATTTGGTAATTGTGTTATGTTGGTTGCCTAACTCAAAATAAAGTTAACATTGTTAAAATAAGAATTAATCAAAGTGCGCATGTCCGGATGTTGTCTTTGAGATTCATGATAAGTTATTTTGTCGTTTTTGGTCTAGTTGGACGCCAGAAGCAATTGTAACCACGTGTAAAACATTCGATTGAGTTGAACTCAACTTTTAAACTAAACTGACTTGATTTGATTTATATTATAATAGAAATTTGTTAAAATATGGAAGCTTACAACGTGATTCAACATCTTGGTCGGGGTACTTATGGGTAAGTACACAATAAATTCGTTATAATTTTGCAAATAAAAGTTTTGTTTTTAAAATAAATGGATAGAAATGTGTTTCTCTGTGAGAAAATTCACAATAAGCAGAAAGTCGTAATGAAAAAAATCCAATGTGAAACTACCTCTGAAATTATAATCCAAGCCAAAAACGAAGCGAAAATTCTTAAAATGCTCAAACATCCAAATATCATCGAATATTTCGATTCGTATTTTCGCGATAATGAATTTCACATCATCATGGAGTACGCGCAGCATGGCACACTCTACGAATACATCAAGGTCAACAAACCGGACTTGTTATCAAAAGAAGTTAGTAAGAATTGCATTCTTTACAACATGTATGACATTTCATTGAAATTTTAGTTTGTAATCTCAACATTCACGCAAATCTTATTGGGGCTGGACCAAATTCACAACAAATTTATCATTCAACGCGATCTTAAGACTGAAAACATTTTCCTGTCCGGTCCCAACAGAAATGTTGTAAAAATTGGTGATTTTGGCATTTCGAAAACATTACAAAAGTTAGTATATTGCTTTTAATTAATTTATTACGTGTAATTGTGTTTCTTTTCTGACTTTTTTGTTTCAAGTATTGACAAAACAAAAACAACAATTGGTACACCAAATTATCTCGCCCCGGAAGTGTGTGAAGGTAAACCCTACGGCCGGAAGTCGGACATTTGGTCGTTGGGTTGCGTTTTGTATGAGATGTGCGCATTGGAACGGCTTTTCAGCGGACCTATGGCCAAAGTAATCATGGATATCAAGTCAGGTGTAAAGAAAACAATACCAATTTATCAATACGGGCACGGAGTGCAGAACATTGTCAATTTGTGCATCAATGTTGACCCTAAACGACGTCCAACTACCAAAAGTCTTCTCGCACATGCTGAAGTTATTCCAATGCATGCGTCGCTTATGGTTAACTTGGCTAACTATTGTTTCCCAAGGCTTTCATAATTTTACATGAGGTATTACCAATATTTTAAGAGATTATTGTATTTTTAAAGTTTTTATCATATTGAACGAATAATAAACATCCTGTATAACATTGTTTTGTCAGAAATTAAGTTGTTTGTACCAATCAGCGCATCAGGTTACTGCAGTGTTGCCAATTTTATGTTTACTGTGCTCGTACTTCACTGTTCAACAGTTTTAGAAAATTTTGACCTCAAAAGAGGTTTTCTTTATTTTTAATACAAGATTTGAATTATATATTGATTAATTTGATTTTAAAACGTTATTTTATTAGTTTATTCGTTTAATATTTAATGTGTTTGTGGTTTAAACCGAGATTTATGTTACTTTCGCAAGGTTGTGTACAGAATGTTTTTGACAGTTGTGTTTTGGCGCCATCAAGTCCTTCGACCCTCAGTCAAGTGGTGTTTGCGTTCTCTGCGTTCTTAGTTTTCTCTGAAGACGCCAAATCTGTAAATAGTGATTATCTGTAACATTTGTCAAAGAAGTATTTGCAACTAACACGCCGCATCATAGTGTTATCTGCCGTTGTGCAGCTGGTAAAATAATTCTTTTCGTCGATCGTCTCACACTCAACGCTTAATAAACGCTACGCGCTGTGAGGTTATGATTCGTTTTTGTTTGTCAATTTAAAACGGAATTTTCTTTCGAAAATCCATGAAAAACGCAATTTCAACTAAGAAAACTAAACCAAGACGCCCAAAGAAACTACTCAGAACTAAGATGTTCATAAATTCATAAGAAATTCGCAACTATTTTTAAATAAACACTCATATTAGAAGCTTTAAGATTGAAGTGTAGTGGCAACAAAGAAAATGGATGTGAAAACGTTACCCACTGGAAGAACGGCGACGCCAAGCACATCGAAACAGCAAAAGTTTATCATACAAGAAAGCATCACATTCAATCAAGGACAGATTACTGCTAGTTTTACATCAAGTTCAAAAAATGATGCTAAATCTGTCACTTCTTCCAAGAAACTGCAGACCATCATGGGTGACAGAAATTTACTGCAAGATCTGAAGACCAGCTTGAATCATAAAATGTCTCAGGCAAAAGTGCCTCTTCCAGTTGTGGAACCTGCTAGTAGTCAAAAACGAATTGTGAAGACAATTCAAGTGCCATCAACATCTAGAACATTAACAACTGTGAAAAGAGATATTGTGAAACCTTCATCCCAGGTGGAGTACAAATCTCATGTTAAACCAAATGTGTCACAAATGAATTACAAGTCTTTTGGTGAGTATGTTATTATTATTATAATAATCCAATTGGATTATTTCAAAAGAGGTTATACCTAAATAAAATCATACAAATTATGTTCTATTGTTTTGTTATATCAATTGAAAACATATAATATTACTTTTTAGAGGATTTTGAAGATATGATTCCAACGTCACTGTTGACGCTCTCGAAAAAATCCAAAAATGAAATTGCGATTTCATCTGAAGTCTCCCTATTCCCCGCGGGTCACAGCAAGCGAAAAGTTGATGTGAAACCAAATCAAGAGGCTGTCACAATTTCACAAACACAAACAAAACCGCCTCAAAATATCCAAACGAAGAAAAAAGTCAAGAAGAAGAAACGCCGCTTTCGAAATATGGATGGTTCAGAAGACGAAGACGATTGGCCCAGTGTTACTATATCAACACTGCGGCCGAAAGTCACCGATACACCAAAAGTCAAAGAAAAAGTACAAGTACTACAAGAATATATCTTTCCATCACCTCATAAACAACCAAAAACGCCTTTAACACCGAAGAAAATCGAACTTGTTGATAAGGTTGATAAAGTTGTGTCGGATGGTCACATGAGCGATGATTCTGTAAGTAGTATTCACTCAAAAATGAGCACCATAAGTGATTTCAACCTGAATGGATCACTCAGTAACAATGAAAGTACACTTGAGGGAAATGTCTCTTCAATATCTAAAAATGACGCAGCCGAAGAAGAAACAGTTGTTTTAAAGGTGCTTGAAGGGGATGTTACTGCAGAAACAAAACCAGGTGAGATTTTTTGCACGTATGATGATGAAGGTAATCTTATTTGCTTGCAAAAGACCGAAAGCGGCGAATTGCTCATGTTACCCACTGAACAAGTTGATCAACAAGATGAAGTTGTTACAGAGGGTGCAATCGCGATAAATAACAATTCGTTCGAAATGGAGAGTAAAGAAGAGCAACAAAAAGTGTCTTCTAGGTTAACTGAAGATAAAACAGAAGAAGATTTGTTGCTCTCTTCACCTGAACAATCTCCAAGTCGTGTGACACCAGCAGTTGAAGGTGATGAAGATTTGTTGCTTGCTGATGATGCACCATCCACTAATACACCAACTGTGGATGAAGGTAAAGACGTGGGGATTCTTGCTGAGACAGTTGAAAACGTCGGTAATGAGGAGATTGTAGCAGAGCCGCGTACCCCGGAAGAAGAAATTGTTACATTACCTACAAATACTCCCGCAGAATCACAAGAACCGATTTATATTCTTAATGAATCTGAACAACCTGAACTTGCCGACATGCGAACACCATTGGAAATTGCGTTTGTTACAACTTTACAGAGTTTCGCACAAACTGCAGTTGTTTCACCACAGAATAAACGTCAACAGCGAAAATTAAAAGGACAAGAAATTGAGGCTGCTCTGATTGAAGAAGAGCCACAAAGTGAGGTTATTTTAACAGAATTGGAAACATTGCTGAAACGACAGGATCAATGTAGTATCGTTGATTATGTTCCGTCGGATGAAAGCGATTGCGATTTGAATGAGAGTATTGAAAGCGTTGATAGTTTATCTCAGATGGATATTACGAAAATGGTGTTAGGGGAAGGTTTCGGTGCGCGATTGGTGAGCAATCAAGAAGAGGCAGTTGATTTGTTACAATTGCCGCCTGGTTACGAACAGAAACCTCTTGTAGCTGTTAGTATTGCACCTTTGGTTGAAGATGCAGTGAGTGAAGCAAAACCGGAACCGGAACCAAAACGTACAATTCGTAAGAAAACAGTCGGTGCTACATCGACACCACATTACAAAAACGCATCTAAGAAGAAAACAATACAGAAACCTATGATATTTCAACACATTACAGGCGATAGTGATGTAACTTCACCCGTTAAATTGAAATTTTCTAAAACTGGTAAAGTACCTGCTCTATCACCGGAAAAACCTGTCAAAAAGATTAAAAAGTCAAAACAGAAAGTTAATGGAAGTTTGGCGCAGTCTAATGTTAGTGCTGATGGTGATACCGCAGAGTTTGCAGATTTAAGTTCCAGTCAGAATTCTCTAACATCATTTGAAGATGATATGTCGCGTGAGTACAAACTCAAGAATGTGCGTGTTAATCTCAATGCAGAAGAGACTGATCGAATGTCACAAAAAGGAAAAAAGTTCAAAAGAAAACAAAAGCGCAAAAGCAAATCCGATGATAATAACAGTTCCAAGGAAAATAATTCTATTTCCGAAATGGGTGCAAGTGGTTCCGCTGGTCGTCTTACAAGAAGTTTAAAATCTCGAACAAGAACAAGTTTACCTATTGGGTTGAATTTGTCCAATTCGGAGGTTGAAGTTTCCATTTTAACCGGAGGTGATAAAATTGATGATGACGATGTTATTTTCACTGATGACACCTCGCAGCAGGAACCAATCGATGTTGATGCTCTGTACGATGGGGTAAAAGATGAAGGCAAGTCAGAAAATGATGATGGTTTCTTCAAAACACCAAATAGTTTTGATGAGTCACATACACATTCGCGTAAAAAACAAAAGCGTAATAGGACTCCAGTGACATCTGACGATGATAAAATGGCGGACTTAAATGAATTGAACGTCACGCCGAAGTCTGCGAAAAAAATCCAGTTTAAAATTAACTTTAAAAAGTTGTTGAATCAAAGCGCGTCACCACCAAACGCAAAAAAACACAAGCATAAGAAATCATCGAAAGGAAAAGATAGACATTTAGCAACTCCCACATCTGATATTGATTTTGATCCAAATATTAAAATTAAAGATGAACCTTTGGATGACTATCAACCGAAGGTGCCGAAGATTATTCTCAAGTTGTCTCCTCATACTTCACCATCAATTGTGCGGTCGCCATCTTCTTCGCCAAAGAAAGCAAGTAAATTGAATATGGATGCATTGAGTAATACACCGCGTTCTAAAGGTAGCGAAAAGAAAAAGAGAAATATGTTATCACCTTTGGCAGAAAATTCACCAAAACGGAAAAAGTTATCGACCAGTAAAGGAGATAGCGTTGTTAGTGACATTTGCGAGTTTGAAAGTGAAGATGACGCTGAGAAAACTCAACCACTTATTACGGATGATCCAGAATTGGTTATTAATCTTCCACAAGAGGCGTTACCCTCTGAAAATGCTGTACCATCTTTTGATGATGTGAAGGTTAAGATGGAAGATGATTTACCTGCACATGCACAAGGTTAATTAATAATCACATTATTCCACTGCATTGACAGTATTATAATATTAAATATCATTTTAAACGTTTTTAGATACTGATCCACTGTTTGTTGGCGATTTAGTTGTGGGGCGTTTGAGTACTTTTTGTTTCTGGCCGTGTATGGTCACTGTGGATCCAGAGAAACAGATTTATCGGCGGGCAGGAGGTACACATATAAATCTTCAAGTTAACTTCAGTTTAAATTGCAATCATGATTATTTCCAGGTCCTAAAAAGACTGGTGTGTCTTACCATGTCCGATTTTTCGGTGATAATGGTCGTCGAGCCTGGGTGCACAGGTGCAGCATTTGTCGGTACGACGGTCCGGACACTTTAGATAAGATTTCGGCGCTATTGAAGGATAAGTTGGTTAGTTTAATTTAATATGTGTGTGTGTTAGTTGTCACGTTAATTATATAATTTACTTTTGAATTTTATCTAGACTATGAAACCTGTCGACATAAAAACTATCAGACGTGATATTGCCGCATGTAAAGTCGCCAACAAAATGTTGAAAGCGTGGAAGGTAGGAATGGCCGAGGCGGAGGCGCTAGTAAACAAGACTGTGCAGGAACGTCATGAATTTTTCTTCAATATGTTTTCCGTTGCCAAATCCAAGCGTAATATGAAGCGCAAGCGGCAAAACACTGAGACAGATAATGAATTTGAAGGCGCTGCTATTAAAACGGAGACGGAAATTGATGGCGTCGTTGTTAAAGATGAACCTGTGGATAGTCCAGTTCGTAGTCCCCCTGCTAAGAAGCCGAAGAATGAGGTTAGGAAATCAGCTACGCCTAAAGTGACTAAAAAGGCGAAGAAAATCGCGGTGTATGCTTCACCGAAAGTGTCTGAGAGAAGACAAAGTACCCGTTCTAACAAGTCAACGCCATCATCCACATCTCGAGCAAGTGTAGCAGATAGTCCTAAAGATAGTATCAATTTACCAACAACTTCAAGTAATGAACAAAAACGCAGTTACGTCATTGAAGATCTAGAGCTGATCATCAAAGGTAGTTTAGTAATGCAAGACGAAAATAATGACCTGAAAAAAGATGATGATAGCCCGAAGAAAGCAAAATCAAGTGTCAAAAATGGTAAATCAGCCGATTTGAAACAATCGCTCAAACTTAAATCAGATGCCGCATCGGAAATGTCTGACACATCTTCTTCCTCTAAGTTTAGTGCGCAATCCGCGGGTAACAAACGCGTTTTATTCAAAGATGTACCACGACTTCCGGTTTGCCATGTTTGTTTTAAATCTGCTGGGACAGTCTTGAAATGCAAAGGTACCTGTTTTGGATTTTATCATCCGACATGCTCAGAACTAAAAACTGAAGTCAAGAAGGAGGAAGAGAAGGAACCGAAGGAACTTCCGGCTAGTTCCTCTCCATCAACACCCAAAGACACAACATCTAACGTAGAAATCGTCAGCGTCAAATCAAAAAGTAAATATTTCGATGAGAACGCAGTTAATTTAAACGACAGCGATATTGTAACCGATTTGGATCTTATTGATCAACTTGATAATAAACTGAGTAAAGTTATGGCACCGATCGCGGCCACTACAAACTACAACAATTCAACAACGGATGATGCCGTCTCGGAGGATGAAAAACCCGAAGTAATTGAGCCAGTAAGTGAGGTTAAAACAGCAGACTCTCAACCTGCGGAGCCACCACCCACAATACACGATGACTTCATGTGCATCGCTTGTAAACATGATGTTGAACCGCCATGTTTCTCATGTGGGAGCACTGTCTATCTACAAAAACACATTGATCGATTTAAGTGTTCTGTGAATGGCTGCGGGAAATATTTTCACAAAGAGTGTCTCAAGTGTTGGCCGCAAGCTATAATCAGCAACGATGAAGCGTTTAATTTCAAGTGTCCGATGCACAATTGTCAAACTTGTACTTCCGAAAACCCGCATGCGTGTACAACGCTGTTACCGATGAGTAAAACTATAAGATGCGTCAAGTGCCCGGCTACATATCACGTCAATTCATTCTGTATACCGGCCGGCACCGAGATTTTAAGTCAAACGCAAATAATTTGCCCACGCCATGTTCATCACAAGATAAAACGGTATACGATCAATTCCAACTGGTGCTTTATCTGCTCAAAAGGTGGAAATTTAATGTGTTGTGAGACTTGCCCAACATCAGTACACTCTGAATGTATAACGATTAATTTCCGCGCTGATGACACTTTCGTTTGTGAAGATTGTGAATCGGGCAGATTACCGTTGTATGATGAAATTGTTTGGGCGAAGTATGGACATTTCCGATGGTGGCCTGCGGTGATACTTTTCCCCGAAGATATTCCCGAAAATGTCAAAAATTTCCCACATAAAAGTGGCGAGTTTGTTGTTCGGTTTTACGGAACACACGATCACTATTGGTTTGCGCTTGGGAGAGTATTTCTTTTTCAAGAAGATGATAGAAGTGATATTGGGGATACTACGAATAAGAAAGACGTCAGTTTTCAAAAGGCTGTTGAAGAGGCTAAAACGGCACTTGTGGTTCGCAAACAGTTAAAACTACAACGGGATTTAGCACTGAGAAAAACAGAAAAACCACCGCCATATATAAGAATACGAATAAATCGACCCGTGAAGAATGTAAAACCAAGCGATTTAAATGTAAGCAATACCAACGCTTGCAACTGCCGAGAGTATATGCCCAATCCATGTGGAGCGAATTCTGATTGTCTTAATAGACTCTTACTCACCGAATGTGATCCGGATGTGTGTCCTGCAAAGACAAAATGTCAGAATCAACGCTTTGATAAGCGATTGTATCCGCCATTGATGCCTTACAAGACAGCGAGTAGAGGCTGGGGATTAAAATCATCCGAACCACTGGTAAAAGGGCAATTTGTTATCGAATACGTGGGTGAGCTAATAGACCAAGAAGAGTATCACAGGCGTATTGGAAATATGAACAAACAGAAAGCAGAGAATTACTACTTTTTGAGTTTGGATTATAATAGGACAATTGATGCGGGGCCAAAAGGAAATGTCGCGCGGTTTATGAACCATTCGTGTAAACCCAATTGTGAGACACAGAAATGGACCGTGAGAGGGGATACACGCGTAGGACTGTTTGCATGCTGCGATATTCCGGCGAATGAAGAGTTGACTTTCAACTACAACCTAGCGACGATTGGTGATCGAAAGGAGGAGTGTCGATGTGGGGCTGACAATTGTTCAGGGTTTTTAGGTGTTAAGATTAAGGTAAATATTATTTGTATTTTGAGATTATTATAACCTCATAGATTCGATTTAAAGTCTATGGTTATTTTACAGTGAATGTTGAATGTTTGTTGAATGAATGACTTTTAGGAACCAGCAAAAATCGAGAAGAATCCGAAGAAAATCAAAAAGAAAGCGAAAAAAGTTGCACCTGTGAAGAAAATTGTACCAGAAGAACAAGCTGTGCCATGTTTTCTATGCGGCAAGATGGAGGTCGACATAATCTGCACGATGAAGATCTGCGGCATGGGTTACCATCTCAAATGTTTAGAATTATTCGCAAAACCTGAAGGTTTGTTACACACGGCAAGAATGTTTTATTACTATTTTAATCAGACGAATTATTTTCATCTGCAGCTAAAAAATGGATGTGTCCGAGGCACTATTGCAACGTGTGCACGAAGCGAACGATCCGAAGTTGTTTCGAATGTTTAGAGTCGTATTGCCCGATGCATTCGACCGGAACGATAAAGTATCACAAACTCATGGGCTACGTTTGCAATACACACAATCCCGTAAGTAGTAGTAGTAGTTTATGTGACCTAACCTCAATTGCATTAAATGTGAATACTAATTTGGGTGTGAGTTGTCTTTGTAGGATATTATCTCAGATGCTGCCGCGGCGTTGCCGTCAATTTCAAATCTGCCTCCAACGCCCACCAAAATGGACGTCTTGTAGCGTTGGTGGAAAAAGCGTCGTCGATTTTATTTATCAAACTCATGAACCGCATGAATAGCGTGTAGTGTTTTCGATGGGAGCTGATTTTAAGTTTGTACATATTCGTAAGTTATCTAAATAGTATTGATATAGTCATTTCTCAAGATAAGATTAATTTTCCGCGAGTACAAAGTTAATTGATTTATTATATTTTATTATTAGCATTCATTTTATCACGCGGACGTTATGAATCTCGTTGTATTGGCGAGGTGGGTATTGTTTTAGTCACACGCACGGTGTGAGAAATAAATTTTGAACTTGTAAATTTCTATATAAACGCCTTGTATGTATTGTTTTTACTTGGCCCCTTTGTAGTGTTGTCTTTAACATGTGTTTTTTTCTCGCAGTGTTCAAGGTGCCCCCCAAAAAAAGAAACAATAATTACATATAATAACATAATAACAATTACTTAGATGTAGGTATATCTATAGACGGGATAGTACAAAAGAAGAACAACGCATGCGCGTTAAAAGCCGCGCATGCGGCCAATTGTCACCATTGATGAATCATTGAAAGGTGGATGTAAAATTGAATATTATCTTAGTCACGCTCTTCTCTAGTCTAGCTCCAGACGTCGGCGGACAGCCGCTTCTGTGTCTCCATCTTTTTGAGGTACGCCACGGCCGCCTCTTCGGTCATCTGGCCCTTTGTCTTGATGATATTTTGGAGGATGGTACGTACGTCGGTAGCCATTGCTTTCGCGTCACTGCAAACAAATTAAAAAATTAAAATTTCATCTCCGGTTGAAAAAAAAAACCACTTACCCGCAGATATACACGTGTCCGTTGTTCTCTCCGATTACCTTCCAAATTTCGTCCTCATTCTTTGCAAGCAAATGCGTCACATATACCTTCTCAGCCTGATCGCGACTGAACGCCGCGTGCATTTTGATAACGCCCTCGCGTTCGTAGTCAACCAACTCCTCTTCGTAAATGAAATCCTCGCTGCGTTTACGACAACCGTAGTACAAGATGGTATCACCTACTTGTTTCGCCTCGTCTCTTGTGTGTTTCCTGTCCTGAATGAATCCTCGGAATGGAGCGTATCCGGTACCAGGGCCAATCATGATAACAGGCGTTTGTGGTTTAGTCGGCAGGCGGAACTGCGACTTGCGAATGAAGATTGGTACAGTAGGACAATCATCACCACTGGGCTGTTTTCCCTTCAACCAAGTAGTGGTCACACCCTTGTTGGTACGACCAGTTGGTGTTTTGTACTCGACCAGCACTGCAGTAATATGCACCGTAGTGGGATACAACTTGGGACTGGAAGAGATGGAATAGTATCGTGGTTGAAGACGTGGCAACAACTCGCAGAGATGGTCCAAGGGTGGATTGCACGATGGGAGGTCTTCTAGTACTTGCACGATGTTACGATTGTCGTGGATGATCCATTCCTGGTACTTAGTCTTGCCTTCGGGCGAAGTAGACGCCATTGATTTCAAGAGTTCCTTCTCTTTCGGGTCAGTAGCGTACTCGCTGAGTTCCTTCAGGACGTGCGTACGTGGATTCATGGTGATGTCCAAGTAATGTGTAAGCGCAGTGCGGTAGGTGCACGGGCATGGGAAGGGGTGTTTCTTGGAGGACTCCTCGTCAGTGTTGATCAATGTAAAGATAGTGTCCAGATTAGTCTTTGTGAGTTTGCCGATTTTCTCAACCTGTTCGGTGTCGTTGATGGGATAGATGGCGAGATGGTCGCCAGCGTCGTAACGCATCTTGGAACCATCGATGTCTAACTCGATGTGCATGCAGGAGCGGTCACCACCCTTGTGCAACTCACGGTTTACCTTGATCTTGGCCAAGAAGGGATTCTTTGCATCGTAAGGTCTGAAATATTTAAATTATTATTACGTTATTCTAATTGTGTTTGTTTTTAGTAAACTTACGGTCTCTGGTTTTGAATGGAGTGTAATCTAGCCATCTCGCCAGTGAAGAGCCTTTCGGGAACTTCATCCTTGAATTCCTGCAGACGGTACTGTCTGACGCTGACATCTTCACCGGTGGACTCAATACCGTAGTGTTCGCACACTGCTGGCCAGAATTTGTCCTTCCAGGTAATGAAATCATCTTCAATACTATAAAACAGAACGTTATATAAGTTGCCTAACATTCAATCTGGTTGCATAGCAACGCGTATTGTTACCATAGCAACGTCAACAAGTAACTTAATATTCTAACACCATTTTTAATTTTATTTCAGTTTTACTTACTTGGCGTCGTCGTCACCGAGTCCAAGGTCGTAGACACGTGTCGCTCCGAGATCAGCCAGGCGTTTATCCACATAGGTCGCTACTTCGTTGTAGTGCTCATAGGTTTTATTTCCCAGGCCGAAAACCTGCAACGCAACATATCGGTGAGTAACGAACGTTAATCAAAATTACGCATGCAAACGCGGGAAATTATGCTTATTCGAGGTGAAAGCGATTGCGCGTGGAATAATTTGAGGGTCGTAGCATGACTGGCAAGTTCGATTGTTCTCCAATGTGAATTATCAATTTTTTGATAAAGCAACAAAACACGAGTTTTTCAAAAAAAGTTAGATAGTTCACTTACGGCGTAATTAAGACCGGTAAGATCAGCGTCGCCATTTTGCAGCCATTCGTAGAACTCCATCGCATTGTCGGTGGGATCTCCTTCGCCGTACGTGGCGAGGCAGAACACCGCCAGTGAGTTGGGGATGGTTTTCAGACTAACCAATTCTTCCATATCACATTCTTCTGGATCAGCAACCATACCCTTCATACGATATCTCATCCCTTCCTTAGCTAAACGTCCAGCAAATTCCTCTCCGGTACCAGTTTGACTTCCGTAGAAAACAACCAACGAACGTCCGGAAGATTTTAGCTTCTTGATGAAAGAATTATCAGTTGACGTTTGCAGTGTCATCGTTGTGGGCCTAAATAATAAAATGGCCATTTAGATAGTTGAAATTTGAGGTTATATGTAATAAACTTACTGAATTGAATAGGATTTGCCATTGCTGGTGGCAGCAGGCTTCTTTTTGTCTCGGGTAAAATACCACGTGGCGATGCAAATTAAAATGGCGAGGAGGATTAGGTCAAATGTGCTGAAGAGTGGTTCAGCAACCACCTCCTGTGCCATTTGTTCGGTGCCCAATTCAGCTTCGGCCTCCATTATGTTATTCTAAAAAAATTAATTACCAGATATTAATTTAGTTGCCTAAAAACGTAAATATACATAAAACAAACGTGCATGCTTTGGTAATGACAAGAATTAGTACCAATATCACAAATAATTGTAGCTACCGACACGTGTCGCGTGTGTGTATGAAACTTTTATTCGTAATTCCGCATCTCATTCGAGTTGGTTACTCAATCGTGCGCGTCGTATGGCCATGATTTGCAGGCGCAAGGTCACACGACGAATTGAAAACTTAACGCGCCATTTTTGTTTACAACTTATTACGGCTCGTTACGCGCTGACACACTAAAGACAATAATAGGTGCTATGGAAGTAATAAATTACGGTGTCCTTAATAACTGTGGTTTGACATTCGAAATATTGCTAATATTAGGAAGTAAAATTAAATTATAGTATGTGGATGAGGAATTTTATCATTGAAATTAATTATTAACACTTAATTATGCGTTACTAAGGTCTTGTTTGGTTGTCATGACAACGTTACTTTTACTACTCGTCGTTTAATAATCTCGATTTTGTCTCGAATCTATCGGCATCTGTTTTTATATCATCATCGTTTTCCTAGCAACCGAATGGCGGCTGTCTGCTTGTATTTATCTTATCAGTACCAGAGCGCGATTGGGACGAGTCATGATTGCGTCGCTGGTTATTTTGAATAAGAAAAAGCGATAAAATTTCAAGAGCGATTTAAAAAAATATATATTTCACAAAATCAACAACAAGTCAATTATATTATTGTTATAATTATGGCAGCTGTGTGTTTAATATGTTGCATAAGTCTTAACTGGCGCAATATATAGTTGTAATGGCGTCTCAAGCAAACAACCGTTGTTTTCGTTCGTCAATTGTTTATCTTTTTTGTTTTCGCATCGCCCGCCCGCCATTTGGATGTATTTTCCGAGGTTGATTTAGATTAAATTTACATTTGTTTAGGAGTGCGCGCGCCGCGTACACAATGACAACGCGCGCGCAGGAAATGAACGAAAAAATGGCAGTCATTGCCACACGTCACTCTCACTCACACTTGCATATATTTTACACATTCATATAAATTATCAAATGTTGGATGAGAAGTTTGCCTCGAAACTCATAACACTCGTAACTTTTAACATCGCTATCTCGACTTTCAATGATTTTAATACTAATTTTTTTATTCGCGTTTGAGTCGATTTTGAGCGATGACTTGTGTGACTCGTCAGAATATTGAACAGTAAATTTAATATAATTGCTGTTTCAGCCAGACGAAAACAAATTGCCGCTAAATTTTACTATTTGTAGATAATTACAAGCGAACAAACAATTATTAATAAAAATATGAGTTATTATTTACCAATTTAGTTGAAAACAACTCAAAATAATTGGTAATTAGGTTTAGAGTTGGTTTGGTGGATTGTTTTATCTGTTTTATTCGTTTTTATGAGTTTATTAGGGCTATTGTTGTCTGGGAGTATGATGTGTTACCTAATTTCGATTGAGGTTAATTATTTATCACGGCCGAAATTCTAATGACTGGTATTGAGCTACTAGGTTAACTAGAGATCATTGTTTTGATTTTTTCTATTCAGTGAATTTTCAGTGTTAAATTTTGGAATATTCAAAGTCAGTCATAAATAATTTGCAATTATAATTGGGTATTATCGGTATTTCGCGTCTGGATCTGTTTAAATATTAACTATAATGAATAACTTTTTGGTTTGTTAATTTTAATTAACTTTATATTAGCATGGCAACCATTGAGTTACGGTACATTTAAAAAAATTTGTTGATTTTTTCTAATTGCCTTTAAAACGGGTAAAAAATAGTTTATCATTCATTTTTGTCGTTGTGAAGCTATTTATAAAACACAAAGTGCCGGAAATTCACTCTTGATTTTATCTTGTCGCAATATCAATTAATTTGCCATTCATTGTTTATTGTAGCGTAACTTTGATTAAAATCAAACAATTTTATAAATTCTATCGATAACAAAACTATGACAATTAAAAAACTTAAAAAATCAATAATTTTTAATATTTACCAATAAATAATAACCGCTGATAAACAACGTGGATCTCTTTAAAGTTGATGCCATTTTAAACTTGCTTATAAAATGTAATACTTGAATTTCCAACTTAAAATATTTAATTTAAAAATAAATATCCACGGTACACTTTTGTTATCACCGAAGTTTTATGTTATAATGTGTGAAAGTACTTTAATGCCTGCTGACAGGCTTAAAGATCCTTACACGAGCACTGCACGCCGTAAAGTGAGTGTTATAACCAAAGGAAAGTTGCTTTTAAAACGTTTGCAGTGGTGCAGCACATGCAACATTTATATGACGTTTGGTGTTGATGCGTCGACAACACCAACAACGTCACAACCACAGTGTATTATATTTTTGTTGCGTGTTAGTACGAAAAACGCCCGTTAGAGCTGCAGAAGTGTAAATAAGAGTAAAGTTCAGCGAAAATTCAGAGAATTATCGGATTTTAAGTGAAATCTACGTCATATTCAAGCATGAAACATACCTTAATGTGTTTTCTAAGGTATTAACATATCGATGTTAATGTTTTTCTGCGTTTTAGAACTAATATTTGACCAAATCGCTGGTGCAATATACGCAGATCTAAGAATCAGCTGATTTTATACCTCAGCGATGTGCGCGCCATCTGCAACAGCCTGATTGGTTATAATCCGCTAAAATCATCATACACTCTGTCCTAATCTTAACCCTCTTAAGAATCAGTCGTAAATTTAATGACGTATTGTAAAATATGCGTATTATCTCAATTTGCGATGTGCAAATGACCTCTCAGTGAGCGATAATCCCTGATAAGCTATAAATTACAGATATTTTGGGTATAGTTACGTCGTAAAAATCTAGATACTTAATTTTTGTGTGGTATTCGGGTAGCGATAACAAGATAACATGAAATACAGTGCGCACCAAAAAAATAAAACAAAAATATTTGGTCAGCGCAACGCAAAAAATATTATTGCGTTGTCATTGTTTAAAAAGACAAGTGACGCAATGTGCCAATATTAAACCGTGTCGCAATGGCGATAATTTTCAATTCCAAATTGCAAATCGCCGATTGTCAATTGTTTTTGTTTCGCATCGCGTTTGCATGCGAAATTTTGCAATCGATTGCATACGTGACCACGAACAGATAGCTTATCAAATGTGTAATCGCAATCAGTGATTAGACCCCAGACAGCTGAGATGTAATATTAGCCAATGTAGAAATTATTGATTTTATCAGGCGCATTGATTTGATTTTGTTAGTTTAACTTGTTGAGTTATGTGGTGACGTCATTACAAAATGGTGCCCCCATGTTGGTAATACAGATCTCTGTCGATTGTCGATCAGCTGATTTTGTTATACTTTTGTATGGTATGTGCTCAACGCACCGTTACATGTTTATACAGACTTCAAACCGACCGCATGGATGTGATACGTGTTCCGTGATGGTGGTACGTACCGATTTAATAAATTACGCGATGCGACGACCTTGAACCGTTCGAACTGCTGAGCGCGTCGACGTCGCTGCGCACGCGAAAACAAAACGCACATACACACACGTACATAGGTACATCTTAAAATATTGAATTAAATTCCTACGCATCACGTTTGATATCCGATCACAATCATCACGCAATCTGCTGATGCATTGAGTGTCTGGTGTGATTACCCCAACCGATGCCCGTGATTAGACGTGGAACTACCTTGAAACGTTTTTTGTTTCGCGCTCTACTCTACGATTATGATGACATTTCAAGTACATTTGCGTCAGGTTGGTGTCGATTAACACGGCCCCGGTATGTTTAATTACCCTGACTCAATGCAAACGTAGTTTATTGAATTATTTGAATAAACTTTCGCTGGAAATGCCGATGTTGAATGAAAATCGTAGAAAATTGCGCGGGCGTAAAGTTTTTTCGTAGAAATCAAAAGTTGTTTGCGCTTCATCACCTTGGTAACCATTGTGTTGTGCACTTTACTACCTCGTAATTCAAACAGCTGAATAAACAAGTTTCGTTTCTGGGTATTTTGGGGATTCGCGGAGGTTTTTGCCTACTCATAAGGTAAAAAATTTAAAAGTTTAGAAGTGTCTAAGCTTCTATTACAATAATTGTAGTTTAAACGTTTGTAACAAGTGTAATTTATAGTTTACTAAGTATTTATAGCAAATAACAAGTTAGTTTTTTGCATTTTCACTGGTTTTCCCAGTTTCGCGCTGGATTTTAACTAATTTTACGCGTTGAAAGTTTATTTCGGGAGTTTACAATACTTTGAACTATTTTTGGCAAGTTTTTAAAGTTTTTGAGAGTTTGCAAGCAAAAATATAGAAGTTTTCACAATTATAATTATATTTTACATAAAAATCAAGTAAATTTTGGTGATTTTTATGTATTTTGTGCAAAATTTCAATACTTACGTGTTTTCTTCGGCGTTTTTTCTAAGTTTCTAACCGTTGCGCGACGCGGAGTTACTTAGACGTTGAAATCACGTGCCAACGTGTTGGTAGACGCCAAAGGGCACGACGACGACGACACGACGACACACACAGCACACACTCCTCGACGACGACGTGTATCGCGTCGCATCTGACAGCGAACTGGCTCCCACCAAACTTGATTCAACTGGGTGAACCGAGCGTGAACTAAGCGAACTCGCACTACTTGATCACTTGAATGAACTCTGGTCGAGTGGCCGCACTTGAAAATTAATTAAACTAATACCGAAACCGAGCGAAAATCTAAAACCTTTTATAATATCAAGATCGCATGATAAGAAGATGATGTCTCATCGTTGAAACAATGCAAACAATACATTTGCGATTAGGTTATTTACGATTTTGATTGCTGTTTGGTGAGTTGCGATTCTGAGTTTTGCGCGTGGCGAGTGGAAACTGGTCGGATGGTTGTTCGCGGATGTGGTCTTGGTGCTTGTTGTGCTCGTGGTGGTCGTGGTCTTGAGCGTCGGAGAGGAAAGTCACCTTAGAAGCACTTTCGATTTCTTCCTCCTTTAGAATCTGAATGGCATTGCGTGCTTTAGCATTATTTAGCACGAATTAGTATTTCCTTTGTGTTTTTATGCTAATTCTAGGTAAAATATAAAATGGCGTCGTTAGATTTGCTTCTGTATTCTGTTTAATTTTTGTGTTTATTTATTTATTTTAATATCATAGAAATTATTTGCATTTTCTTAATTTTTTACTTGCTATTATATTAATGTGTGGAGTTTTATAAGTTAAGTAATTTCGTAATATGTTTACCTGATGGAGTACCTGTTTGACTGGTTGGTCCATGACATTCGTCTCAAGGTATGCGAGATATGCACAATGTGTATTAGATACAATTAGTTAAATTTACGATGGGGTTACGCAATAGGCGAAGTGCAAGTTTGAAACATGAATAATGTTATTTCTCTTTTAATGAATCAAAAAATAATCAAAAAGAGAATTTTCAATTTATTTTTTGCTGTTTTGTTGGCTTAACTATAGGCAACCCAACATACAAACTCATCTTGCCATTTTGCGCTTCCATTGTATCATATTTTCGATTGTGGAGTGATAAAACTTGAAATTTAGTTATTTATTTGTTGAATATGTTTTATAAGAGTAGAAATTCTAGGATAAACATTATAAAAGTTTTAAAACATTATAAAAAGATGCGTAAAGAGTTCAAAAGTGTAAAAATATGATTAGATTATAAAACAGTGTAGCAAAGTATTATTTATGCACATTTACCAACACACGACGAACGATTTCCATTCTTTTTATCTTTTTTGGTTGTTTTCAAACCTAAAACAAACAGATTACTTCAAATAACTTCTAATGTTTTAAAAAATTAGTATATTTACGTATTAGGGCGCCAATCTCGACAGTTTTTGGTCTTTTTTCACATTCATTTTCAACGCATTGATCAAAACACAACGCTGCAATTCTATTAAACAAATCATCAATATTTTCATTCGTTTTCGCTGAACACGGCCAATACTCGGCGTTGATTGTGTGCGCAAACTTGGTTGCAAAGTTCTCGACTACTTTGTATGACGCATCAGACTGAAATCAAAATTAATTTATATTTAATTTATGTTTTTGATATGTTATTATTGTGACCTACGAGTAAATCACGTTTAGTCCCAATGAGGAACCGAAATGGGTCACTTTCTGACACATCTAACGCCTCCCGCAGCCATGTTTTACAGTTTCTCAATGAAGAAATATTGGTTAAGTCAAAAACCAATATAATAACTATAAAAATTGATAATAGTAATGATGTAGACGAAAATGTATGTTATTTTACCATGTGCTTTGCGGTAATACGACTGCGCAATACTTTTGAATCGTTCTTGACCTGCAGTGTCCCATCTAAAAGGAAATACAGTAGAGTCCGGTTATAATGACATCGAAGGGAATTGACAAACACGTCATAATAAGCGGACGTCATACAAAGCGTTTTGTGAAATGAAATCCCATTTTTTATGTAAATATGTACATATACATACATATTAAATCAAAATCAAAATTGCACGTAATCAGCACATTATAACACATACAAGTGTATTTTTTACTTCAAGTAATCTGTAATTTTTGTCTGCTTTTGTTTTTTCATTTAATTAATTTTCTTGTGATTTTCGAAGCCTCTTCGGTTTCAAAACATTTGAATTGAACGATTGCTTAATGCGGTTCTTGTTTTTAAAAAGCATTGAGATTGTCGAATGACCCACGCCAAATTCGGATTAATTGAAAATACGGATTAAGTCGTGGACAAGGTACTGCTGCCCGAATGCTTATATTTATTATTTAAGCATTTGGTCTTTCCGATAGTAAATGCATAAAAGTAATTTGACAATCATAAAAGAAATGTAGCAATAAATATAAAAAGTTCGCCACGTGTCGAACGTCGTCGGGTATCAACGAACATTACCGGTGGTGTAAAGAATCATGTTGGTCATTATAACCGGACATAATCTGTTAAAAATGGGTCATAATAAGCGACATGTCACTGTAAGCGAAGTCATTATATCCGACTTTTTTTATACAGAATTTTATATGAAAACCAAACTTGGTAGTGTAGGTACGTCATAATAACCGGTTGGTCAATATAAGCGGAGTCATAATAAACGGATTCTACTGTACAAACAAAAAATTGATAACAATTGCGTTTTATGCACTCACATTTGTAGTGTGAAGGGTAATCCTAGTATTTCGAACTTTTCCACGTCGAAATCCACACCAATTGTTGCTTTATAACTTGTATCAAATACTTGATGACAAAACCTGAAGTTTATTAATTATTAGATGTTTTAAATAATTATTATGCGGGTTTACTCACCGATTAACAATGCAAGTCTTGCCAACACAAACATCACCTAATAAAATCACCTTACAAATGCGTAGATTTGACACAATAGGCAGATTTTCTTCCAAAACGCGTTTGGTTAGTTGCGAAAACTCTGTTTTTAAATATGGCGTGTGATACAACGAATATGCGGCCGGAAAGTTTTTAATTTTACGCTTCTCAGGTGCTTGACCAACCATTTTCAATATTGACGAGCTTCTGTAGGCCAACGCGCTCATATCACACATTTTATATTCTTTTATAAAATGTTTGTATTGACAAGAGTCACCATTGTGTTCAAACGTGTCTGTCGTGTTTGTATAGTTGCCTGCAGTTTGAATTCGGCGCGAATAGAAATGGTGGCGCTGATGTCGGTTTGACAACCGTGAGCGTTTCCGCCATGCTGCAACAACATGTCTACTTCCTTTCAGTGAGGTTCTCTCGACGAACATGGCACCTCCGAAACCCAAAACGACGGAAAAGCCCGGTACGTACATAAAATATTCTCTAAAATAAAGTGCAACATGTGTAAAACTCATCTACACATCGTGAGGAATATAATTCTGGTGGATAACGTTTGTTAAATCGTGTTTTTGATGTGTTAATTCGACCACATGACGAAAGCCACGCGGCCTGCTCAATAACAAATGCATAGCGACATCAATCGGTGCATTATGGCATGGATTACATCCGAGTTAAATTAAATGATGACTTAAAAGATGGGAATCTCTTTGAAAACAATCCTTGAAAAGAAAATCTTTAATATATCTGATATGTTCCGAATAATGAAGCATTATAACCTTAAACTTTTATGTTTGTGTTAGTAATGTATGTTTTTCTTTTGTAGCGGCCAAGCCGGCGGAGAAGAAGAAGCCAGCGGCGGCTCCGGCCGCCGCCAAGGCTGCAGCTCCAGCTCCTAAAGCTGCCGCTAAGCCCGCCGCAGGTAAACCCGCTGCCGCCGCCAAACCAGCGGCGTCCAAAACTTCGGTTAAGGCAGTTACCAAAGCTGCTTCTAAGACGCCCGCTAAAGGCGGCAAGGTCGCCGCCAAGGGTAAGGGTAAACCCCTTGCTAAGGGCGCCAAGCCACCAGTTCCTCTTAAGAACATCCTCAGCAAGCCTAGGTTGAATGCTCCTGCTAAACCCTCAAAGCTGGCTAAGATGAAGGCTTTGCAGAAGGCCAAGAAGGTTCAAAAGAAGGTAAAATAAGATCTAGTCACATATTAATATTAATTGTTAGTAAATGATGATTCATTGTGTGGGAATCTCTTTGAATATTCCATGAAAACAAACTTTATATCACAAAACTGACTTCAATAATTGAACAAAGCACATTTCTACTTCTTGTAAAACAAAAATATTAATAAATAACTTTTTTTAAAGGTGATCAAAGGCCCACAGGGTACACGCGTGAGGAAGATCCGCACATCAGTGCACTTCCACAGGCCACACACCTTCCGCCCGCCGCGCATGCCGAAATACACTCGCAAATCGGTGCCGAACCGCAACCGTATGGACGCATTCAACATCATCAAATACCCTCTCACCACTGAGGCGGCGATGAAGAAGATTGAAGACAACAATACGCTAGTTTTTCTTGTGCACTCGCGTGCCAACAAGCACCACATTCGCGCTGCTGTCAAGAAGCTGTACGATATTGATGTCGCCAAGGTGAACACGCTCATCCGCCCTGATGGCAAGAAGAAGGCGTACGTACGTCTTGCGCGCGATTACGACGCGCTCGATGTTGCCAACAAGATTGGCATTATATAAGTTAATAAATTTATTAATTTCTTCAAAAAACACCTTAAAGACTTGGGCGTGTGTGTTTCTTTTCCCGTTTTCTGTATAAATTGAACGGAAATAAATTTGAGGGGATTACATCAAGAGATGTGATTTTTATAGAGAATTTTAACAAATTTCTTGATTTTTCACTTTGAATTTGAGTAGTTATTGAAATAAGTACTTTTTAGTTGCTAGTTTATCATCAGTTTTACTTGTTTAGTTGTTTTTGGTTCATTTGTTGAGTTTGTTTTGCACCGTTGGTTCTATCACTTGTAATTGTTAAGTTAGCGTAGGCAACCAACATTACACCTCAAACTCCCAAGTCTACCACCGGTTGGTTCTTAGTTCTTTTATTCGTTTTCTTGCACAAATCACCAATAAAAAGGTATAAATTACACATATTAAAGTAAAAACGCAGTTAAAGTTAATCAATTTAATTTTTTTCAAATCGTATCATATTTATTCTTGTTGTAAAATGTAAAAATCTTGAAATTTGAAAAAATAACCTAAAAATTGCTACTTAGCTATACCTTATTTGTATTATTTTTATATTTTATCATAAATCACAAATACTCCAATGCATACATGTTAAAACATGTCCTAATTATATAATTATCAGATTACATAAGTTTCTTAACTTAAATACTATATTTAAATGAAAACTTGTCAGTTTACTTAGTCAAAATGATGTGTTTAATTTGCAGATTCGCAGGCATCTATCCAATCATTGTAGACATCCACTGGTTCAGAGAGGAATGTGATGGACGTCTGGAAGTCTTCCAAACACACCCGGCACGTTATTCGAGCTGTGTTTTTACCCTTATCCCTGCAAAACGACACCACACAAAGTAAGTACATATTCAATTTAAATTAATTATTTACGTACATTTTAACGTCACACGACTTTTCGTGATTACAAAACGGGCAGTTGAACTGTTGATCTAGCGGTTCAATCGCTTTGCGCTTGGATGGCGGTTTTCTCTTTGACTTTCTGCGTCCCATTTTGTGATAATTATCGCTTCACTACGAAAATATTTCGTAGGATCAACAAAGAACAACAGAAAATGTAGGTTAGTTTGGTTTGGTTTACAGTTGCAATAGTAGGGGTGATGTATCTTGGGTTGCATACAGTAAAAATATTAAATTTAAAAAAATTTAAGAAAATTGGAACAAAATTTATTAAATTTACGATTACATCATTCTAAACTATATACTAATTTTAATTTAATAGTATAAAATTAGTAAGTGATAAATATAAATTTAAATTTTCGGATCAGTCTCCTTCAACTTAACATACTCTTCAGAAGCTTCCCACAACTTCTTGGCTTTATTCATATCCGCGGCACCACTGCTCAATCCTCTCTCCTTACAATCCATAAAATACTTTCCGGTAACACCCTCAACTTCTTCGGAACAAGCAAGATAAACACTTGTCTGACATCCTTGCACCGGCGTCTTAAAGAATCCTTTCACGATTAACATCAGCGGCCATGACAGTGGTGCAGGAACATTCCGCCATATTCCCGAATCAATCATTCCTGGATGTAGACAATTTGCAGTTACACCAGTTTCTTCCAATCGACGCGCCAATTCATTTGTGAAGCAAATATTAGCATACTTAGAGACGTAGTATAAATATGCTGGCAGGAAAGCGTCGACAGGGTTAAGTTTACTTAAATTAAGCGATGCAAGACGATAAAGTTCAGATGCAACGACGACAATACGTGCAGATCTAGTGCGTATGAGTAAATCTATTAGAAGATGTGTCAACAGGAATGGTCCATAGTGATTGGTCGCCATTGTTAACTCTAAACCATCTTCGGAAACCTTGGAACGCGTTTCTGCTGTTCCTGCATTGTGTATCAACACGTGAAGTTTTGGTTCCGTGCGGTTTATATCAGCGGCAAACTCACGAATTGACGCAAATGATGATAAATCTAATTTTTTTACGATGACATTATCATTTTTGGAGTCTTTAACAATTTCCTCTGAAAATTTAAATTAAATGTGTTAATAGGTAAAAATTTAATTAAATATTTTGATTACCTTTAGCAATATTTCCAGTTTCGATGTTTCTACAAGCGAGAATAACCCTTGCGCCGCGTTTCGCGAGCTCCCGCGCTGTTTCCTTGCCGATGCCGCCATTGCCCCCGGTGACGATCACCGTCTTGCCGTCCATCTTGGCGTTGCCGCGATAATAGCCGCACGTGTACTGCGCGTAAAGCTTCAACAGAACGATTAGTGCGACGCCAAAGACGCACGCGGCACCCAGCAGCAGTAAGCATGCACTGCAGAGGCCGATGCCCCAATAATACAACATCTCGGCGCGACGATGTCCCTTGTCCTGAAAACAGACGAGGACACGCCCACACACGCGTATAATGATTGCACAGATTTGCTCGTTACCATAATGATGCACCCAACCATTATTAAACAATTAGTGGGTTAGTCTTGTGCGAAAATTAAGTGCAGACATGATGGTTAAAGGAAAATTGGTCAAAGATTTATAGTTAGTAGTTAAGTAGTGGTGAGCTTTCTAATTTCGTGCGAAAGACTAAATTGAATTGAAAATGCAATTTGCATTCTTTTGACAATTGGAAGTTTCATCAATTGCTCATGTATAGAATCTTCTTCATCAATGATTCCGTCAAACCGCAAGTTGTTTGATGGATGTAATCATGATTTGTATAAAACATGCATCAAAATTGCATGAAAATGATTAATTTCCGGCTTCTTTGTAGGCATTTAACTTTTTTTACTGTTAGAAATTGTAGTTTAATGAAAATTTAATTAAAATCGATTTTACGTGAAAGTCTATAAATATCCACGTGTGACTTGTGGTATAAGTATGTTTAATGATTGTTTTTCGGTGAAAATTACTTATGTGATGAATTTAAACACTAATTAGCTTCTAAATTACAAATGGTCAATTAATAGTGCAAAGTGTAGAAATTAAATTGCGGTTCTGGGTAAAAGCGTGATCGTGTATTGCTGACGTATCAAAAACGAAACTTGCTATAATTCTATGCATGCATTTTAATGAAAATTAAAACTTTGAATTAAAATTTTTAAATTCTAATTTTATAATTTTCTGAATTGAATAATTTATTTGATTACCACAACTGTCTACAGATAGAAGTGATAATCGTAAAAGATAATAGGAAATAATTTTGATTGCCTACTATTCGTGTCGCAAGTCTATTCAAATGTCTCTACTCATTGCATTCTCAATGGGTAATTAAATTATCGCAAAGGTTAAGTTCACACTCACAGTTAATGGATTTCTGCACGCTGAGCGATGCAAAAGATGCGCTAGAAGTCTTCTATATCTTCAATGTCTCCAGTGCATTGACACCACGTAGATTCTCTTCTGCGCTTAGATTTTCTTCTGCTTGTGGTTTACACTCAACTTAAATACTTCTACGAGCCTTGTAAATGTTAGCTGTGTCGAGATGAGTTTAAAGTTTGACTTTCCTGCTGAACTGCTTCGCGAGTACTGAGCAATGCCGAGCAACCTGAGCGTCCTGACCGGTCTCAGGTATCTCTGATTTGTGTTGGTGTGTGTGTGGTGATGTGCGGCGAGGTGAAGACCACTTCCAACTCGACGTGGTGTCGTGGCGTCCGACTGCTTCCCAGGCAAAATACTTCTGCTTCTGCTTCTACTTCTGCAGCGATGACGTTGCTTTCACCTGCCAGCGCTTCCACCACACAGCTAATCCTACAAGTAACTAGACACTACTCAACTCAGTTTATGTCTCCTACAATTTACGATTTCTTTGCTAGTTTTTTTGCAATTGTGCTTGGAATTGCTTGGAATTTAATGATGTGGAACCGGCTGTATATTATTTTATCACTTTTTGCGGTGATACATTGTTAGTTACAAATGTTGCTACTTTGAAGCGTAATATACTTCAACTTTATGTTTGGTTATAAAACAAATATTTTATTTATTCATATTTATATAGAAGGTTTAGTTAAGAAATGTCAAATTTCTATTTTTCCTAGATAAACATTTTATGTGTCATGAAAATGTGAATAGTTGATTTACATTTCACAGCTTTCATATTTTCTCTCAACAAGGCAAGAAGTGCAATCATTTTCATTGAATTTAATTTGTTTGATGTGCATATTCTTGTGCTGAGTCACATTGTCGCTTCTATTGACTTATAATCGAAGTACGCTTGTGTTTAATTTGCCTAATAAAACACCTGGTATTCGTCAGGCTGGTTCCGCTCATCTTTGTGCAACATTTAGGTTGATAGCCTTCAGAAAACCACTTCTAATTCACCCGCAATTTAATTTATACTGTTTTGTCGCTTATTCAATGAGCTTTTGACCGAAATTATCGCACATATTTGCCAATCAAACTAAACACACAATATCAAGACGTGCTTTGAGTGTTTGAGGTGTCATTGTAGTAATTGTATTTATAATTTATTTATACAATTACTTGCATATTGAATAGCACGTTTTTGAAAATCTTGACAAATATGCGAAGAAATCTGTATTATCTATGATATAAAAATGAATCGCAAAATCTGTTGGTAAGCGCATAACTCAACAACGCCTAGACCTATTTGGCCAATTCTTTTTTTTAAATGTTTGATAAAGTCTAAGGATGGTTTTTACGACGAGAAAAATTCGAATAATTGCCGGGAAAACTCTAAAGACAGCATTTTTCTATAGGATAAAAGTTGATTGAGATTCAATTATAGTTATAGTTAAATAGGTGAATTCGAAATGGGACGCTCAAGTGTATTACTAGCAATTCTTTATATAATTTATAGAATTGACACAGACTATGTCTAGAACAAGAGAGTAAAAACGAATTACATTTTTATTAAACACTGCCGGGTCGAAGTCGCGGGCAAAAGCTAATTTACAATAAATCAGATTTTTTTTGTAATTACTAACCAGTAATTACAAATAGGGGAGAGGGGGGCAAAGTGGGCCCCATAAGCGAAAAAAGGGGATTTGTTTACCTTTTTTCACTCGTTACCCTATTTTTTACATCCTTGTTCAGTATTCAATATTAATAAGCCGTGTCTATCAAAATAAAAAAAAAATTCAGAATATGGGGCAAGTGGGCCCCCGCCCATAAAAATTTTGCTATTACCTTTGTATCCATTTTTTGCTTATATATTTTTTTTTCATTTCTTACTTCGAATTTGTTGATGTGAGTTAATTTCCCCTCTTATTTATCAAAAATTTTAGGGGGCCCACTTTGCCCCTCAATTTTTTAAGCCACCTGAATTTCAGGGGCCCACTTTGCCCCCCCCTTCCCCTATAGGTGGATAAAACTTACATTTTAGTTTGTAATTTGTAAACTTGCGCCATAATTTGGTGTTTGTTACGTTAATATAATCCGAAATTGAGGAAGTGACGTCAGTGTTGAGTTGTTTGCATCTATTTTTTTTTTTTCATATTTTGATGTTTTTCTGCATTTTGGCGAAGTAAATTCATATTTGTAAACCCAATTTTCATTTATTTATATTATAAGATTATAACTCATCACTACTTTACTCTATCAACAAAATGGTTAAATTGTCAGATACAGAACACGTGCCGTTTTCTCCTCGTGTAACTTTCCCTTCTAACTTCAAAATTTCTAATGCACTTGTAATGCATTTCAAATGACATGCAGTGCATGTGCAACAATCTCAATAATTGCACAAAAACACGTCCAAACATTCTATTACAACAAAACATAACCCCAATCGACGTGTTGCATGTTTTACGCACTGAAATCAAATTTTCACTCAGATTTAAGTTTAAAACAACATAAAACGTTTAATCGAAAATCCAATTAACCTATACAATATAAATCTATGCCTATAATCTATACACTTATCTAAATATATATATCTATATAGTAAGATTAGCGTATGATTAGTAAATTATCAGTAAATGATCAGTAAATATGATTAGTATAAGGTATGATTAACATCTAATGTCCGATCCGGGCAATGTCACGACAGAGTTAAGCAGCAACTATCCGTGCGCGGAAAAATAAGCAACCGAAAAAAAGCGCGCTACTGCCTTACACAGACACAACTTTGCAAATCGATCACGCAAATGTTAATCACGCTCAAGCGGCTTGGCCAGTTCAATGATGCGCTCAGTCGCCTTATAATGCAGCGCGTTGGGCGACACCTTAAACGCATCTTCGTTGTAATCCGCCTCTTGAACAGCGCTGCGCGCTTTTGGTATGGCCAATTCTATTATTCTAGGAGAAGCTAGGAAAAAACATTTCTTTAGTAATGAAATGTAAAGAAAAATTAAACATGGCGTACCTTTAGCAGTTAGTGCTTCAGGATCAACCGCTCCCACTTGTAAGGGCGGTTCAACCACTGAATACTTATGCACAGCCAGCTCGTAGATGCGCGGCGTCGGAGTATATGTCAACGCATGCAGGCTGACAAAGTGGGCATTCCTCCAGGCATGCATTGAATCATCCACGTATTTCGGGGTGAAATGTTTAGGGATTTTCAGGCGGTTGATTGTTTCCGGTTTCATTTCGCCAATTTTTCCTCTCTTAAACACAAATTTAAAAAAAAAGTAATGAAAGAATGTCATTTTAAAGGTTGTTTTGGTAAATTTACGCTAATTTTAGCTGGAGGTGGCGGTTTTTTAGGCGTAGCCATTTTGGAAACATTTCCTAACGCGGCTGCTAGAATTTCCGCGTTGTTTCTCTTCTTACGTTTACCTTTTCCGCTACGTCTTTTACCCTTAACTGAAGTCTTTGACTTACGTGCACCTTTACCCTCTTTCTTTCTGTTGGTTGATTATAAAGTTAGTTATGCTTAGGTTAGCAAATTTTTAGGTTATGTTCTACGTACAGTTTTTGACGTGCTATCGCATACTCATGGTAAATAGTATGACGAGCTTCATCTGCAAATTTTTTCATGCGGTGCTCAAACTTTTTGCCCAATAAATCTTTCCATTGTTTTCGTTGGGATGTGTACACTCTATATTTAGAAACAAAAATAGTGTTAGGTTAGGTAGTGTTTAATGAAAATGTAATTCATTTTTACTCTTTTGTTCTAGACATAGTATGTGTTAATTCTATCAATAAGATTCGCAATTTTATTTTAAAGAAATTAATTATATAAAGAATTGCTAATAATGCACTTCAGCGCGCCATCTCGGATTCAACTATTTAACTATAACTATGATTGAATCTCAATGCCAATTTTTATCCAATAGAAAAGGGCTGTCTTTAGAGTTTTCCCGGCAATTATTCAAATTTTTCTCGACGTAAAAACCATCCTTGGACTTTAACGAATATTTAAAAAAAATAAGTGGCCAAATTGGTGTAGGCGTTGTTGAGTTATGCGCTTACCAACAGATTTTGCGATTCATTTTTATTTTATAGGTAAATTTACCTGACAGGCATCAATCGTAGATCTTCAGTGTGTTGTTCAATAATATCAAGTATTTTCGCATGCAAGCGTTTGTTCTTGCGCTCACCCTCGCTATCTCTTGCCGCCCGCTTGAGCCGCTCGTACTGCGCACGCTCACTAGCCGACAGCGAAAACTTCGCCAGCTCCTCCCGGTTCCATTTCGGTATCGCCAGCATGTCCGTCCGCCATCCGTGGTCGAATCGCTTCGGGTCCGGTTGCGGTCGGTTCAATTTGATCCTGTACGCTAACGGATCCAATAATAGTTCCATGTTGGCCATTTTGTTAGATATCTTTAACAGGACGTTGTTTCAAGATTGCGGTGAATGATGAACTGTCAACCGCTGGTGTTCCGTATGAAGTTGAATGGTAACACGGTGAATTTTGAATGTGCGCACTGCTCTTATGAATGCATAGTTTGAAGATGTCGGCAGCACGCACGTGAATGATTAGTAAACATATTTAGGAGACTATCACTGGGAATTTCATTTTATGTTGTTTGGCCCATCATCGCCAAACGCGCCGTGACAACACATCGGTTTGGTTTTGTTTCATGGCACATGCAATCAGAAAAAAATGTTACGCATGCGCATAAATAAGATTCAAAGAAATTAGTTCTTGTTTATTTTTATTGTATTTTGTAGATAGTTGGCTTAGCTTTTTAACTTTTCGATTTTGGTCCTACCCTCATTGATCATTGATTATAAAGACCAGTTTTTCTCATTGCCCCTTTATTATTCTGCTTATTATTCTCCTTATTTTTCTTTTTATTATTTTTATCATTTTTCTTTTTCTCATTCGTTTGTTTTTGCTTTTCTTCTTCTTCAGTATCTCTATCAAATCTGTGTTTCCACTTGTCTTCGGGGTTTTTGTATTTGGGTGTCACACATTTGGGTTTTCCTAAATTCGCTGTCCTCTCGCTGGCTTCACATGTCAACGCCGCCTTACTTACTTCGAAGGGATGTTTTTTTGTAACTTTATCTTTGCGTTCTCTTGGTTTGGCGAGTGACGACGTTTTTTCTGAAGCTGTAGCAGTCAAAGCGCCTTTTTTGACATACCTTGGTGCTTTATATTTGTATTTTTTGGTTGTATTACGAGGTAAGGGCTTACTTAAGTTTTGAGTGCGTTCGGAAGCTTCGTGTTCACGCGCTGATTTTGAGACTTTTGTGAAGTCCCGAGGGCGTGGATTGCGTCGTTTTGTGGGCTTAGCTAGGTTTTCTTCGCGGCTGCTTGCATTATGTTTTAGGGCAGCACGAGTAATTTTTAGAAAATTGCGGTATGTTGGGTTCTTCCGGTCCACAGGCTCTGATAAACTTAAAACGCGTTTTGTTGCTTTATATTTTAATGCGCTTTTCTTAACCTGTAAATATTTAGTGTTTCATGCGTAGTTAGTCGTTATTGTTGGTTATGTTATATTTACATGGTCAATTTCCGAGGCACTGCGGTTGTGTTTAACGGAAAAATCAGGGAATGGTTCGGCCATCTCGTCTAGATGTTCTAGAAACGCCGCTTTTTTTATATTTATCTTCTTTCCTCTCTAAAAATGTTAAGTGTTTCCTTTTTTGTTTCATATAAAATGTTTCTACTAACCGAGAACTTTTCTGGTAACATGCATAAATGGTTGAATGTGGTAAGTGGTAGCGAGTTACGCTCGCACCACTCAATCAGTTCTCTCTTCATTTTTTTATATTTATATATAAATATTGCCAAATAATTATAAAAGTCCTTTTTACTTTGTTTCACTGAGAATTTTGGGTGTTAACGATGATTTTGATGAAGAGACGATGTGAATTGGTGCACTTTTGAATTACAATGAATTTTGATGAAAATGGCGGACGTTTAACGATTGTCACGTCGCCATCTTGTCAAACATGATGTAATAAGTTGGTTAGGATATCGCATAATTTTCATTCCTTTAGGCCAAAGTAGAGAAAAATTCTAAGTTTTTTTATAACATACAATGTTACTTGTAATTAATAATCAAAATGGATCCTATATGTAAGCCGATTATTCCAGCTCAAATTTTATATCGACGACAAGTTGCATGGGTGAATAAAAATGCATTGCCAAGAGTATACCCGAAACCACCACCAATTGATGTAATTGAATAAAAAAATATCAATTTTCAATTAAAATTTATTCTTGTGATGCATAAATGAACTTAAAACTATATTATTTTTCAGAGGGGACCGAAATTTTCCAACACTGGCCGAATGGAGGAACTTTCCATTCCGATGCATAAGTATATAAAACCGGAAAACGACCCGACATGTTGGGTCTACCTTTTACTTCATCCCGTGAAGGAATCTGCCAAAAATTACGTTGCATCTGCTGCAATTGATAGTTTGGCTGAGCCTCGTTGGGGACGCCCGCCATTAAAAAAACAAGTAAGGATTAACTTGAATTACTTTTTAAGCTTTACAAATTAATTAATTTGTTTTATGGTTGTAGACAGCGTGGCATAGTAAACCCTATAGGCAGTACACCAACGGTCCATGGTCGGAGCGGATAGAGAAATTGAGCCAGCCGAAGATTCCTTATAAAAAGATAGAACCACCGCCGCCTGTTTCCCCAAAAGCAATGCAATACAATGGTACGTTTTTAAATCATACTATATATTCACTGATACCCGACCTCAATTGTGAATTTAGTGACTTAAGCATCTTCGCGATCAAGTCGTAAATGCCGCATGCGTACCTTCCCCCACTATTTTTTGTGGGTTATCCATTCACGACCAGACGCGTAACCTACCTTTCTGCCATACTGCGTGCTTATATATCCCATTTACCATTCTAGCAAGTGAACGTATTACCAAACTGGCTGAACCATGCATGCGCAAAGTCGAGCTCAATGAATTTGCCTTCACTGTAAATCCGATAGCGCTGAAATACTTTCCTTCTGCACGCACGCGCAAAATGGCGAGACCACACCACGTGATGACAGCGGCGGAACTAGCGGAACAAGAGGCGAGACACGAGCGACATAAATACAAATACGATAAAGAACGCGCCCGTAAACTAGCTGCTAAAAGGGAAGCTACGGCCGAACGACATCAAAAAGAACGAAAATCGCTAGGTATCTAGGAAAGACAACCTCACAAAAATAATAATGGTGAGTTTTTATTAAATGTACAATTTCCGCATCGGTCGACAAATTAAATAAATAATAAATACTGCGGGACGTTCTGGTAACGCAACTGGTAATGAAATTGTTTTCAAATTGGGCACACACTGAATAATATAGACAAACATAATAAAATGCATTGTGATGCCTACATTAAGTAATAATTCGTGTTTTATGCCGATGGCAATGGTTGCAGATTATGGATGACAGCATGGGTAAACTCTTGCGTGCTGGCTTGACCTCCAATGTCCTTGGTGCGTACTTTGCCATCCTTGAGGACTTTCTCTACTGAATTGCGGATCATGCTGCCGTAGGCTGGTAGATTGACATGGTGTAACATTTTCGCTGCGCACAGCAACATGGCTGTCGGGTTGGCGACATTTTTGCCTACTGCTTCCGCAAATGTATGTCGCGCACCCTAAATAATGAAAAATTAGTGAGTTTTTAGCATAATATGGTGTTTGTTTTACATACAGGTTCAAATACAACTGATTCTGCTGAGTATGAAGCACCAGAAACAACGCCAGCGCCTCCTACAAGACCGGAAGCGAGATTATCGAGAATACTGCCGTATAAGTTAGGCATGACCATCACATCGAACTGTTGTGGGTTGGAAACCATCTGCATGGTGGTATTGTCGACGATCATCTTCTCAAATTGGATCTTTGGGTATAGCTTAGCGATCTATCCAAAAAAAATCGATTTTAGTTTATTTTATGTTTTAAATTATATAATACTTACAGTTTCGCATGATTTTAAAAACAAGCCATCGCCAAGTTTCATGATGTTTGCTTTGTGGACAGCAGTGACCTTCTTGCGGTTGTTCTTGGTGGCATAATCGAAGGCAAATTTGGCAATACGTTGGCTTTTCTTCGCCGTGACAATCTTGAGACACTCAACAACCCCGGGCACACCTTCATGTTCCAGCGCGGAGTACTCGCCTTCGGTCTGCTCACGAATAATTACGGCATCGATGTTACTATGTCGTGTGTTGACGCCCTTCAGCGACTTGACGTGCACTACGTTCGCGTAGAGGTCGAGTGACGTGCGAAGCTTCATATTAAGCGTCTGCAATTCCCCGGTGTTACTGTAGTCCGGTGTGGCGAGAATGCCTTTAAGGCAGACGCGATTCCGCGAGATGGAACCGACAACATCATCGAGGGGTGCGCTGAGCGTGGGATTCACCTCGGAGAAGAAGAAGGTCTCAAAGTCAACTGGAACCGTTGCGGATTTGAAGACTTCTTGAACAGCGTAGATAAGTTCTGGGCCGACACCATCACCAGGAATGAGTGTGCATTTAGTTCGAGCGTCAGGGCGATCAGGGAGCTACAACAAAGGGTTAATGTAAAATGCGTTTTGATTCTTAAACAATTTTCTATTAAAAGTTTTGAAATGAAGTAAGTTCGTTGGTAAAGTTACTGGTATTTAATACTACAAAACGGAGCATTTAACCAAGAATCGATTCCTAAAGGAATTAACATTACATCTTCTCATATTATCAAGTTATTAAGCAAAATGTTGGTAAAAACACGACTAACTCAGGTTTGGACCGTTCTTCATCACTATACATGAATCTTTTAGGTTAACAATATAAAACAAATGCTTACCGCATTGTTGGCTGTTGTAGTATGAATAGACCTCAACGTGGCATTCGAAGCCTAAAAACATTTAATTATAATTATTTGAGATTTTAAAATATGTAGCCACAACATAGTCTGCTGTGTTTTGGTTGATTATGTAACTTACTTGGCCCAAAATGCGTGGCGTCAATCGTGCAAACACTGCCATTATCTTAATTTTTTAGTCAATTACTTTTAAAATTCAATAATGCTTAAGCCCTTTTGTTTGGTATATAAATTGTTGAAGTACCTAACTTTCGCTCAACTCGCTCCACTTGAGCGATTTATCGTCAAATATTTTGAGTTGGCCACATGACACGAGGTCGCTGTCATTGAAGCGCTGAATTCAATTATAATATGCGAAAATATATGATGACGTACGTAGAATCTAAGTAAAAAGGAAAAGTTTTAAAATTAACGTAAACAAGTATTGATATATTAAAATAATTGTGGATACAATAATTTAAATATACCTTAAAGTTGTTGCAAAGGGTTAATATTGAAATGCTAAGGTACAAATAAATATCAATCAAACGTTGGTAGCAATTATGCGACTATGATCATAGAATCTGCTTTTAATTAGTATTAATTTATGAGTTCATTTTCCTGGTAAATAATTTTGCAGCTTTCGTAATGCCTCTGTAACAAGTTAAATAAGTTGCCTATGTTCAACTATCGTTACATCAGAAAAGTATTCTTTAAAAGTAAACTAAATGTACAAAACTAGTAAACGAAAACAGGAAAATTAATTTTTGAATTATTTAAGATGTAACAAACTAATTTATAGCTTGATTTTACGCTTAAATCTTTAAAATAACTTGGTTATAGAGGTCGCTGTAAGCAGTCAACTGAAAATTTTAGCGAGGAAGGAAGCGTTAGTACCGCGCTCGCCGCCAGGTGCTCTCCGAGGTACATTGTTTCCTGACGTCATAAACAACGATCAGTCAGCGAGTGAGCGAGGCGAGAAATGTCGGCGTGAGCCAAGACGAGAGTTGCAGTAAGTTCGGTGCGCGCACACACCAGTTCGCTGAACGGATCTCGCGGTCGACGTTAAAAGAACAATCCTCGTCGACACCGTCGTCGAGACACCGCGTCGCATCCTCGTCGCGCCAGACGCACGTTTACGCACAGTGCACCAAGCAGAGCGACGCTCCGAGCGCATTCGCCAGAATGTCGACGCTGAATCCAGGAAAACCGGATTACACAGTGGGCGGCAAGTACAGGCTGATTCGGAAAATCGGCAGTGGTTCCTTCGGGGATATCTATCTAGGCATCAACATCACTAATGGCGAGGTAAGTCACAGTATTCTCCAAGTGTGTAACTCAACGCGTGCATATGGCCACCTGGGTGAGGTTGTGTGCGTGTAAGCGAGCTGACACATGCACGCGCCGAGCGCTTCACCATCTGCTACTGCTTTGTTCCGATTGGTGGGGAGAGGACGGGCACACACACAAACATAGACGAAGAGTGTATGTACACGCGGTGAGAGCGCCGAGCGAACGCAGAGCGCCGCGAAGTCGGCCATGTTTCTATTGCGATACTCTGCTCGCTTGTCTTTTCTTTCTTGAAAAAACCATGCAACATGTTAATTTACACCACAGATTTTACCCTTTTATCATAGTTTAGCTTATTGGCTGGCATTTCACATCTGAAACTAGTGTAAAATCGTAATTTATTATTAATTTTGAGTAGAAATTGTGTCTAAGAGCAGATGTAACCTAAATAAAATTCTCAGTTTTAGGACTGCAGGTGTAATGAAAATCCTTGTTTTCTACTCAATATTAAACAATATCCAATGGTTTTACTTAATTTTCAAGTTTTCTATGTAAAAGATACGATGAAGTTCCAAAAGCTTCTCGTTAACCTTAAAATTTCGCACTAAAAGCACAAAAGTAGGTTACATGAATGGTGCGAATTTTTCAACGTAAAGAAACAAATTTAGCAGACGCGTGATGAGTTCGGGATGTGGAAAAGGCTTGCGACACGTTTCGCAATTTCTTTGACTGTTGGAGGTGATTGGCGAGAAATATGATGAAAACCAGTGAAACCACACGATCGTAACATCATGCCTGCGTGGTTAGCAAGGTTGCAAACCATTTGAAACGATATTGTTTTCAAATTTTAGTTGTAATTGTTGCATATTCAGAGATTCTCATGAATATTTCATTGACTTCATAGACGAATTAAATTTTATGATATTTCACGTTTGGATGAGTAATATTAAAATTACTACTGCACTTCGTGTTTAATTATTTGGTTTAGGTTTATGATCATCAAATTTCCTAGAATTTACTTTAACGATTACGGTTTTCATAGTATTTTATGCAAATAATGAGGGATTTACAATGATAATGGTTTAGTTCACAGAACTTCAGAGATTTGTAACTGTTTCTGGTGATAGTGGTTGGATTAGGTAAAGGGTAGTATTAGTTATGGTCAAAGTATGGCAATATTTGAGCAAATAGGGTTAATGATATTTTGATTGCCTGATAAAACTATTACACATTCCCCCAAATTCAATTTGAGTGTTTTCTTATTAGTTTAACAATCATAATGTTTAATTTTCATGAAAAAATTACAAAAATAGTAATTAACTCTATTTTTATTGATTTTTTCTATTTAAAACTTTTATTTTTGTGAAAATTATATTTTTTATGATTTTTCTTGTTTAGTCTGCCAAAAAACTTATTTTTTTGAAGTTTGGTAATATGTTTACGCAAATTCTCCTACAAATTGCACACTTTCAACGACTAGACTTTCAAAATAATAATAATATTTAATTTTATAATGAATTAGTTCGGTAATTGTTTCTATTTGCTGATACCAACCTTAAACGCAATTTAACAATGCACACACATGTTTACATCCTGTGATGCTCGTGTCGAATTATGCGCATAATACCGCACAACGTAAGGCGACGACGTAAATAAAGCGTGTTCGTTTCCAGACTTTTCAGAGCGTTATCGCTCGGTGATGATAGCAACATTTATCAACAACTACCAGCGGTGTGTGACGCTCTACAACACAACGCGCACTTGAACAACATTCGCACTCACTCACTCGATTTAATAAATTATTTATTATTGAAACGGAAAACATTTACGATTTTTACGCGAAGGACATACTTTTGCTTGTTTTGCCATGTTAATAATTGCATATGAATGCAATGACAGTCGCAAATCTAGAAGTATTACTAATGTTTGTTGATGAAATGATTAACACCGTAGAAATTTTATTAGTGACTGTGTGTTAGGTAACAATTAACGAACAATTAGTCGATTTCGCAGGTGTGCGTAGGTAATTATTGTAGTGTTTGTGTTGGTTGGCGGTTGTATTCAATCGCGATTATTGATTACCGGACGCGTAGTGACTGCCCTGCTGTTGTGAGTGTTAACTTTGAGTTGTGAATGCACAAAAGTCAATATTGGTTTCTCATTGCAGTCGTTTATTAACTGAAATTAGAACTTTTCAGTTTAACACGTGCAGCGCAAATCAGACTGAAACTTGTTGCCGTAATTAATTTTGCATTGATTGCAATACATATTAATGTATATGTCATATTAGTAACTTGTTTCTTGGAATTTAATGTTCGTGTAATAATTCTTAATTGACTTAGTTGCTTAGTGTATTACATAATTCAATAAGTAGAAGTGGTCTGAAAAACTAGACCAAAGATTATTAATTAATCCCAATCTTGATACCTACTTTGAATCTAGATATCGATTACATTATGCTCGATTTTCACACGCGTTTTCCTTTTCTTGTTTTTGTTTGGCTGACTCTTTGTTAAATAACTTAAATCATCACGCACTATATGAGTAATATGTATTCCAAGTTTGAGAACGGAATACAAACAGAAGTAGGTAATAAAGTAGGACAATCGAAATCATAAACTTGTTGGTAGTGTAGTCTTAATGGCGGCGAAGCCCGAATGTGGGAAATTCAGCGGTGGTTTTTGTCCTTGGACTGCATATTGCGATTTTATCGTTGTTTATTTTGCGTCCTTGGTGAAAGTTGAATTTTCCATCTATAAATTCAACAAGGTACTTCATAAATTACTATTATTAAGATTAATATAAGAAAAAAGTTGTTAGCAACAAAGTAATGTGTTTAAAATGAAGTTTTTTCTTGCTTGTGGGACACTAAAGGCCAAACTGTAAACCTACGCGGTTTTTGTTTTTGGTCATAGACATTGCCACAGTGGAAGCATTAATTTCATATCATTTTGGTCACGTAATCACAAACGAAGTGTGTTTTCAAATGGGTATCCTACATTTATTTGTTGATTGATAGTTTTGTTAAATATTATTTATTTGCACTTCAAATGTGATGTTCTTGTCGATTTGTGTCTGCTAATTTGTGACTTTGAGTCTTAAGCAAACAATTACCAGATTAACACCCACAAAGGACATTCTCCTCACACGTTGAATTTAAATTTGAATACAAATTAGTTGAGGGGAGACCTCCAAATATAAAATAAAAAACTGCAAAGTCTAAAAACAAGCCACAGCTTCCTTCCATTCAACAATGTAAATTCTTTCATTTTAAATCTTTAAAATTTTTCTCTTTTAATTACAATTAAGGCCGTTTAACTTTGTTTAATGGCTTCAAGGATGTTGCTGTACTTTAGGTGCTAATTACAAGGATTTGTTTGTAATCGCAATCAAATTATGCAATTTCTATAAATTTGACTTTGTAATTAGCTTTAGTTTATTCCAAAAAATTGCAAGAGAGTTTTTGTACTTTCAAATTCTCATTGAATGAATTTTATTAATATTTATTAGATGAGTTTGTTAAACTTTTGCATATGAATTTGTTTGTAAAACAGACTAGTTCTTGTTATTGTTTGCATCTGCAAGCCAAATTAGTCATATAACAATAACAATATATAAAACTTGTTAAATTGATAAAATAAGTTTTGAAATATTCAGCAGAAAGATAAATATGTTGTTTTAAATCTTCCTGGAATTATTTACATTTTCTCAATGTGACACTGGCTGGCGACGTGTTAGTTTAATGGCGACGACCTGCAACGACACTGCCTGCAGGAGCTAACTGTTTTAATTAACTCTGCCAATAAAACGTTAGATGCAAGATATAATAAACATATCGGTATTATCATATCTATATTTATATTTTAATGATCGACTTCACTAATCCCTAGCTCGATAAATTTCTAAAACAGTCGGAGTCTAAATAAATAACAAAAGCGTATTTCAGATGTGTTTCACCGTGTTTAGTATTTTATACAGTTTTGTTTATATTTATGTTTTTCAACAGTAAAATGTAAATTTTCTACATTTGCATTTCGCTTTGATCTCGAGTGCATGAGAATGGATTGTATGTTTCA